TCTCACAAAGTTATCTGTGTACTACAAAATGGGTTAATTGTAGTTGATCAAATTCTGCTAACTGATACGTCACAATCAACACAGACCCAGGCAAGCTTTAAGTTCATTGGTTTCAGTGAACTTAAGCCCACCTAATTATGTCAGATTGTGCCCATTTCTCTACATTGGCCCCAACAGAAGTGGAAAATGGCAGACACTCTTCTCCCTTTTGCCTTGACAGCGTCTTTTCTACACTGAACCCTCTCTAGTTAGCTGTTTGGTCCAATTTATATATTGAGCTTGTGGCAGCCAAGCATCTGATACTGCTTAGCGAAGCTGGCGTGGCAGCAAAGGAAGCTCAGTTGTTGAGGGAAGTAAACTGTAGTCCAGCTTCTGAGAGGGAGGGAAAACATCAGTTTGGCTGGGATCAAAATCTCATACAGTGGCAGGTTGATGGTTGGGAAATGTTCTGGGACATAGGGAAGATACGAGACAGGAATTCCAGTGGCAAGGAAGCTGAAAATAGTTATAACAGCCAATGGTCTGAGAAAGAGGAAGCTGAAGGGTTCGTGGAAGGCTTGAGGAAAAGGGAGAGATGTAAGACAGGAGGGGCAGCCACAGAGCAGTTAAGAAGTGTGGGGTTTAGGCAGAAAGCAAAGCGGCATAGGGAAGCTGATAGGGCATCTAGAAAAAGTAGGCGGTGTTCTGGGACACTGACCAAATTCAAGGAGTGCTCACTAGTGGTTCCTCAACATCCTGGGGGGGAAGTGACAAGTGGGGTGCCACAGGGTTCTGTCCCATTGTTGTTCAATGTCTTTATAAATGACTTGGATGGATGAATTGGGGGGATGCTCATCAAATTTGCAGATGACACCAAACTGGGAGGGGTAGCCAACATCAGGATTCAATATGATCTTAAAAGTTTGGAGAACTGGGCCAAAACTAGCAAAATGAATTTCAATAGGGACAAATGTAAGATTCTACATTTAGGCAAGAAGAACCAGCTGCACCAATATAAGATGGATTGCCAGTAGCACATGTGAAAAGGATCTAGTGGTCTTAGTAGACCACAAGCTTCACATGAGTCAGCAGTGTGATGCAGCAGCACAAAAAGCTAATGCTATTTTTGGCTGCATCAACAGAGGTATGTGTATTGTCCTGATCAAAGGAAGTAATAGTACTGCTTTATTCTGCCTTGGTTCTGGGCAACACAATTAAAGGATATTGAAAAGCTGGAACGTGTGCGGCTATCTTAAGGCTGGCTGAAGATTTAGGGTGGGGTGTCTACAGTACAGTACCAAAGGAAGTGTCGCAGCCCATCTGCAATGAAAAAAGTTTGGAGTCTATGATTGCTGAAGGTAACACAACTATTGAATCTAAGACAGAGGAGCATGTTCCAAAAAAGGTCCAGCAGACAAGGACCATGCTCTTCTACAGCCTTATGAGGAATGGTTGAAGGAGTTGGGTAAGTTTACTCTGGTACAGAGGAGACTGAGAGGAGGTATAATAGCCATCTTCAAATATCTCAAGGGCTGTCATGGGGAAGGTGGAGCAAGCTTGTTTTCTCCTGCTCCAGAGGGTAGGACCTGAACCAATGGATTCGAGCTACAAGAAAGGAGATTCCAACTAAACATCAGGAAGAACTTTCTGGCAGTAGGAGGTGTTTGGCAGTGGAACAGTCTCCCTCCGGAGGTTGTGGACTCTTCTTCCTTGGAGGCTTTTAAGCAGAGGTTGGACGGCCATCTGTCATGGATGCTTTAGTTGAGTTTATTGCATTTCAGGGGGTTGGATTTGATGACCCTCAGGGAGGACCCTTCCAACTCCACAGTTCTATGATTCTAAGAGGAGAGCATGCTATTTTGGAGGTTGCTAGCAAGAAGCAGCCCTGGGGAGCCGCAAGTGTGTGCCTGTTTCTTTGGCAGGAACTGATAACTGCAAGACTTGTGTATCACTTATCCAGGTGCTTGCTTGCTTGCTTGCTTCCACCAGCTCAGCCTGTACGTTTGTCAACAGCCATTACAGACACATTACAGATTCCCTCCTTGCAGTGAACTGGACCCCGTAAAACGAGTGCAAAGCAAATAGGTGAGGCTTTAACACTAATGGGTAAGGAGATTATCTTTGCTTGTCGAATTCTCTTGTGGAAATTATCCGCGTGGTAGCACCAGCTTGTTGGGGTTACGTTCAACTTCCCTGCCTCCTACTGATTTCTCTCTCCGGTGCTTGTGGTCCCTTGACAAGCCTAGTGCCGTGTCCCTCCCGAAGGGACTAAAGCGAAGCTGCCAGCAGTATCCCCGTGAATGGGGATGATCTCATCTCCCAGACGTGCAGAGCTAGGATTATATGAGAACAGAAAATATTTACTGCTGCACCAACTGGGTCCCATATAAAAAAAATGTATGTGTGCAAAAAAAAAAAGGAGGGGGAATTAAGTGCATGCTAGTCATTTAGGGTGGAATTTCCATGCATTGATCACTCACCTTTTAGGGATCCCACACATCAACCAACCATTGTCATCCTATTATTTTCCCTGCAGTCTTTGCATGGGCTCCTGTAGATTCCTTGTTTATTGAGCATTCATTCATTCATTCATTCTGATTTGCTTGCAGGCAGGTTATACGACAATGACAAATCATATATAAATTGTATATATCTTCCTCTTCACTGGTCATTTATCCCACACATTTTTACTGCATTTCCCCATCAGGTCCCACAAAAGGTCTGGGTTTTTTCCCCTTTAAAAGTTGATTTGTTACAGCAAAGCAACAGAAGGCTCTAATCTGCTTTAATTGCACGAACCTAAATTTCCGGATGCAATTGAATCCCTCCAGCAAAATACTGACTGTCTGGAGATGGCAAAAAAAGTCGTCTGACTTTCCTCCTAGCACAATCTCCACAGGTGTAGATATTATACTTCCATGTTTTTTAAAAAGGGCAGGGTTTGGACTTCCAGACTGCCAAACATTTGCACGGATCTCTTGCCCAGTCAAGTCAGCGTATGACTGTTTACCTTCCTAACCCACCGCAAAGAATGTGATAAATAGCAATGGCGCCATAGCACTCTTGGGCAACAAAATAACTTAATAAAAAAAAAAAGTAAGGCCTTTTACTATAAAAAAGTGACCGAAAACTAAAGAGGAAAGCACAAGATAACAACTTCTACACAAATTCTGTGAAAATGAGCCAGGATGATTGCTCAACATCCACGTCATCAAAAAGCAGTTGCGGTCAGCGGCATAATGAGCAGATGAACCTATCTCAGATTTTTATAACCTTAGCAGTGGGCACAGTTTTATGATCCAGTTTATTTTCTTTTGATCGAACTTTTAATTAGTGCTCTGCTAAAACACTTTTCAGGCTTGCCTCATTCAGTCATGACTATCAAGCAGGTTGCTGACATGCGGCTGACCGGAAAAGACACCAAATACAGTGGTACCTTGGGATGCGAACGGGATCCGTTCCAGAGCCCCGTTCTCATCCTGAATGGAACGTAAGACGTGATGGCGCATCTGCGCGTGACGTCATTTTGAGCGTCTGCACATGTGCAAGCGGCGAAACCCGGAAGTAACGTGCTCCGTTACCTCTGGGTTGCCGTGGAGCGCAACCCGAAAGTGCTCAACCTGAAGCACATTCAACTCGAGGTATGACTGTACTTCTTTCTTTCATAAAGCTATTTTGTAAAAAAATAATAATACTGTGTCCATATGGGTTTTAACTGGCATTCAGCAGGGATTAAGCTGTTCCCTTGTTTTAAATGGCATTGGGTTGGGTTGATAATGTACTGTGGTTGATATATTTTAGTGTTATGGTTGATATCCTTTATTATGTAATGATGATTTTTGTGCAATATACCGTATTTTGCATGTCACTTGATTCACAGTTGTATTTTAGTGTCTTACAGAAGCTGCCTTGTGAAGGGATTTACGCCAGAAAAGCATCCGATAAATATTGTAGGTCTTCATTTATATATTTTCTGTATTCAGCGTTGCTGTTCTCAACATATTGAAACCATCTGTGACATATAAGATGACAGAAACATAATCTAAAACACAATGCTGCATCTATAAAAAAGGGTAAAGGTACATCACCTTATCCACTATTTAGCAACAGCAACACGGTTTTATCCACAAGTTGTCACCTGGACCTAAAAAAGTGCACCTAAATAAAGTTTATGTGTCTGTGGGCTTTACTTATTTCCGCCAATGTTGGATGTTATGCTAGGGCAGCTGATGGGCAGGAGGTGGGGACTTTGACCACAGTGGGAGGCCTGGGAAGTTGTGATGAGGCCATGGGTTGACTGTTCTGATCAGTCCATAGCAGATGCCAGCAAGGCAGCACCATGGAGAGCTCCTAGTGAGCCACTTACTCCAGGGTGGACTGGGGCCTTATGATCCCCTCTACCCTTCCCAAGCTCGTCCTTCCTGGCTGGAGAATATGAATTAATGGACCATCCATCTGGCCTGAAGCAAGCACTTTCCTACCTGTGGCCTCCCACCTGACATGTTGTTTACAATGTTTGGGCAGGCATAGTAGTGCAAGAGATAGCTGACCCCTGAAGGAAATCGGGCCTGGGAGGAAGGTGTCCACAAAGGTCCTGGCTCGGGTTCCACAAGTTCCTGAACCACCAGCCTGAGGTTCAGAATCAGGAACATCAGAAAGCCAGTATGGTATAGCAGTTAGAGTGCTGGACTAGGGACCTGGGAGACCAGGGTTCAAATCCCCCCTTCAGCCATGAAGCTCTTTGGGTGACCTTGGGCCAGTGGTGGACCTACATTTGCGGGGGTGGAGTGGACCTGAAGCTTGAACTGATATGGGGGCCCCTTTGCAACCAGCAATGAGGTCTGGACAACCACTGTTGTCTTCTTCAGTGGGTTTGTTCCATGGCAGGTCACCATAATTATTATTTTTAAAAAATTAGCTACTGCATCTCAGATTTTGATTAAAATTGCTATACTTGATTATCTCACATGTCAAAGGCACTAGTGTGAATTAAAAAATTCCTGTGCCTTAGAATTTGAGTTAAAGCTCAGTTGGTAGAGCATGAGACTCTGAATCTCAGGGTCAGGGATTCAAGCACCATGTGGGATGAAATATTGGACTAGGTGGTCCTTGTGGTTCCTTCCGACTATTCTATGGTTCTGTGAGGGAATGAAAATTAGGGAAATGTTATATGCATGCATGGTGCACTTTTTAAAGCTTCTGCTTCAAGATCTCCAGCAAGGGAGAACCCACCACCCCTCTGAGTGTCTGATTCCATTACCAGGTTCCTCTTCTCATCAAGAAGTTTCTCTGAATCTTCAGCCAAACTCTGGCCTCTTGTAGCTTAAGCCTATTAGAGAAAGTCCTATTAGAGTTAGTTCCCCTCCAGGGAAGTGGATAACAAATATTTGCCTTCTTCTGTGTGGCAACCCTTTGGGGACTTGAAGAGTCCTCTCATGCCCCTCTTCGGTCATCTCTCCTGCAGACTAAGCAACCCCAGCTCCTTCCATGGTTCCTCAGAGGACTCAGAAGCTATGGTGCAGCCTAAAATAAAATTTGGCTTGTTTGCTGGTCAGCTTCTCCTGAAGAGCTTGTTATTTCTTCCCAGTGAATCTGTTCCTAGAAGGAGAGTAAGTCTCCCTCTTCTCTGCACAACTCCTGGGCTCTCTCATTAGCTGTTTACAGTAGAGCCTGGAAAACATCCCAGCTTGTCAGTCTAATTCCTAGTGACCTAGTTTCAGGATGTCTCCCTCTGCAACCAAGTTTCTGATTAGTTAGGGTTTGTTTCCACACTTCCTTGCATTACATGCCCCATGCCCCATCACCAAGAAGACCTCCTGTCTTTTCTGCTCCAGTCTCTCTTCAAGTGTTTTTGTTCATTGCTATGTCCCTTGAACCTGGAAAGGCAAATTGAAGTCATGGTTACCTGTTGATCAAGGGCTACCTCACAGAGATAAGTGGATTCAGAATCATTAACCTCTCTGAATTGTTAGCGAGTTTGGCTGCTAAAGTCCACCTGAGCAAGGCCCTGATTCTTACCTGCTATGTGCATGCAGTTTGCTGGTTATATTTGTTCGCCCAGGACCCTTTGCAACATCCACCAAGGCAAGCAACTGCAAAAGGCCACACTTTGCTGTCAGCTGCTAGTTGCATGCCCATTATAGAGGGAACAAAACTGGGAATGAGTTAGGGTGGGAGTTGGGGAGTGGGGCCTGGCTGCAAATTAAAAACAGCAGCAATGACAACAACAAAGCAAGCCTCAACTCTCTAGTTAGCTCAAAACGAAGAAAGGACACCATTAAATTATGACGTGCAGTGCAACCTCAGGCTGACTAATAAAGTCAGAGAGGTTTTATTGTAAGTTTTAATTCACGTTGCGTTAAACAAACCAGCAATGGTAGGTGAGCATTTCAAATTACAAAGAGAAAAAGGAATGGAGTCATGACAGATTTATCTAGTTTTCAGTCTCATCACTTGAGACTAGGCATATTTATTCAGAAGTAAACCCCATTAAGTTCAATGGAGCATACTCCTAAATAAGTGTGCATTGAATGTCGCTGAAAAGATCTAGAAGACTTATTAAACATGGGACTTATGACTAAGTAAACGTGCTTAGGATTCTGCTGCTGCAAAAATAACTTTGCTCATCCTGTGGCTCTTTTGCTGAGAAATAAGTGATGGTCCAATTGCTTAAGGGTTATTGCATTCAATTTCCCCTCCTATTTTTGGTAAGAAATTCCAACTACCTTTTTAAACAGTCAAGCAAACCATTTCCCGACGATATGGATTGAAAGATTCTTAGGTAGTCTCAAGATGAAGGATATATAGCTTATCTCAACAGAGCTCTGAGGAGAAGGGAGAGTTGACTCCCTGAATTACAAGCTCAAAAGGCATTTCCAGGCCAAACATTAATAAAGTTGTTGCAGATATAATACAGAATGGCGATGCCCATTGTGAAATCCCTCTGATCCCATGCATGCATACACTGAAATAATGAAACTTCCAAGTAAGAGTGGTAGGATCGTAAGCAACTTGACTTGGCAGCAAAATTCCAATTTGGAGTCGCAGCTCCACAAATTCATTTCCTGGATCATGGCACCTGCGTTTGTGGTTTTGAGTCCATTTTGCTATTCTGATTCGGTGACCTCCTGGTTCTTGCTTCAATTGACGATGTCAGCTGAGGACTGTGAATGCTTGAAACCAATTTACCTTACTGTAAAAGAAGAAGAGAGCAGAGCTATTCTGGTTGTGCTCTTTCTTCCTGTATTTGTAATACCATTAACCAGAACTAAGCAGGGCAGAATAATGATTTCACTGTTTACATGCCTTGGTTTGTTTGTTTTTTGTAAATGCAGCGTTATGCCTGACCAGGGAGCATTTTGACTGTGGCCTCATAGCACTGATTCATGTCCAGTGCATCTCCCACCATGAGCTAAAATGATTCTGTTGCCCTTCTCTCTTTGACTCTCCTGCCCCACTGCTGTGCTCCCCTCACCAATCCAGTATTTGTGCCCGTTGCTTGCAGTTCAGCCCCCATGCGAACCTCTTACATGAGTCGTGATTTATTTATATTGACCCAGTTTTTTCTCATTTATGAAAAGCTATTTATGCTAAGGGTTTTAATCCTGCTGTTATCTTCTCAAGAATCCAAGATCCCTCTTAGGTTTGTACCAGCCACAAATTTGATCAGCCCAATCTCCAGTCTACATTCCTTGACACTAATGAATAAGGATATTGAACAGCAGCGGACCAGTAAATGAACTTCTGCGGAAACCTGGTGCAGGAACCAACCTCCAGCTGGGCTCGTTTTGCTGTTGGTTGCTGAGGAGCAGGAGCAGAGCAGCAATGGGGATGCTGAGTCATCCTTGAGTCATCAGCTCCTAAAACCATAGGTCAACCAAGGGACAAAGATTTAACAGCACTGCAAAATTGGGCAGAGTGTTTGGTACATTTCAACAGCTGGGGATTTTTTGGTACAGTGGTACCTCAGGTTACATACGCTTCAGGTTTCATACGCTTCAGGTTATAGACTCCGCTAACCCAGAAATAGTGCTTCAGGTTAAGAACTTTGCTTCAGGATGAGAACAGAAATCATGCTCCGGCAGCACGGCAGCAGCAGGAGGCCCCATTAGCTAAAGTGGTGCTTCAGGTTAAGAACAGTTTCAGGTTAAGAACTGACCTCCAGAATGAATTAAGTACTTAACCCGAAGTACCACTGTATATACCAGCCCTATCCAAGTCTGTATTTCTTAGGGGAGAAATAAGCAATGTGCCTGTAGCAGCTAACATGGGAGCAATATGGAGCTATTGCTAAAGGTAAAGGTACCCCTGGCCATTAGGTCCAGTCACAGACGACTCTGGGGTTGCGGCACTCATCTCACTTTACTGGCCGAGGGAGCTTCTGGGTCATGTGGCCAGCATGACTAAGCCGCTTCTGGCGAACCAGAGCAGTGCACGGAAACACCATTTACCTTCCCACCGGAGCAGTACCTATTTATCTACTTGCACTTTGATGTGCTTTTGAACTGCTAGGTTGGCAGGAGCTGGGACCGAGCAACGGGAGCTCACCCCGTCACGGGGATTCAAACCACCGACCTTCTGATCAGCAAGCCTGAGAGGCTCAGTGGTTTAACCCACAGCGCCACCCGCTACCCATTCACAAATCTGTTCCATCATGCAGCACATAGTTAAGCCATGGAAGTTACTCAGGTAGGAGGCTGTGATGACCACCAACTTGGATAGCTCAGTCAGTAGAGCATGAAACTCTTAATCTCAAGGTCATGTGTTCGAGCCCCTTGTTGGACAAAAGATTCCTGCAGGAGCATCTCTCAGGGTCCTTTCCAACTCTACAGATCTATGAAGATTCCACAAATAAATCAGAACAAATGTTCAATAACGACCAGGCATAGTCTAAGCTTCGGGCAAGCAGTTAAAGACAAATCTCGCTCAATAGGTTGTCTGGAGAAGCCCACAGCAGCCTACAATCAATTTGTAACAATTATAACGATAATTGCAGGAAATTCCTTGCTTTGTCAAAATGGTGGGCTCAAAACAGGCCTCATTATGAGACTCCAGCGGTGCTTTCCGGCATCCATTTGAATACCTCCAAAAAAATGTTCTGGGTACAGATGGCCATCGACATCTTCCATTTGACAACAAACTTACCATGTGCATATAACCATCTGCTGATGTGGCGAAATCTTCTTTACCACTTGGCAGGATGAGAGAGATGACTAAGCGCCCCAGGGAGAGAGCAAACACCCCAAGGTCATTAGGTCACTTCGGTTCCATCCTGCCAAATAGGAAAGCACAGCGCCAAACAGATGACCAAGCTGCTACCCCAAGGAGAGGGAGTTCCCTCTTGCATCTTTGCTGTGCTGCCTAGGTGGTGATGGGCTGGATATGGGCCTGTAAACTGGGGGGGGGGGGGAACCCTCATAAAATACAGAGGTTTTATGTGTCCCAGGTCCTCATGTCTGAGAGATGGGAAGATGGCCTGCTATGGACAGGATTACTATCCCCTGGAAGCAGCAGGTCTGCAGTGTTGGAGCGCTCCTATCACTGACTGGAGGTTCAAGTGACTTGCAATGCCTTTTTTCCAGTTACAGCTGGTTCTCCAGCTACAGTCCCTGCTGGAAGGAGGTGACTTGGCCCCTGTGCTCCATGCTCTGGCAACTTCCAGATTAGGTTTTTATAATGTGTTCTACAGGAGGCTGTCCTTGAAGATGACTCACTTGGTCCAAAATGCAGCAGCTAGATTACTGGCAGGGGTTCTTTTCAGATCTCATGGAACTCCTGTTTTAAAGCAGCTGTACTGGTTGCCAGTTCGTTTCCCGGCCTAGTTCAAGGTTTAAAGCCCCAAAGAACTTGGGTCTCAAATACGGGAAAGGCCTTGTCCTCTCCTACAGACCCTCTCAGGTGCTAAGATTGGTGGAGGGTGCCTACCTGGTTGTTCCACCACCCTCAGAAGCTCAGGCAGGAGTGGGCAAGAGAGATCATTCTCGGTGGCAGCCCCTAAGTTGTGAAACTTTCCACAGAGGTAGGCGTGTCTGTCCCCTTCATTATACAGCCTCCTACTGACTCAGACCCTTGGCCCATCTAGCTCAATACTGTAGAGACTAGCAGGCAGCTTCTCTCAAGGATTTCAGACAAGGAGTCTCTCCTAGCCCTAACCGGAGAGGCCAGGAATTGAGCCAGATTGGTTGCTCTGACCCTTCCTGTAAAGAAGCTTGCACGAAGTAGCTCCGAGTTGTCCTCCCATTCTTGTCCTCCATTTTGACCTCTCATGGCTGCTGTGCTGTTTACTGAAGTAGATGAGTTCTTTCACTGGGCAGGGTCCAGATACACTCATATTTTTCCTTCTTTGAATGCATGGTAATCTGCTTTAAAAAAATGCTTGGGGTACTGCCTAAATGTTGTAGAAACCTTGCGTTGATCACAACCACCATGGGATAGAGATATCATCTGAAAGCATCCATCACTGAAACACACACACACACACACACACACACACACACACACACACGAAGTGAAGAAATGATTGAGGGTTCTGTGAATTGCAGATGTCGGGGCGCTAACATAAATTTCCTCCGTTTGCTTGTCAAGCCTTTTGGTTAGCTCATTAGGTTGTCAGGACTCCGCATCTTTCCTGAGATATGAAAATAAAACAGACATTGGCATGCAAAAGCCTTTTTGGTGGTTGAGCTGACTCCAGCCTCCAGAGTTTGAAATGACTCAGAAGTTTTTTTTTGGGGGGGTGAGCACATTGTGGTTAAAAAACAAAGATCGGTCCAGACATAGACGTCTCCCCCCACCAACCCCCCGCAAAACCTAATGGCGTATTTGCAGATTGCTGTTTTCCCTTCTTGTGGTTATTGCTTATCAGAGAGGGATGCAGTACACAGAGGGGTGACTAAACTGAGAGCTGAGAGCAGCTTAGCATGGCTCCTGCCGGCTTGTGCAAGGCTTTCTTCTATCCATTTAGGATCTAGGTCTGGGAAGATATTTAACTGCAAAGTAGACACATTGACTTTCAGAAAACTGTTGACAGAGAAACATGACTTGCAATGGCCATGAGATCACTAGAGAAATATGTCATATTTGGGAAAGTAGAGAAGACTATTTCGACCATATTGTTTCAGAAGCCTTCACACACTATGGGATCAAAATCACCGTAGTCATAACAAAGATGATTATCAATGCCCCACATCTGCCCGCCTGTTCTCTCCTTGCAAACTGCTTTGTCAGCGTGGGCAGAAGAGGACCCAGCAGAATAAGAAGAAGGTAATAGACTGTGGTTGCAGATCATACAACCCTCCATTTATGAAACAGCCCTCACCTTGTGGGTACAAATTACTGCTCCAAGAAGCCATCAGAACCTATGTGGTAACTTCAGCCATTGTACCAATTCTCCTTCTCATCTCACACCTTTTTGCATGTGTAGCAACCAAGACTACTGTGCCTGACAGATTCAGAAGCAGAATTCAGAATTTGGGTATGAATATGGGCATGCAGAGGAGAGCGGAAAGCCTCTCACTAGCCCTCTCATCCAGCTCCAGCCTATGTCTGCTGCCAAATATCCATCCGTATCACTACCATTGTGTGGATATCTCATTAGAAATCATCATTATGCATTCACAGGCAAACTTTGGAGGAACTTCTGCAAGAGACTGTTCCTTCAGCCCACAGATCCTTGAGCAAATCTCAGCATGTATTCATCCAGAATTGAGGGTCACACTATTAGCTTGGATAGCACTAATTGCACACTGGGAGAAGGGGGGAAACCAGGGCCCTGCACCCCCTCTCCCCAAGATGATCAGCACCATCACCTGATGGGAAGGTGAGAAAGAAGCGCTTTGCCAACCCTATGTGCAGTTCTTCCTAAAGGACTGTGCATAGAGCTGGCAAGACCTTCTTGTGCTGTGGTTCCCAAGTTCCAGCCAGCTGGTTTTCAGTTGGGAACCCCATGCACAGGATTTTGACGGGTGTGGTGCCATGTGATTGACAGGTGGGTTGCCCTGCCCACCTGTCAAAGTCAATCCACAGGGTAGCCAAAAAAGGTTCCCCCACCCGTGTTAAAAGCTGTGCGCTGCCCCCCATGCCCGATCCAGCACAGCCCAGGCAGTGGCTGTTGGATTTCTTAAATTCTTGTGAGCTGTGTGTCTAAAAGCTAATCCAGAGGGCAATCTGAGGGGGTCTTCATTCCGTTCATTGATCAGCCATGTCGGATAAGGGCGGAAGCATCTACCCCTTTTGGGCTCCCTTTTGGCAAGGCCAAACGTTAACATCTTTATTCATCGCATCTCTTGGTTTTCTACTGCAGGAGAGGCCACAACTCCAGGAGGAGACTGCAGACGCTAAGCGCCGTAGACAGAAACAGACCGTCATCTTTTTCAACTAAGTGCTGTTCCCGCACTCCCTGGGTCTGGTGAGCAGATAACATCTCAAGAGTGTCTGCTTTTCCATGCAGGGGCTCATCTGTGCAGGAGGCAAATTTCTTCAGCTGTCCCACTTTTTCTTTTTCAGGGAGGAGAATCAAGCACATTGTACTCCTCTGGATAAGGCTGCCTATGTAAATCCCTCGGCTTACATGTGATGTTATCTGCATGATGCAAGAAAGGAGCTCTCTGCTTTTGGCATCCATGAAAAACTTGAATACAGTGGTACCTCGGGTTACATACGCTTCAGGTTACATATGCTTCAGGTTACAGACTCCGCTAACCCAGAAATAGTGCTTCAGGTTAAGAACTTTGCTTCAGGATAAGAACAGAAATTATGCTGCGGTGGTGTAGCGGCAGCAGGAGGCCCCATTAGCTAAAGTGGTGCTTCAGGTTAAGAACAGTTTCAGGTTAAATACGGACCTCCGGAACAAATTAAGTACTTAACCCGAGGTACCACTGTACTCTGGGCCAGAAAACACTGAAGTTTTCAGGGTGGGTTCCAGGTTTCAGGGGCAAAGTGAGAGTCAGTGCAATGACTCCTGGGTTTAACTAACCACCAGTGAAGTTTCCCACCGTGGTTTAACACCCAACCCCTCTTCCCAGGGAACCCTGGGAATTGTTAATCCGTGAGGGGAAGTGGGGGGGGGGGAGGTCTCCTATCAACTCCCAGCACCCTTAACAAACTACAGCTCCCAGCATTCTTTGGGAGGGAAGTCATGACTGGTTAAAGCGGTAGCGTAGCACTTCCAATGCATGGCGTGAATGTGGCCATTGTGTCTTTTTAAAAGCGTACCTGCTTTCTGACCCAGGGCAGTCTCCGGATTTTACTCCCCATACACTGTGAAATGGAAAAAAAATAAGCTGTTTAATTTGGCAGAGATTAATTATTGTGAGAAGGGCATAAAGCAGGCTGTTGTGGGTGGGGGAGATGCTGGAGGGGGCACATGGCTGGCAAAATGGGGGCTGGGGGAGAGAAGTGAATGAAGCTCGGAGGTACAATGTCTCATGCAGAAATTGGTTTTATTTTTAGCCTCCCAAGCCCTGGCTCCACCACGGTTTCTTAATTACCATATTATTTCGCTGCTCAATGAAACCCAGATGGCTGTTCTGTGCTGTGGGCCAAGAATTTAATAGGGCTTCATGTATGGTGGTACATCACAGAAATAAAAACATGGAAATTATTTTTTAAAGAACAGCAGCCCTGCTGGAACGATACTGAGTGGCCCGGGGCCAATGGGTGCATTCTGGGCAGTGATGGAACGTTTTCGTTCTGAGCAGGCTTCTTAATGGCAAAGATGTACTTTGGAGGAGCTGCCGTGAGCCTAAACATAATGTTTAGAGTCCCCATTGGCGCTGTGACAGGCTCCTTGGCCAGGAGCCACCTCATCAAAGCTATCAAAAAGGGTGGGGGAGGAAGTTGGAAAGTCCCCAGGGAGACACCCAAAGCATTTTCCAAAATGGCAGGTTGCTGGTATGGGGACATAAAGGTTACCATGTGGTGCAGCAGTTAGAAAAGGTGTGAAGAACCTTTTGCCTTCCAGATGTTGCTGAACTACAACTTCCATCAACCCTCGACACGGGCTTGCAGGGGCTGATGGGAGTTGTAGTTCAGTGACATCCAAAAAACCACACTTTCCCCACTCTTGAACGTTGGACTTGGCAGACCCTGGCTCAAATTCCCACTCAGTCATATGAAACCCACTTGATCTAGTATGTTCTGGGTGGGCAGACATAACCCACCTTCGAGTTAGTATGCTATAATGTTGTTATGGCAAAATAAGTTTCTGCTGGTTCTCACCCACTTTCTCAGATGCCCACAAACAGCTGAATTAGTCTGGGGGGGATGGACAGACAGACTGAACTCTCTAATAGAGCTGTCAGCCAATTGCAGCATTTTTGCCAATTAACTGCTTTCGAAAAGTTACAATAAATGACTGTGGAAAACCTTAATTGGTCGGATTAATTTAAACTAATTGCAGAACGCAAGCGAGTGGGGCAGATGTCCCTGACAACAGGTTTTAGTGTGGAAAACATTGTTGTAAACAACAACAAAAAAACAGAGCCTGGGCCAGCTCAGTTCCACTTCCTTCCTGCCTCTGGAAAGCTCTGTAAAGGAAGTCTAAGATGAATTTGACAACACCAGCAGGAATCCTGAGCAAGACCTTCACACCAGTAGAGTCACACCGTTGTCACTCTGCAGTTGGAGGCTGCCAGGAGACCAGCAGGGCTGGGCAGTGGGACACACTAGCCCAGCACAAAAGGGGTTTTGTTATTCCCTAATGTGCCACAAGACTCTCGGTTCTTTTTGCTGAGATGGGCAAACAAAGCTACCCCTTTGGAAACCCTTGCAAACAATTTAACCAAGAGCACCTCTTAATTTGGTCAATCGCCAACTAACCAATAGGGACGGGGAGGGGGGAATGCAGGAGAAACAGGTGTCTGCAGTTATTTTCTTCTGCTCACCAGAGCTTTTATGTGCTCAGGGGTTTGGCAGCCATTACATGCAACAACCCTGAGTGTGAAACCATACGTTCAATCCTTGGCTGCCTCCTGAGTTGTCCCTGTATGATACATGTTTCCTCCCACAAGTTTTTGTCTCATTCAGCCACATTTTTAAGCATTTGCTTCAAGAATCTTAGAGGTGGTCCACCAGGTGTAATGGATGAAGATGTGAGAGAGAGCCAGTATGGTGTAGTGGTTAAGAGCAGTAGACTCATAATCTGGGGAACCGGGTTCGCATCTCCACTCCTCCACATGCAGCTGCTGGGTGACCTTGGGCTAGTCACACTTCTCTGAAGTCTCTCAGCCCCACTCACCTCACAGAGTGTTTGTTGTGGGGGAGGAAGGGAAAGGAGAATGTTAGTCGCTTTAACACTCCTTCGGATAGTGATAAGGTGGGATATCAAATCCAAACTCCTCCTCTTCTTCTTTGTATCCCCTAGCAATAGGGATTCCATGAGCAGGGAGGGACTTCCTTCCTTCCTTCCTTTGCTTGAGAAAGATTTCCACCAACACCCTCCATCTAAGGTCCAACTCTACATGAGAGGTTTTGGAACTGGCAGGTAATGCCTCCAAGGATCTCAAGGTAAAACGTATCACTCCTCGTCATTTGCAGCTTGCTATTCGTAGTGATGAGGAATTGGATTCCCTTATTAAAGCTACTATTGCTGGGGAGGTGTAATTCCTCACACCCACAAGTCTCTGATTGGAAAGAAGGGGCAGCAGAAAACTGCATAGAGAGGAGTTCTAAACAACCCTCTTCCTCGCTGTCATTGTACTGTAACTGGGACAGAAGAAATATGGGGATATGCTGATATATTTTTTTTTTAAAAAATAGTTAAATGGAAGAGCATAGACAAATGATTGTAGACTTAAAACATTTGTATGTTCTTTAGATTCAAAGTTTGACACAAAAGTACCTTGTTATGCAGCAGCAATTTATGTGTTGATTGGCTAGGTTTCTCCCATGTGTTTTATACAAAAATGGAACTGATAAAACCATTTTTTTTTACAAAAAAGGGGAAAAAAGAAAAGTGAAAATGCAACCATCTATTCCTGTGCTGAAAATGCTTGACAACAATTCTAAATATAAAAGGGGAAACCAAACAAAAGGGTCTATTTCTCAAAAGAAAGCAGGTGACATCATGAAGGCACATAAAAGAACAAAAAGCAGTCCAGAAAATTACACATCACCCTTTCAGTCCCCCTCCCACAAGAGCTTAATTTAACCATTGTTATTATAATTCAAGCATGAGCTCAACTGCTGTCATTTTACGGTTGAGGCTCAAGCATCCACTGATGTTAAAGACAGGGAGGAAGAGCACAAATATCACAGCCGGTCAGAAACCAAGTAGAAGTCATGAGTCTAGACAGACCACAAGCAGCCCAAACAATGCACAGCAAGCGCACTGGACCCACCCGCCTGTCTTTGCTGTGCTCTATTTAGGCATGGCACCACCTAGATAACACATTTTAAAATAACGCTACATTTCAGAAAGCTCCTCCTCCCATTCCGTAGAACTGTGTATGATTTGTGCCGGTGTATAATTGTATGGGGTAAGATCCAAAGAACCACACAGCTGTGCTCCAAATGCTCAGGGGTGCTCTGGAGTCATGCATGCCACAGACACAGCCAACCATTTTGGAAAATGAACATTAGTTCCGCGATATGGTACAAAGGAAACTGCCTTATACCAAAATAGACTACTGGCCCATCAAGCTCAGGGGTGTCTGGGGTTTCAGGTAGGGATCTTTTCCAGCCCTTTCGGGAGATGCCAGGATCAAGCCTGCATGCAAAACTGATTTACAGCCCTCCCCGTGCTCCCACAGTGTACGTGGGAAGGCAAGAGACTGTTGCAGTAATAAAGAAAAGTCAGAGATTCCACCAGGTATGCAGAAATCCTTGGGCACACCAATGGTAGCCATTTGCCTCTTGGCCGTAATGGCTAAGTGGTAGAAGGAAGGAAGGAAGGAAGGAAGGAAGGAAGGAAGGAAGGAAGGAAGGAAGGAATCTATCCAAGCATAGATCAATAAATTGCACCATATCAATGTGACAATACATTCAAGTAATCATGATAGGTAATAAATATATTCAGAATAAGTGTCCGATAGGACAAGTGGTTCCAAACCCATTCTCCTGAAACACAAACTGTCCCATGAGCACAAAACCAACTGCTTGAACCAAACTGCTTCAAGCACCAGGATTTGTAGTATCCTTTGAGAATCAACTCTTATCTTCCTAGACCTGCTTGGCAAACCCAATGTGGAAGCACCTGTTTCAAAAGGGAAAAGGCAGTTCTACCTGAAGAATGGGGGACCATGGACCTCCATGTGAGAAAAGGCCAGATGTTGCACCTAGTTCCTGACGGTTACGCTGATCACCTGGGCAAGTAGCTCCTGCCCTCAGGAAAATCCATGAACCAACCTTCTGCCCAGGATTCCATACTCCCTTGTAGATCCTTGGCTGAAGTGACAGCAGGCCTAGAAACAGAACACCATAGAAGGCAAGGCTCCAGGGCAGAATGTGGACCTCTTGAAGACCTAGTCACAACCCACTGAAGAGAGGGGCTAGGAAGGCTAATCAGGGCCTGTTGGTCTCTGTAGCTCAGGGGTCGCCAAGCTTTTTGAGTCAGTGGCCATATTTGGAATTTTGAGAAAGTGTCAGGTGTGCTTGTCACAAAATGGCTGCCATGGAGCTGCAGCATAACACAAAATGGTAGCCACATCTGAAAGATCAGAGAAAGAGGCAAAATGACGGGGCATGCCTGCCGCCAGTGGGGGGGGGGGGGGGAGTCACTTACAATTAGCTACTACCACACTTGTTCTTTGAGAGAATCTTGCACACATTTCCTCTGTTCGGTCCTAGAATCCAGTGAAACATAGGCATGTTTAAGAGGGGTGTTCAGTGTAGAAGAGACTGAGGTAGGGCAAACAGGAATTGAACAGGAAGAGGAAACAGATTTTTGAGGTAATGATTACGGAGACCTTCCATGGGCACTATAGGATGCACTCCTGCAGGTGCCACATTGCCATGGCAGCTTGTGGGCAAGCAATTGTCCACTGCCCCTTAGAGAGTTCAGGGTCTGACATATCCGACGTCTGACTTAAGTCTCTTCCCTCATTATCTACCTTCTTCCTGCTTCCTTTGCTGACCATTAGCAGCAACTGCTGTTAACTCCCAACAGCCAAAACAGGCCCAGCAGACTCCAGCCAGTACCTGCAGGTCCCAGTCAACCAAACCTTGGACCAGCTAAACAAATAAATCTCTCACATATATTGGAAGGAACAAATCATACCAAAATTAGACCAGTCTGCTGCTGAAAAGTAAATACAGTTATAGCACATTAAAATTATATAGAATATGGCTGTGCGTCTGTTTTTTAATGTCTTCTACTTTTTCTAGAAGTTGCCAAGGCAGCCCCTACAATTTTATCCCTTCGCAGTCATTTCTGTATTTAATATTCTTCAGATTCCTTCAAACACATGTGCCTGATTCTGTATTTATTAAATTCAGTGGTGATGGAAAGAGAAAGAGAGAGAGAGAGAGAGAGAGTCATAGGATCATAGAACTGTAGAGTTGGAAGGGTTCCCTAGGGTCATCTAGTCCAACCCCCTGCAATGAAGGAATATTTTTATTGCAATCAAGGTAACCTTCACACGCACACCCCAGTTAATGCTATGACATAGAATATGGCTTTCTTTACAAACAGGGGAAGTCATTTTCATTTCTTAGGGAACTGTGATGATTAGGTGCAGAGATCTGCTATGACCCAGTCCCCCATTACAATATGGTTCTCATTAGTTGACCTCCTGAGGAGAAGCGAGTGGAAATTACTGCTAAGAAATTCAGTTAAATAGCAACCTGAACACACAGTGCAGCAATCAGATAACAGCTTTGTTTAGTGCTCATATTTCTTGCCTGTGCGTTTCCTTTTACGTTTCCAAAGCCACACATTGGTTCTGCGAATGGCCAGGAGGAACTTTTTGTAGATTTCGGTAGGACGCAAAAAGACTTCATTGGTGGTACAGGAGAGGATTATTGGTGAGATCTGAAGACCCACTTTTGCATGTAAGTTTTAAACTGCAAGTGGATTGCAAGGACTTTCATAATACCTTGAAATGATTATTGACCCGGTCACTCTTTTCAAAGCAAAGTTGGTTTTAAGGGAAAGTTTGTGCATCTGGAGATTACGCCAAAGTATACAGGTCTGTATAATTGTTCCTAATTTCCAGATCCAGATCCAGCAAATTGTCCTGAAATGCAGGTGCTCCCGAATGTTGATCACATGAGGTCTGAATCCCAGGAAGGGGTCACTTTGGTGGGGAGGCTGACCTTATCATCTTTCTAGGATTCCAGCAAGTTAAGGTCAATTTCATTTGGTCCACCGCAAGCTGTGTCCCTGATTGGTGAGTAGGAATTGAATGTCTCCCTTCAAAGACCGAAATGACATTTCACAGTGTTAAGTGCCAAGCTCTGCTTCGGCCTTAAACATGCCGTGCTGCATATTTCTGAAACAAGAGTTTCTGTCTGTTTGCTGTTAGGAAACCTTCTCTTCTCGCCCACCATGCTTCAACTGTTCCTTCTGGTAACAACCTCTCCTTGGCAAGGTCCCAAATTCCACGTCAGGGATTGAGAACTAAGACATATGAGCAGTTGGAACTTCGAAAAGCCAGTTTACTAATGCTGTGACAATGAGAACTATTCCTTTTGCTCCAGGTCTCCTGTTCAGCTCCGAGGGCACACTTTGGATACAGGACTTTGTCATTGCAAGGCCTTCTCCATTCTACTCAAGCTAAACACTGGAATATGCAAAACAAAGGAGGGAGCTATTTGGAGGCAAAGCTTTTTGTGACACCATTGAGAAACCAGAACTAGTTTCGGCATACCTCTAATTAATCATTTTTTTAAACCCACCTTCGAAGCTGTGGGTTGTTCATTAAATCTAAGAGCCAGTGAAAGGCAACATTACCTTGTAACAGAATTCAGTAAATCAACTTGCCCCTGTAATCTGAAATGGATTTGGGCATAGTTCTTTCTTTCCAGCATTTCTTGGGTCTGAAATGGCAGAAACTGACCAGGAAAGAAAATACGGAAGTCATTCATGCTCGATGAAAATTTTGACCTAGTGTGCAGCAGCTGAGAAAAAGACAAATTGCACGCTAGGGAACATTAGAAGAGGGATTGAAAATAAAACTGCCGATACAATAATGCCTTCTACAAATCTATGGTGCGACCACACTTGGAATACAGTGGACAGCACTGGTCAACTCAGAAAGGGTATTGTAGAGCTGGAAAGGGTTCAGAAGAGGACAACCAAAACAATGAAGGGAGTGGAGCAACTCCTTATGAAAAATGGTTACGATGTTTGGATCTTTTTCGTTTAGGCCATGGGACCGTTAAGTGCTGGTGGTGGAGACATGATAGAGGCATATAAGATTATGCAATGTGTGGAGAACATGGATGAATCAAAGTTCCTCTCTCATAATATTAGAAATTGGGGAACATCCAATGTTGGAAGGTTCAGGATAATCCTTCACACAGCCCATAGTAAAACTCACAGAGGCAAAAACCATCCATGGCTACTAGTCACAATATGTTCTACTTCTTCCACTTTTGAAGGCCGTATGTTTCTGGAAACCACTGGGGGAAGAAGAGTCCTCTTGCACTCAAGTCCTGCTGGTGTCCTTCTCAGAGGCATCTGGCTGGGCACTGCGAGAACAGGATGGTGTAAGAACAGCATGGCCCCGATCCAGCAGGGCTCTTCTCAGGTTCTGATAGGGAAAGCCAACTGATCAAAACTGTTTTTCTTATAGGGAAAGTCAACTGATCAACTATATCAAAGCCAACTGATTAGGTACATACATATATACTGGATTATGAGCTCTTACCTACACTTATTGCCCTGCTACTTGCCCCTGGAAAAACTCAAATATTTACCGCTGAATTGGAGCAAACGTCAATCAGGTTTTCTCCAGATGGATGTTTGCTCCAATTTAGCACCAAAGAGTGGGTTTCTTGGCGAAATGAGAAGGGGCAAAGACAACACCACTCAGACGCTTGCCTCTCGCACTGGTGCCATCTGTGCATGGAACAAGCAGAAATGTGGACGAGCCCTAAGTGTTTCTCCGCCAAGGGAACTTTCAACACGCATCCTGACCCTCCATTTCATCTGCATAGATGCAGATCTCCTCTCTATCTTCCACAGGCTCTGTAGGTACACCACTTTCCCAGTCATTCTGGCAAAAGGCATTTTCCATTGTTAGCAGAGAAGCTGCTGGCACACACAACATTGTCGTCCACCACCACCACAGAGGAGGGAATATTGCTGGAGCATTTTCACCCCAAATTCCACTGCTGATGAAAAAGATTTGGTAATAAGGAATCAGGGATGCCCTCCTTTTTTCCCTGGAGTAATTGGAGCTTGCAGATTTTATGAGCTCTTGCCTGGGTGTGGGACATTTGGCAGGAGCGGAAGTTGCTTCCTGGCAGTTATTTGCGATGCAAGTGATAAGCAATTCCCCAAAGAACTTGGAGGCTGTCCGATGGGCAAGCTGCTAATCTAGTGAGTGAGATCACGTTATTCCACTTGGAGGTTATTTTTAAAATGGATTTCGTTCAGCCAACATGTGGCTATATATAAACATTTTGGTGTTACGGGGGGAAAGCAAGTGAGAAAGCTAGCAGCGTTTTCGCTTTACACAAACATTGCAGTGGAGTTTAGGTGCTCTCTCTCTCTCTTACTCCTTCCATCTACTTCCTAAAACTCCCTCCTGAACTAACTGGTTTCATTTATGCTCCGTTCCCCCCCCCCCAAATCCAAAGAATTGGCTGTTTGAAATTAGTAACATAGCAAGCTGCCTTCTCCAGAGTCAGAACATTGCTCCATTTAGCTCAATTCTGCCTACACTGGCTGGCAGCAGCTTTCCAGGGTTCCAGACAGGAGTCTGCCCTAGCCCGACTTCGAGATGTCAGGATTGAGCTTGGGACCTTTTGCAGGCCAAACAGATTCTTTCCCACTGAGCTACTGCTCCTCCGCTTTGTCTCATTAAACTGCGTTTTAATGGTATAAATAAAATACCCTGGAGGGAGAGGGAAGCTGAAAGCTCAAGAAAGGAGACTTATCAAAGCCACCTAATGCTGTGGGTCTGGTGAATGAAGAGGAAGCCTCCAGGTGATGTCATCCCAGCTTTCCATTTACACCGATAAGATCAAAAGCGTGGACTTCCGAAGCAATTACGGCTTAATTAATTGCACAGGGAGGCTAGAGCAAGGCTTCCAAAGATCTCTGCTGAGTGACAGGGGCATGGCTGGAGGGGAAGTGGGTAGTTATTTCACAAAAGGGCCATTGTTGGGAAAGTTTATAATCTGCTCTTTTGTTTAATTCAATCCTCATGCATCATCGCCATCCTCCGTGGCCTCCTCCCCCCCCCCCCACGAAACAAAAGATCTGCAGGCTTGGGAGGTTTTTATTCATATCCTTAACCTCACTAAGGTCCGATTCTAGCTTATGCTAGATGATCTGCGGCTGAGGCTCGGGTTTTGCTGCTGTTTTCGCTTCACAAGTTATCACCATAGCACAGTGGCCCAGATGCAGCGAGGCAATTTTCGGGAAGTGATTGAGATGCCTTGACACAGGCTGACTGCAAAGTAGTAGTAGCATCTGCAGGAATGGGTCCCTACCACCCGGTGCCTGTGAAAGGGAAAACCTTTAAAGTAGGGGTGGCTAACAACCACAGTTCAGGGGTCTGATCTTGCCTCTTAAGCACTGTTTTCTGCTCCCCTCCCCTTCCGCTCCAAGAGCTCACTGACTTTGACAGCGGCAAGAAAAACTCATAGCACCTGAACTTGGAGACAGCCAATGAAGCTGAATGTTGTTGGAAGGTTCACAGCAAAAGAAAGTACTTCTTCACATAAGGGAAAGAAAAAGGTAAAGGAACCCTGGATGGTTAAGTTCAGTCAAAGGCAACTATGGGATTGTGGCACTCATCTCGCTTCTCAGGCCGAGGGAGCCGGCATTTGTCCACAGACAGTTTTCTGGATCTTGTGGCCAGCATGACTAAACCGCTACTGGTGCACAGAGGACAGTGACGGGTGCTAGAGCGCACGTTTACCTTCCCGCCACAGCGGTACCTATTTATTTACTTGCACTGGTATGCTTTCAAACTGCTAAGATGGGATAGAACAACGGGAGCTCAACCCGTCGCGCGTATTCGAACAGCCAACCTTCCAATCAGCAAGCCCAAGAGGCTCAGTGGTTTAGACCACAGCGCCACCCATGTCTTCACATAGCATGTAGTTAAAGTAATACAGTATATAACAGTTGCCTTGCAAAGAAATGCAGGCTCAGTTCCACGTTCCAGATGGTGACTAGAGAAGCAGGATAAGCAGATTTTGCAATACAAACCAGAACTGTGTGCACGCAAGCACACACATGTACAGTGCACCTCCATAAATATGATACAGCAACTTCCTTTTATTCCCGAATTACAATATATCTTCTGACAGTTCACAAGTGTCTACGGGAGTAAGATTCTAGCTTTTGGACAGTTGCATTAGAAACAGCTAATAGAAACGGTCTGCTACATATTGTACCAAGTCCATTATTCAGTGACATCACCTGTAAATTATTCAAATGCTAAAAAACAAATATTTAAAAATCCCACCGGAACAATAAAATTCTGCATCAGATGTTTCACATTTGAGAAGGAGAGCCACGCTGCTTCCTTCCCAGAAGCAAGATATTTGGCACATGGCTTTCAGAGTTTGTAGTTGTGGCAGAGCTTACTCCAAAGTGGGGCGGGAACCCCAATATGATTTACACCATTGGTTGTGGGTATGATGATTGACATCCCTTCTGTTTCCCATTATTCTAACCCAAGCTTTTGATCCTTCCTTTCCATTCATGTATTGTTTGAAATGTTGTATGCATTGTCTTTTTTCGTTACCATCCGCATAAAATTGCAATCCTCCAAATTCATAAGGCAGGGTTGTTGTTGTTGTTTTGCAAGTACCTGGTTTCCTTTTTCTGTTGCACCTCACCTAATTTCCAACACAGCTGGCACTACTTGTTTAGGTAAATGCTGTGGAACCTGTGTTCCCTCCAGATTTAAAGCTGCAACTTCTTCAGCTTGAGCCAGCAAGTCTAAAGGGCAGAGATGATGGGAGGTGCATTGAACCAACACCTGAAGAGTCACAGCTTCTCTGTGCCCGATACAGGCATTAAAAAGCAAGAGGATTAAAAGAGAGAGAGAGAGCCACACATAAGAGATAAACACAGAACAGAATTCAGCTTCTTGGGAATCTCTGTTTTTTATTTTTTTTTAAGGCATCTTTCTGGTTCTCATGGGTGCAAAAGTATGCTTGGGAGCATGCTGCTGGGCTTCTAGCAAACCCAAAATAAAGCATGCAAACACTGGAGAAATGATGCAAATCTGATCACTAAGTCGCACACTTCAGACTACCTGGGCAAAGAAATTTCTTTTCTTTTTTTAAAAAAGCATGCTCTGTGCAATGCAATGGGCTTAAGGCTTTGGAAGAAGGGAGCTCTGTTACATTCTAAGGCAGGAATGGGAAACCTGTGGCTCAACAGATGTTGCTGGACCACAACTCCCATAATTCCTCTCCATTGGATATGTTGGCAGGAGCTGGTGGGAGTTGGTGCCCATTGACATCTAGAGGACCAAAGCTTCCTCCACTTCTCTGTTCTGTGAAGACCCCTGGTTTTAGGAAAGTGGGCGTTCTCTGCATCTCTCCATGAGGACCATTTGAGCATCACAGGAGCATCCTTGCAGACTCTGTGCTGCCCCATCTGCAACAGCCCCTCAGTACAACATGAGGCTCAGACATTGAAACAGGAAATCTTTAGTGCACCAGAATGAACAGAAATGGGCCCAGCTGTGCACAGGTGGACCTTTACATTTAGACCCTTCAGTTGCTGCAAATTTCTTCTCCCCGTATTTGAGAGATGCTCTTGCTTCTTCTTTTTATGTCAGATGGACTGTTGCTCAGTGGCAGAGCACTGGCTTCATATGCAAGAAGGTCCCAGGTCATCTGCAGCTGGGATGGAGAGAGCCTTCTGCCCAATACCTCATAGAGCCACTGCTAGTCAGTGTGGACAATATTGAGCTAGATGGACCAAGGGCCTGCTTCATCATCTGTGTCTCCTACTACATTTCCTGAAATCAGATTCTTTATTTCCAGTCCCCCTCCCCCTTAAAACAATTTTTAATGGCCAAAAGGATGGACTGTTTACAACAATTTGACACACTTATTCACTTCTGGCTGCTCAGACATGCCTTTTTGCAGATCAGGGTCTTTCTACTCACTGCCCCAACCAGGTCCACCAGGATGGTGTCACTTTACTTACCCTGGTCCTCAGAACCACAAGCAGAACCTGCACATACAATGTTCTTCCCCTTCCTTCCAACAGGGCAAGTGTGTCAAAAGTGCTTCTTCTGTTATGCAGAACAGTTCCTTCTCTCTAGTGTCCTGCATTTGCTTGTGAACAGAAAGATGTTCCCTTAATGGCCAGTCTAGTCTTTACTTGAACCAGGGATAGGTACCTTGTGGCCCTCCAGCTGTGGTTGGACTCCACCAGCTCCCATTGGGTCCAGCCAGCATGGCTTAATGGACAGGGATGGTGGGAGTTCTGGTCCAGCATTATATGGAGGGCCATAGGTTACCATAGCACGATCTAGACTGAGATTAGAAAGCAATGTGTGCCCAGCAGCCTTCCGCTGCGCTCAGTGGCCAGATGAAGAAAGCACCACACATGAACAAGCATCCTATGTTTTCTCCATCCTATGTTCCATGGGAGAGATATGCAGAGGGACACACCTGTGGACCTCTCCCATTCTTTGTTGAGCCAAACTCTCTAACAGCAGTAGCTTCTTGCACCGTCAAAAAAGGGTACCATACAAATTGAAATCCCCATCATAAAAAATATCAAGAGGTTCACGTGGAAGAAAGAACAAAACGATCCCAAACTGTCCACTTCCAAACGCAGCAATGCCACGTATATTTTTCCTGCACATGCATATTATTTAACACATTAAGTATACATCAGACCTGTAGGGGATAAAAGTCTTTGGGGGTGGGGGTAAAAATAAGGCAGGACAGCTCCCATTTTAGAGGGACTTCGGGGGGAGGGAGAGGGAAGGACACACCACTTGCTTCGACACTCGTCTGCAGTTATCTTAATTTATTTTTATTGTGTCTGAACGAACCCTACGAAAACGTCTTCAAGGCAGCTTAATGTCTTCTTCAGTTCACAGTCCTCCCTTAAGACGTATTTCTCCACATTATATTTATATATAAAAAAAGTCTTTTAAAAAATCCACCTGGAAAAGCAAAGAGAGTGATGCGGCCGTGTGGGGAGAAGCGCTGCGATCCTCGCTGTGCTTTGGAAAAGGCCGGGTCCTAAACAAACTCTCCCCGGAACGGCAGTGAACTTTGGCTCTGCTCCTGCCAGCGGTAGCGAAGCTGGGAGAGCGGCTTGTCCTCCAGCTTCTCAAATTCGGCAAAACCCAGCTGGTTCAGGATTTCATAGACGCCAGCCTTGGCCGCCACCTGGAAGCAGGGAGGGGAAAGAAAAGGAGGGAGGGAAATATGCTCTTAAATTCCTCCATGTATACAGGTGAGCAAGTGTCCACATTGCAGAGGTGGCATGCCTCGTCATTTTGCTGCCTGGGGGGACGGGATGAGACGACATCCTAAGTAAATGACCAGCATATGGGGGGGGGGTGAGAGTGGCAAGGAACAGCAAGGCAGCTCTGGTTCTCTGGAGAGCAACAGCAAAGTCATTTGCAGAGGGTAGGAAAGGAGGAGTGGTCTAAAATGTCCTTTGCAGCTCTTGCAAGAACTGCTTGTATTCATCTTTAGCAGCATGTTGAGGAACACTGCCATATTTTCCTTCCATTTCAGACATGTCTGCAGACAGGTAAGTACTGTTTGTGTGCACACCTAGACCCTGCTCCAATTCAACACGGCTAGTGTTCACAGGTGCTTCCTGCAAGCATCACTTCTGAACTCTGCAGCACTTCATCTTGGGTTTTGTCCTATAGAGGAGGGGCTCCCTAGCCTAGGGGATGGGGCTTCATACAAAATGAGCAATTCGTAGGCTATTCTGAAATCCTTTCCCTTCTGGCTATTGAGACTTCCCCCTGCACCTCTATGCTATCATTTATTCATTTAAAGAATTTCTATCTCTCTTCTGCCACATCACCTTTAAGCATATATATATGTATTTTAAAATCCATCCCATAGTGGCTTCTTGTCCCCACTTTTATGTCTTCTTGCTATTGTTCCTTGTCCCCTTCCCACATCAAGCTTGGACAACCACCCTAATCGGTGCTATTTTTCTAGAAAAAGAAGTGCTGGAACTAATGGCCAGAAAACCTCAAATTGGCTTTACACTTAGAGAGAAAGCACGAATGCATCTGTTTCCTTCTCTGTGTTAACATAAGATTCAGATTGTGGGAAATGTATGCTCTTGCCATTATAAAGTTATTTCACAACAAAAATGCATAGGAGTCAGTATTAAGGAGGCAGTGAGGAGGGGGGCAGACTGATGGGTTATAAAACCTAAGGAAATGCTGTTCCTGGAACATCTGGGATGCCTCCCTGACCCACTTCAGATACATGCTAGAGGAGAGCCCAGAGACTCGTTCAGAGTATGTTTCATCTACTTCTGCTGCAGCAGTGGATTAGGCAAACATCTGCTTTGTTTGTGTTCCTCTCCATGCTTGTTCTTAAGCCACAACTTCCTACCCAAGCACTCCAGTTTCCCTGAAACTTTCATTCATAACCCCCACCCCAATTGCCCGTCCGTTCATCAAACCTTCAGTTGACAGAGAATGACTCCAAGTAGTACAAAATGTATTATAAGGAAATGCTATCTATCTCGGTGGTATGAAAATAGATTTAGTTAAAGACACACACACACACACACACACACAGAGAGAGAGAGAGAGAGAGAGAGAGAGAGAGAGAGACTATTCCATTATTTTCCTCCCTAAGAATTAGCAAATTATACTGCACCTTTCAGATAACCAATAGACTGGGATTCACCGCAGAATCTATTTTCACTATTATCCATGCTTGGTAAAGGTAAAGGGACCCCTGACCATTAGGTCCAGTCGCAGACGACTCTGGGGTTGCGGCGCTCATCTCGCTTTATTGGCCGAGGGAGTCAGCGTACAGCTTCCAGGTCATGTGGCCAGCATGACTAAGCCACTTCTGGCGAAACAGAGCAGCGCACAGAAATGCCGTTTACCTTCCCACAGGAGTGGTACCTATTTATCCACTTGTACTTTGACGTGCTTTCGAACTGCTAGGTTGGCAGGAGCAGGGACCGAGCAACGGGAGCTCACCCCGTCGCGGGGATTCGAACTGCTGACCTTCTGATCGGCAAACCCTAGGTTCTGTGGTTTAGACCACAGTGCCCCATGCTTACCTATTAGAATAGTTCATCTAAGGCTACAAATCTTGCTCCATTTGGGTTTCCCTTTCCCATTTGCAAGCCTGTTTGCTTTCGAAACGTAAGAGATTAGATACGAGACCTGGATACAGGATGGAGTCTTGGAAATACATTCCTCATGTTAATGCAACCTTAGTCAAAATGGGGAATAGGAATGTCGAAAGAAGGACAAGGCCTAGAGTCAAACAATGCATGCATGGCCGCTGACGTTCTTTAGAGCACCCTTTGCCAGCCAGGTGCTGTGCAGATGTTTTGAACTACAACTCCCATCAGCCCCAGGCAGTGCAGCCATGCCACAGCTGGCCCCGATGGGAACTGTAGCTGAAAGTATCTGGAGGGTTGCAGCTTGGCAAAGGCTGCTTTTGGTGACGTCAACATGTTTGCTGCTGAGGTTAGCAGAAATTTCTAAGCATTATCAAATCAAATGTGGCTTAAATAACTTTTGGTCCATCTATTTGGGACCATTTGCTCATAGCCAGAAGCTCTTCCTTCCTTCAGGAGGGCCTTCCTGTTAAGGTAATGTGGTGAAAAAACTTTTAACTGTCTGGCCCACTAAGATTGACTCATAACCTCATGTTAACCCCTGTGTCTAGTGATAATTGGCCAAGCAAATAACAAAGAGGCCGTGGTCCTAGAAAGAAAGGTGTATTTCATGAGAACTGGCTTTGCTTTATAAAATTTGCGGCTAACAAAGAACATGATTGGGCTTCTCCTTTGACTCATACCTCTCTGTGGAGAGATGTTTGGAGACGGTTTGTCATTCTTTCATTGTATAACAAATTTATAGAAAAACTATTTTTCAGCCTGACTACTATTAGATAAACATTGTGATGAAACACATATAGAAACATCTTTTTTAATCAATTTCTTTAGAAGCAGGACAACGTATGTATTTTATAGGGAACACTTACATAAATTTGCTCTATGTGTATTCATTTCTTCTGGATTTTTTTGTTATGTAATGTGCATACATTATTAATTTTTAATAGAATTATTTTTTTATAAAACCCTCTGTATTAATTAGAACAAACAATTTTTTTTCTAAAAAAAGAAATCAGTTTAACTTATCTTTTGATTTAATTGTTGAGAAGTTCTTAATTTAGCAGTCTGTAGGTTTCTTCATGTGGGTGCTCTTAATTTTACGGAAGAAACTGCAGTTTTTACAAATTTAACTCCTGCAAACATCTAGTGACTGATGTTTGAAATGATCGGCAAAGGCTTAAAAAAACAAACAAATTAGGAATTGCATTTTGTAAGTCAAAATATTTGTTTCTTTTTTAAAAAAGTCACCTTTCCTAGGCCTCAAGCTGGACCATGTAGTGAGTTACTGATGGATCAGGAGGCGCCAAGCAGGGCTTGGAACTCCCAGTGCTTATCATTGTTCTCAGTATTCCTAGAAGTCTAAACATTATTCGATCAGTTTCCTGGTGCAACAAACTCCCTTGGATGGTATTTGGCTCTACAAGATGGAGTGATGGAGCCTTCCTGATTCAAGGAAACTTGCTCAAGGCAGGAGTAAAGAGTGAAGCTGAGCCTTCTTCCCTAGGGGAATGAAATAAACAAGGGCCACCATCTTTGACTTATCTCAGTTCAGCAACAGAGCACATTCCAGCTCCATTCTGCTTTCTAACCAAGCACAAAGTGAGCTCGTGCAGATAATATTCCTTCCTTCTCTCCCTCTCTGCTTCATGCTGTACATCGATGGGACACCGGTAATGTTCCCCCCCCCCCCGGTCATTTCCCCTCCAGCGCTTCCTCCCCGCCCCCCGTCCCAGACATGCATGCGGGGTGAATGTCGTTTTCCAGCAAGTCCCTTCAACCAAGAATGGCCGGGGCTCTGATTGTAACCGCATTTGGCAGATGCCCCTTTCATCTCTCACCAAAGAGATCAAACATGCCAATATGAATTAGCAAAGCTAATTGAGACGGAGAGGAGCCGAGGCTTTCCCATCACACACCAGTCAGCGACTCCCCACTTAGAGCTGACACAAACAGGAGAGGGAGAGAGGCTCGTCTCAAGGACACCGATAAAATGAGCCCATTCTGACACCCACACCGCTTTCCTCTGTCTGCAGAGTTTTCACCTTCTCCTGTCACTGAACGGATATTTTGAATCATGGCACTTTTGTTGTGCAATTCCACTCATTTTTTTATTTTATTTTTTACCACTGGAGCTACATTTGCAGTGCAGTTGTCCGTGCTAAGGAGTGTTTCGAAACATGCAAACACCCTGTCTTTTGAAGTAGGAGGTGGCTTTTTGGGGACTATTCAGTGAATGACATATTGGTCTGAACACTGGCTACACTCCTCTCCCCGACCTCCCCAAAAATCTGGCTTGTAAAAGAACCTGAGTGTGGCCTATAACCACACTCTTCTAGGATAGAGAAGCTGTGATCTCATTTCAGAGGGTGGCCTATATTCCAAGCAATACAACATTCGAAATTCAATGGAAGGTTGCATTCTGCAACCGCAGCATTACCAAATCAAGCCTCAGCTACTTTTTTAAAAAATCAGACCTCCTACTCCATCTTCTGCACCTGCCCTTTCTCCAAAAGGAGTTGGGGGCGGGGAGTACATGCTTTGTATGCAAAATGTATTTGGTTCAATTCCTGGCATCTCCAGTGACAATGATCTGAGGCAGGTGGCGATGGGAAAGACCCCACTACCTATTAAGAGAAGACAATATTGGACTAGGTGCACTAATAATCCGGCAAAGTCTAAAGCAGCTTCTTAGTTTCTTTTTAACAAGGCTGCAGCCGCTGCTGCTCCTTCCACACACCCTTCTTTTACTTCTTGGAAACTGGCGTACAGGCCAGATTTGGCCTAGGAACTGCCAAGCAGAAGACTTGGTAACAGTAACTGGAATCCCTCTTTTTCATTTTGACTTTGCCTCGCTTGAGTTTTAAAACATGGTCGAAGAGACAGGAGACACGCCGGCTTTTCCAATAAGAAATTTGTATCTTTCTCCATACGCGGGCAGATTTAGAGTTCCAGAATTATTCTTTTAACAAGCCTCCTGGCACCTGAAAAGGCTTAACAAATGATTACGGCACAAGCCTTTGTAGAGCAGAGACCACTTCATCTGATGCAAGGTGTAATCCTAAACTGGCAAGCATATGTACACCTTCTGAAATCGCTTGGAGGTTCTCAGCTGTGATCCACAGACCCCTTCTGCTCCACAACCTCCACTCATATAGGGCTCTTCTTAGTGGCCTGGCTTAGGGCATCCATGATTTTCATAACATGCTGATGGTTTGATCACAATGCTGGCACAGAAGGCAAACAAGGGAAGACCCCCAACTATTTTAGAGTGGTTGGGGTGGAGGGGAAAACGTTTGAGAACTGCTGCCTGATCATGGTTTCTAACTGATTTCCAGGTGCATGTTTATGGGTATCTGCAAACATGGGAGATGTCACCCACATTCTCCATACTGGTTTCAGAAAACATTGGTGCTGTATCAGCACACCTGCATAATCATGCCTGTCACGTAAAACGTGGAGCTGTCGTTTGCGTCTCTTACCAAAGAGGCTAATTGGAGGGTTAATTTGTTGCAGAGGGATGCCTTGGAAGGTTCCTTTTTGCGGGAGCAAAAGAGAGAGATGGTGCTCTATCGGCCAACAGTTCTCCAGGCCTCTCCCATTCTCATGCACACAAAAAGCTCTCATTTCCAAACGGAGAGAGGGCGAGAGATGGATGAGGGGACCACCCTGGCTCAATCAACATTGCTGGCTGCCTCTACAAAGCCTTTCAAGTTGCAGTGCTGGGGCAACCACAGCACAGGCAGAGGGCTGATAAAAAAAATGAGAGAGGGAAGGCCAAAGGTCCAATGAAATGAAAGGCCTCGAAAACCCTTTTGTGCCTGGGAATAATAGGGCGAAGGAGGATGCTTTTCAAGGGACAGCTTTGATACCTTATGAATGAAAACAGGGGGACTCTGTGCCTTGGTGGCAAACACTGCAATGGATTGCAGTTGATCTCCCTCACTTCCTCAACATGACCTCATCCCCTGGGAAGAGCAACGCAGCCCAGCTTTGAATATAGTGACACGGCTTCCTATTCTGCTTCTCTGGAGATGTACAGAACCACCAAGCCACCTCACACCAAAATAATTCCCAGAAGAGTGGGCATGAGAAGGGGGTCAACTTTCTTTGCAATGGACTTGTTTTGTGGGTAAGGAAGAAGCGTGGCTTGTTTGAAGTAGAACGATGTACCTGCAAGGATACATTACCTAATCAGCAAGCAGACACAGAGGAGGAGAAATATTCCCCTAGGTGGAAACCTACTTCTATGACAAATGGCAAGATTACATCCTCTTGAGATGGAAGTCTGTATGCCATGCTTTAAACATGCATGAGTTTTTCAGATACATGTGGAATCTGGGGAGTGTTAATGGATATTGCTTGTTCTCTATTACTGTACCAGAGAAACGCTCTGTTGTGCCCAACTGTCCCATGCAAAAAGAAGTAAAATAGATTACAAAACCTGTCAAGAAAACAGTACTCTTCACAGTGCAATCCTGTACGTATTAATTCAAAAGCCAGTCCCCCTGTGTACAGGGATGCAGCCTAGGAAAACTTGAAAGATGTGTTCGCACAAGCTGCCAAAAAAATGCAGGCATTACTGTAGGTAGGGGAGTCTGGGAGAGAGTTTAACGTCTCCTCTTGCAATCCTCACCAGCACCCCAGGTTTATCCAGCAACAACATTCCCCTCTTGCTGTCACTAAGCTCTCTTCAGCAAAGTGGGGGTGGGGAGAGAGAAGGGCAAAATAGCGCATCGAAGTGGCGAGAGCTGATGAATCAGCTGTAATCTGTGAAGAATGCACATGAATTCCATTCCCTTCTGTTTATGTCCATCTGACCAAACTGCATGGAGATTAATTCGCCAAGCCACAGACACTACGAAACCTCACTTGTGGAAAGAGCAGAGCTGGATACAATAGGGAGCCATGACATGCCGGTACATACATACATACATTCTTACAACAAGGGCAAAACTGCCTTTTCCTCTGTGTCTTCTGCCCCGCCCCCTTCCCATGCACCACAAACAAAAAGTGGGACATGGTTGAAAGTTTGGTAGGAAGTGGCAGGGAAGAGGCAGGGTGATCAAGAGGTAGAAGATTAAAAGGGGGGCAAGGAGGAGAAAATATGGGGAAGGAAAGCAGACTGAGATCTAGTCCTGGGATATGGTACACAGGCTCTTAACTGAAATGGCAAATGCCAAAAAGTCAAATGCACCTATTTCTCCCCTTTTTGAGAGTTTCTCAGCAAGTGACAATGAAGCTGTATTATTTTGGAGAAGTGTAGAGGTAGATGCACACTTCTGTGCTAGGAAAGAAGCAGTGCAGATTTCACTCCCCTTCCCCCATTCTTTCCATCCCTGCCCCCCCTCCATGCTGCAAGTGGACAATATTCATTTGACCTGCTATTCGAAGCAGGAGAAACTGACAAGGCTTTTTCACAGCATGACACAAGGCAAGGAGGGTCCCATTTGCAGCACATATTAAAGTAAGGATTAAAAGCTTCTAGAGCAGCCTTTCTCAACCTCAGGTCCCCAGATGTTGTTGGATTACGACTCCCATCATTCCTAGCTAGCAGGACAAGCGGTCAGGGATGATGGGAATTGTAGTCCAACAACATCTGGTGAGCCAAGGTTGAGAAAGTTTGTTCCTAGAGGGCATCATTGCTGCATGCCAGGAATAGGGGGTCCAATCCTACAGACTGGTTTTTTTTCAGAGTTCCAGACGATGTCCAGGAAATTAACCCACCCTAATTTCTGAAGTGTATGAGCCTTTGTTGCTCTTGTTGATGTTTAGGAAGGGACTTCTGAAGATGCCTATGATTTGGAGTCCCTCCAAACATCCTTCTTATTCTGCATTCATGATGATTTGTGCTCAGGAGGATATTGCAGAGGTTATATGTGATCCCACTTTTTACACTGTTTGTGCCTGCCAAAGTTTTGGAGCGGACGTACCGTTTCATTTCCAATCAGTGTATGTCCTCATAACTTCCTGACACCATAACACCATGAACGCTTCGGTTTATTTTTTGTTCCAAATTTGCTGCACAAGACTGCCCCTCCAGTAACACCAAGGAAGCATCGCAGAACAACTAAGAAAGCGGAATGAGGTGTGGACGGTCCAGTATAAATCCACCACTAATACGCTCTAATTTCATCAATGAGATGTTGCAGAACACACTTGCAAGAAAACCAGCAACCTGGAGGAGGAGGAGAGAGAGAGAGAGAGAGAGAGAGAGAGAGACGAAGGAACAAGAATCACTCAAAACACACATATCTTCTTTAGCTGCTAAGTGTAGCAGGTTAGCCCTGACAGGTTAACACAACGATATTCCATCTTCTCTAAGCTGCTTGAGTGAAAGAGTGGGCGAGCAAAACAGAGAAATAGCAGGGAGTTCATCTACGGACAAATCACAATTCTTTCTCTCCAGGACAAAATTAGATCTTGGATGTGTGAAACTGAGGTGCCTCTCAAAGACTGGCAGGAGAAAAAACATAATAGTATTTGTGGGAGCTCTGGATAAACCAGGAAAGGACAACCATGTGGGAGGCACAAACACACAACACAAACACACACAGAGCAACGGAGAACGGAACTGGGAGTGCAGTCAAGGAGGAAGCACTAAACGAGACCAATATTTGGAGGGGAGAACATGACAGGGTAACAGCATGAGACAAAGAGGGCAAAATGCCTAGATGTATTTGCGTGGCTTCTTCCAACCCCAAATTTGTCTATTTAAGCACAAAATGGGTGGCTTTAAACATAACAAAAAGGTCAATGAGGCCCCTTAGTCTCCTGTCTGAATGACTCACTCTAAGGCAGCAGCACTATGGAGATTCTGGGAAGGTTTCTCCTAACATGCCTCATCCTGTGCAAGGAGTTCCACCTGTGCATTGGGGCTTTCCATCCCTCCCTTGTGGGGCCCCCACCATTGACCCTGTGGTGTCAGGAGCAGCCCAGAACAGCAAAAGGAGGGAAAGAAGGGGAATCATTCACTTGGCAAGCAGCAATGCAGAATTCCACCCTCTGCCGCAATACAACTTAAGAGCAACCATTTTGCTGCTATTCTGGATGGCGTCTGATATTTAGAACTCCCTTTTTGTCCAGCTCCTCAAATATTTAATGCATTCTTCAACCTGCAGAGAGGAAATTCTTCCGGGTTGCCAGCTGTCCTGATAGTCACAGGACTATCTAATCTAATCCCGCCTCCCTCCAGCACTCAAATACTAGGCTACTTTATCTGTACTCTGTCCTCCCTAGAAAATCCCCAGTCCATTTTGTTTTGGAAAGCTGCCCCCCCCAAAAGCATGAGGCTACCAGTTCCCCTTTCCAGTGAACACTTAAGTATCAGTGGGGAAACCCAGAATTTTACTGCTTCCCAGATTCTAATGAGGTATGAGCATGTGATAATGTTCTCCTCACCATGATGATACAGACAAGCAGTTGCATGCAGCCCTCACTAAGCTGTTTGTTAATACCTGCTCATTTGTATTTACCGGTGGAATCAGTCGAACTGGAGAAAAAGGAATGTCCCCCCCACTCCTCCTCCACTGCATGCCGTGCAAAGTTGGCTGGTTAGGGTGGGGAATTTAGATGAGGCGGCTTAGTATGTGAACTGGCCCTTAGCTATGTTATTTCATTTGGGTCACACATGGCAGAGGCACAGCATCTAAATAACTGGAGGGTTGGGGAAAGCTCGGATGAAGCATTTCTGCGGGTGATTTAAAAACTGGGTGCTTTCTGTGTCAGTACACTGATTGAAACATCCATATTGACCAGGACATATAGCTGCTTTTAAAATGCCTCCCTTCCACTTACTCCTCTGCCTTGACAACATTCCAAAGTGACACACTGGGAACAGAAAGGCATACCTGTCATCGTGTAGGGCAATATATTTGGCTTCTATTTTCCATGCAGTGCTTGGTGAAGCTAAACTGTTTGATCCGCTGATTAACTTATCTTCCCCTGCTTTCTGCACCTTCCTTTCCTGGCATTACAACACTTTAGCATTCCCCGCCACCCCACTATAGGATTGCAGTATCCCTTTTTCATGTATTACCGTACTTTTCCGTGTATAAGACTATGTCCCCCCCCCTCAAAAATCATGCTAAAAAGTGGGGGCATCTTATACATGGATAGTGCATAGGGTGGACGTTTGATAGGTTGCTGCCACAGCTGTCAGCAGCTATTGTGTGTGTTATTGGTTGCTGCATCAATGGCAGGTGTTGATTGTTTGACGCTGCGGCAGCTGGGCGGGAGATTGGCAGCTTCTGCCGGTGATGGTACAGACAGGAGGCAGATTTTGCGACACGTGCGAGTGGGCGATTTTCGGCAACCCCCCACCCCAAAAAAAGCTCTGGGCAATCCTCTGCAAAAAAGCTGAACAACTCTGTGCCATCTCCCCTCATTTTCTTAAATTTGAGTCCCCCAAAATAGGGGCCATCTTATACATGGGGGCGTCTTATACACAGAAAAGTATGGTATATTTTTTGTGGTGAAGTTTTTTAATCTGATTCTTAACGCATTTTTAAAATTTGTGTTGCGATGTTGTCTGACCACAACTCCCATCATCTCCACCCAGCTTAGTCAATGGTCAGGGATGATGGGAGCTGCAGGACAACAACATTTGAGGTTGAAGAACACTGGTCTTGAAGACTCGAAGACTAGGTTAGTAGGTAACTAATGACATGTAAATAATAACCTAAGTAATGGATGGAGCTGCCTCTTGGTTTCTGTTGGGACAGGTCTGGATAGCACACACCCTGATCTATGGAAACAGGTGCCAGGTGTGCATCCCTACCTACTGAAGTCAAGAACCCTGTTTATGCATCCATGAATAGCTTGCCTCCATCCTTTTAGCTGGAGCTGCCAAGAGCAGAACTGCGGCTGCTCCCACGAGGGGCCCAAAGCATGTGGACTCCAGGGAGAGAGGAAGATGGGGCTGTAGGTTCCTTCAGCAACTCCCCCCAACTCTCCCCTCAAAGTGGTGCTCTCACAGAGCTACTGGCCGACCAAGAGCTAGGTCCTGCTGAAGCTGTGAGCCTGCCGCCAGAGCATTTTGACGGTTCCTGGTCAACTGAAGCCGCTCAGATGAGACTTGCTCTCTGCCAAATATGCTTACTACATAAAAAGATACTCCGAGGACAATGAACCAAAAATAATAATAAAATATAAAAACAGCTGTTTTCCATGGGAATCAATCCAGAAGGAATGCAACGGCAGCAGGCTGTGTTTGCTGTGCTTTTATTTTTTTCCAGGGCATGGTGTGATGATGGGTGGGGTGGAAGGCTGAGAAAGCTCTCTGCGACAGCTGGGTGAACCGCCAGCAGCAGCTATGAGCAACTGGTGAAACTGAGAGGGCAGAAATGTGGGCTTGGGAAACAAAACCCAAAGACCCTAAAATGCTGTTCCCATATAGGTCACCATCCACTGCACCATTACTGAACAGACATACAACGTAGACATTTAAGGTAATGGGTCTCCCGACAGCCTAATAACCGTCTCATCATCCCAATCCCGCAGCGGTCAAGATCACTGCAGTCAATCCAGCTGAGCAAAGATATTGCGCTGCGTGGCTAACACTTTGGACTTAAACAACCGTGCGTGGGATATGCAACAGAAACAATACCTAAAGCTTCCACAGCACTTTCATGTAGCTTATGATTTTGTTAGAATCTAACTCTCTCCGGCGGTCATTTTTTTTACATACTGAAAAGCATGGCTGCAATTTATTTTTATAAGGATGAAAATTAAGCAGCAGGGGCTGGGAAAACACCCAGCAATAAAACAAATCAGCAACCTTTACAAATCTCAACATCTGTTAAATGGCCAGTGTTAGTGCTTAGCATTTGGAGTTAGCAACTCAGTGGTTTGTCTATAACAGTACAGATGACCAATGTCGCATCGCAGGCAAATGGCAGTATGATGACAATAATGACTTTGCAATTGTTTGAATGGCAAGCTGCTCACCAGACAAAAGCATACATGTTGGCGTGCTTCCTTCCACGTTAATATCTGGGCTTTTTCAGGGCATTGTTTGGCACAGCCAGAAGTGAATGGTGTTGGAAAAGTGCTTACCTCACGCATCCAAACACTGAAAGGCCTCTGCCAGGAGTCCTTTTTCCCCAAATGCAGGTATGCATTGAACAAGATGAGATAGATATAGCGTTCCAAGTACTGGAGGCTCCTCAGCTGCAATGTCCGCATCTCCTTCTCCTCCTTAGCTGTTTTCCCCTGAAAATAATAATAATAATAATAATAATAATAATAATAATAATACAATTGCTTAAGGGCCAACACTAGACAGCAGAACTGCCCTGCAAGTCCCAAAACTAGGGCAGGCCATCTTGCATTTTATCAAAGGAAATGCCGCTTCTGACATGACCATGGTGGAATGAGAGTTGCAGTGGCATGGCTCCTCCTTCCTGTGCTAGGAAGTTGAGCTCTGAAGCTGCCCGTCAGATGGGAGGAGTGCCGTAGAAAGGTTGCGAAGGGCCAAAGCTCTTTGGTGGAACTCATGCTTTGCATTCAGGAGGTCATAGACTGAGTCCCAGGGTAGGGCTGGGGCCTTAAAATACTTCTGCACCTTAAGTCCAAATTCAAGACCATAGACTGGGGAGCTTTGGTTTTCTTTGGGGGGTGGGGTGAACTTTGCTTTTGAAGACCACAAATGGAAGGAAATTAAGAGTCACCCACCCTAGGACCTGCCACCCAAAGCGGGGTACTTTGTGGCATTTCAATGAAAGACTGGGCCTGCCACTATGTAGTCTTTTTCAACCCTAGTTCCTCTTTGACATTTAAGATCACTGTGGGTTGCTTCAGTCACAGGAGCCCCTCTATGGAAGCAGCTCACCAGCTGCTTCATACAGCGGTGCACCAAGCATGGAAAACCACCTTGCCAGCAGCGGCCTGATGGTCTGGAGAACCTTACAAATCGATGCATACACATACCCAACACACACACACGGCAATTTCTGCAACCATGGAGGGGGGCACTGTATTGTGGGTAACTTCCCTTGAAGACTCTGGCTGCGGTCAACTTAGAATGAACTGGCTTCTCATGCCAGGAGAACCGGCAGTGTTTGGAAGGTGGCTAAAACAGGGTGGCATTTAAACTTGGCAGCCCAGGCTCTCATTATGCAAACGCTTTCCTCTTTTAAACACAAAGACCCCTCCGAAATAAGTCTTGTTTTTTAAAGCAGCATTGTATGCATCTACTTCCACGTACACATGTGCATTAAAAAAAATAAATCATACACACACACCAAGCTATAAACGGTGCCATTATTTTATATAGTGCTTCTATTCCTGAAAGGCTGTGGTGAGCAAGAATTAGTCCCCTCCTATGGTCTGTCCCTGCCTTGACCTCAACTGAGTCATGACCACACAACAGCAGGCCAACCGAGGTAGAAGCCTGAGGTGTGTTGGGGGTTTTATTCATAGTTTCTGGCCAAACACGGAGACCAGCCATCTTCCAGTTCAAAATGACCTCTTAAGCAGCTACTTTGCTATAAGTAGAAAACACCAATTAAAGCTTCATAGAATAGAAACACCACAAAACTGGAAAGGAAGAACCTGAGGCCTTGAGAAAACAGGGCCATTAACTAACACCCTATAGCTGCAATCCTACACATATTTCTCAAGGATTAAGTCCCCACTGGGCTCAGTGGGGCAACCTTCTGTGTCGACGTGCATAGGACTGTCAGCTACAACAGTTCAGAAAAGTCAGCTACTCCTCTTTTAACACTTCGCTCATTCAGGGTTTAGACGCAACTTAACTTGCTTTTAACTGTATCCAAAGCATCCCAGTAAATAAACGACAGCAAACAGCGGCAAACGCTGCCGTTATTTCCTTGTTTTGATTTGGCAGAATTTCACAACACGCCACTATTTTCAGTTTTAAACATCGCTTTGTTTAGATTGCAAATATTAATTGGAGAGGCGGGCGGGCGGGAAAGCAGGCGATGGAAGTTGCAGTATTCCAAATGCTAACAAACTGACCAAATTTTGGACTCAGACTCGGCACAGCTGGAAAGCAGGCTCCACTGACAGCTACCCAAACTGGCAACAACCCAGACGCTCAAGAGACATTTCGTTCTAATTAAACACACGTGCAACATACATACATATATATATATATATATACACACATACACACACACTCACACACACATATATATTCCAACTGCAGCACTGCAATGCAACAACTTTTAAGAATCCAAAACAGAACTGTTCGTCTGTGATCTCTTGTCTTGAAAAATTAATGGACCCGCGGGATAGCTGCCAGAATATTATCATAAAGAATCGGAGGAAGAGGACATGAAGCTCATTATTAGTAGCAACCTGATCTTACTGTGACTTTCCCCGTTTCAAACGGCTGCCAGGTCCTTCTTCCACTACGGTGTCTATCTGCCCCGAGTTCTACCTGGCTTTTAAATCATTACATTTCAGCAATCTTGTAAACAGCCACTCGTTTGTGGTGAGTAAGAATTGTATTCAGGCAACCAAGCAGAACATTTTTATAAAATAGTTCTTTTTCTTTCTTCCTGACCACAAATTGATTAACCTTTGTGTGAGAGAAGCGGAGCTGGTAATTTTTTATTTTATTTTTTTGGTGGGCTGGTACTTTTCATCTATTTGGGCTAATTCCTTGTGTTTCATCTATCTCCAGCACAACATTATTCACTGGCTGCTATTCTTCATTTTCCACTTCTATTGCCAATTTCCTTTTTTGGTAAATTCATTTATTTATTACACACACATATATAGATGTATATCCTGGCAATATATATATATCCTGGCTTTTCTCCGCAGAGCTGAAGGCGGGGTACATGGTTCTCCACTCCCCAGTGCTTTTAACCTCACGACTAAACAAGCAGAAGCCGCAACCATTCCAATGCCATTCCATTGCAGAATTTCAAATAAACTGCAGAAAGATGGTTCCTACACATATTGAGTGTGAAGTAGGTTCTGGTGAAAACTGGTGAGCTTTTGAAGTGGTTCATTCTTGGACTTACATCCCTTGAATCATCTGCAGCTGATTACCAGCAGCCAATCATGTGTGAATGCCATTGGGAAAAACATAAGCTTTGAGTACAAAAATCAGTGGTGGCCATTTCAAAATCTGTGAAGGTCATCTGCATGTGCATATTTAGTCTAGAGTTGAGGCATAAAGTGATCCCAGGTAAACCACCTGGGTCACCCAAAGACACATGGGATGGAACTGGCAGAAGGCCTTTTTCAGTAGTAGTGCCCTCCTTGTGGGATACCCTGCCTTCAGATGTCAAGGAGATAAAGAACTACGTAACTTTTAGAAGACATCTGAAGGCAGCCCTGTATCGGGAAGTTTTTTTATCTCTGATGTTTTATTATGTATCATATATGCTGTAAGCCACCCAGAGTGGCTGGGGAAACCCAGCCAGATGTGTGGGGTATAAATAATAAAAAAATATTATTATTATTATTATTAACTGCCAATTTAGAATTCTGATTTGGCTTCGCTAAACATCAAAGTGAAGATCTGCTTGCACTTCCTCTGCCCTGTTCCTTACAGTCCCCTGCCCCAATGACTGTGAAAAATACACAGCTTTTCTGATGAGCTAAATGATCTAAACAATCCATGAGACAAAACTAAATGATTAAGTAGAGTGATACTAAACTCTGTATTGTCTTGAGATAAAATGTGCCAGTACCCAAAAGGAGAAAACCATTAGATCAATTTTAAGGCAGAGTTAAGGGACTTTGGAAGGCAATTTATATGACAGTTCACAGCATTCCAAAGCTGCTCTAATTACACGTGGCGAGACCTCAGAAATGCGATCTGCCAAAGAGGTATCTCTAGAGAACATCCCAGTCAGGTTGGTGGTCTTAAAAGGCTGATGGTTTCTGGCATATGATGGGTTGGCATTTGGAATATGGTTTCTCACTATTGCTGCAAGTCCCTTCTTCCCAAAATAACCAGCACATAAAAATATTCCCATTTCCCTTCAGAAGTCACACTTACTTCATTTAATGTTATTCATTCTCAGCAAAGAGAAAAGCTTATCAACTGGGGTCCAAAAAGAAATCCAAAAAGTTCTCATCAAAAATACAAGGAATGTGTGGACAGTCCATCCAGCATTTGTGAGCTGCTAATCACAGTGTTATACAGCCTAGAACATGTCACAATTAACTCATTTGATTTTGATTTCATCCTGCTTATGATTGGGACATTCTTCTTTGGCTATATCCAAGCAAAAAGATAAAAAAGTTGAAAATGTGCAGCCTCAAGTTCTCTTTTTTTATTAAACTTCATCATAAACCTTTAACATTAGCTGTTTCTCAGCACGTGAAAGAACAGAACAGTATGCATTCAGATTTAAAGTCTTTCCATGGACACAAAGAAATGCTTTGCTTCCTTCCAAGCAATGCTTACTACTCCTTATGTCTCTATGGTAGTATGCTCTTAGCTGTGTCTCCCTGCCCCCCAAAACCCACTTCCTGACCCATATATCCTATCACCTATGTATTTTCCCATGCCCTTTGGGGATCTGCATGGTTAAACACACACTATTGCTTCAAAAGGGTCTGGTGATAAAGGTTTGATTACACACACACAAAAATGCCAAGAAGAAAGTCCATTGAAAAAAAATTGGTTTCTGTGCTAAGCAAAAGCACAGTTCTGACATGCAAAGCATCAAACTTTAGGGACACAGATGCAAGTATTAAATTTTCCTTCCATTTGTAATATCATTTTTTTAAATAATAATAATGGATAGTTCAAAAAGAGGGAATGGTTGAGGAAACCATCGTTCTTAAGTTTGTTTGTGGGTTTGTTCAGGATAGAAGGAAGGAACTTACAAGGACACTCAGTATGCTTCACTGTTAAGAAGATTTGAACTTGAGAGTCCATATCCCACCCAAACCCAAAGGTTCCCCCTTCCGAAATTAACCAATATTCATTTAAATAGCCAGCCGCATTTAAACAGTGTGAAATGAAATTAACTTGGGGGACACAATTCCAATCTACAATGGGGGATTTACTTATGTGTATACTATTACTTTCCTTCTCTTCAACCAACCTGGCCCTAAGTGGCGGGTGTAAAAACCAGAGAGACAATTTGCACCATAAAAGCAACAAACGAAAACAACAAACAATGAGAACAGAAGGGCGGGGAAGCGAAATCCTGCATTGAAGTAATCTTCTCTATAAATAATAAACAGGGAACACTGTGTGTGTGTGTGTGTGTGTGTGTAGCTGCATAGTTAAAACCCATCTTGATCCGCAGTCATAAAACTACAGCATTTGAGACTAAAACATGTTAATAGAACTCAGATCAAAGTAAGCGGAAGTTCAGTTTGGTGTTGATTTTCTGTGCTTAGCTGATTTTTCTTGCCCAAGGAAAAAGATCTACCCAAAGAAGATTCTTACAACTTAATTATGAATAGAAAAGTTAGAGGATTTATTTAAAGAATCAAAATGGGGGGGGGGGCAAGTCAGGCAGAGAAAATTTAGGGCCTGTACTTAGTGTCTTACTATTATTTCTGTCTGCTAAAGCCATTTGTTTCTCTTAGCAGACAATCTGTCTGCTACACACTAAAGTTATATATCTCCCTCTCTCTACTCAAAAGGGCTGGAAGCCATTACAGTCCAGTAAGGGCCTTACTTCTCCCCCTACCAATGAGGCCCTCCAATCTATCACTCTAAAAGTACTTTAGGGAAAGTGTAGCTTTTTATGCCTTATCCACTAGCAAGATAAAGATGCTTGGTAAAAACTTCTCCAGGGAACAGTATATTTTCCATGTAAGCTTCACACCTGATGCTGCTGAAAGCTCCTACTTGAGTTAGAGCTTATTCAATACTTCGGCCTGTTTTCTCAAAAAGCACTCTCCCTGGCCCAGAAATATTAGGGGAGGGAAGGAGAGAACAAAGGAAGAAAATGTGATGATCTCAGCCAAGCTGCGGTATGTGCCAGTAGCTCAGATGCAGCTAGACAGGCTCCAGATGCTGGTTGAAGATTAATACCCAAGTTCTATTTGGGTTTCAATGTAATCGAGGCAATAGGTTTCACCAGCAGTGTTTCTGCAGGGCAATGTGGTGTCTGTAGCTGGATTAGCTCTGGCGTGTTGATTTTGCACAAAATTCTCCGCTCTTCCAAATAGGAATGCTTAGCTTTACATAACAGGGCTTATTCTCTTCACTCTGCAGGGCCAGAGGTGGTCACTTGTAGCCAAAGAAATCAGTGTGGAGTTAGCAGGCAGCAGACCTCTAAAGAGACATATTGCCAGCCTGGATAGCTCTGTTGGTTAAAGTATGGTGCTGGTAACACCAAGGTTGCAGGTTTGATTCCCGTATAGGACATCTGCATATCCCTGCATTGCAGGGGGTTGGATCGAATGATCCTTAGGGTCCCTTCCAACTCTACAATTCTATTCTGTATGCCACCTAAGCTGGCCATCAAGGTTTGCATCCTCCATGGTACCTAGGACCAAAGAAGTCATCTAAACAACTGGCACCATCTGTCTTGCAGCAGCATCCTGTGCCACTCCCCAAAATGCTTACTGTCATAGAATCATAGAGTTGGAAGAGACCACAAGGGCCATCGAGTCCAACCCCCTGCCAAGCAGGAACACCATCAGAGCACTCCTGACATATGGTTGTCAAGCCTCTGCTTAAAGACCTCCAAAGAAGGAGACTCCACCACACTCCTTGGCAGCAAATTCCACTGTCGAACAGCTCTTACTGTCAGGAAGTTCTTCCTAATGTTTAGGTGGAATCTTCTTTCTTGTAGTTTGGATCCATTGCTCCGTGTCCGCTTCTCTGGAGCAGCAGAAAACAACCTTTCTCCCTCCTCTATGTGACATCCTTTTATATATTTGAACATGGCTATCATATCACCCCTTAACCTCCTCTTCTCCAGGCTAAACATGCCCAGCTCTCTTAGCCGTTCCTCATAAGGCATCGTTTCCAGGCCTTTGACCATTTTGGTTGCCCTCCTCTGGACACGTTCCAGTTTGTCAATGTCCTTCTTGAACTGTGGTGCCCAGAACTGGACACAGTACTCCAGGTGAGGTCTGACCAGAGCAGAATACAGTGGCACTATTACTTCCCTTGATCTAGATGCTATACTCCTATTGATGCAGCCCAGAATTGCATTGGCTTTTTAGCTGCCGCGTCACACTGTTGGCTCATGTCAAGTTTGTGGTCAACCAAGACTCCTAGATCCTTTTCACATGTACTACTCTCAAGCCAGGTGTCCCCATCTTGTATTTGTGCCTCTCATTTTTTTGCCCAAGTGCAATACTTTACATTTCTCCCTGTTAAAATTCATCTTGTTTGTTTTGGCCCAGTTCTCTAATCTGTCAAGGTCGTTTTGAAGTGTGATCCTGTCCTCTGGGGTGTTAGCCACCCCTCCCAATTTGGTGTCATCTGCAAATTTGATCAGGATGCTCTTGAGTCCATCATCCAAGTCGTTGATAAAGATGTTGAATAAGACAGGGCCCAAGACAGAACCCTGTGGCACCCCACTAGTCACTCTTCTCCAGGATGAAGAGGAACCATTGATGAGCACCCTTTGGGTTCGGTCAGTCAGCCAGTTACAAATCCACTGAGTGGTAGCATAGTCAAGACCGCATTTTACCAGCTTCTTTACAAGAATATCATGAGGCACCTTGTCAAATGCCTTGCTGAAATCAAGGTAGGCTACATCCACTGCGTTCCCTTCATCTACCAGGCTTGTAATTCTGTCAAAAAACGAGATCAGGTTAGTCTGACATGACTTATTTTTCAGAAATCCATGCTGACTGTTGGTGTCCTCTCATCTTAGATGGGCGTTCTCAGAAACTTGCAGCGGGTCGATGATGAATGAAAGCCCTGACTTGTTGGGATGTGCCAAGAAGTTCCAAGACCTTTGATTTGTGGTAGCTTCTCAATGGCTCTCTTCATCCAACGGGTGATATCTGTAATGTAACTTGGTTTGCTATGCAGGTGTTTGTTTTTGGTGTGCTACATTCATTTTGATGTATCCTTATAGCACCAAAGAATTTATAAAACTCAAAGAGTTTTATCCGTCGACAGCTGGGCTGGGGGCTGCTCCATCTTCGGATGAAGTTTGGATTGGCTGGGGTTCTAACTTGATTCTCTGCTATTTCTTCCTCTCCCAGCAACCACCTTGCCTCATCCCTACACTGGTCAAGACCGCAGCCCCACCCACAATTGAGAGGCTTTTGGGGGGGGGCACTGATAAACACAGAGGGAAGGTCAGGACAGGAAAATTGACTCTCATGAGCTTCCTTCAGGTAACCTATCTTCATATCCAAGCAGGGAGTTTCCATCACTTTTGTAAGTTTGGCTTGCCTGTAGCCATCAGATAGGAAGCAACCCCCAAGAGAAATGGCACACAGCCACCATCTGCTATGCCAGTGCATTTTCAGCACTGATTGCAACGGCTGGGGGTTCCTTGCCTGGCAGAAGGCCAATGCAGAGTTTACATTTGGGGATTAAAATTGGTATCGGTAAGACATTCCCCCGATAAGCGCTTTAAAGTGAAAACAAAGCAAAAAGATGTGCCTACAGCTGTATGAGGGGACTGTGTTTTCTATGACCTGGGGCCCTAGTCTCAAAGTCCTGCAGGCGTTGGGGGCAGGGCCATTTCCAGCTGCAGGTGCCACACAGTAAAGGTTTATGGAAGCAGACAGCATGCACAGAATTTGGCTCAGATTTGCAAGTGGGGAAGGAGGATGCCGCAGCAAAAGTGGGCCTGGCGAGCGTCCACAGCACTGCGCTAGACGCCAAACTGTGCCGGGTTTCGCACAGCCATTATGAGGCACCTGGAGGTGGGAGTCACCTCTCATCGCTGGGTTGTAGATAGGGAGCTGAAGTGCGAATCCTGGCAGGATTAGAACTAGAGATGGCCACATTGTTGGGATAGATTCATAGTTAAGTCAGCTGCAGGCTAGGCTCCAAGTCAAGAATCTGTCGTGGCCTCGGCCTCAGAAGAGGAGGAAACAACCACGTTCCTGATGCTGGCGTTTCAGAGCCAAAGGTTGGTGCTCACAGAACCGAAGGCTGGTGGTCTGGAGCCTGCAGAGCCTGAGCCAGCACAGATGCTGTTCCGTGATCTTGACTTATCGGAAGAATCAAGCGCTTCCAATGTAACCGCACCTGATGAAAGTTGCAGGGAGCATGCCAGAAACGAGGCCACAGAAGGTGCTTGTATGAAGGCCAAGAGGCTGGGCTCTTTAACAGCCACCATCTCTTTAGGTTGAGGGACTGGACCTCAGGAAATGGGGGCTGGAGGAAGTGACTTAACAAAGCCTCCATTCGCTTCTGGCCTTCACCAGGGCAAGTTGCTCGTTTGGAGCTATCCGTGGTGCTGCAACCAGTAAGTCTGCCTTGTTCTCATGGGTACCTGGTACATATAGATCAGAAGAGTGGGGCTGGAACATGACTACAGGTACCCAGGCAACAGCACAAGGAAGTGCCCTGATGCTGGCAGACCAGGAGAGCGGCAGGCAGGCAGGAGCAATACTACTGTGCCACCCGAGCAAGGGCACAGTCGGTCTGTTGCCCACACAGTGCAGCAGGTCTCATCTGGAAGTACTCTCGCTCTCTCTAATTTAATTTATATCCCTCAGCTTCAAGGAGCCCAAGGTGGCATACACAGTTCTCCTCATCCCCCTCTTTACCCTCACAAGAACCCTTTGAGGGAGGTTAGGCTGAGAGTGAATGACCAGCCAAAGTGAGCTTCACTGCTGGTGGGAGGATTTGAACCCTGGTCTCCCATGTCTTAGTCCAACCCTCTAACTACTACGCCACACTGGCTCTTTACAGGTCAGGTTAGAAATGTTGGGGTGCCTGGAGTGGTGAAGCTATGCTGGAATCTGGGACAAAATTAATGTGCCACTGGTCTGTTTGACTATGTATCTTTGTATGGCTGACCTGTATGCACCGGCCAAGGAGTCACGGGCACATGCTGCGGCTACTGCGGTCTAAGAATATGGTCTAAAAGGCTCAGCAAACATACCGTATTTTTTGCTCTATAAGACTCACTTTTTCCCTCCTAAAAAGTAAGGGGAAATGTGTGTGCGTCTTATGGAGTGAATGCAGGCTGCGCAGCTATCCCAGAAGCCAGAACAGCAAGAGGGATTGCTGCTTTCACTGAGCAGCGATCCCTCTTGCTGTTCTGGCTTCTGAGATTCAGAATATTTTTGTTCTTGTTTTCCTCCTCCAAAAACTAGGTGCGTCTTATAGAGCAAAAAATATGGTGTTTATTATGGAGCTCGGATGAACACAGCTGAGAAAGAGTTGCTTGCAAGGGGAGGAAACAAGGGCACCACCAAGCCTTCTGGATCTGAACAGCAGCTAGGGATAACTTAGGTCCAGCAAAAGTGTGAGGAGACTTTAGGTCTGCACGATCTACTTTACACTTACTACAAAAACCCTAAGGTCTATTAACCAGAGCCAAGTGGCAATGGGTGCAGCCAAAACCCACCATGCCATGAGATGAGAGGAGCTGCAAATAAACATGTAGAAATCAGCACCTTAAGCTACACCAGGGAGTCTACAACTTAATTTGTGGGGCAGAGGGAAGACTGTTCATTTGCTGAGAATCAGAAACTCTTGTAGATTAACTATAAATCTACCAGTACTTCCTGACCTGCCTTCATCTCACCATTAAACTAGTTTAAGCCTATCAAAAGCACAAGGTTTCACCAGCCAGCCTGCCAGTTCTCTTTTGAGCTTTACAATTCCAAAGCAGAGATTCTCGAAAGGATAAGGCAGCCCCCCGTGTAGACAATTCCTAGGTGAGGAGGGTATGAACAAGCCCCCTCCACAGCCCAAATTTTGCCTGTGGCTTGACTGAAATATGGGTGGTTACATTAACCCAACCTTCCTTGCATCAAAATGGAACCAAATTAAATAAAAGCCACATGGGGTTTATATGTACTTCTCACTTACATCAGCTCCCCATTTTATAAAATGTGAGCGAATTTTAAAGAAGTTACATAAATAAAGCGTATCCTGTATTCAAAGAGCTCATGTCCAATTTGTCATTTTCTTGAACGGAAAAGTCAGAGGACTACATATAAATTGAGATCCAAGCTGACAGGAAGCAGATGACATTAATGTACAAATTATGTTTCAGTTTCATCCCCCCAGAGAGTTATACACAGATGTCAATGAGAAACTCTCGTTTAATTATGCCTGTCTGTCCTGGTGTGTGGCAGAAGGTTTTTTTTTGGGGGGGGGGTGGATGAATCCCTCCTAGTTAGAACTTAGGAAACTTGCCTGATGTGGAAGTCCAACTCAGCAGGGATTAAAGGGGGGGCACCGAAAAAATGACATTGCAACCTCATCTACAGGCATGCACAATAGGAGGCATTCAAAATATGATGCTGATCAATTGCTCAATCAAACCTGGCAGGAGGTTTGCCACCAATAGCAATTTGAGATCAGGATTGTGTTGCAGACCACTGCCACAGACACCAGTTATTCAGCTCTGTCCTGTGTAACTGAATAGAACATGCAGAAAGCCGTTAGCGCTTTATTTTTAGGACACTACTTTAAAAAACCCGAAGAAACCCACATCCTAAAAAAATATCCTAGAAGCCACCGCAAATCCACTTTTCTGTCTAAATCTACCATTTAAGTTATTATCCAGCTACACATTATAAGCTCTGTGGCAGCCCAGTTTCCCTGCATAGTGCTCGGAATAAATACAACTGCTAAAATCCGTTGCCTGGTTCACAGAGGAATCCATGAATGAGCCCATGCGCATTGAGAAGCCTCCAGGTGGCTGCAATAGCTACCAAATATGACAGCTGCCAGAGTCAGTTGACGATGCCCCCAGCCAACTCTTTGCCAGTGCCACTGGTTGCTCAGCCTCCCTCCAGCTTCTTCTTGGATCGCAAAGAAGACAATAGCTGCAACATCCTTATTCTCCTCTGCTGATCCAAGTCAAAGAAACCACCAGGTGTTGACTCGGAAAGTGAACTGACAGATGGGTCACTGAGAAAACATTAGCCATCTGCACAGAGCTATGTGGCTTACAAGAGGCTTGAATGCTCATTTGTAAACTTGTCCTTAAGTTGAGTTTCTTCTCTTCACCTACCGTATCTGAGTATTCCAATACTATTACAACATTTTCTTGCTGGGACAGTGGGATTAAAAAAAGAAAGAAATCTATTTAATATGTTTCTTTTAGAAACACATATGACACACTTTCCCCCCTCCAATACCCCCACTGGAGCCAGTGTGGTGTAGTGGTTAAGAGAGGTGGACTCGTAATCTGGTGAACCGAGTTCGCGTCTCCGCTCCTCCACATGCAGCTGCTGGTTGACCTTGGGCTAGTCACACTTCTCTGAAGTCTCTCAGCCTCACTCACCTCACAGAGTGTTTGTTGTGGGGGAGGAAGGGAAAGGAGATTGTTAGCCGCTTTGAGACTCCTTAGGATAGTGATAAAGCGGGATATCAAATCCAAACTATTCTTCTTCTTCTTCCCATTGAGTCCCCTGGGTTTTAAAACATGCATAGGCACTACCAGTCAACCTTGAGGAAACTGCTCACAACGTGGTGAACAATAACAAAGAAGAAAATGAACAAACTTGTTAACAGTGATATATAAAAACAAAAGAAGTAGTCGACACAAGATTACTGAGATTTAGCCTCTAGCGCAACAGTAGGAAACAAACCCACCAACTCTGCCCTCTCCTTCAAGAAAAAGCCTGTACAGAAAGTTAAGACTTCAAGCTGTTTCTGGAAAGCCTGCAGGGTACAGCACTGGCAGGTAAGATGTGCCATTTAGGATCTGCAGGGAGGAACATGTCGTAACCCACCTGCGTGGGGTACCTTTTAATGCCTTCATTCAAATGCTAGGGATTGGAGTAAAGCTGCTGGACAAAAACACAGCCGTTCCATTACCCTGGCAATAACAAAAACAATCCGGACAAGATGAAGTAAGCTAATCCAAATTCACACGCAACCTGGAAATCGTGCTCATCTGATGAGGAGCCTATTCAACAGCAAGCTGTTCTCCTGCCAAAGACACACCTAGTGCCTAACCAAACACCTCTTGCAACTCTGTGTGGCAAATATTGCTCTTGCCGCACAAAAGCAGGCAATATGAACCTAATATGGGTGGAAGAAGTAGCCTACATTTTATTGCAAAGTTTCTTTACTAGCAGCTTCTTGGAAAGCTCGTTCCGCAATAAAAATCCAATGTTCACATAGATGAACGCCATATGCAACAAGATGATCTGCGTGGCAATTTATTTCTTTCCCTCCCTTTGCAAGTTTTGATGGCGTGGGCAATGCCTGCAAAAAGTCACCCAACCGCCGTTTAGGCATCGTGGCATGTGAACCATGAGGTTTACTTGGAAGGAAGGAACAAGCATGCATTAAAAGAAAGAAAGAAATTGACATAGAGACTTGCAAACAGGTTATGACGAACCGGGAATATTCTCCAAGGAAATCTTCAGCAGTTTACATGAGACAAGAAAAGAGGAGGGGTAAAGCATTGTTGTTTCTAATGCGGCAGGCAAGGTTGAAGGGGCCACATCTGGCTGTGATCAGGTCGCTGGTACAAGTCGCGAAGAAAGCTGGGAGGACCTTGATGGAGACTGAACCTTTGAGCAAGAGCCGGTTTTAGCAAGAGAATGGTAGAGATAACAACTGCACCCACCTATTACTGCTTTGGATGAATATTTGAAAGCAAGTTAGCAGCCAAAGGCCCATTTCCCTGCTGACCTTTTGCTGACCTCACTGGGCTGGAGAAAGGGAGCTTTGTGCCAATACCGTGGCAAGGCTCGAAGGCTGCTGTTTTGGAATTTTGGCACGTGGTTTTAAAAGGCACCTGAACTTGCGTTAAAAACAAAGTGGGGTGGGGTGTGGGGAGACCTTTAAAACCCACCAGTGTTTTAGGAGAGAGCCAGGGGCACGGCATTCTCCTCTGTCACCTGGAAACCATTTAGTACAGAAAAGAAAAAACACTGCTGTGCTAAAAAAAACCACACAACAACCCCACACATTCCAGGCCCCAGAGTCAGTTTTGCTTGATCCTTGGGGTGAAAACAGCAGCACTTGAAGAGTGCAAAGACAACCCAAGGCAGCCTGATTGGAGCAACGCCTCCCCTGATTTAGCACTGGGCAGACGTTAAACATTTCCACATTTGTACATAATAAACCACATTAAGTCTCAAAGGACCACATCGCGTCTTGTCATGTTAAGTATCGAACGGAGGCTTAAAATGCTTACAGAAACATCCAAAGCAGGGCTGAACTGAGAGCACTTGCTTTATTTCAGAAACCTTTTCCACCGAAAAGCACACAGCTCTCAACTATTTCCCAGCAACAGTTGTAAAAAAAGGTTCACCTGGTTCATTTACATCGGGGAAGTTGAACTTCAGATGCAGGGGCCAAATGCACCCCCCAAGCCCCTCCCACCTGGCCCTTGGGACACTCCACAAGCCACGCCCCCTTCTCCCCAGCCACACCCCCTCCTGGCCCTGCTTTGCATCCTCCTTGAGTGATTTTGTTTGGCTGGAATGCTATCTTTGAATCCTGCTTCCTGCTTGCCAGGATGAAGGACATGTGTAGAAACTACCCTTCTGTATAAAACTAAATTTTACATTCATTCCTTCTGCCTCTGGCAATTTCCACCACTTGCATCTGGTCCTCAGAAGGTTACTCAGAAAGCAGCATGGCCCTCCAAAAGTAAAAGGTTTCCCACCACTGATTTACACTGTCCTTTCTTCCTCAACTGGCTTTACTTCAGTGATATCATCACAGTCAACTCCAACTGAGCAGTAACAGGTCTGTGATGCCCTCACATGTCACTCCATCGTTGACATGGTCTCTTCTGTGTTAAACTCAGAAGGAGAAAGAATCAGTATCTAGAGAGAGACAACATGCTAAAGCATTGGTGAACAGGATGAGAATAAATGGTGAATATTCTCAAATGCAAAAATTTGTTTTCCCTGGGAAATATTTCTGAACACAGTGCCACCCAGAAGCAGTATTTTTGGACTGAAAATGACAACAGGATAATATTTAGAGCAGCCCTACATACAAGTCCCCCTCTATTAGAACAATCGCGGATTCACTGGGAGACCAATCTTGTCTATTACACATATGATGTGGAATTTAAAAATTCCCTGACCTTGGAATACTGTCATCACAGCTGTGGCCTAAAAATGGACTACTGGATGTAGCCAAGAGCAGCAATCTATAAATTTTGGGATGGAGGCTACACATGAGGTTGAATCCTTGGCGCTGGATTCATAACATCCCAGTTAATATTCATTTTGATTTCTAGCCCGTACTGATTTTAAGGTAACCAGTAAAAGTTGCCTTATTGCTTCCGTTCTTCACTCACCAGAAGGTGCATCAAGGGCTTTCCATGTGACAGAAGCAATTCCAAAAAGATACCCCCCCCCCAAAAAAAATGAGCATTGGTGTAACATATGAACTTCCAAGGGAGCCCTTGTTAAGTGACAATTCCCTTAGACTTGGCCACACACCTCGGCTGTGAAGCAGTAAATTTAATTTTGATAACAAAACCATTTTATCCATAGAGTTCCTTCCTGAAAAGAAGAGAGTCCATTTTCTCCACTGTTTAATCAGAGTACCAAATTCCATATAAAGCTATTCATAGTCATTTGCATATAGACTGTCCATTTTATTTGATATTTTAATTTCAAAATTGGCCATGATTTCCAATTATAGCAGAAAATCAACTTTGTCTTTCTTTAATTTGTTGTTACACTAATGCCTATATATCTATATATATAGATAGATAGATAGATATAGATATAGATAGATATATAATTGTTGCTTTCTTATTCACTTTATAGCCTGCCAATAACCCTTATTCTACTAGCAGCAATTCTGTCGCTGCCAAGATAGTTCATGGCTCACTGGCCAAATTCCTGGTGAATTGCTTAGTGCCGGCTGGTTGCTGACCTAGATTGGCCTTGATCTGATCCAACAAAGCAAAAAAAAAAGTGCATACTCAGGATCACTTAGCACAGATTAGCTATGCATTAAGAGAGTCCAAATACGCACTCTTAATTTGTAAATTAAAAAACAAAACATCAGCACATCTTGACATTTTAGTCCTAAGAAAAGCCTAAGGAGAAAGAATAAAAATATTTCTTCCATATTATCAGGGGTGGGGAACCTGATGAGACTCACCAGATGTTGCTTGAGACAACACACGCATCATCCCTGACCATTGGCCATGCTGGCTGGGGCTGATGGGAGTTGGAGTCCAACAACATCTGGAGGGCCATAGATCCCCAACCCATATAAATGATGCTACTGGTACCTCTAACAGAACAGAAGTCAAGCCATGTCATAGCCACACTGGAAAATCTAGGAGAGACAAATTTCTGATAACAAAGTCTGTAACTGAACAGTTACAGGAGCTGGGGGAAAAGATAATTTTCCGTTTTCCATTGCAGGCTGCAAGCACTGCTGAAACTCTCAGCATGAGGTGTTGCTCTGCAATCCTGACCAGGATTTCTTTTTTAAATTTTTAAGTAACTTCAAGGTGAAGTTTCCCTCCAGAACAACTCTTTTTATTTATTTATTGTTAGTCCATGCAGACACCAATCCCGAATACTGAGCCCAGGCTGACATTTTTTCCCTGCAAAGGCCCTGGGAGGTATATGCTTGTTATTTCTGAAATGTTTCTGCTTTCCTTTTTTCCAAAAACACCACGTGGTCCAGGGTTGATTCGAGGTCACTGGAAAGAGGACTCTTTTCACGAGGCGCAGGAGAAGACTACCTGCTTATGTCCCACGGCTCTGTATTTACATTTTATACCGACCAGGAAAACCTGAAAAACTTAAAAGGCACCAGTGCTCCCAGAATCGGTGCAGCAGCAAAGAAGAAAAACCTGGGTCTAAAAAAGTGTGTATTGAAAGATATGCCCTCATGAAGATTATAAATTCGAGAGGGAGGGGGTAGGCTGTTTTAAAACCCATTTTTTAAACAACTGTTAAGTGTTACTAACCATACCAGAGACTTTCATATGTAAAAAAAGACACTGGCCTCCTGGTGCCCTGTTCCCTTTGTATTCAAGGGGATAATGCCTTAGCTGGATCCAGCCTATCTACTTCATCGGTAGTGGTGATTCTAGGAGCTCACAAACAGCACTGGAAGATGACAGCCAACCCATTATTTTTCCTGCCCATTGGCTATTCATGAGTATGTCTTTTAACGTGAAAGTTTCTTTCCGTTGCCACGGCTGATTTATCTGTAAATCTGTGGAACTGCCCTTCCTACGATGGCACTGACCTTTAAAGCCCTAAACGGCCTCGGTCCTGTATACCTGAAGGAGTGTCTCCACCTCCATCATCCAGCCCGGACACTGAGGTCCAGCTCCGAGGGCCTTCTGGCAGTTCCCTCACTGTGAGAAGCAAAGTTACAGGGAACCAGGCAGAGGGCCTTCTTGGTAGTGGCACCTGCCCTGTGGAACGCCCTCCCAGCACATGTCAAGGCAATAAACAACTATTTAACATTTAAAAGACCAGTTTAGGGAAGTTTTTAATGTCTGGTGATGTATTGTTTTTAATATTTGGTTGGAAGCCGCCAGAGTGGCTGGGGAAACCCAGCCAGATGGGCAAGGTACTGTATTTTTTCGCCCCATTGGATGCACCTAGGGTTTTTTGGGGGGAAAATAAAGGAAAAAAAATTATTTTCCCCCCAGGCGCGGGGCTGGCGCGGGAGAAGCCCGAGCTTCCCCCGACCCCAGCCCCCAGAACAGCCTGCTATCTGCAAGCCTAGGGAGCCCGGTGCGAAGTCGCGCTGATCTCCCCAGGCTTGCGGAGAGGGGCGCGAAGCCCGGCTCTTCAGCGCGTCCCAGGCTTCGGAATGCAGGCAGCTCCGCGCAGCCATCGGGAGCCCGGCGCGACTTCGCGCCTGGCTCCGGATGGCTCCGCGGAGCTGCGCGAAGCCTGGGGCTGCAGGCACCTCCGCGCAGCCGTCGGGAGCCCAGCGCGACTTCGCAGCGGGCTCTGGATGGCTGCGCGGAGCTGCGCGAAGCCCGGGCTCTGGAGGGCTGAGCAGAGCTGCGCGAAGCCCGGGGCTGCAGGCCACTTCGCGCCGGACTCCGGATGGCTGCGCGGAGCTGCGCGAAGCCCGGGGCTGCAGGCAGCTCCGCGCAGCCGTCAGGAGCCCAGCGCAACTTCGCGCCGGACTCTGGAGGGCTGCGTGGAGCCCGGGGCTGCAGGCACCTCCGCGCAGCCGTCGGGAGCCCAGTGCGACTTTGCGCCGGGCTCCCGAGGGCTGCGCAGAGCTTCCTGAAGCCTGGAGAGCACGAGGGGTCGGTGCGCACCGACTCCTCTCGCTCTCCAGGCTTCAGCGAAAGCCTGCATTCACCCCCTAGGACGCACACACATTTCCCCTTCATTTTTGGAGGGGAAATTGCGTCCTATAGGGCGAAAAATATGGTATGTATGTATGTATAAATTATTATTATTATTATTATTATTATTATTATTATTATTATTATTTGCATTCAGAGTGTCACACTGTAATGGCATTATTGCCAGGAATGGTTAACCGACATGGTGTTGTTGTTTTTTCTAGCAAAAAATAAAATAAAATAATGTAAAGCCATCGTTGCATCTTTGTGGCATTTCCACCTATTTCACGTGTTAATTATGTGTTACAGACCTTTAATGCTTTTGGCCACAGAGATCGTTGATAAAATATTAGTCATGCATGAATTAAATTAGCCCCAATTCCACAAGTACAATTTGGGAGTTGAGACACGATTACACGTATTGCTCTCCAAATCGGACTGTGCACAAGTCAGGAAGAAGAGGCCATAGCTCAGGGGAAATCCTCTTCATACAGAGTCCTCTACATACTCAGGACTGCACAATACATATCCTAATTTAGGGGATGTGTGCTACCCACACACTAGTAGACCATTGGCAGCTGCTGCCAGCTCTGACAATTTGCTCAGGATTAGGCAAGGAGAAGCCACCTTTTCCCTCCTTTCCAATAGTTGATTAGAAATCAAAGTACAAACCATTTGCTAGGTGAGGAAATGCCTGCACACAGCCTAGCACATGCAAGGATCAGATTCACTGCTAGTTTTAGCAAGTCTTGCATGGACTGTGCTACCAAATGGGGAAATCCTCCACCAGCTCTCTATGAACAAATGTGTTGTTGTTGGTTTTTAAAAAAATGTTAAATATGGAGATATTAAAACAGTTTGTTTGCTTTTTAAAGAAAAGCAGACACACAAGATTGACAGTGAGATTTTAAAACACACCCTGATAATATGGTCTTAAAATTAAGGTTTTGTTGTTTTCACTATGTCATGCAATAATGCTGTGTTCGTAGCCTTTGAGAGTGCTTGGCTGTTGAAACCTGCCATCTAGTGGGGTTTTCCACTCACTAAGAACACCCAAAAGCTTCACATGATGACAAAGGCCCACAGCTGTAAAAGGGAGAAGAGCTGTATTCAGGGATAAATATTAGTTAGGATGCTGGATTTCATTTTTATTAACTGAAGGAAAGATAGAGGGTAAGTATCAAAGCAACAAGGTCTTCAACAGGACCAAGATCACCCACCTCCACATTTAAGGCCCTTTTCATCCCCCTGCCAGCTATAGGCTCTTGCTTCTCATAAACCTTAGGCACACTAGCGGAGGTCAGTGTGATCTCTAAACTAGCCCACATCTGTCAAGAACCACAGTTCCCCTAGAGCTTTGCGGCTGAGGCAGGAAAGCCAAATTTCATTCATCTTGAACTGCTGGGCTTTTGATAGCAGGGAAGTCAAACAGGTTTTTCCAGACAGGGTAATGGGGAAAAAGACAAGCCAGTGAAAAAGAAAAAAAGACACACAGGCTCAGTTCTGTGTCTGCAATACTGGCACAAGGTCTCTTTTAATGACTAGCAGAAACCACCCTATATGCAAACAGCTTGAAGCTGTGTGTTGGGTCTGGGCAGTGAATGCTCCGAACATTGGCTTCCTAAGCTAGATCTTGGATCCGATTCCCATATGCATGTACGTTTATTTCACTATAGGAGGCAGAATAACCATGGAGCCTGTTGAAAAAAATGACTGAGTTTGAGATTGCGTTCTGAGACAACATGAAATTTCCCTCTGCGGTGTTTACATATATGAAGTAAGTAATAATGGAGTAAAATAAAAATAATTTCATGCACGATGGGTCATTCATACATGCAGGGTATCAAGCAGCAAACACGGAGATGTGAGCCATCTCTAAACTGGAAGGAAAATGACTGTCACACTGACTCAGTATCCTGAGCTTTCTAAAGTAGTATGCGATTCCTCCTATTATTTTTGTTTGGATTTTTGCAGATTTCAGAAAAGCATCTATACATATTATCAGAAAATCCAAAGGCACTCGGCTGCCCTCTGTTGGCTTTGGGTAAATAATGAACTCTGTGACCTGAAGGCTAGTTATTCGGCTAATATATACTACTGTTGCTCAGTATATCAACAATTGCAAACAGCTTCCATGCAGGTTAGGCTGTCATGGGACTGGTGTCATGTTTGCAGACAGTGACCCACATTGTTCAGCATTCTGTAACTGGTGTCAGAGTGCCTTAGGCTTCAATGACTCCAGGGAGCCAGTGGTGCTGGAATCAGTGATCTTTATACATTAGCACAGAATCACGATTCAGTTACGTATGTGATAGCATGTTTTTGTTTTGTTTCTAAAAAAGCTCCTTTGCCATCCATGAAATATCATGCAAAGAAAGCCTCACAGAACTTGTACGCAAGAAGTGCCTTTCCAGATATATTGTTGCAGAGGATGTGCAAATGTCTGTGGGTGGGTGGGTGTTTGATAGCCGTATGATGGTGAGCACTAGCGCTGATGCACAGGATTGCTGTAACCGACCAGCAGCTCTGGTAGAAACTGGCAGGCTTTGATGTCCTTTTTATAGACAATGCAAATCAGGGCACGTGTCTTACAAGGAAGGATAGCTTCTGGGTAGATAAGAGAGCTCCTTGCCCCCTTTCCCAGGACTATAAAAGCCATGAGAGACAAAGCAGAGTATCACTTGGAGAATATACTAAGCTAAATATGAGAAATTATGTAAGCGTGCTTAATGCTTATAACTGATAAAGGCCACAGAATTTCTTACAGTCCTGAACACAAGCTCGGCATAAGGTTCTGCAGCAGGGGGCCAGACCCTCCCTGCCTCAGCTATAACAACATGTGGATCAGTCAAAGACAAGCTCTCTGAAACTGCAGGCAAACCATTTCTAACCAAAACTGCAGCCCATTCCCCATTGACTTGTGCACTCAGCTCCTGAGATCAGCAGTTGATCTCTATCTAATCTGAACAGACCGCAAACACCCTTTGCTTCTTGATGTCTCTGTCCTCTCCCTGTTGTACACCTCCCGCCATCTCATTTGCACATTCAGCCCTGCCCATTGAAACTAATCACCAAGTATAAACAGACCTATGTCTGTCTTAACAGCAGAGCGAAATGGCAAAGAACAGAGGGAGCCACCAAAGGCGTGCGGAAATTCAAAGCAACATCCATGGTACGTGTTTGCTAGGCCTACCTGTCTGTAGGTGCATATGATGATTTCCCTCAAGTGATAGTGCATGGGTGTCATCGTCTCACTCACGGTATCCAGTGCCATATCTACTTCCTTCTTCATTCGGTGTCCCTCCGGCAACATCTGAACCACCTTCATGACCACCTGGCAGACAAAAGCAAGGGCCCAGCTTAACATGAAACCTTCCCACCTGGAATGTTCTCTTTCACAAAGAGCAAATGTTAAGCCGCTGAAATTTTCTTCTGGGGGAAGTAAAGAGGGAAATAGTTTGCCCCCCGTTTCTGGCATTCCGTTCCCTACTGGTTTTGCAAAAACATCACATAAGGGACTCAAAAGTACCTTCTAACAAGCGCAAATGCCAGTCTCAAGAATGTTCACAGGAATCAACACGTCACACTTAGTTCCGACCCTTTAGATCCCTTTAAAGCAGTATTGCAAATAAGCCCACAAAAGTTACCAGCCTGCAAAAATGTCTTACTGACCTGCTGGGTATGGCGGTACAAACCCACCCAACAGCATGGAAGATGTGGATCATGCCAGATTCACATCAGCACTGACAAAAGATTCTGTTCCTCAATAAATATTTTGTTTTTGTCCCTTTCTTTTCTGAGCTGCAAACTAATGCAATGGTGCCGAGTTGTGCCCAATATTGGGGGGGGGGCGCACGCGCATGCATAATGTCACATGTGTGATGCCCCCCACCCAATCCAGCCAGGCCCATCCACTGCCAGCCACCTTACTTTTTTGAAAAGGATGCGCAGGTGAAGATGCTTTGCCCTGCACGTCCCTGGCAAAGATCGCCTGTGTGTCTTCCGGGAAGGTGGGTCAAAGTTGCTTCACCTTGCCAGGTTCCTGGCAATACTCAAAAGGATATGGCAGGGCTAAACATCTTTGTCCTGGTGTGTCCTTTTGAGGTTCACCACATTTGGGGAACCCTTCTTGAAAACATGGGGGAGGGGTCCCCAAAATTCAGTTATTGCAGAGGCAGCGGGAGAGATGTGGCAGAAACTGATGTCAGCAGCAACCGAGCAAGATGGAAGATCACCTGTGCATTCAAATGTGTTTGTGGTGATAGTTCTGATTTATTTATTTGTGGTGGTTAAGGCTGCCCTTTCAGAAACATTACCTTAAGAATATTCTGTCGCCTAATTTTAAAAGTAGAAGATACGCACCTCAAACTCTCCTTTGGTGTACTTGGCATCAGGCACGCTCACAATTTCATCTTCAACCATCTCAGGGATTCCCTGAAGCACCAAGAAGAGGAGTCTTAGATTTGATTATTGAGCAACACAGGAGATAAACAACAGTATCACAGAATTATTACTAACTGCAATATATGGCTGCTTATGAAGTTAGTAATATGCCATTGTAGGACACAAGGAACTGTGAATATTGTAGAATTCTGGTACTTTTCACTTTCTATGTTTTAGAAAAGGTATCATTCTTTTTAAAATGTATCCTTTATCCATTATTTCTATTTATGTATCTTGCCTAGGTTAAGAAAATTCCTTAAAATCCCAATCAAAAAATATTAAAGTGGTTTATGTATGTAACAGCAGCAGATAGGATTCTTTATGCGCAGAAGTGGAAGCAAGAAGTTCCCACGAAAGAAGAATGGATAAGCAAGATAATGGACTATGAAAAACTGGGGAAAATTAACAGCAAAATTAAGAGAATCTTTTATAGAAGAATGGATGCCTTTTTCGGACTACTTAAAGAAATATTATAGTACGATGAACTTGCGAGCAGGATTTGAGCTGTGAGAAACAGGTGTAATCAGATTATAATATTGTAGTTTTGATTTAATAGATAGAAAATAGGGTGCAGTGGAAGGGGAGAAACAACAACTCCATGAAAAACGGGGTGGGAATCAACAAAAATAAGAGAAAATATATTATTGTGTCTTGATTGTATACGTTAAAAAAGTTGAAACTAGTCCTTAAAATTGTTCTGCAAAAGCCAAGAGACTTTTAACACCAAGAAGATTTAAACCCTGGGCACTGCACACATTTCAGGAAGGATTTTGCCCATAATATCAGGTACCCCTCCCTGCAGAATCCCAGACCCCTCACAAAGTGGGACACAGGTCTCCAAATTAGTACATACGTTGAAATGCCAGAGGGTGAGGACAGCAATCACCATGGCTGTGGTGGTTCTTCCTCTGCCACTGTGGCAATTGAACACAAAGGCTGTGCGGGAGTCTTCAGCCAGAGCACCCTTCATGGCTTCCAGCAGCTGGTCAAAGTCCTAAAGGTGGCACACAAAGGGCATTTGTGAGCAGCCTAGTCTTTCTCGTGTGTGTGTGTGTGTGTGTATGTGTGTGATTTTCACATGTGCTCAGTACTGTACTCACGGCATGTGCCAAATGTATGTTCTGTCCCTCATAAGGCCTTTAGGTGGCAGCAATGCCCTGATGAGGCAAATCCACTACAAACAGACCAGATTTTAATCACACTAAGTTGCTGCAAAGGGATTCTAAATAGCACCTAACTAATGCATGTTCCAATGCCTCTTTTAAGTAAACGTAAACCGGGTTTATTGTGGGGGACGGGCTCGCCCCCATCTAGGGGCTGAGCAGCCCGAGACTTTAGTTGAGTCATGTGAACTGTGTCACATAATTTGGAGAAGTGCAAAAAACCACAGGACAACTGCATTTCATGAAGCACAAATCAGGTCTGTTTACTTAAAAACACGAAGACTAGACAAAATCCCAGGGGGCATCCCTATTGCAAAATCTTTTTTTTTTTTTTAAATCATATTTATTAAAGTTTCCAAAAATATAAAAATACAAAGAAAAAAGACAAAAGAAAGAAGATATTTAAAAACCTTACTTTCATTCCCTACTTTCTGGGACTCCCCCTCCCCCAATTGTATTCCCCTTTCCTTAATTTGGTTCTACAAGCTCTCACTCCCAATTTAAAGCTTAATTTGTTTAACCCACTATCCAGATTGAATTGTACGAATCTTGCCACCGTCCCACTTCATTAACAGAAAAGAAAAAAAGATTTTCCCCAAAATCCACCCCAGTTCCTTCCACAAATTCCCTTTTTTTTTTTAAACACGTCTGATCAAAGTAAAATAACATGCGTAAGTTATGTAAAGAAATAGAAAATAAGAGATATAGAAAAATTCAAAAAATGGTTACACAGCCTTTGGATTTCAGATCTGGTCCCCCCCCCGTCCCCGGGTTGAATTCCCCCTGTCCATCAGTCTATACATTATCAGCTTGGAAGTCTCATTTCATGACCAGATTTCTCCCCGAGTCCAGCTTGCCGGTTTTCTTTTAGTTTATTAATTTAAATAATATTTGACTTCAAATGTCCAATCTAACAAAGGCCTTTAATTTCCTTGATCTTTACCACTCCTCCCGTTGTTCTTTCCGTGTCGTAATCAGTCCTTTATTCTTCTTATTCCTCACTTTCTCAGGTTTCTTGTCCTGTTCAGCTGCTAAAACTTTCTAATTCAGAAATCTAGTGTCTCTGCAGAGGTTTGTTATTCAGGAACAAAAACTTACGTCCAGTCCCTTTCTTTCTTCAATAAAAATTCCATTGTCTTCCTCTGTAGACAAAATACTCTTTCAGTTTTGCAGCTTTCCCAGAAGATAACAAATCCTGTGCGAATCCCAGGGTATTTTTCCACTTACGACCGTTCTTGTAGTATCCCGAAACCCCTCTAGGGGATTGTAATAACTTTGTATCCTCTAATCCAAAAGTCAAATTGTTGCTTATTTTCCAACAGTTTATATCCATATTATAGCAAATTGTAACAAAATTTAACCAGCAAGGTCCTCATAACAAAGTCCTCTTTATATTCCCCAGCTTTGACAGCCACTTTAACAGCTGTCAAAGTCTCCGTCTCTCTTCACCAGGCTCCACGAATCGCCCCGGTTCCCAGGGGGGGGGTTGCATTTTTCTTCTCACCCTCCACTCTTCTCCTCCAGCACATTTCTTATAATTTCCCATCGTGAAATTAATGATTTTTATCAGAGACATACTTCCCTTTGGACCTTGGTTACCCAGTCCTTGTTTTGGAATGCTTACAATAGGGGGGGGGATTGACTTCCTTTTAAATCGCCCCGCTCGTGCCAAATCCAAAATTTTGAACCCGGTTTCCCAATTACTCACGGGTTGTTGTTAATAGTCCAAATTTTCAATAGAAGAAGTCAGCGCTCTCCGTCGAATGGCATGCGGCTGCGCTCGGCAGGGAAAGCAGTGGACTCAAGCACCACGCCACTCCCCGGCACTCCGATCCGAAGCCTTTAAAAAGGCTCCTTCACGAGTCGGGAGGGCGCTAATGGTGCAAGCCGAGTCACCCATGTCCACGGACTCCGTGCCCGTGGTTTTTAAGGGTCCCCGCGTCGCCGGCGCGGTAGGACCCAGCCCCTGCCGAGCAGACTCCCTCCGGAGCTCGGAGGGAGTCCGCCATTCGGCGATGGCGCTAACCCGGAAGCTCTCCCTATTGCAAAATCAAGTGGATGGGGCGAAGGGGGGTGGGAAAAAATAATGGCCCCTGGTTTTTGTCTAGCTGACAAAATGGTTTTAGGACAAAGCATTATGTGCAGCTGTGCAATTTTTTCCCCACAAGAGGCTTCACTTCCCTGCCCCCACCCACCCAAAAAAGAAAGGCACCCACAAAAGGCTGGACTATTCAGTAGAAGACTAGCAAGTGGAGAGAAGGGTTGCTTAAGTATCAGCCATCTTAAAATTCTCCATGTGGAAGAAGGTAAGGGGCGGAGATATGGGGTCCCTCTGTTGTGCTTACCTTTTCCTTAGGAGCACAGAAGTCTGGGATTGGAACCCGTTTATACACCAACCCTTGGCAGGTGCTTTTGTGCTGGTTGAAGACTTCCTGCATGGTCAGGCATGTCTTTAACATTTTCATCTGCTTCTCCTGTTCCAGATAGACCTCGAGCCATTTCTGGGATTTCAGCAGGTCATTCTTCACAACAGATTCGAGTTTCTGAAGGAGGGAAGCAATGAGGCCAAACCAACAAACAAAAAGGCTCATGAGGAATTACCACAGTTAACTATGCAATTATCACTTTTCGTTTCCCTCTGGCCTCACTCACGTACAATTCCCCTCCCCACAATCCTTGTGTGCCTACTTTTTGTAACTGCGTGCATCTGACAAAAAGGAATGAGGTCTATGAAAGCCGGTGCCATTAATAATAATGAATTTTAAAAGATGTTTAAATTGGTGCTCCCCCCCCCAAAAAAAACCCCAAAGCCTTGTTGCTAGGGATAATTGGGATGGAGGCTCCGAAGAAGCTGACTATTTGTTTTATGTATGCAACAACCGCAACCAGAATTCTATATGCGCACAAATGGAAAAAAGGAAGAGATTCCAACCCAAGAAGAATGGCTTATAAAAGTAATAGATTATGCTGAAATGGCGAAACTGACTGTAGAACTAAGAGACCCAAATGATGAACTGTTTATGGAAAACTGGAGGCCTTTTTATACTGTTGAAGTATTATAGCGATATTAAATCGTGAGCAGGATTCGAGATATGAGTGGTGGTGGGGAAAATACAAGATGGAGTTGTATAATGCAGCAACCAAGGATAAGAACAAAAACACCAGGGTGGGAAGTCAAAAAGAAATATATAAGAGAATGGCATATTGCATGTGAAGTAAATTTGTTTAAATCTTTGATGAACAATAAAAATCAATTAAAAAAAAAAGAAAGCTGATCAATTTAAGGCTCCAAGGTGCTCCAAGGTGGAATTAAAAAAATAAATGGAGTGAGCCAATAATACTTTCAAACTCAATTCATCTGATAAATAATGCAAAGGGAGAACAAGCAAGGCTGGCATCTGTTATTACTAAGAAAGATGATCGATCAGCTCCATATGGAGACGCAAAGGTTAAATCTGGGAAAGACAACAGGCTGAAAAATGTCCTTTGTGATGAGCGTGCCACCATGGATGTGTCCCCCTTGTTCACTCCTGCATCGTAACAGTTTAAAAACCGGGGCTTGGGGTGGGGGGTGCAACAGTTAGCCTGTCACACCAATACAACAACAGCCACAATGAAAGATGCAAAGTGCCATCAAATGTCAAAAGGTAGTAAGAATCTCCTTGTCGGATACTTTTTAACTGCATAGCATCCTTAGAAGCCACCCTAGAAAAACACTATCATTTTTTTCCCAATTCCTGCAGAGTGGCTGCCTGTTGTGAAATGCTAACTGCCCCAGATCAACTCAAAAGTTTCCCAATACTTACCTGGCGAAGGAAAAAAGAGAAGTTAAAAGCGCCTGAGCTCTCACCTCCAGCTGTTCAGGTGACATTGCAGGCACTGTAATCTGCTGCTCCAGGTTGCTAACCTCTCGGACGGTGTAGGTTTGCTCGTTCCCTTCTAGGACCACATCTTCGCGAAGATTGATCCACAAGATGTGGGAATACTTCCTCTTCGTATCTGTCAGGTAGCTCAAGACATTCCCTATAGCCTGAAGAAAATGAGTAATAGTGGTCTTGTAGTAAGGTTAACACTTACTGTGGTACCTCGGGTTACATACGCTTCAGGTTACAGACTCCGCTAACCCAGAAATAGTGCTTCAGGTTAAGAACTTTGCTTCAGGATGAGAACAGAAATTGTGCTCTGGCGGCACGGCAGCAGGAGAAGGCCCCATTAGCTAAAGTGGTGCTAAAGGTTAAGAACAGTTTCAGGTTAAGTACGGACCTCCGGAACGAATTAAGTATTTAACCCGAGGTACCACTGTACTGGGAAATGATATATAATGAATTGAAAAGGATGTTTAAAATAATGTTTGTAAAAATAAAAAAAAACACCAGAAGCTTTTCTTTTGGGAATTATAGGGACAGAACTACCAAAACTGTATAGAAACTTATTCATGCTACTACAGCTGCAAGAATGCTACTCGCTGAAAAATAAAAAGAAGCAGAAGTCCCAGCAAAGGAAGAATGGATACAAAAACTTATGGAATATGCAGAAACGGTGAAACTTACTGGAAGAATAAGAAAGCAAGATAACAAACTCTTTATAAAAGAATGGAAGTGGTTTATTGAATATTTACAGATAAATTGTAAGCAGATAATAACATTGGCAGGGTTGTTGTAATGACCTCCAGTTTTATAAGAGTATACATTTAAAGTAAGATGAATAAATGAGCAAATTAAGTTAATTTGTATATGCACAAGATATTAAAAATAAGTTTAAGGTAATGCAGAAAGAGGGGGAAGGAAGTCAAGTTTTGAAATGTTAAAATGATTGCAAAATTAGTGAAATGTATAAACCTGAAAAGCAATCAATCAATCAATCAATCAATCAATCAATCAATCAGAGAATGCCTGCATTTAAATGCCTGCATTTAAAAAGATTTAAAAAGCAACAACCCTACAACTGGTTAGTTGTGTGACTGTTTCTCAAGGGCTCTCAGTCAGCTTCCTTTTGTTTCCACAACTTCACTGGGTTTCACAGGTGTGGGAAATCTGGAAACTCCACTGTCTTTTTATTTTATTTTTTTAAGGATCAAATTCCTGTTTTGATTTTTTAATAATAATAGTAATAATAATAATGCCTGTTTTTAATCCGAGAGCTCTCTGGCCCTATCTCAGTCTCTCTTCCCAGAAACTACACAGCATTGTTCGATTACCTTGGCGTTTGGCTGTGCCATCCCATACACAGGCATCTTGGGGACTCTCCGGAAGTTGGCCACGCTCATCTCCTTGACCGTGCTGAGCACATCTGGAGAAAACCTTTCATCCACCACCTGTGACAGAAGCAGAAGAACTCTGAAGGCTGCGGCAACCAACTAGGAAAAGCTGGACATTCATTTTGCTCATGCAGTTCCCAGAGACACTTCCTCAAGCACTTCCTGCCTCGGCAAGATCATAGCGGGAAGGACAGCAGCTCTTACACCAACAACCTCCTTCCATATCCCACTTAAACTAAAAACCTAATGGGGTGCCTTTCCAGATGAAGCCCGTCAGCCGCAGCCAATGTGGCCGGTGGTCAGGGATGAGAAGCACCGCAGCCCAACAGCATCCGGGGGTGGGCACCAGGTTGGGGAAGAGTGGCCTACAGAAAGAGCAACAATAGTCCCCAAATCACATGAATGCGCTGCAGATCTGAAATCACCCAAAGCATACGCAGGTGCAGAGGGTAATCCACCCAATGGGTGGCATTCAACTATATCCCACCCGGAGCAGACCCACTGAAATTAACGAACCTAACTTAGCCACGTCTACCAACTTAATGGGGCTACTCTGAGTAGGGCTAGCACTGAATGCCACCCAATGTCCACTGGTGCTCAGGCATGCCTGCACACACTCAGTTTAACAGAATCCCTGGAAGAACGTGCTGTTACGTTTCATAAAACCTGGCTGCATCCTCAGAAGAAGGCTGAGCATGTAGGGGTGGGGGAGAAAGGGGATATAGTCCAACCCTTTAACAAGGAAATCAATTACATCACAAGCGGGAGCCAGTGTGGCACAGTGGTTAGAGTGTTGGACCTGGGAAACCAGGGTTCGAATCCCCACTCAGCCTCAGCCTAACCTACCTTACAGGGTTGTTGTGAGGCTAAAATGGGGAGAACTGTGTACGACACCTTGAGCTCCTCGGAGGAAAAGTGGGATATAAATGTAGTTGTGGTAGTAATAAATAATAATTATTATTACAGAAATGTAATAAAATGCAGAGCTGCTGTCCAAGATGGGTGTTCAAGAGTCAGGCAGTGTAGGCAGGCTGATCAGGGTAAATATATTTAATAATAATAATAACGACAACAATAATAATAATAACTGAAAATAGTTGACTCACCAGCACCCGTGCCCCCTTAGTTATCTGCTCCCCTGTGACCACAAGCTCCGACAGGTTCATGTTGGCCTGAAGCCTGTATAGTTCAGAGTGCCTGCACATCCATCGGCTGAAATCTAGGGCAAAAGCAAGGGGGTACTTCCAGTCCAGGAAGGGGAGACAAGACAGAAAGGGACACTGTCAGAAGCAGGCTGCAAACCAATGTACTGCACACATCACAAGTAATCATTAGAAAACATGGCATCCTGTTGGCACAAAAAACACTATCTTCTCCTTATGGAATAACACGAATTGGCTGAAGGTGCTGCTAGTTGAGGCCATAATCTTAGCAGCAGAGAGAATTATGTAAATGTTTTCTTGGGAATGGAAGACACCAGGCATGGTGGCCAAATCTGCTGTCGCAGTACAGGATATAAGGTTGTCCTTTTCTCCCTTTCCTTTCCTGTAAACCAGTGTTTCTCAACCTGACCGCTGGTGTTGCTAACTAGGGATGATGGGATTTGTAGTCCAAAAACAGCTGGAGACCCAAGTTTGGGAAACACTTGCTGTACACCAACATCGCAAATTATCAAGGGGGTTTTCGCTTGATTTGACTGAGCTCAAGGTTTCTTTTATTACTGGGCTCGTAATGTTTTCATCATAGTGGCCACTGAGTGAACGGTAAAGAGCAGTGGGAATGACAGTGACACTGACAACAGCCAACTGGATGCCATCGCCTTTGGCTAGCGCAATAAATGTTTATCTAACACAAGCCATCTCCCTTTACAATTTGATCTGACCACAAACTCCCAAGAGCAGGCATAGGCAAACTCAGCCCTCCAGATGTTTTGGGACTACAGCTCCCATCATCCCTGACCACTGGTCCTCATCCCTGACCACTGGTCCTGTTAGCTAGGGATGATGGGAGTTGTAGTCCCAAAACATCTGGAGGGCCAAGTTTGCCTATGCCTGCCCAAGAGCTTGCCAGCAGAGAAACTTTCGATGACTGGTTGGGTTCAACATTCACTTCAGTCTCTGTGGATTCAGCATTTCGCAAGGACCCCCATGTGGGTCTGCTCAGGCTTCTCCCACCCCACAGCTGTGGTGCCTAGACTGTGGAACACCCTTCCCAACAGAGACCCTGTCTGACTCATTACTTTTTGCTATAAAGTGGAAATGGGGCTTTTTAAGAGATGTTTTGGCCTGATTTAAAAGCTTTTTTGTTTTGTTTTTTGCCTCTTGCAGCTTTTAAGGATATTTTTGCTTCATTTTCAAGCTTGCTTCCCCTCTTCCCTCCCATTTCACTTTCCTCCTGTGTTTACATGGCAAGTCTTAGGGGGCAAGGGACCATATTGGATCTGGCTTTCGTAAGCTGCTCTGAGAGCCTTTTTTTGGCTCTGAAGAAAGAGGCTTGGTGTCTGGTTCCTACCCCCCACCCTTGGCACTGCAACATCTAGTTCCACTTTCCCTGACATATGTAAGGTGTCTGCACCCCATCACTGGGTACACCCGGCAAGGGTGGGAAGATGCACAGCATCGTTTAGGGGCTCAGGGAAGAATACTCACCTGTTCGTGAAGGTAATAGTTGAAAGCTATCAAGTAGAAGTAGCGCTCAAGGCTCTGCAACGTCCTCTGAAGGAAATACTCTTTGGTGCTGTTCCCCTACAATGCAAACACACAAATAGTAATATTAATAAGAGGCACTTGCCATTGTTGTTGCTATTAAATTTGCATCCCACCTTTCCTCCCAAAGAAGCCCTGGGTAGCAAACACCAAGTGACAAAACAATAAAAACATCTTAAAAGCAATTCCAAAACAGACACAGACTGGGACAGATCTTAGCTTAAAAATTTTGTTGAAGGTAGACTGTATTTGATAGGCACCAAGACAACAGAAGCTGTGTTAATATTCATGGGGAGGGGATTCCAAAGCGTAGGTGCTACCACACTAAAAGCCCATTGGTGCAGAATGAACATGCTAATAAGAGGGTATCTCCAGGAGGCCTTGACCCGCAGAGTAGGGCTAGGCGATATCTGGTTTTCAACACTTTGATATTATCACCCAGGGAGTTCCATGGTTGAGTGAGGATTTGACTGATTTCCCCTGTCCAACTACAAAACTAAACCATACTGGCTCGCCATATGGAAAATGTAGAACTTTAACATTTGACTCTATTTATAAAGGGACTACATTCTGTTTTGGGGAGGTGTGGCGGGGGGAGAGAAAGAATTTGGCAAGCAGTCCACTGGAAATCTGTGACATTACATAATTGTCTTTCGTTAATATTTACTTGTTATCCCCTTTAAGAGAAATCCGGCCACAAGTCATTTATCAAAAAGATTAAGGAACATGCTTAGGACTAAACTGAACATTCTCCTGCATGGAAAATATGCAGCTATTCGTTAAAGGGGGAGAGAGAAGAGATAACTGGGCACGCGCCACATTAAAGTCTCCCTAATTATCTGTGGGGTGAAGGTGAGGCAAGAGTTTAAAATTGTGACACACTTTATGGTTGCCCTCTAACATTCATTTGTCGAGTGAGCGATACCATGTTTTTTGTTAGCGTAAACTTATATACAAGCCTGTTAAACAAAAAGGTCCCTTCTTGCCTTTTCTCAGTGAAAGAAGACTGAATGGTGCAGATATCAGATTTATATGTGATTTATCAAGACAAATGTAGCCTGCCCAACCACTGTGGCCTGCCAGGTACCGGTCAACCTTTCCCATTTTTGCAGTTCCAGATTGGGGATGAGGGGAGGTGAAGAGAGGGATATTTAGCCACTATATAGCTGACAGCCATTAGCGGCTTTTGAGATGGAATCAAGAGATTTACAAGCTGGAAAGGCATGGTATACACTATAAACATAGATTTACAGAGACACACATCGCTCTTCCTCCATGATGCATTTTGTCCAATGAGAACATAACCCTAGGAAATTTTTCCATTGTTTTAAGAAGAGCTGTTGCTGTGTTTGAACTTCAAATAAACAGTCCCTGTGTTTGAAATGTAGAGCGGGGTCCAAAGGCTTATTTCTCAGAGCCGCTGAAGTCATACGCCAGCCACATCCTGCAAAGGCCAAACTGAAATTCACCCTGACAGGAAATCCAGGGCTGCATTCGCAAAATGGCTGCTCCAGAGCTCCATTCGCAAAATGGAGTGGTTCTTCCCCATTCTTTTTCACCTTATGAGGTAGATAGGGTTGTGATGAGACAGTGTCTGGCCCAAGGTCACCCAGTGATCTTCAAACCTGAGTCTCAGAGCTGGGCCCTATTATGAGGCACAGTAAGGTAGCTGCCTCAAGCAGTGGGTCAGTGCTTGGCACACCAGCCAGCTTGCTCCTTTGCAAGCAGGGCTTACACCTGCCACCCTTTAAAAGAATCCAAAGGACGTGCTTAAATCACACTCCTGATTCTTCCTTTAAAGTGGTATCACCTGACACCACAGGATGCCACATTGCTGACAGGTGGGTAGTCCCGCCTACCAGTCACAAGCAGCCTGCAGAGGGTGGATTAGAGCAGTGATGGAGAACCTCAGGCCTGAGGGATGAACGTGGCCTCTCTGCCTGCTCCTTGGGATTCCCGCCAGACCACATCCCCTTTCCTCACCGTGCCCCTCCTTTGCGTGTTTCTGATCGGCAAGAATGCATCTGTGAACTCCCATAATGCTTTGAAGCATTATGTCAGGTGACAGGGTGTCAGGTGATTCAGTTGGATGGAGGACAGAGGGGGCTGTGTTAGTGTGGCCCCCAGAACGATGACTAGAAGGGAATTAAGACTCTCAGGCTAAAAAAAGGGGGTTCTCAACCCCTTGATTAAAGTACTAGGCAACAGTTTTTCAGCATGCATCAACAGAATGAACTTTGTATTTAACTGAATAATGGTCTAAAAATTCATTTATGTGCTAACTAATTAACTGTATTGTGCCTACTAATGCACCTCGCTATAAAGGCAAATATCAAAGGAGTTGGGGCTTTGGAACGCTGCAAGAAGAAGAAGAAGTTATTTATATGTCGCCAGCCACTCTGGGCAGCTTCCAACAAATTAAATCATTAATAAGCACAGTAAACATTGATGAAATATTAACAATTGAAGGACTGTTACTTCAGTCTTCTTTTCCGAGGTGCAGCTGCCACACCTTCCTTGCACAAATTAAAAACCAAGAGTTGCTTACACAGCCTTGCATATAGCACTTTTTTCACAGGAGACTAACTGCAGCTAATAGAGCTGGATTAAGGCAGGGATGAGGAACCTCAGGGCGGGAGCCAAATGTGGCCCTCCAGACACTTGTACCTGGCCCTCAAGATTCTCCTCATCCCACACCCCTTCCCCAGCCAAGCCCCTTCCCCGCCCCCCAGCCCACATCCTCACCAGTCCTGCCTTGCACCTTCCATGCCTGTTAGACACAGCCCTTGCTAAGGAACAAAGAGAAGGAAAAGAGACAAAGGCATTGAACAGCTGGCAAGAGAAAAAGACCCTCAGGTATGGGAGGGAAAGAGCTTTTATGAGAGTTCAGCCCTGCCACCACACACACATTGCCCCAGGGATGTAAGACAGTTTCCTTGCAAGTGCAGTTAAGTCTCCTTCAGCCAAGCAGGAGGTGGCGCAGAAGATAAAGCCCTTCTGGTGTGAGCCCTGGCACCACCCAAAGCCTGGACCCTTCTTTACAAATGTGATGATAAAAAACAAATAATAGCAAGTGCTTTTATCTTCAACGGCAAGTGTTCTCTTGAAAAAACAATACATCCTTCTGGTTTCCTGAATAAACATTTGGAAAGCTTTCTGACTTTCAGTACAACCCGTCCTTGTTTATAGCCATAATTTACACCTGAATAATTTTATAGTCTATCCTGTTTATGTCTTTAGGCACGCGGGGGGCGGGGGTGTGTGTGCAGGGAGGGAAGGGGAGAGAGGCACCCAAAAGGAAAATTGAAGCAGTGTGTCACCTGTGCTCATCTTTCCTTTTTCACATTTCTTGTCAACTTTTAGGAAAAAGCTGTATGTGAGGAACGGAGAGAGCATTTTCTCAAAAAGTGAAACAAAAAATCTAAGAAGCAGTAAGGACAGATGAAGCCGAGTCTCGGAACTATTGAGAACTGTACACACTAATTAACAACAGTGGGTCCAATAAGAGGCAACCCATAACACCGACAATGAACTGGTATGCAAAAGGAGAAAATGTCTAATGAAGCTTGGGAGAACTAATGAGCAAGTGCAATTTCTATAAAACGTGTTATGCTGAATGGGGCTACTGAATGCTACTCTATGGCCCTTGGAAGTCCTTGGAAGATTTTTAATGCACTACATAAAATGCTAAGAATAATATTTATTTTTAATATTCTAGGGAAGCAAGATGCTAAGATATTCTGCAGTGGCAAAGTCACATGTGTATGTATACCAATGTAAGTTCCTAGCTAGGATGAGTTGCAGCAACACAACTAAGCCAATACCCCACAGCTCCTGAAAGTTGTTAGGAGACCCCTAAAAAAAAGTAAAGGTAAAGGACCCCTTGACTCCGAAGTCCAGTCAAAGGTGACTATGGGGTTACGGCGCTCATCTTGCTTTCAGGCCGAGGGAGCCGGCGTTTGTGCACAGACAGCTTTCTGGGTCATGTGCCCAGAATTACTAAACCACTTTGGGGCGCAACGGGACACCGTGACGGAAACCAGAGTGCACGGAAATGCCATTTACCTTCCCGCCCCAGTGGTACCTATTTATCTACTTGCACTGACATGCTTTCGAACTGATAGGTCAGCAGGAACTGAGACAGAGGAATGGAAGCTCACCACTGTCATGCGGATTCAAACCGCCAACCTTCTGATCAGCAAGCCCAAGAGGCTCAGTGGTTTAGACCACAGCGCCACCCGTGTCCCTAGGAGACCCTTAGTCTCCTCACAGAGCTACAATCCCCAGAGTGGTTTAACAACCAATCCCTCGTCCCAGGAAACTCTGGGAACTGTAGCGCTGTGAGACGAATAGGGGCTTCCTAACAACTCTTGGCACTTTTAACAAACTACAGTTCCCAGGATTCTTTTGAGGGAGCCATGACTGTTTAAAGTGGTATGACATGGCTTTAATGTGCAACACAGATGGAGCCTAAGTTAAATTTTAAAAGGTGGCCTTTCTTCCAAGGAAACATCATTTGTGAGCTGAGGTAGACGTACATTAAATATCCCAATGTCCCTTAGAAAGGCATAATCATAACATGGGTCAAACCCAGCTGCGGACGCCACTTTAGGAAACTTAATAATGCCATAAGCTTAGGTCAAGATTTTAAGTAGTAAACTAATTCAATCATTAAATTAAATGCTTAAAAATTCAAGGAGGAGGCTCAGCCCGACCGATACCTGAATCCGATAATCTTCTCCAATCCCTTCCAGCTTCTTCTTATTCTCGTAGATGGCTTCCTTCATGTCATGCATTTCCGAACACAAGGAAATAGCGGAATCCACCTGAGAAAGCCAAAAGCCAAATGTCAATCTACTCAAGAGAGAGAGGATTCTGTACCCTTCAATCTCTTGCATGCTACATTTGCGCACACCCCCATTGGTCTTATCGCCTGGAAAGGCACTCCCCAGTTTAACAGCACAGTTCAAAATTGCGGCCACTTTCTGGACAACCTTCAAACTTATCAAGTTCACAGGTAATCGAAAAGTTTCTAGCATAGATGCATTCCCTTTCTTCATTGGGGGGTTGAGAACAACTGGGGAGAATAAACAGCATTGGTTTTGACTGTGCTGTTCTCTTAACCAGGTTTTATTAAATTTGTTTCACTATTCCATGCATTTGTATAGAACCCCCCAAAACGGTGCTGGTAGGTACAACCTAATTAAAAGAAAGAAAGTCCATCATCAACCTCCAACATTAACCATTATGCAAATAATGCTAAAGGAGCACTGCAACCGGTGTGTGCTCCCCAAACATTTCATGTTGGTGACACACTTTTTGGACATGCATCATTTTGCAGCACAATAATTCAGCTTTACTAGCAAACTGGAGGTTAAGCTAACCCCTTTCCAGCCCCAGGAGCTTGGGGAGTGTTCGCGCGACACACAGTTTGGAAAGCTCTGTTCTACACCCTTGACTAGCTGTTGTGAAGAGAGCTTTGACAATCACTTCTGAACAAGTGGTGCCCGATAACACCATCTTAGCCTTAAAGAGATATGGTGTGCTTGGTTCTACATCAGTAGCTGCCACGGGCAAGGACTTCAGACAGCAGAAATGGGGGGCGGGGAAGAGAAAGGGAGTCAAGAGAAGGACAAGGGCAGCAGGGGATGGGTGTCATGGACTTTATTGCCAAGGCTCCATCTGCAAATCAATGCAAATTTGCTTACCTCCTCAACTATCTGCTGGCCTTTCGGTACTATGTCAATAAAGGTCTGAATAATTCGAAATCGATCCCTTGGCAAAGACTTAGTGGGCTGTGGAAGGCTGTAATTGGAAAAGGTCAAAATATGATTTCTTTAATGTGAAGTGAACTCTCTCTCTCTTTCTTTCTTTCTCTCTCTCTCTCTCTCTCTCTCTTTCACACACACACACACACACACACACACACACAGCTATGCCAACTTGAGAGCACAATTCCACCCATTCAAAAATATCCATCAGATGTAATCCCCTGCTTCATATACCAACACCCTCATATAGACACACACAAGCCATGGTGTTTATTACATCCACACTCAATGAAATATCATTCCGCTTCAAGAGCTGGCCACTTATATACTACTACAGGAGTCAATAATGTCTCCCAAGCCAATTATTTCATAATCCTATTTTCCTGTTCTGCATTTTGGTCATCTACATGCAACATATAAAATCATAGAATCAAAGATTTAGATCATAGAATCACAGAATCATAGAATTGCAGAGTTGTAAGGGACCCAAACAGTCCTCTAGTCCAACCCCCTGCAATGTAGGAAGGTAAGCAGTGCATGCTTTGTTTTCCCAGCATAATAACCCTAGAGCAGCCTTTCTCAACCTTGGGTCCCCAGCTGTTGTTGGGCTACAACTCCCATCATCCCTGACCATTGGTCCTGCTAGCTAGGGATGATGGAAGTTGTAGTCCAACAGCAGCTGGGGACCTAAGATTGAGAAAGGCTGCCCTAGAACGTCTAGGGTTCCCACAAATGCTTCTCCTGTAGTTTATGGGGTGGCTTAGTTACTTGAGACACAACTATTTGCACTGTCATACTTGCTCCCACCAATCAGAGTTATAGCAGCAATGGAAAGTGAGACACTGTGAACCAGGGTACAAAGACTGATCTGCAAGGGAGAGTGGTGTATGGAGGTGAAACCTAAAAGAGTCTTCAAGTCTCCCCTTGAAACTATATAGTTCCAAATGGAGTACAGCCCCAACATTTGGATGTAAGGGAAGCCAGAATCTCCAATGCCAGTCAAACCAACACTCCTCCCTCTCGGCTTCATTTCCATTATGCTAGCTCAGGATGAAAAGGTATACTTACTCTTGTTTCTGCAGCCCACCCTTGCGGTGATAAAGCACCAGAGTGCCCAAAACCATGGCTAGGTTGGTCCTTCCGACTCCTGTTTGGCAGCTGAAGAGCAGGGCGGGAGGAGGCCTGCTGGGGTCTTGGAGAAGGAGCACATTGGGACTTTCCTGCAGGACAAAAATACAGTGCCATTCCCTCAGATTGACAGCTGATGGGGCCAGAGGAGAGGTCTCTCTTATAATCTGGGAAATAACAGGCTTGTATTGCTGAAGCACAGGAGGGAGAGAAGGAAAAGTACATGGCAGAAAGAGGATAGCGGCATTTCTCCCAAACTAGACCGCCATCTCGTTTGTTCTGCTATCAGGGGGTTGATAGTTATGTTGCTCAAGTCACATATGGTTTAATCCAGGGATGCTGAACCTGTAGCCCTCCAACTGCTGCTGGGACTCCAATTCCCAGCATCCCTGACCTTTGGTTGTGCTGCCTGGGGCTGATGGGAATTGCAGTCCCATGCCATCTGGAAGGACATAGGGTTCTGTATCCCACCAAGCACACAGGACTTGCAATTGATACCTCAGGCTAGATTGCAAGCTTTGGGGGGAAAGAAACTACTGATTTCAAACAGAGTCCAACCCGCAAACTTATTTGGGGCTTACATAAAACGTACAACTTCAGTCATCTAATCAATCTCTAAAGTGAATCTGGGAAACCAGAATGCCTCAACTCCCAACTTACACTGGAGTGGTATAGAGGATACAGTTGACCGGGTGCCTTAATAAATAAACAGAAGAGTTGGCAAGAAGACAAAAAGTGATTGATTTTTACATGCTGTTGCTGTTTCTTTTACTACTGTTTGATTTCTTTTTTTATGATGTACCATTAGTTTGTTTTTAAAATGAGCTGCCTTGAGTGCTCTTTTTTGGAGTGTGGGATATAAAAATGAACAACAAAAAAGAGAAACATTCCAAAATGGCTTACTGTTCCCCAAAGCCAGGAAGATCTTCTTACCCCCCCAAAAAAAAACCTTTCTCAAATTAACTTCCTATATTAAACATGGTTGAAAACTCCTTGAAAGGCAGAAATATTGAAAAACACATTTCTATTTCTTGTTATCAATGGAACAATATCTCATTTCTAAAACAATCTTATGCTTGCAGTTTCAAGCCACACTGATTTCAAATGAAATCAATGACACTTTTTGAAAAGTGTTTTAAACTTCTGGCTGGGTCACACACCTTTTTTAAAAAAAAACCTGTGTGGGTGGACATTTGGGTTTTTCACATCAGGCATCCAAACATGGTCGCGAAACTCCAGACACGCTCCCAAAGCGAATATAGGTTTGCCAACAAATGCCTGTATTCAGCTACAAGCTCCAGAGTGCCAAAAAATAGCCACCGCTTTTAGCTGTATGTGCATGGCAGCAGCAGGCAAAAGGAAGGAAAGATAAATCTTTCACCAACCAATGGCATCCAACTTGCGCTACCTTGAGCAGCAACAGCTTTGCATGTTGCCGCCTGTTTAAAACAGAGGATGCTACACTCAAGGCAGCTTGTAGACCCTAACATTCTTTGGCAGTCCTTACCCTGAGGAAACTGATGAAAGCATCAAGTTGCACTTCCAAGGGGGCTCCATCCATAGGCAAAGGCAGCCGGTGGTACCTGCAAAGAAAGGGGGTGTTACTGGGAGCAGAGAGACAAAAACAGCCAGGATCAAAACTATAGGCGTGTTTTTTTTTAAAATACTGCATTGTCAATTCCACTCACCCAGAAGTTAGGTTAATTCAATGTGCCAGCATGGAAAGGAGGAGGAACCCACGTGAGGGGTGGTGGATGGTGATGGGGAAAGGAATTATTTGTGGGATTGAGTGTAAGTATGTTTGAACACTTTTAAGGATTGTATGAAATGTATGTTTGTATGCTTGTATATGTGTATTAATGATGAACTATTTTAACAATAAATACTTATTAAAAAAAAAAAAGGAAAGGAGGAGGAACCCACATACGACGCCTGTGGCAACCTGCTAAATTCACTCCACTCGTCCCCCAACTCTTTCTTTTGTCAGTTGTTTAGTTATAAGCCTCTGTAGTAGGGCTGTGTTTGGTTCTTGCCATTGTTGTGTGCCTCAGTGGTGTAACAGCCTGCTCGCTTTCTGAACTTACAAGCTGTGTGCAAGGCTTCCCCTCTCAACAAAAATACTTTTATTCTTTGAACACAACTACCATTATTATTACAGTGGTACCTTGGTTCTCAAATGACTTAGTTGTTGAACAAATCGGCTCCCAAACGCTGCAAACCCAAAAGTAAGTGTTCCAGTTTGCGAACGTTTTTCAGAAGCCGAACGTCTGGTACGGCTTCCGCTTGAGTGCAGGAAGCTCCTGCAGCCAATCGGAAGCTGCGCCTTGGTTTTTGAATGGTTTCGGGAGTCAAACGGACTCCCGGAATGGATTAAGTTCGAGAACCAAGGTTCCACTGTATTATTGTTATTATTACCTGTCCTGACAACAATTTGAAATTTAGAATTAAAAACAGTTAAAACAAATTACAGTCCCAGGAATATGATGGATAGCCCTGAGAACACACATCTCAAGCGTCAAAGGCCAGGCTGTATCTAATACCAGACACACCTCTGTGGGGTGTTCCACAACTTTGGGGGGGGGGCTGCCACAGAAAAGGCCTCTTCCAGGCTGCCACCACTTCTGAAAGCAGAGGAATACTAAGGGGGACGCTACTTCTAATCTAATCTATTTACAGTTAAAAGGTTTGTCCTTGAGGAAAGTACAGTATGTTTTTACAGTTCTATTACCTTATGGGGGGGGCACGGAACCCTTAGTAATACACACACACACTGCATAAAAGGAAGATGAAGATGGGCAAAGAACATTTGAAAAGAAGAGACAGCCAAGTTAACACGAATGATATAATCAAGCAGGGACCATTTTGTTCTCTCATGGAAAAGTTACCTGTAAGATGGCAGCAGGAAGACGGGCCTCTTGTAAACTTCTTCTGTCACGTGGATGTCTTCTTCGTAGCGGATTCTCACCGAATGGGGCTCGTCTTTGAAATGCTCGATATCGTTGTAGACGTAATACGTGTTCTCCTTCAGCTGGGCAAAGTCGTGTATCTTCAACAGATAAATCCAATAAACCAACCTGAGAAGAGCCTTGCTTTATAAAACACGCCTCCACAACTTCCCTACACCTACACACACACCCCCTCCCAGAGAGTACCCACTGGCCTAATATTTTACCACAGAGACATGAGAGCGCCATGGTAAATTTCAAGTTAGAGGAATTAGTCCATTCTACCCACTCACATGGTTTATCCAAGTAGGACCTGTGCCACTGAACCAAGAGGTACCATGGCAGATATCTGTGTATCCCACTGAAAACTTTTGCAGTAATGGCCAAGCATGACCCTCCAGCTGTTTTGGGACTACAATTCCCATCATCCCTGACCACTGGTCCTGTTAGCTAGGGGTGATGGGAGTTGTAGTCCCAAAACAGCTGGAGGGCCAAGTTTGGCCACGGATAGGTCGCCATGGAAACCTGGGAACCACTTCCTATCCCTAGCCCAGTCCTATCCAGTAAGGCAGATGCTACTGAAACAACAATGGACTACACTATGACAAAGGAGCTCACAGAATGCCATGCTAATTAATATACCTGTCAGGGAACTGCCATCGGCTCAGGGGCGAGAGGGGGAAAGGCGGATGGATTACAGAGAGCCCCCAAAGATCGTGGGAAGCAGCAGAGAGCCAGTGTGGTGTAGTGGTTAAGAGCGGTAGACTCCTAATCTGGGGAACCAGGTTCGCGTCTCCGCTCCTCCACATGCAGCTGCTGGGTGACCTTGGGCCAGTCACACTTCTTTGAAGTCTCTCAGCCCCACTCACCTCACAGAGTGTTTGTTGTGGGGGAGGAAGGGAAAGGAGAATGTTAGCCGCTTTGAGACTCCTTACAGGGAGTGAAAGGTGGGATATCAAATCCAAACTCTTCTTCTTCTTCTTCTTTCCTCAGCGGAGGAAGGAAGCCACGCCTCTAGCGGGGAGGAGATGCAGGGCTCGGAGGATGCAAGGTGGTGCCAGGACACCTTGCCTGAACAAAGTGGGGAGGAGGGAGCCCCCTTTACCCAATCCTTCCTTGCGTAGTAGGCTTTCACACAGAGAGAGGAGGTGTAGGCTGGGGGTCAAGAAACTACTCTGCTGGGGAAGGTGTAAGGACCGCCCACTCTCAGATTCTGCCAGCGAGTGAGCAAGACATGGAATAGATGCGCTCTGCCTTTGTAAAGGTTTTAGCACCAATAATAAAGCTTTTGAAAAGACCAGTGAGGCATCTTCCCTGATCGCTCTTGAGCAACCACCCGATAGCCATAACAATACCTATTTGTCCTCTCAGCAGAATATGAAGTTGTCTATAATATGGCTTCCCAGTTCTACAACACAGAATTATCAGCAAATGTACACACACATACTGACTTCCCATCAATAAACTACATGACCAGCTCAATAATTTAAGTGCATACCTACCATCTAGCTATATTTTTAAAAAACACCCCAAAAATAAGCCAGAAGATCTGGAATAAAGGTCACATGTTACGTGCAAGGGGACTCCAGTGCTGCCAGTCCTGAGCTAGATAGATCAGTGGTCTGACTTTAAGAAGATAAGGCCCAACTAGCCCAGCATCCTGTTCTCGCAGTTGCTAGCCAGATGCCTGTTGGAAGCCCTCAGAGCAAGATCCGAGCACCACAAACACTCTCCCCACTTCCAGTTCCAGGAACAGGTACATGGAACAGCTTCCTATGTCTGCTGTAGTGGAATTAAGTGGCAAGGCACTGATACAAGGAATGAACGGACTATCCCATCTCTAGCAGGTCCCACGTGCAACCTCCTCGGACACTCAGAAAAATCACCTCTTTCCGAATAGAGAGCTCCAGGTTTTCGACTTTGACACCCCTGTGCAGGCTGTGCAGGTTTTCGTGCAGGTTCTCCTTTCCCCTGGGAGTGTAGGGCATGAAGTCATTGTCCACGTGCAGAAAAAGCACGGGTTCCTCGCGGACACAGAATACGATGCACTCCTGCTGCAACAGAGAGGAAAGTGTTGGCTAAACCGTGTCGGTAAGCTAAGCTGCAAGTTGATATCAGATAAGAGCCCATTTGATGCATTGCCACTTTCCTATGGGTCACCTCTTTTCTTTTTAACCTCTAGCATTTTCTTTTTGACTCTAGTGACCCTGACTAACTATACGGACTATGTGCTACATGCACAACAGCTCGAGGCAAAGCTCCCAGGTGCTGTTCCGAGAAGAATAAAAGATTGTCGCTACATCACGGTCTTCATGTACATATTAAAGTGGAATCTTTTTGTTCTGTTCCCACTCAACAGCTATATTTGGATTCATCACACATGCACACATGGGGGAGTGGGAGTATAAGAACACCACGCACATATTCGTATAGTTATAGGGACACGGAAGCATGAGGCTAACGGCACATCATAGCTGAAAGCAGATAGGAAATTATGACATAATCACAAGCACGCAAAGGCACACACAAAATGCTTTGCTAACATCTCAAATGTAGAAACGGATGGGCAACAAATTTCAGTAGCGCCTGTGCCCTCAATCTGATAAAACTGACAGCATTTACTTGGACTTTTGTTATTTTGACTCCGGTGCAACTGCTCATCGCACTATTTCATAGTTTGTTCGCCTTGTAATTTTTGTAGGTTGTTATAATTGCACTCCCTGTTTTATATGCATTACAAAATGAAATAACAATAATTAAAAGTTTACAAAAATTTGGGGGGTCATCGTGCTGGTGCCCAATGATTTATTTATTCCTTGTTTCATTAACATGTATACACCCCATAGTTGTTAAAAACAACAACCTCAAAGCGAAAAGCAAATAGGATTTTTAAAAGTAAAATGGTCAGCAGGGGCTTCACATGAACCCCCCTTACGCGTTGAAAGAACGTGTGGAGGGTTGTGGGAGTAGTGAACTGTTGTTCCCGTTCACATTCTGAGTTGTGCATTAGCTTGACTTCCATGCCCGCACAGACCTTGTGGCCGTCGCTCTGCAGTTTCTGCAGGACCTGCTTGAATCCATTTAAGCTGGGCTGGCCCATCCCAAACACAGAATATCCCCCTTTTGCCTGCCGAAAGTTCGGAGCACCGCAGCTGCTAGCAGTGTTGAGGACATCTAGCTTGCTGTATACGTCACGGACCATAAAGTATTTCCCCTGTAATAGGGAAGGGAAAAAGAAAGTAGAAAAAGTATAATGCATATTTCAACATGGAAAAGAAGGCAGGATGCTATGGGCCAGATTCAGCTGTTAAGTCCTGCTAGCAGAAGCCAGTGCAAGGTTTTCTGCTAGTGCAATGAGCCTTTTTGCCGCCATTGGGCACCCAAACCCCACAAACTTGACTTTGGGAAGGTCAGGGGAACCTCCAAAACAGTGCCCAGGGGAAGGAAAGGGGAGATCATTCCAACCAAGAAGCTGAAACGCTCACACTGGTGGAACGATCTCCAACCAACTTTTTCATACAACACATAAATCGGTCACAGAATTTGCTGCCACAAGATGCAGTAATGGCCACTAGCTTAAATGACTTTAAAAGGGGATTGACACAGATTCATGGAAGATACGGCTGTTTGCTGTATTGGCTGGAGGGAACCTCCTACTCAGAGGCCATTTGCCAGATGGGACAACAGCAGGAGAGGGCAACTGACTTCATGCTCCGCTTTCTCCAGCAGCATCTGGCTGGTCACAGCAGGCGGGGAGGGAGGAGAAGCTCTTCTTACATCCTTATGCCTCAGTCCCTGCATGCTGGATGCCCCGAGGAAAGTCTACGGTGCTCACCTGTACAAGGTAATGCTCCGGAGTAGACTCTGTAATCCGCCCCACAGTATAGCTGGCCTTCAATAAGTCATCATGAATCTGAAACTCTTCTTTGCAATTGTAGCTGTAAGAAGCACATGGAAGAAATTCAGAGTGGGGTTTTTTGCAATTAAATAGGGCTTTAAATATGTGCTTTTCTTTTTTTAGCAGTGTAACAAATACTGCAAATCACCCAAAGATCTGGCAGTAGATCCCAGTCTACTTTCTTTCCACCCCTAGTTAGTTTGGAGCACTGAGAAGAGATGAAAAGAGGTGTTAAGATGTTAGAAGTCTGTGCAAACTGCCTCTTCTACCAAACTGCAGAGGCAGAATTACAGAGGAGGCTGCCTTATACAGAGTTCAGATAGCTCAGAATTGTCCACACTGGTTCGCAGCAGCTCTCCAAGGTTCTGGGACACTGGGAATTGAACCTGGCGCCCTCTGCCTGAAAGCAGATGCTCTACCACTGAGTGATGCCTCTTCTGCCAACAGTCTGGTCTACATCTAACCTTTGATGCAGGAAGACGGGGGGAAGCAGACACATGCATTTCAGAAGAGCATAGTTAGAGAATGGTGCTGGTAATGCCAAGGTTGCAGGTTCGATCCCTGTATAGGACAGCTGCATATTGCAGGGGGCTGGACTTAGATGATCCTCAGGGTGGGTCCCTTCCCACTCTATGATTCCATGATCTGCGATTCTAAGACAACGGTTCTCTAAGCTACCAGCACAGAGGTTCAAGGAATTTCAGGAACATCACTGGTTGGTGGGCAACTCACGTGATGACTACAGGTGCCACCTTATTGGTGATAATCGACTTGGCCTTGTTGTTGTGGAGGCCGACCGTCTGGAAGGAGTGGATGCTGAGGGAATGGCGGTCTTCCATCGTTCCACTGCTGCCGTGGATATTCTCAAATGTTGCCGTCGTCGTCTGCTGAGCTGTGCTGGCAGTTGTACCCATAATCCACAGGCAGCTGTGCAAAAACAGAAGGTGAAGAAGAGATACGCGGAAAGATCAAAAGACTGCTTTTTCTGGAGTGAGGAGGAAGGAATACAAATATATCCAGGAAGAGGAAATTTGGATTTGACACAAACATACATAATCCTTTTAGAACAGCGGTGTTTTAAACCGTTTTCAGGGAAACCCTGGACCTCCACGGAAGTTTACCATTACCTCCTCAACAGAAAGGTAAGCAATGACTGACAAGCTTGTCCACCACCACCGATCTTCCCCTACGGTAGGTATGCAATTGTGATAGAGAATGTTGCACACTCGGTTCAGGAAAGGAAGATCAGAGAGGCCTGGCCTGTGCCCTTCAGAAATGAGTGATTGTGCATCTCCCAAAAAAGCCACTCTGCAGTGCTGGAGTTCTGTGGCAGATGTGCCAAGTATCCTTAGCAGATGAGCTGGTGCTGAAAGCAGTAAGTCTGAAAGCCACCCATTTATAGTTCCACCAGTTACGCTTATCTTGACATTTATAGATGGGTTTTGTTGGCTTCTAAGCATTAGTGGAGTACAGGACTAGTTTGAGGAAGTGGCCATATCCTCCGAGGAATACGCAGGATATTTTTGCACCGCCTACTGCAGTGGCTGGATTCCACTACAGACTTCCCCCCTCCCCAAACTAATCCCAGATATATGGGCCTTCTTTCATTACTGGGAAAACACAGAGAGATACATCCTGAGTGCTACCTTCTAGGTCCCAAGGTTAAGCTGTGACTCAATAAAGATTCGATTTCATTAAAACTCTTGGAAACTAAGTCAGGTTAAGCTGCAAAACGCAGGACACACACCACACACAGACTCCAGCACCGAAGTACGAAGCTGAGCCCTGTTTCTTCCTAATCCTATTCATAAATAGCTTAATAACATTCCAACTCTCACAGGAACTTGGACACCCTTTGTATCTAGAGAGCTTGTGACAAAGACAATATTTGAACTGGAAGCTTGTGGCTACGACAGTGTGAGCCAGTATCCCGTTTTTAATTAACGGCCTGTTCTTCACCCTTTCCTCCCCACAGCATCAAATCCACATAGGCCTTGGAAGCTTCTCTTTATCTGTCACCGTAATCTATTTCCCCATCTCTCTCCAAGTTCACATACAGCTATACAGAGAGCATCAGGAGTGCCACTGCCTTCATGCCTGGTCCCATGCAGAACCACGTAAATATTTGGAACGCAACACTCCTAACCGCGTGTCTAGCATGCCTCACAGGCAATACTTGGAAGAGTCATATTTATTGTCAGGTGTGCGTGCAGGAGCCAGGCCCCATACCAATAGGACTTTGCAGGACTGGGGCCTTCCTAAGTGTGTTCTGAAGAGGCAAGGTGCGGCCCCAGAGGTGAGGCCGATTGGTAACTCACAGCATCTGGTGGCAAGAGCAAGGAAGGGATATAAGGTCAGCATTTCCCTTTGGCTTTTTGCCACAGCAACACGCTCCCTGCCTTGCAGCGTTTGGCTTCGTGCTTCCTGATCCTTGAACCTTGAACCTCAGCTTCTTGACTCCTTGCTTCTTGATCCTCGGACCCCTGACTTCATGCCTCCTTGCTTCCTGACCCTTGGACTCTTGGCTTCCTGACTCCTGGCTTCTAGACCCCCATTCCTGTTCCCACCCTGCCATCTTGCCCCCAGTCCTGACGTCCCCTGCCAGGACTTTGATTGCCCGTGAACTGGACCGTGTCAACCTCTGGGGATCACAGCACCCGCGGACCTCCCCATTTTGCACCCACCAATGTCATCTGCCCCTTTCAACTTTTAAAATAAAATACTTTTGATGATCGTTTGGTTGGGGGGGCTGTCTGTTCCTTTGGGGGGGTGACTTCCCCTTTGTTGTGAGAGTGGGAAGGGGGTTGTCTGTTGTTTTGGGGACCCAAGCATTACCAGTTTTGTTTGGGTTGGTTTATTTATTGTATTTTGAGGAGGCCGTGAACATGTGCAAAATGTTCAGCGGCCCCCCCACCCCTGATACACCCCATCTATTTTTTTACTTGGGCAATTCCTAAGGCCAAGCTCTCTTGCCACCTTGTAATGGCAGTTTAACAAACAGTTGTAGCTCAGCAAGGGTATTGTGAAGCAGAAACGGAGCTTGCTGTATTGCTGCAGCCTAAAGCTGCACACTGCAAGCTACTTAAAAGGTAAAGGGACCCCTGACCGTTAGGTCCAGTCGTGGCCAACTCTGGGGTTGCAGCACTCATCTCGCTTTATTGGCCAAGGGAGCTTCTGGGTCATGTGGCCAGCATGACTAAGCTGCTTCTGGCGAAACAGAGCAGCGCACGGAAATGCTGTTTATTTTCCTGTCGGAGCGGTAGCTATTTATCTACTTGCACTTTGACATGCTTTCGAACTGCTAGGTTGGCAGGAGCAGGGACTGAGCAACGGGAGCTCACCCCGTTTAGGGGATTCGAACTGTCGACCTTCTGATCGGCAAGCCCTAGGCTCTGTGGTTTAACCCACAGCACCACCCGCGTCTCGCAAGCCACTTAACTATGTGTATATTCCTCTATGTAGTAAGGCTTGTGGACTAGAAAGATGAAGAGGAATGACCCTTGCCTGAGAAAGCAGCTTATGCCACTATCAATGCCTTAAGTCTTTGAAATGTCATATGATAAGGGTTTTAACTGCTGCTGCTTCAGCAAAAGACCACCCCTGTGACTCCTCCTAAAATCTAAACTGATTAAAATGGTACACCTTTTCGCCTATTAACCAATGGATAGTGAGAAAGTGGGTGGGCAAATCTGTAACTGACCCACCTTGAAGCCTCATTCTAATGAGAATTTTGCTGTGACAGATACAGCTTTTTTTTTAAAAAAAAAAAAGCATTGGAAAGAAGAACGAATTTCCATCAAAGGGCCCACCCAAATAAATTTTTGTTTTTACGTCAGTCAGCAGATGGCGCACCTGAGCAAGTGGGTGAATGGGCAAGTAGCTGAACAACCAAGAGACACGCCCACCTCCTGCAAAAATCCAAAGGAATTAAGTAGAAACCAGCATATCATGATGCTGATTATAGCAGGTGGGCTTGTGACACCCAAAGTTTTGTTTTCTAAGCACACTCCATAAAATATCTGCATAGCACTTTACCCATCACAAGTCTGCTTTTGAGCAACTGTCTTAATGACTTCTCCAGACCATTTATTCTTTCCCTCTTCTCCCCATTTGTTGGTGCTTCTAAACTGTAACTACCGTATTTTTCGCTCTATAGGACGCACCGGTCCATAGGACGCACCTAGATTTTTTTTGGGGGGGGATAAAGGGAAAAAAATTATTTCCCACCCCCCCAGGCGCGGGGCTGGGGTGGGGGAAGCCCGAGCTTCCCCATCCCCCAGCCCCCAGAACGGGACCCAGAGCCATGCCGAAGCTGCGTGCAGTTTGGCATCGCTCTGGGAGCTTGCGGGGCTGGAGGAGGGGGAAGCCCTCCGCCAGCCTTCTAACCAAGTCGGGGGACAGCGGGAAAGGCGCGCTGCGCCTCCCCGCTGTCCCCCGAGCTTGTGGGGCTGCCGGTGGGGCTCTCCTGAAGCCTGGAGGTGCGCACCGACCCCTCTCGCTCTCCACGCTTCAGCGAAAGCCTGCATTCGCCCCATAGGACGCACACACATTTCCCCTTCATTTTTGGAGGGGGAAAAGTGCGTCCTATAGGGCGAAAAATACGGTATTTTCAGATACGCCCCAATCACGTACTGGCAAATTCAGATTTAGGTAGGTGGCCGTGTTGGTCTGCCGCAGTCAAAATATATTAAAAAATAAAATTGTCCAGTAGCACCTTAGAGACCAACTAAGTTTGTTCTTGATATAATAAAAAATATAATAATAATAATAATAATAATAATAATAATAATAATAAATAATAATAATAATAATAATAATTTATTTATACCCCACCCATCTGGCTGGGTTTCCCCAGCCACTCTGGGTGGCTTCCAACAAAACACTAAAATACAATAACCTATTAAACATTAAAAGCTTCCCTAAACAGGGCTGCCTTTAGATGTCTTCTAAAAGTTTGGTAGATAAAAAAGGGACTTTTTTAAAAAAGAACTCATGAAAATTACAAAATATATATATGCAGTGGTACCTCGGGTTAAGTACTTAATTCGTTCTGGAGGTCCATTCTTAACCTGAAACTGTTCTTAACCTGAAGCACCACTTTAGCTAATGGGGCCTCCTGCTGCCGCCGCACCACCAGAGCCCGATTTCTGTTCTCATCCTGAAGCAAAGTTCTTAACCTGAAGCACTATTTCTGGGTTAGCGGAGTCTGTAACCTGAAGCGTATGTAACCCGAGGTACCACTGTACTTTTTAAAATTTTGGAATACTTTCTACAAACTTGTATAGGCAGGGAATTTTTCTTAGTGTCTTTTATTTAAGGAAACCCTCTTCTAAAAATAAAAAAGGTATTTCTTCAACTCAGCTCCATTTAAAAAGTGGGAGACATTCTCCCTGCCACACACACACACACACACACACACACACCACTGTTCTGCTTTTATAGGCTACTCAGCCCTCTCTCCACCAAGTAAGAAGTGTGCATGCACACGAAAGCTTATACCAAGAACAAACTTAGTTGGTCTCTAAGGTGCTACTGGACTATTCAGGTTACACAGTTAAATTGATTTGGACCTTTTGCGCCACAGACCTACTCCCCCGCCAAAGAAAAAAGATTTATTTATTTTTTGTGATAAGAAAAGCAATAAGAAAACTCACCAGAAACCATAGAGTAACATTTGCCTGGGGTAGCATGTACACAGTACGTAATGAATTAAATTTGGAATTGAATTAAAAATCACCCAAAGTTCCACTGCCAAAGGAACTTAATTCATGTTCAGTTCACCTAGAAATTCTATGAACTACTTTCAGGTGCAGTTCAGAGATTTTTTAAAATTAATACAGTGAATTGGTTAATCTGAATCAGTTCATTCCAAGCATTGCTCAAAACCCACCTCTTCAATGAAACTTTTAGCTTACCCCTACTCCCACCCTAAACAAAGCCCAAGCATGTGCAACTTCATTTGCCTATCTTCCTCTCCTGTAATCCTTGCCTCCAGTCCTGCCACTCATGGTTAAAATTTTGCAAGCACCTTGGGGCAGAGACCAGGCTTTTTTTTGCTAATAAGACCTGACTCCAGTCTTCCCCCATTTAAATAGAACTTAACCAGAAGCACCCACAACAACAGACCCACAGCTATTTAATTAGTATTCAATTAGATATTCTATAGCAGACTACATTAACACCTGGCCCAGCACACCTGGTGATTAAGACTCAGGAGATGCTAGGCCTAGTAAGCGTTTGTGTGACTATATTCAGAAGTTACTGAAACGTTTTAAACAAGACTTGGCCTCTGTTTGTATAGCTGGCAAAGTCTACTTTGTCAGACTAGTTTATAAAGAGTTGTTGCTTTCCATAGGAATGTGCTGTCTTCAAAATTAGGGAAAAGCCTCAATACATCCCTTATAAAGCACTATTACATGCATGTTCAATGACATTTCCTTCTTGCTTCAGGCTGTACCCAGTGTTCACGGGGAAACAGAGAAAAATATTTAAAATTGGAATATTCCTGCAGGATGCCAATAGGTGGAATAAACTCTGTGTGTCAAGGAAGGCTGCTTGGGTGTGGCATCTTTGCCCAGGTGGGCTCTATAAAGCTCCTCCTACCTTGTGAACTGCAACACCAGGCCTCTGAAAAGCCTGCTCATATTGTTCAGCACATTGTCCCCCTCGTGTGTAGCCCACAGGATTACTGTTCCTTAATCCCAGTAGCCCCTCCACATTATTGCAAGGCTGAGGAAATCAATGGTCTTCCAGATGCTAGACTCCAACCACCACCATCCCTTACTACTAGCCCCCAGGGGGGATTATGGGCTGCAAGTTTGTCATCCTTACCTGTGACAAAGCACTTGAAGGATTTAGACTGGAGGTAAAATGTTGGATTGAGTTCTGCGCAGGTTCACACACCAGTTTGCTCCAGCTCAGATATAGCATGGGTGGGGTTCTCTCCCTGACTTCCTACCCCAGTACTTCCTGTTTCCTTCCTGGGTCCTGATTCTCTCCCACTTAGGTCTATTGCTCATGATCAACCTGTAACTAACCCAAGTGCATGCAATTGAAGCAATCCTGTTTTCTGCCCATGCTTCCATTTCCTCTCTTGTTCCCCTGTGCCTATTTTAGATTGTAAGCCTCCTGGGATAAGGACTTGCCCTACCTCTTTTTGACAAGTGCCACAAAACAGATGGTGTTATACGAATGGTCTATAATAAGACAGCTAGAACGGGGGGGGGGGGGGGACATCAGAGCTTCGTTTCCTTGCCTGCTTGGATCTTTCATTAACAAAATGCAAACCTGGCTGCATTCCCGTATCCCTAATTGGTCTGTGTTTGGCAGAGGAGCAGCCCAAGAACTTCAATTAAGCCAAGAAAGCCTTTCTCTTGATCAATAGCCTTACCTCCATTCCTACCCCACCCAAACCCTTAAAAAACCATGGGTCAAAGGTTATGAGTGGGCTACAACATGCTTCTGTTGTGTTCTAGAGGTTTTTTTAGTGAGAATGTTAGGACGCAACATATCGAAGAAAGCCTTATCATGGATGGCTTCAGACCTCCATTTACCCAGCGATAACTTGCACACAGCCATTTGATTTATCTGCAGCATCCTGCCAACTGGTAAAGAGAATTTTACTGTTTCCCCAGACTTCTAATCGGGTGGCTTCATTGTATGATGTAATTCTTCTTGCCATCAAGCAGGATGCTGCAGCCTAACCAAGTGGTCACATCCACACTGTATATTTATCCCACAGTGCAGTGGTTCTTTGCATCATTAGAGCAATGGAGGGATGTGCTTTCGTTACCAAGAACAGCAAAAATGAAATTGTTGTCACACTGAAAACTGTGTGCCACCTTAGAGGAGGAAAATAATTCTAGGAATCAGAGAAGCAGAGACTCTGTTCCTGGAAGTCAAGAATTCTGCTAGCAATTTCAGACACACCAAATATAGACCCACCCAGTCAACACATCCTGATTATATTAGCATGGGAGAGGGCACGGTTGAACCATGAAATGTTTTCCTGCTAAATAGCCTTGGCCACAAAATTACTTTTCCGAAGCTCACTTTTAGGTGAAAGCTTTAGCCGCTTTATTTGTTTATTCCCAGAACTGGTGACTTTTGAGTGAAGGAGGCAACATTTCCTTGGAGCTCTCTCAGTTCCCAGGAACAACACGCTCGTGGTGACATGTTCCAGCTGCTCAAAGCAGCTGGCTGCCTTCTAAGCAGCAGAGACTGATGTTTACAGCTGAAAGTTCGGAAAGCCAGTCACACGAAACTCCGACGGTGAAGTCTCCCCAACCCCCTTGCTTACACTTGCTGCTGTAACTCAGCCAGTCGAGAACAACATACTTGGTAGAATCAATTTTCTTCCCTACCCTGTTCACTGTTCACTTTTGAGTTCTAGTGGAATGGTGTGCAAATGCTCCCATAAACAACAGCCCCATCTCTCATGCGCCTCTTTTGCTGGGTCACCCAAGACACACGACATACCGTCGTCATTATTCTGCAGGTTTCCCCAATTTGAACCTGCTTTGTTAGTTGCTTCTTGGGTGGGAGAGAGAAACACGCAGTAAAATGACACCACATGTTCCACAATCTACTTCAAAAGGCTGGTGCAAGATTTAACTGTTTGTATTGCACTGGAAAATGGTAAATGCAGAAGTAACTTGACCAGATTGTATCTCAGCAAATCAATTGAGGTGAATAAGTGGCATAAACATTCTTGCTACTATGCGGGGTTATTGTGGAAATTAACCAAAGGACGAGCGTATAGCACTTTCAAACAGGACTGAACAGCAGGCTATAATAGTGAATTGCAAATTGGTGTACTGTTGTGGCAGTAATTTCCCCAAGAGCAAACCGAAGTTCAACATACGTACCGTATTTTTTGCACCATAACACTCACTTTTTTCCTCCTAGAAAGTAAGGGGAAATGTCTGTGCATGTTATGGAGGGAATGCCTACGGGTGGCATGCCTACGGATTTTCCTCCTCTAAAAACTACGTGCGTGTTATGGTTGGGTGCGTGTTATAGCGCGAAAAATACAGTAATCTTCTGAACGGCACCAGTGTCTATGGGTAACTGTTACCATCTTAGACCCAGTATATTAAAAACAGCCCACAGGAGAAACTGGGCATACCATATTCACCATTCAGCCAAAAATTGCTATACACTTAAAGGAAAACAGCCAATGTGGGAGGATAACTTCCTACACAGCTAGTTTTCAATAAAGTTAATCTGTAAATCTTTGATCTTAAAAACGCTGCCATTTGTGATAGCATTTAGTCGTGTTTTAATATTCTTGGCCGCCACCACACATAAGAAGAAATGCCGCACAAGGGCAATTGGCACATCATTAAAAAGAAATGGCTTTTTAGAAGGCAAAACAACCCTTCGGCCACAAAAACCTCAAATTCTCTCTTTTAAAAGAAGTTAACTCCAGATGTTACAAGAAATAGAAGAGTTGTTGTCATGTATGGGGCAGTTTCCCCCAGTCTCTCCATTCTTTTTAAATTGCATCCTATTTCTATGAAGAAGGGCATTATTTTCCTGTTGTTTGAACCAGGCAGAAGATGCCGTTAGTGGTCTCCAAAATGCTGCCGCACTAAGTAGCAAAGAACATGCACTGAGATGTAGTCGCTAACCCCAACCTTTCTGTTATTTTGTTTACAGACTGCTTACGGTAACCAGGAAAAATAATATCTACAGAGTTTACATAAAATAGTAGCAAATATGAGTAAGAAAATGACGATATGAACAGACTTTAATCACAAGTCAACATAGCAGAATTATCAAAATATGGATAAAATCAACAGACTTTAAGAATACACGTAATAGAAGAACGTGTCTGGGTAGGATTCCAAAACCTGCTTCATCCTTTTCAATCTACTTCTTCAATAGGTCTAACTACTTTTTGCTCGATTCCCATTCAGAGGATCAAGCAGAAGGCGTGTTTCCGAGAAAACATACATCCCATTCTCCCTTGGTTGAAAGGGGCTGTGCAGGACTTCCGGGTTAGCGCCACCGGCAATGGCGGAATTCCTCTGATCGGGAGGAATTTGCCTCGTGGAAATTCGGGTCTGGCCGCCACGGCGAAGGCGGAGACCCACTAAAAATCACAGGCGGGTGAAGCCTGTGAACGTGGATCCGGCGGGCACCATTTGTGCCTCCCCTACTCGCGGGGAAACCCGGTTTCGGGGATCCGGAGCGATGTGGGGTGAGCGGCGCGGTGCTTCGGATCGACTGCTTTTTCCACGGAGCGAAGCCGCATAGCTGTTGCCGGAGAGCGCTGACTTTTTCCTGTGGACAATTTGATCTTAAAGTAACTACCCGTGAGTAGAGTGAAGAATTGGATTTTTAAACGTCTTAATTTGGCACCGAAACGGGGAGGCTCAAAACAGGAAGTCCACCTCCCCTTTTTGTAAATAAGACTGAGGCAAAGAGGTTGCAAGCTAAAGTCTTGGAAAGCCTATTGTAAAGGATTAAATTCTCATCAGTAAAAAATATTAAACCCCCCTTGGAAGCAGGAGAAGAGGGGGGAGGCTTTGGATTGTGTATCCCTGCAGGAGTGAGTGAAGGAAGTTAAAATACCACCGTTCCGAACCTGGAAACGGGCTGCTAGTAAGACCGACGTGTCTTGGAAGGTTCATTGACAGTGAATAGAACGTTCGGTGACAGCTAGCATAAGAGAGATACATTGTTTCCATTGTTTTCGTCTGCACTTATAAAGGAGTAAAAGTAACGGAAAACTGAAACAACTTTATTGAACTTTATTAAAAAAGGAGGAAAGTAACTGAAAATTGAAACTAACTTTGGATTATTGAAACTGTGTTTAAAAGAGGACATACTGACCGATACAAATACAACTCGCTTTCCCCTAGTGGAAGCTTTTGAAATTGGTTACTTTATAGGAGCTGGGCTAGGGGAATTTCCAGATGCAAGATAAAAAAGTGTGAGACTTTGGAATCTCAAGTGTTATGGCAAACGGAAAGGAAAAAACAGACGGGATGTCGACAGAGGAGGCCTTAGTGGCTGCATTGTTGAAAATAAACGATTCGCTGGAACAACTCCACAAGAAAACAGATGCGATAAATGTGAAATTGGATGTTGCAAATATTGAAATTGAGTCAACTGTAGAAATTTTAAATAACTTGGGACAAAAGGTGAATACTAATTCAGAAACCACCCAGAAACTGACACAGGAATCTACTTTGATATGGCAAACTGCAGATGAAGTTAGGGGAAAAACCCTTGCTGCTGAATCTAAAGCAATACAACAGGAGAGGAGAGTCCCATCCATACAAAGACAACTTGACGAGCATAAGTTGACATTTGTTATGATTGAACTTAAAGAAGAATGGATGAATTTGAGGACCAGAGCCCTATCTGAATTGGAAAAGGAAAGCTTGACAGAGTTTCAGGAGGCGATACTAACATTGGTTGAGAAAGAGAGGTATTTGGGGGTTAGTATGACCGCCAAAAATGTGAATCTGCTTAAGGATAACTGTGAAGGATGTTGGATTGAAGAGAAGGGGGATTTGGAAATATGGACAAATCAGAAGTTGTTACTATTGGGCCGAGTTATTGTGGTGGGGATGAGGGCTGCTGTTTCGCTGGGGATGTTGCTTTTGTTTCAAACATTGCAAGCTTTGGATGGGATGGAGAGTTTCAGGAGGTGGCAGAGGGATGCTCCCAGAGTTGTTTGGCAGGGCAGGAAGCCTCGAGTAAAATTTAAGATATTGATGGATGCCAAAGAAGGAGGGGGACCTGCCCTGCCAGACCTTTAAACTTTGCTGTGAACCATCTGCTTTGGCTGGTTGAGAGAATGGTTGCCTTTTGAAAACACTGAAGCATTGGACAATGGCAGATGAAGTTGATGGACTATATGGAATTGGCGGAAATGACTGGCAAGATCCGAGACCAGGGTGAAGAGTCGGTGGAAGAAGATTGGAAAAAGTTTAAAGACTATTTATAGAAATATTGTAAAATTAAGGAATGTTAGAAAAATGTTGGAATGAAAATATATGGCTTTAGCAGAAATGTCATAAGGAATTAAGTATAAATAGACCAATAGAAAATTAAAGGAAAAGTATGGCAAGAATGTGTTAAGATAATTATAGAACAGAAAACAGAGTAAGATGGAAAGGAATTGCTGAAACAAATAATAGAAGTGGAATACAAAAGGGAGGTGGGAGGAGGTCGCTGGAAATAAGTGAATGAAATATAAGATATTGAAAATGTTTGAGGTGATTTTAAATTGTTTTTGCTTGTTTTTGTTTGTTTTGTTAGTCCATGTAGCGTTTTTGTATTGTATTTGCATTGTTTTTTCTTTTTTTTCTTTTCTCTTTTTTTGTTTGTAATGTTGTGTTGGAAATGTTAAAAAAGTAATAAATATCATTTTTTAAAAAAATAATGAAAGGGGCTGTGCAGGCACAAACATTTAGAGGCGCACAAACATTTGGATGGGATGTTCCTCGCTCCTAGCTGGGCAAGTCTCATGCTACTCCCCCACCTATAGGGTTGCTTTGTTCACATTCATGCTCACCACACTTCATGGGAATTTCACTAGAGGGAAGAAAGTCCCAAGCAGCTGCGGTGACATGGGAAAGGGGCAATTTGTGACCTAGTAATTGGAGAAGGAGTGCATTTTTAAAAAAAAGTGCAAACAGGAGAAGAATCACAGGGAAAGCATATGGGCCAGTGAGCTCATTGGTTTCCCATTGGTTTCCCATATAGCTATGACCCCCTTTGAATACAGGGGAGGAAAGGGTTGAAGGGGTTCTGGTCAAGGTGCATAGAAGGTCAATGTATTTTCCACACCTGGGACAGGAAACCCCACAAGCGCCGCCTCTTTACTTGCTTTCCTCACACAGCCTCAGAAAGGGCAATTAAAGATATCAACAGGCCTCAAGCTGCATTAAACCGGGCCCTTGGGCCTCACCAGCTCTATCCAGTTCACCATGTGCAGAAGCTATGCGTATTCAGATAACGGCCCTGTTCTTGCGAAGGAATAATGGCCAGACTAGTTGCGACTGGTTTGGCAGTCATAGCTTCATTATTTTCTATGTTCCGAAAGAAGAGCAGGACAGGGCAAGGGGGATGGGAAGCAGGGGTTCCAAGGGGCAAGTAAGCCCCACCCCCCATAACTGATCGCAAGGTGTGGTACCCACACACCATCGGCCCCTAGGAGTTGGCTCCTATGGTAGGAAGCATCACTCCTGACTGGCAAACACTATGCAATGCTTCAAGTGGAGAGCATCATCTCCAATCAGCAAATTTTGATAAAGCCTTTTTCCGCTGGGAAAGCAAGCGTCATCACTCTACGAATAGTCCTCCTCGGTTAGCCGCATTCACTTTCCAAAGAAGAAAATAAGATTTCTTTTCTGCTGCCAAACATTTCACCGCAACAGTCTCAAAGAGACGTAGGAAAGCTTGGAGGAGACAGATGGAAACGACGCTCTCAGAGACGGCAGCTATATTGTCAGGATCTGAAACATGAAGGAGTTCGTAAGGACTCCTTCCCACAGAAACACGATGTCCTTAAAACGAAAGCTGACACTTCAGAGAAAGCGGGGGGAAATGCTCTTCAGAGGCAGTTCTGCTTCTCCCTCCCCCTCATTTGTTACTATAATGGGAGTATTTTTATTTTTTAAAAAAGAAATGCTGATACACATGACAGAAGGAGAATGTTTATTTGAAAGATCTGGTTTAACTTTTCCTGTCAAATATGCTTTTGAGTCAGCACAGTGTTGTAAAACCTGGATTCAAACCCACACACAACTCTGAAGGAGATTTTCGTGCCTTATTTCTATTTCTCAGCCTAGTAGACCTCAAAAGTACTTGAAATGGGCTAATAGCCCCTTGTATGCCACCCCTTGCACATTTTTATCTCCAAACCAATAAATACAAACAGAAACCAGGAGGCACAAGGCTGTTCAATGTTGGACTCCCAACTTCTCCCTCTACACCAATGTTTCTCCAACTTGGGTCCATAGCTGTTGTTGGACTACTACTCCCATCACCCCTGACCACTGGCCCTGCTAACCAGGGGTGATAGGAGTTGTAGTCCAACAACAGCTGGGGACCCAAGTTGGAGAAACATTGGTATAGAGGGAAAGTGGGACCACATTTCCAGGCCCTACCCCAACATTTCATACCCCATAGCCTCCGCCATACTCCCTGGCATCTGGTATCTGTGCACATACAGATGCACCCATGTTGGAGCTCCTTCACATGAACAGGAACATCCAGTTAGTCACAATGGTCTCCTTTGTGGAGTCAGCCTTTCTGGCACTAATCTGCTGCCTGCTCCTGGGCTGAGGAGTCCAGGGCAAAAGTCACTGCATATGTTCCATATACCTCACAAAAGCAAGGCTGACCCGTTTTGGCCTTGACTTCTGCCACACATGCCAAAGAGCCTCACCAACCCTATCTGACTATGCTAGCAATCTTGAAACACACACACACACTTCCTAGAAAGCAAGCCTCTATCAAGTTCATTCGGAGTTATTTCTAGGTAAACTTGCTTTGGGTTGTCTTGCAAGTTGTGTTTGGAATTGCAAAATTATATTGAATTCACAAGCTTTTTCATAATTCCCCTCAACAACGTTCCAGACCCTCTGTGTCTCTATTTTCCAGGGCATCCCTGACTTAGAGAAGCCATCCCGGTTTCTGATTTGATACTGGAATGTCCCACTTTTCCTTAGGATGTCCCTATTTTCATTGGAGAAATGTTGGAGGGTATGGAGTTATCTGACTCCCAAGATGTCTGAAGGCAAACCTGTACAGTGGTACCTCTGGTTGCGAATGGGATCCGTTCTGGAGCTCCGGCCGTATCCCGAGGAATTCGCAACTGGAAGTGTCGCTTCTGCGCAGGGCGCGTTTTAGCGCTTCTGCGCATGCGTATGCGGCAAAACCCAGAAAGATACTTCCAGGTTTGCCGCGTACATATCCCAAAGGATACGTAACCAGAGGTGAACACAACTAGAGGTACCACTGTATAAGGACATTTAAATAAAAAAAAATGTTTAATGTTTTATTATGTTTTTTATGTGTTGGAAGCTGCTCAGAGTGGCCGGGGCAACCAGGTAAGATGTGTGGGGTATAAATAGTAAAATTATCATTATGGAATGGGATGTCCCTAATTTCTTTGGAGAAATGTTGGAAAGTATGATGTTCTTTTATATAGGAAAACAGAAACTAACATCAACCACCAATGCAATGACCAACTAATGTACAAGAATGCTCTTCCAGTAATAAAATCTAGCATTCATCCTACGATTTTTCAGAAGCATGCAAAATTGAACACTAAGGCACTAGTTTTAGCTAAGATTAACTGTACATACATTTGCTGATAATGTGCATGAAATTACCTCCACACACACACAATAAACATCATGCTGTAATCATGCAAAACAACTGTCTGTATGTGGGGTGCATGTAGAAAAACCAGCAGAGTTTTTGCACAATTCATCTGTGTCCACATCCACAGAAGGAAGATTAATAAGCATTTGAGCCAGCCAAACATACACCAGCCTCTCACTCTCACGGCATCACCAGGAAATCAGCTGGTTTTAAGCATCAGTGCTCTGGCCTGGAGAAAATGGACCTTTAGCCGGCCTCATTTGCTACAGAACGCCGTTTCATTCAGTGAAGCTCCCAAACAACCAATCCAAACTGACAGGCTAGAATTATGCCACAGCCCCTGGACCCAGTTCCAGGGAAGATGGCAAATTGGCACACAGAGCATGCCTCAAACAGTCCTCCAGTCAAGACAAGAGAATGAATGCATCCCATTTACATGTGTATAGGAGAAGGGACAGCTATTCCCCAAGCCTCTCTGCAAAGAAACAAGAGACATTCTCTTCCCAGCTCTCTCTCTGTCTCTTTTACTCTCACTCCTTCAAACTATGCAGGAGTTTCACTGGAGGCAAAGGTAGTGGGATAATATTATAGAACAACATCTGAAGTGTGTGTGGTGATGGTGGGGTCAAGCAAAGAAATGGGGCAGGGGTCAGCAAACTTTTTCAGCAGGGGGCCAGTCTACTGTCCCTCAGACCTGGGGTGGCGGACTATATTTTGGGGGAAAATTTGAACGAATTCCTATGCCCCACAAATAACCCAGAGATGCATTTTAAATAAAAGCACACATTCTACTCATGTAAAAACACGCTGATTCCCGGACCGTCCGTGGGCCGGATTGAGAAGGTGATTGACCCCCGGGCCTTAGTTTGCCTACCCATGAAATGGGGGGGTGGGAGAAGAATTTCAGGCTGTTTCTTACCTCTCAATGCTATAAAACACCAGGCAGGCCTGCACAGCTTAGGGCCAAGGCTAAAAGTAGCTTGCTAGCCAAATTTCGGGAGCAGAACCAATAAAAAACAGTGACAACTCTAGTGTACCTGGAAGAAGTGATGGAAGGGGTAGGTCTTTTGGAGACCATATTATCAGTGCGGGGCAAGGCTAGAGACAAAAACAGGCAATTCAATGGATGTGGCACTTACCTTTGTACATTACAAAGAGGCAGGGGTCTCCCAACAGCTCTGCACGCTTAAACTACATTTCCCAGGATGCTTTGGGGGAAAGAAAACCACGACTCTTTGAAGAGGCATGATACTGTTTCAAATGTATTGTGCAGACAGTGGTTAAATGTTTCTTTAATTATTAAAAATAGAATTAGATGAAGATATGGAGGAAGGATGTAACTAATAGCCATGGTAAAGGTAAAGGTAAAGGGACCCCTGATCGTTAGGTCCAGTCGTTAAACCCCTCTGGGGTTGCGGCGCTCATCTCACTTTCCAGGCCAAGGGAGCCGGCGTACAGCTTCCGGGTCATGTGGCCAGCACTAAGCCGCTGCTGGCGAACCAGAGCAGCGCACGGAAACACCATTTACCTTCCCGCCGGAGCGGTATCTATTTATCTACTTACACTTTGACGTGCTTTTGAACTGCTAGGTTGGCAGGAGCAGGGACCGAGCAATGGGAGCTCACACCGTCGCGGGGATTTGAACCGCCGACCTTCTGATAGGCAAGCCCTAGGCTCTGTGGTTTAGACCACAGTGCCACCCGCGTCCCATAATAGCCATGGTAGTCACCTATGTAACCTCCACTTTTCTTTTAGGGATCTCCAGCTATCAGATGCTGGGGGATTTACAACCAGAAATGGACATTTAACCAGGTGGACCAGGTGGATCTACAATAACAAAGGAAATGTGCTAAGTACATTATTTTATTTTATTTTTTAAAAAATTATTCTGCTAATCCTTAAGGAAACTATCAAAGTGGTTCACAACAGCTGTACATAAAACCATGCATTAAAAGCCATATAAAACAGTTTAACTCAGAAAACTGTTGTGGAAAGATGCAATTCTTAATATGCCAGATGGACTAGAGAAGTCTTCAGTAGGTATTTAAAAGTTGAAACAAAAGCACCTGATGAATTTCCATTGGCAGGGTATTCCACAGGACTGGGCCAATGACACTAATGGCTCGGTTCCTTGCTGTCGTCGAATACACCTCAACAATTCGGGCTCCCCAAATCCTGATTTGCCTATGTGCTTAAATTTACCTGTTTGGCTAAACATACTTTTAAACTACCTCATCGGCAAGTTATTTCAAAGTTGGCCAAGCAAAGTCAGAAAGCTATGTTGGGAAATGAATCTTATGTATGTAGAAAACTGAATCTAAAGCCTCTCTCTTAAAGGGTGGAAACTTACTCAATTTTTTACAGAAAGAAATATTAGGGACTGTGCATTCCCAGGGACTGTGCAGGATTCCTGATCAAATGCAGAGAGAACCTATGGTCATACAATCTGATGCAATTTTGTGACTGGTGCAATTCTGTGGAAAGTTGTTAGGGAGCGAAAATCACCCTGCTTGCTTTTCTTTCTAATGCTTGAAATGCCTGCATGTCTTGTACCTCGTTTCCACAGAAAGCAGCACCCCACAAAACCAACAGAGTCTGGCAAAAGACCAAACCTTCAGCTCTTCCAGAAGAATGTTGGGGGCAGCAAATTAAAAAAAGGGTGGGACAGAGGCAAAGGGGAATGAAAGGAGTTGAAACAAAGGGAAAAGAGAATAGGGGCTTCACAACTGAGTGAACAAACACAGAGTTTCTTTCCAGAATGGCCAAACAACCATCCAAAGAAATAACCATCTGCCTTTTTCTCCCCCCCCCCAAAAAAAACAACACTTTTTTTTAAAGGACTCATAGTCTTCCAAGTGGTTTTTTTAATGGATTAAGTCTGCTTCCTCTCTGCGCCAAACGTCTCAAGGAAAGGGCTCTCAGATTGCAAAGCAGCTGCAGCCTCAACTGCTGAGTCAGCGTTTGCTTTTCATTTTATTCACTAGAAAGCATACACGTTTGCCCGCCCCCTCAATTGCGTTAAACATGAAAACCCGCTTTCAAAATCCACAAAGGACACCAAATCCAGGCTAACCCCAATCACTATCAGTTCAGGTGGCAAGACTGCTGCAGGAACTTGTCTCTCTTTACAATAGGTCACTCAGGAGTTAGTAACACGCAGGTAGCTCACATGTACTCCCAAGGAAGATAGCTCTCCAGATTCATTGGAATTTACAGCACACATCTTTTCCTTGAGCTCTCGTGGCTCCAGATTAAAGAGATGTGCTTGAAAAACAACGCAACAACCCAGTGCCGAAGACACCGGTTCTGTCAGGCAAGTGTTTCTTTTGAGCAGTGGTCCCCAATTAGGGGTCTAGGGACCCCAGAACGCACCCAGGGGGTCCGCGGCCCCATCCGTGCCTCCCACCAACTACATTTTTGTCACAAATTTTATGGTCTGTTTTTGCACTGTGCGACTATTCAATAAGTTGGCCAAAATCGGTTTTGAATTTGCACCGTGATAACGATTTTGACCCAGAAATACGCAGCAATATGTCGCTCCTCGCCCGAGGGAGAGTAGGGCAGTCGATTTCAAGGAACCGTTGATATCGCGCCATGATCTCAGCCGATAACGCTGCTGATCTGAGCTGCCTTCCCACCTGCTGAGGGAGACTAGGGCAGCCGATTATGAGGTGCTACCTTCCACTCACACTGAGGGAGAACAAGGCAGCTGATTGCCCTCACTTCAAGGCACCGTGGAAAAACCTTCCCCTGGCACTGAGGCAGATCAGCTTTTCTCGGTCAGCAGGAAACCCCACCTACCAGATCTCCTTGACTGCTCCTTCCCTCACCCCCACGCCTGATCTCCAATTTCAGACATTGCGATATATCGGAATATCCTGATATTTAGCTGCTGACATATCACGATGTTGAAAACCAGATATCCTAGCCCTAGTCTGGTGGGGGTTTTTTAGTATATGCTTATTAGGGGCTACTCCACATTTTGTTCTAAAATTTGCTTTGCAATAATTTGCTCTGCTTTGCAGAGTTAACTACCATAGAAATATCAACCAATGCACCAGCCCCTCGCATGGGAGCCTCGTTCCTTTCCCTGGGTTGTCCAGCGCCACAGTTATTCACACATCTTGAATTTACATTCCACCAAAGCAGCGAGCTTGGCAAGGAATCAGAGAGACAAACATAACAATGGAACTAAATATAGACAGTGTGTCTATCGGGGAGGAGAAAAGAGGCCCACAGCTGCAGGATACATCTGTCCAGGACTGGGCTCGTTCAATGGATGTATCTCTTCACCTTTCTTTCTCTTTCTTTCTTTCTTTCTGAGCTGAGAGAATCGATGCAAAGAAAAAGGGAGGGGGAAAGTCTGGACTCACACCCTCAAATGCCCAAACATGCAGGCACCCATCTTTAACCCCAGAAGCCTCTGTCCAAGTCACAGCCAGTGTGGCACAATGGTTAGTGTGTTGGACTATGTTCTGGGAGACCAGAGTTTGAATCCCCACGAAGTTCACCTTGGGCCAGTCACTGTCTCTCAGCCTAACCTATCTCACAGGTTTGTTGCAGGGGTAAAATGGGGAAGGGAGAAACCATGGCAAACAACCTTGAACTCCTTGGAGGAAAAAGGGGTATACAGTCGTACCTTGGAAGCTGAACGCCTCGGCTCCCAAACGATCGAAAGCCGGAAGTGAGTGTTCCAGTTTTTGAACGATTTTCAGAAGCTGGACATCTGGCATGGCTTCCGTGGCTTCCAATTGGCTGCAGGATGCTCCTGCAGCCAATCAGAAGCCACACTTTGGTTTTTGAATGGTTGCGGGAGTCGAACAGAACGCATTCTGTTTGAAAACCAAGGTAATAATAATAATAATAATAATAATAATAATAATAATTTACTACTTATACCCCGCCCATCTGGCTGAATTTCCCCAGCCACTCTGGGCAGCTCCCAATCAAGTGTTAAAAACAGTACAAGATTAAATATTAAAAACTTCCCTAAACAGGGCTGCCTTCAGATGTCTTTTAAAGATAGGATAGCTGCTTATTTCCTTCACATCTGAAGGGAGGGTTTTCCACAGGGTGGGCGCCACTACCGAGAAGGCCCTCTGTCTGGTTCCGTGTAACCTCACTTCTCACAATGAGGTTGTTGTTTAGTCGTTCAGTCCGACTCTTCATGACCCCATGGACCACTGTATAAATGTGATTAAAAAAAAACCTTGAAAGGCCAGCGAGCTAGACAGCAGCGCCATGAAAATTCTTCTTTTTCCACCCACCCCTCATCCCATTGCATCCCAAATACTGGCACTTAAATGCCTTCTAGCACACCTAAGCAGAGAAGATACTCACAACACAAGTGGATTTCTACAGACTCATGGCCTTCTTTGAAAGCCAGTGAAATATTGGTGGCTGGAGTGTTGGACTTGGTCAAATACTTCCATCAGCCGCAGAACCATAGTGGTCTCAGCAAATCACCGGCTTTTAACCTCTCTTGTTAAATATACTACTGCTCAGTAACAGAACTTAAGGTTAGATGCACGTTAGCAGCTTAAAACACAGCAAGTTCCCCTCCACCCCAGCTGCGTTTCAAGCTGTGTTCACACACTGTTGTACACAGAGGAGATGGGAATGCCTTAATGCTCATTACCTGCTTGGTTTCCCCACACTTACAACCCCCTTAGCTCTTGTTCATGAAGCTGTCATCTGCGCATGCGCAACAGCTGGTCTCAGATATGTACACCTCAGCTCAACTACAAAGTAAATGTGGCTTAAGCTTTCAATTTGGGTTGAAGGTGGTTTAAAAGAAGGAACACATCGAACAGCACTATTTCTCAAGGAACGGCAGGGCAGCTCTGCATTGTGGGTAATGCAGTGTGTACATGGATTCAAAAGCCAGTTGAGAAAGCACTCTGGAACCACAGAAAACCATAATGCACACAAACAGCCCAAGAGTGCTGCAGACTTGCAAAGCAAGTTGAGCCACATGATCAGCTAAATTATTGCAATGAAGCTCTATTTCAGCCTCCAGGTAGGAAATGTGTAAATGTTGCACCCGCACTCGTTTTCAATATTTAGCCAGGCATCATTTCTTTGTTTGTTTTTGTTCCTTTTAAAATAATGTTGGTTTTAAGTTTCGTAAGCCCTGCTGGGAATTTACTGAAGGCTAAGGTATGACTCTGCCATGTAAACAAACAGTAAGCATACAAAACAATATCTGAAGCCTAAAATAGTATATTGTCCAGAAAGAGCTGATCCTCCTGATCATGTAGATTAGAAGGAGGGGTGGATGCACCGGTCGATTTCAGTTTCTCCTTTTTTCGATATTAAGTTCAGTTCTCCACATCAGATTGCATTTTTTAAAAAAGAGTCCACATGAAAATGAATCAGCGATTTTCTTCAAATATACATGTCTGTATGTAATGTTCGAATCCCTGCGAGCTTCCGTTGCTCGGTCCCTGCTCCTGCCAACCTAGCAGTTCGAAAGTACATCAAAGTGCAAGTTGATAAATAGGTACCTCTCCAGCGGGAAGGTAAACGGTGTTTCCGTGCGCTGCTCTGGTTCGCCAGAAGTGGCTTAGTCATGCTGGCCACATGACCCGGAAGCCACACGCCGGCTCCCTCCGCAGAGAGATGAGCACTGCAACCCCAGAGTCGGTCAGGGGTCCCTTTACCTTTATGTAATGTTAGCTAATATGCACATTTTTTGCTAAGCAGCCTTCCCTAATACGTTTTAATGCTATTTTCACTAACATATAAATATGCATTTTAATGCACACTTTACCCTAGTATTTCCATTTTGGTACACACTATTTGGCTAGAGAACTGCATTGCAAAACTCAGAGAAGTGTTGATTTTGAAGAATGGCTCTGTATCATTTCGTGTATAGTTCGGAAAGTGCACATCAGGTAGGTTTGCCTTTAAATGTCAACTGAACAGAATTGCTCCCCTATCCCTACCTAGCAGTCAAGCGTACATTCACCCGAACAGGGACAGAATGCAACACACTCAGAGCCACCTCTTTGTCAGAGGGGATGCCTACCAGGAGAACTAACCTTGGCCATCAGTAAGACATGGGCTATTGCTGAATAACCATGCATCATGCTGGTCCATGATTCTCTTCCACCCCTGTATGTACAGCAGGAACATGGGAGTTGGGAATAAAGGGATCTCAAGCAACTAGTTTTGCATGGCATCTCCCCATATCCTCCTTCGCCAGAAAGGAAGAGGATGCTGGAAAAGTCTATGTCATAACCTTTGGGAACCAGAGTTCAGAACATTAATAAAAGCCCACCTCCAGGAATAGAGGGCCCATCTAGACCATTGCTAGGTAAAGGTAAAGGGACCCCTGACCATTAGGTCCAGTCGTGGCCGACTCTGGGGTTGCGGCGCTCATCTCACTTTACTGTCCGAGGGAGCCGGCGTACAGCTTCCGGGTCATGTGGCCAGCATGACTAAGCCACTTCTGGCAAACCAGAGCAGCACACGGAAACGCCGTTTACCTTCCCGCCGGTGCGGTACCTATTTATCTACTTGTGCTTTGCCGTGCTTTCGAACTGCTAGGTTGGCAGGAGCAGGGACCGAGCAGTGGGAGCTCACACCGTCACGGGGATTCGAACCGCCGACCTTCTTATTGGCAAGTCCTAGGCTCTGTGGTTTAACCCACAGCGCCGCCAGCGTGCCTTAGACCATTGCTAACCCTTAGCAAAAGTAGCGTTCTAGTTTTATCTCCACTTTATTGGTGTTTCCTTTTTTAAAAAAGAACTTGTTTTTTAAAAAGAATTGCACCTTTGCTGACACAGTCTGTTCTGAAAGGGCCTCATTTGACAGGAAAGAGAGATCATTCAAGGAAGACAAAGATATTTCCGTTTCAAAGCTCAGCGTGCAAATTCAGAATCACATCTGCCGATGACCTGAACCACGGGAGGAAAATGGGACAACAGCAACAGGCAGTAAAAATGGAAATGTTATTGTGGAAGAAAGCAGCAGCTAGCGCTCTGGAGAACAAGGAAGGAAATGACTTCATTGAGCAGGTTGTCTTCTGGCATTTCCCAGTGAACATCCGGCACATCCCATGCATTTCTTTTCAAGTCCTCTGTCAAAAAGTTAACAGCATTTTTAAAGTCAGTGGTGCGTCCTCTTTCCAACAGAGATGGTTTTGATGAGACCTTATCTCTGTAATTGCAGCCACCAGCTTGCACTCCTTGTTTTGAGCGACCTTAAAAGCAGCAATCAGTACTGAATAAGGCTTGTTGATGAAATTCAGACAGAATGAAGGGGTGGAGAGGCAAAGGGCATTTTAAAAGGATTATGTTTTGCTTGCAGAGGTGGACAGCACTGAGCAGAAATGGGAAATTTCTGGGAATTTTGAAGCCAGGGAGGGAGTGGGAAGAAGAAAGTAAATAGGCCCTCTAGGGTTGTCACTTTTTTATAAAAAGGAAAAAAAAACAACCTCAAACTTTGTGGAGAATTGAACCACACCTGAAGGTATTCAAACATCTTAGTTTTGGCCTTTGGGAAAATTTAGGGGGAAACATACAGTGGTACCTCAGGTTACATACGCTTCAGGTTACATACGCTTCAGGTTACAGACTCCGCTAACCCAGAAATAGTGCTTCAGGTTAAGAACTTTGCTTCAGGATGAGAACAGAAATCGTGCTCTGGCAGCGCAGCAGCAGCAGGAAGCCCCATTAGCTAAAGTGGTCTTCAGGTTAAGAACAGTTTCAGGTTAAGAACAAACCTCCGGAACGAATTAAGTACTTAACCTGAGGTACCATTGTAGTTGAAAACAATAAAGTTTATCGAAGCTCAGAAACTGTATACAGATAGCAGTGTCATAGTGAAGAAACAGAGCAAACTGATAGGTCTGGTTTACATATAATGCTAAGCCATGGCTTTTCGTAAGCCATGAGTTAACTATGAGTTGTCCTACAGACAATCAAACAGACCCTGTTTGTCCAACATTTGTCTTGTTCTCCAGCAGCTCTTGCCCCATGGTTTTGTAGTTTAGTGAGCATCTGGCGTGGGGTGGCCGAACACACTATGGTTAAGGAAGGGTGCTGGGTTCACACATAGCACCAAGCCATAGCTGAAACAAAGATTATTTAGCCAACAATTGCTGGTAGCAATCAAACCACAGTTAGGTTTCTGGGCAGGGTTCACACATAACACTTAGTTATGGCTTAATAAATCTGGTGTGTGAACCAGGTCATACTTTTAGGAGGGAGGAGGCTATATAACGCAAAAAACATTTTTTGCTATATAAAGTAGCAAAAAACAGAACAAAAAAAATCAGTTAAACTTTAGAACGTTGACCTCTTCAGCAGCATGCAACCACTTTAAAACAGAAATCCTATGCACACTCAGCTGTGAATAAGTGCACTCATTGGATTTGGATCTTAGTGAACATGCATAGGATCTGGTGACATGTATCATAGTTGACTAGGTAAAATGAGTTATCCTGAATCCCTGTTTATTTATATCCTACTCAATCTAAGTAAATCTTGCTGAAACTAAGAAATTTGCAAAAAGTATGACATGGATGCTACAACATTTTAAAGCACTCCTCTGCCTGAATGTAGAATTTTGTGCACATTCATTCTGATGGAAGGGATGTGTGCCCCTCCCAACCCCCCAACCCCATTTTAAGGCCTCCTTTGGATAAAAGAAAGGTGAGGAATAAAGTCCCTTGGACCACAATGGGACTTACTTCAGAGTAAGCATGCACACAATTGGGCTGCAAGTGGGTGGGGGGAGGGTCCCACTAAGTTTTATGTAAGTTAGTCTGCTTTTGCTTGTTATGGAGGAGAGCAAGGAGCACTGGAAACCTTATTCAGCCCTAATCAATTTGCAAGTCTCCACCAGGGACTCAGCTACACTGGCAAAGAAAAAACGCTTTACATGCGCTGTTTATGCATTCTAACACTGTCACACCAGATGGCGCTGTGGAGTTTGGTTTTTGCTTACCCAATTTTTCATACAAAGTATGCAACGCGTTCAACAGAAAAGCTTCTTTGATGGGTCTAGATCCAGCCTAGATTTGTTACCTGCCATGCACTTGCAAGCCTCTTTCCTCCAGCCTTAAAGTCTATCTCTTTTTCCGTGCATGAGGAATAAATGGCAGGCAGCTTTAGCTGAGAAGCTAACCCAGTTTGGTTGAAGCAGTCAGAAATAACACAAGCAGTGCTGTTTCTGAGACAACTTGGCATAGCTTCGCTGAATATGTAAACAGAGGTAGTCCTGGTCAGCAGCCCCCCCCCAACCCATGACCATGTATGGTATGATATATTTCAGCAATGAGTAACAGCCAGTCATAGAATCATAGAATCATAGAGTTGGAAGAGACCACAAGGGCCATCGAGTCCAACCCCCGGCCAAGCAGGAAACACCATCAGAGCACTCCTGACATATGGTTGTCAAGCCTCTGCTTAAAGACCTCCAAAGAAGGAGACTCCACCACACTCCTTGGCAGCAAATTCCACTGTCGAACAGCTCTTACTGTCAGGAAGTTCTTCCTAATGTTTAGGTGGAATCTTCTTTCTTGTAGTTTGGATCCATTACTCCGTGTCCGCTTCTCTGGAGCAGCAGAAAACAACCTTTCTCCCTCCTCTATGTGACATCCTTTTATATATTTGAACATGGCTATCATATCACCCCTTAACCGCCTCTTCTCCAGGCTAAACATGCCCAGCTCCCTTAGCCGTTCCTCATAAGGCATCGTTTCCAGGCCTTTGACCATTTTGGTTGCCCTCCTCTGGACACGTTCCAGTTTGTCAGTGTCCTTCTTGAACTGTGGTGCCCAGAACTGGACACAGTACTCCAGGTGAGGTCTGACCAGAGCAGAATACAGTGGCACTATTACTTCCCTTGATCTAGATGCTATACTCCTATTGATGCAGCCCAGAATTGCATTGGCTTTTTAGCTGCCACGTCACACTGTTGGCTCATGTCAAGTATGTGGTCAACCAAGACTCCTGGATCCTTTTCACATGTACTGCTCTCAAGCCAGGTGTCCCCCATCTTGTATTTGTGCCTCTCATTTTTTTTGCCCAAGTGCAATACTTTACATTTCTCCCTATTAAAATTCATCTTGTTTGTTTTTGCCCAGTTCTCTAATCTGTCAAGGTCGTTTTGAAGTGTGATCCTGTCCTCTGGGGTGTTAGCCACCCCTCCCAGTTTGGTGTCATCTGCAAATTTGATCAGGATGCCCTTGAGTCCATCATCCAAGTCGTTGATAAAGATGTTGAATAAGACTGGGCCCAAGACAGAACCCTGCGGCACCCCACTAGTCACTCTTCTGTTTGGTTTCAGATGTCAGCTTTTCTTTTCTTTTTTAAGTTTTTTTGGCAGGTAGGTGCAATTTTATGTGCCAGTTTGTCTTATATGTTCTAAGTCTAAGTAGATCCTGTATTCTTGTAGAAAGTTCTGTTTTACTTTTTAGATATTTTCTGCTATTGTTACAACAACAACAACAACAACAACAACAACAACAACAACAATACTTTATTTAAAAGACCCTGGGTTTTATTCAACAAAATGCACCACCAAAAAAAATTATATTTGGGAGACACACAAATGGAAGAGGAGGGGAATTTCTGTTGTACAAGCAGAAGTCCTTGTGAAAACAGGACATCTTTATTGGGCACAACCTGTTTTATTTGCCCAGGCATTTAAAGCTGATTACAGTGGTACCTCGGAAGTTGAACAGAATCCGTTCCAGAAGTCCGTTCGACTTCCAAAACATTCAGAAACCAAGGGGAAGCCGCGGAAGCCCCATCTGACGTCCAGGTTCCAAAGAACATCCACAAACCGGAACACTCACTTCCGGGTTTGCGCCGTTCAGGAGCCAAAACATTCGACTTGCAAGGCCTTTGGGATCCAAGGTACAACTGTATTGTTTAAGCCGCACTATTGTTTTCAGCTGCTGTATTTATTTGATTATATACAGTGGTGCCTCCGGTTGCAGATGGGATCTGTTGTTTCAGAGGTCCGGTCAGATCCCGAGTTTTCCGCAACCTGAGGAACGCTTCTGCACATGCGCAGACCACTTCTGTGCATGCACACATGGAGAAACCCAGTAAATGCTTCTGGGTTTGCCGCATGCGCATCCCAAAGTTTACGTAACCATAGGGTTACGTAAACGGAGGTTTGACTGTACTTTATTTAATACATATTGCTATTTAATACGTATTCTGCATCCCACCCCTAGCACCTGTACAGAAGAAAAGCAAGTAATGAATATTTTCAACAAACAAAACAGTAAGGCTGTCCCAATGAATTACACAGTATCTCCTAATTGCGCCGTGGTTTACAGCACCTTGCTTCTTCAAGGCTTCAAAACAGAGGTCAGTCAAAAGCCAAAGGGTCAACAGTGACAGAAGGAGAGATACATGAATTGCAAAAAGTAGCCCACTTTTTGCAGAGGGGGCAAACTTCGCCAGGTTCCTTTCAGCACAAGGGGTTCCTTTGCAAACCAACTGAAACCAAAACCGCTTGGAAAAAGGAAGAAAGGGACTGGAAGCAAAAGCAGCCTGCCCCCTTATAATTGCCGGAAAGAACATTAGGCACGCAGTTCTAGGAGGGGAGGAAAAGGTTCCTGTTTTCCCCACTCAAGCCAAGGCAGCAGCTTTTGCGGGCTGTTTAATTAAGCTCAATCCGAGCCAAGAGACACTTCCTGTGCAGCAGGAGAGGCCTTTTTTATAATCGGCAACACCTCTTCGTCTGATCTCACCCTGCTCCTAGAACATTTGTGGCCCTGTCGCTCTGTGGCACATCAACAAGCCCTGCGACCAGGGCTCCAGCATGGAGACAGTTCAAATTTAGAGTTCCCTTGCAGGGCTTATTAAGAGTCTTCAAACCATTAATTTTCAAAGTGTGTTGCTAGTTTCGGTGGGACTGTAACCTAGAGTGATTGTACTGAAGGCTGCAGCCATGAGGACCTATACAAAGCAGGCAAAAGCTGTCATCATCTCGCTGACAAACAGGCTATCCAAAAAAGAAAAGAAAAGGCCTAGGAGTTTTAATTCTTTATACCTCTTTTGCAGCACAGTTAACACTCTGGGACGAGCAACATTGCCGTGTGGATATCGGCACTGCGGGGCAGAGTTGCTCCATTTCATTCCCACATTAATCTGTGGGCCTGTCTGTTTTTTGAATCATCTCAAAATATTTACATGTGCACTTTCTGTCAACATACGCATTTAAACGCGTACTTGTAGAGCTCAACTAACAAAAGCTATGTTGCCACAGCTGGAGAAATAGAAAATAAGCATGCTGCTGTTAGGAAATATCCTAACATTCTCCCCCTTTCCGTGTAACCTGTAGTACCTGTGGTTCAACCCAATTGCAACCTCTGTACATAAACCTTAAGTTGTTCTCTGTTAACAACCTTAGACAACAGATCAGCAGGAATTTCATTTCCTGGCATGTAGGACACCTGAATGAGTCCTTTTTGAATGCACTCTCTTGCACAATGTAGCTTAATCTGCAAGTACTTGGTTCTTTGCTTGCAACTGAGTTCAACAAAGCCAAACAGGATCTATTGTCTTGATACACTTGTATAGGACATTTAACAGAAACTCTGATGTCCTGAAACAGTTGCATCAACCATTCACAATCCATGAGTGAAAATGACAGAGCATTGAGTTCTGCTTCACAGGAACTTAGGCTTACTGTCGTCTGCTTCTTGCACAGACAGTCAAACAGACAACCATTGTACATGTAGCATACTCCAGAAGTGCTTGTACCATCCGTGGTGTCACTTCCAAAACGAGCATCTGCAAAGATTTCAAGACCTCCAGTCTTCTGACTGGTGAACCTCAGCCTGTAGTGCAAAGTCCCTTTCAAATAGCGGGCTATGCGCTTCAGAGCTTTCCAACACTGTAACAGCTGCTTCATTGCCTAGCTACACTTTAGAACATGGTCCCAACAGCTATGTTCCGACCCGTGCATTATAGTCTGAGAAGAGCAGATCAGGTCTTTTTGCAAAGCAATTTGCAAAGACCAAATTCCTCGAGTCTCCCTAGAGCTCACATCTGAGCAGGTGCTGTTTTGCACATGGGGAGCTCTGTGACAAAGCAGGGTCTCCCACACAGAGACCCTGCTCCATCCTACTGCACTACGCTTAAGTCATGAAACTCTCACATATAGCAGATGCACCATAATCCAATCTTGCAAACGGAGAATAGAATAAATGAAGAAGAAACTAGTCAACAGCAGCCAAGACCTCTTAAACTGGGCACTAAGGGGCTTTCAGACTGTGCAGCACAGAAGCAGAGTCTGCCTGGTAGATGAGCTGAGTGCTTTTGACAACAGCAAATCAGGCATTAATGAGACTGAAATGCCTTACAATAATCCTTTGTCTTTGGTAAAGCAGTAACACATTAAGTATCCTCCTCGTACATAGGCTCGTAGCCCAGTAGGTCATATGTTAAACCTTAGAAATTTCACTGAGCCATAAATTAATTGAGAATTACCTTGACTGCACAGCAAAGGAAATTTTGCACAGCTGCAAGATAGTAGAGGTTTGTTTAGTTGTTACTCATTAGACCAATATATATGTTATGTACTGAAGTTCTCACCCTGGGACAGCAGGGGGATACTGTAGATAGTTTTCACTCAGGTCCACATATACAAATAAGGGATTGAAAGTAACATTCAGTGATTGGATAGTTACAGAAAATGGTTGCTGTTGCGTTCTAGTGGACCTCTATATAAGCAGGCTAGCTGAACCCTTCAGTTCAGTTCTGTTCTGGCCTGTGAATAAACAAGAGCTGTTTGAAGAATCGCTGTGTTGTCTGACATGTTCACCCACAACTTAACAATTTATATCCCTGAAAACCCTCCAGCCTATATACAGGGCTGAATTCACCAAATAAAATCTGCAGTGGAGGCTGTCAAGCAAGGCTCTGCAATTGCTGGGCTGAAATTAAAAAACCCCTATGCTGTTCTAGTTGCCTTGAAGAGAAACATTAGGGTAGAACTTGGGAGTTATTTTTTCACGTTTAAAATGACAATAGGGTGCATGCAGTTATTTCATACTATAATAATATGTCAATGGGAAGAGAGACTATCTTATGGGGCAAGTCTCTGGAGGTGTGGGTTTGAATCCCACTGCTGCCAAGTGCTCTTGTGGCTGGTATAGCTTGGCTGGTACAGTATGAGACTCTTAGTGTCAGGGTCGTGGGTTCAAGCCCCAAGTTGGGCAAGTGATACCTGCATTGCAGGGGGTTGGACTAAATTATCCTCATAGTGCCAGTGGTGGCCAAACTTGGCCCTCCAGCTGTTTTGGGACTACAATTCCCATCATCCTTGACCACTGGTCCTGTTAGCTAGGGATGATGGGAGTTGTAGTCCAAAAACATCCCTTCCGACTCTACAAATTCTGTGCTTCTAAATTACTCTAAACTAAACTATATCTACCAGTATAAATGTACTGGGCAACTTCACTGAAGCAGCTATTGCTTCAAGAAGATAGAAGGGATATCGCACAATGATAATTGGAATCGTGAACTAACTTAACAGAGGCATGCACTGCTGAGGAAATATTATTAACAACATCTGTTTTCAGTGTAAGGAGAAATGGTGGAAACCTAGACATAACAGATATAATTTTCATCAAATATGTGCAAAGGAAGAAGCTGCTTGCCAAAAACCAAGGAATCTAGATGGCTTATTAGAACCTCAGTGTGTTTACATGAAGAGGGAGATTAAATTTCTTTCCCCCAAATTTATTACTGTTATGCACAGTGAAACATGAGTACTTAAGCCAAATGGAGTTTTAAAGCCTCAATTTCCAGTAGCTTCTCCAAGCATCAATTAAAATATTGTTCTGAAGCAGGCTATTGCCCACATTTTTAAAAGGAACTAATGGTCTATTCCTAAAACTTGCTTGGGGCCAATTTCAGGGGTTGCAATAGGGATCCTATAGCCCAGAATTCAGTTTTATCTGAGAAGCATCTGAAGCCATGCAATTAACAGCAAAAATTGAATTGTAAGGGAGTTGTGAACAGCTTGAATATTCTGGGATAAATTTAAAAATGGATATTTTCCCCCCCATGGTGGAGACAACCACTAGAGTTTTTGGACCATAAGTATTCTTTTAATAGCAGAGAAATACACGTTAAAAATTGACTTGGGCCCCTCTAGATAGGTGGGTTTTTTAAGGTAAATTCTGCAGCATGCCACTGATGCAACTGCAATAATTCGTGGTAGTTTCATTCTGTATTATCCAAACATCATTTCATTTCATTATTTTTTCTGCTATGCTCTTCCCCCAGTGTTATCACATTATTGAGGTCTTGTGCAACAAAAGTGAGACAAAAAAAACAACCTGGGGACGTTTGCAGTATGACGTTTGCAGGATTTCAGCAGGAAGCCACAGGGCATGCACTGGTTAGAAATGAAGCAGAGTGTCTGCTCCCAAAGCTTTTGCAAAAGCAAACAATTTTGAAAGCAGGATCATGTATAATCTACCCAATACTATCACATGAACAAATCATCATGAATGCACAAATACAAGGAAAATTTGGAGAGGCCCCTAATTATGGTGTCATAACACAATAAATAGCATTTATAAATAAATGGGTTGCCATTTCTTTCGTATCTCACTGCTCCTCTAAAGAGCTATGGATGGCATGCATCTTATCACCCCACAATCTTGTGATGTACTTTGGGTCAAGAAAGAGAGGGTGTGTGTGAAACCATAAAACTGGGTTTGGTGTGTTTTTGCTCATGTTGATTCTACAGGCACCACATCTATTGATGCCTCTGCATAAAAGAAGAAGAATGAAGTGGTTATCTATAGCTGCAAAGAACTGCTCTTCATGGTGACCAGAAATCTCTTCGTACAGAAGCCAAGAGAAGGGAAAGAACCTAAGGATCAGTATGAGGTTTTCGACCCAGTATAAGAGGAAACACCCAGGCAAAACCCAAACGCTACATAGCACTTAAGATAACAAGAAACACTCATGTGTAAGCTTTGGCCTGGGGAAAAGCACACAGCATACAAAAGGATGTATATTTGGAAACTCAAGACTATGATTTTGTTCTATTCGTAGCAAAAACCACCATTCCTCCTGCCAATTTAGAGAATCCTGAAAACAGCAACGACCATGTTTACAAGACACTCATAATATTTCCACACTGAAAGAATTAAGACACCTGAGAGCACAGTCTGTAAGGGGGGGGGGGGAGTGCCCTGCAAAGTATGTTTCTTAAAAGCAAAACAAAAACCATTGCCTCCACCAGCCTGCTCATTCCCCGGTATGGGGTTCTTGATAGTCTATGGCGATGGGGCAAGTTATTAAATGCAGTACACGGCCATTCTAAATACATGAATACAATACTTTACAAAATAGAATTAAGCCCCTGATCCACCTCTGGTTGTGTTTTATCCTATGTGACTAGTAGCACTAGACCAGTTAATGGGGACCAGATGAACATCACAAAGCAGTTCAGCAAAAATCTCCCTCCCTGTTTTAGGGCAGGGGACCCTGGCGCTCTCCAGTTTTGCTTGGAGCTGCTGCAGTGCAATCTGAGGTTAGCCCAGAAAGGCAATATGCTTATTATCGGAAGGCTCTCGTCAACTCATAGAAGTTGTTCTTACCCATGGCCAGATTATACACATGCAGCCTAGCAACCACCCAAATAAAACTTACTTCGGAACCATCTACCTGCTAGTAACTGGAAAGGGAGCAGCACGGAGAGAAATTTGGGGGTGGGAAGCCTGACCACTGTATTTGGAGGTGCGAAGAGAGAAAGGGAGGGGGCTTCTGCCTTTCCCTGTGACACACAGCTTTTCTGTCACCTACAGCCAATCGTTCCTCCAGCAGCCGTAGGGGTACAGTTGCTCTCCAAATATGGTACACCGCAACCTCAATCTAGGTGTGTCACAGGCAGGAGGGGATGTGTTGATGGTCTGGCCTTAAAACAGAAAACGATGCGATCTATGCCCCTTTCACTACAGTTTTTTTATTCCAATACCTAACTTTGGATTTACAGCCGTACCTTGGAAGCCGAAAGGAAGCCATTCCAGAAGTCCCTTCGACTTCCAAAACGTTCAACTTCCAAGGCGCGGCTTCCGATCGGCCGCAGGAGCCCCGCCGGATGTTTGGTTTCCGAAAGAACGCTTACAAACCAGAACACTCACTTCTGGGTTTGCAGCTTTCAGGAGTCAAAACGTTCAACTGCTAAGGCATTCATCAACCACGGTACAACTGTATTTTTGTCAGATTAACAGCCTTTACAGGAGAGATGGAGAATCTGTGGTCCTCAAAATGTTGTTGGACTGCAACTCCCATCAGGACAGCCAATGTGGTATAGTGGTTAAAGTGTCAGGTTAGGACCCAAGAGGTCAAGAGTTCAAATCCCCATTCTGCCACAAAGCTGGCTGTGTGACTTTGGGCCATTTGCCCAAAGTCTCTCAGCCTTTTGAGGACAAAATGGAGATACAGAGAACCATGCGTGTGTACCCCCTTGAAGTTCTTGGAGGAAAGTTAGAATATAAATGTCAATAAGGTTTCTAGGAGCTATGAGCATGAAAGAAGGTGAGTGAGGTGGAAGAAGGCCAAGACTTGCAATGGAAAATACGAGCTGGCCAGCAGCATATAACTGCAGGAGACAACAGCTGAAGTCCTTGTGAGCTTCCCAAACACCACGTCTCATTATGCATCTCTCTGGGAGCTGCCAAAGCACAAGGGCTCTTTAACCCTGCACACCACCCTGCCCAGTGCAAACAAAGGTTTTAGCAGACGTCCCACTTTACACTCCACAACTGTTTATGCTCATCTCAAAAAGACAACAGAGATGTTTAGGTGCTACCACAGAAAATACACAATTCCTACCTTGCACAGAAGAGATATCCTAATGGGTATTACTGGCAGGAAGGAGGCCCTCCCTTGCAAAGCGCAGTGATCCGTTTGGTATACAAAACACTGAAATGGCATTTCCAACAATTGCTATCCAATTGCTTTTGGGAAGATGACAAGCAGGCTAATAGCAGCCAATCCTCCATCATCTGCCTCATTATTATTATTATTATTATTATTATTATTTTAAACTATCTATCCTAGCAGACAATTCCACATTTTGCGACACTGAATGCCATAAAAATGTCAATCTCCTTACGTTGAGCATGCATATAATGCAATCCCATACATGTCTACTCAGAAATAAGCTCCACTAATTTCAAGGGCTCTTGAGGGAGGTTGCAATCCTGCAATGTGCTGTCTTATATGCAGGTAAGATTTCGTTGAATGCAATGGGGCACATATGCATAAGGTCGGGAATTTATGTAACTAGCATGATTTTACATGTATTGTTTTCATTGGGTTGTACCTATTCTGCAATTCTGGGAGACGAGGTTGCTTGAACCAACAGGAGAACAAACAGAAGAGCAGAGATTATCTTAGCTGATCCATCCCCATTGCCACAGTCTCTGCCAAAGCAGAGGGGAAACTGGCAAAACAGAGAACCAGGTCGATTCCTCCCAATATTTATTTTTCCTGGTTAAATAGCATTTGGGGCACATACCCGATTCAAAATCATGAATTACAAACACTTCTTTAACGTTACATAATAGATTGGAAACATCATGGTTTCCAAAGTCAAACATCCATTGAGATCATATTTGTAAATAAAAGAAAAACACCATCAATTGTTTGCTTTAGGAGTCTTGTAAAGGCATATGCGCAAAGGCTTTCTCTGATCCATAAGACTGGACCCTGTACCACTACCTCTGAACTTCTGTTTTTCCTCTCAGCTTTTATTACATTGTTTTAGTGTTTTCGTTTTACAAATGTTTAAAATGTTATGCAGCTTAGAAATACATCTGTATGTAAAAAAAGTCTGAATTTTTTAAAAATGCAACCTATGCCACAATCCTCAGTCTGCTTGTTTCAGTAACAGCAGTTTTCAAAATGACAGCAAAAGTAAATAAGTGGATTTGACAGTCCCACCTTGTGTTAATTTCTGTACAGTGGTACCTCGGGTTACAGACACTTCAGGTTACAGACTCCGCTAACCCAGAAATAGTACCTCGGGTTAAGAACTTTGCTTCAGGATGAGAACAGAAATCGCACAGCGGCAGCGGGAGGCCGCATTAGCTAAAGTGGTACCTCAGGTTAAGAACAGTTTCAGGTTAAGAACGGACCTCCAGAATGAATTAAGTTCTTAACCCGAGGTACCACTGTACAGTGAATTAGGGCTGTGGCTGAATGTTTGAACATTCTCAGGACAAAAAGAAAGTTGTGATTTTGGAGGGGGCAAATGATGCCCCCCCCCATCCTCTCTTTGCCCAGCTGTATACTTTGCAGTATACATTTCTCAACTTTGCTGCCATTCTATATACCTCCTTGAGTAATCCCACTCAATCCAGGATCAGGCAGGGAGCAAGATGAAGTCATGCTTGATATCATATTTGGCCATGTGGGGTAATACTGATAACAAACAGGGCTACCCCTGCCCTGCATGCAAGGGAGTACCCCCCCACCCACCCACCCACAGTGGGATGTGAAACACATAGCAGTCAAGTTCAACATTCCTAGAATGGACATGCTAGGTGATGCTTTGTACCAACCAGGAGAAAACTTACTGTTTCCTCCCGAGCTGGGACAAACTTCCTCTGCATGTGACTAGAAGTGGGCGTGGCCTAAACTGGGTAGGGGAGCACACGCTCTTCTTTTGCTCCTTCTTCTCAGTTTTGTTTTTCTACATGTTAGCAGAAGTGATTGCCTGCCACTGCATGCACACAAAAGCTTATACCCAGAACAAGCTTAGTTGCTCTCTAAGGTGCTACTAGACAATTTATTTTATTTATTTTATTTATTTTATTTATTTTATTTATTTTGACTGTGTCAGACCAACACGGCTACATACCTGAATCCCTTATAGGATAGTTCCGCATGTATATATACTTTTGTAACCTGAGTCTGCCTTCAGGGATCCAACTGTGAACTGAATGAATGTGAGTAAATTACTTTTATACAGTGGTGCCTCGCAAGACGAAATTAATCCGTACCGCGAGTCTCTTCGTCTTGCGGTTTTCTCGTCTTGCGAAGCATGGCTATTAGCGGCTTAGCGGCTATTAGCAGCTTAGCGGCTATTAACGGCTTAGCAGCTTTAAGAAAAAGGAAACAAACTCGCAAGAACTCGCAAGACGTTTCGTCTTGCGAAGCAAGCCCATAGGGAAATTCGTCTTGCGGAATGACTCAAAAAACGCAAAACCCTTTCGTCTAGCGAGTTTTTCGTCTTGCGAGGCATTCGTCTTGCGGGGCACCACTGTATAGACTTTAATAAGATTGTCGTGTCTATTCTTTTAAAGAGGGACAAGAAGGGATCTTACCAGGAATTTTATATAGAGAGGTACAGATGAACCTACAACAAGCAAACTGCTGTGAGTTTAAAGGGGAATGTTTAAACTCTGCTAAGACATAGAACTTGCTAACACAAGTTAGGAAGGATATCATTGAACAATATATCCTCTCCTGCCTCCCTGAATATTCCCACACCCACTGCCAAGGAAACAGAGAAAACACTGCGGCAGTTTACCTGGCCATCCTCTCTGCAATACAGCAAGGGAGGGATGGTCAACCTCATTGTCTCAGCAACAGGGGCGCATTTCATACTGCCCCACACATTTTGTGTGAAAGTGATCTTTCACAGGACACTACAAAAAGGCCAGCAAGACATGACCCCACTCCTCCCCACTCCTTCAGCAAGAATATCTAGGTTCTTTTTAGCACATGTCCTAGATTTAGATAACAATCTTAATTTTTTAAAGGCCAATTACTTTTCTGGCGCATGCGAGCTTAAGATTGCTTCACTACTCTACCAAATTACTGAAAACAAGACAGAAAGACATCCAGAGGCAGACAGACAGACTGCCTTATAGCTCCTTATAAGGCCTCTTAACAATAGTTCTGTGACAAGGCATGGTTTGGAGCCGGGTTACGAACAAAAAGGCTGATCCCGTCAGACAGCTGGCAGCACACCCTCCATAATAGACACGTCTCAGTGCCTGCAGAAGTGTAATTTTAGAGTCCAGGGCTTAATTTGAGCCAGACCTGATACCCATTACCAACGTCAAGACTTAGCCGAGGCACGCATGAACCAACCTAAGGGTTTCTGAAGATGCAGGCTGCATTCCCACCTCACAAATCTAGGGTGTGGTAGGGCTTGCAGATCAGGCAGAGGGAGGGCCATAAAAGCCCAAATCCCAGCACTCCACTTTTCAAAAATTAGACCTGCCAAACACAAACAAAATAGCAGCCCCGTAGACATCGTTCAGGAAACTTTGGTTCCCCAGTTACCTCATCCTTTTTTTTCTACCAGATATTGCTGCACTCCAGCTCCCATCAGTCCCATCTAGCAATGCCAATGGTCAGGGATGATAGAAGTTATAGTCCAGCAAGATCTTGAGGGCACCAGTTAGGGGAAGTCTGAGTTCCTAGGCACCATTCTTGGCTGCCTGGTTACGGAAGCCAAAAAACAACATAGGGACCAGAGCTTCCTCTTGTTAGCTGTGACTTCATTGTTACAGTTTGCCGACAGCAAGGGTAGGAAGAGTCTATTTGCTCAAAGTGAAAGCATCCCGTAACGGAACCCCAGTGTAAAAAGGTAAAAGGTAAAGGACCACTGTATGGTTAAAGTCCAGTCAGAGGTGACTATAGGTTTGCGGCGCTCATCTCGCTTTTAGGCTGAGGGAGCTGGCATTTGTCCACAGACAGTTTTCTGGATCATGTGGCCAACATGACTAAACCGCTTCTGGTGCTGCAGAACACCGTGATGGAAGCCAGAGCGCATGGAAACTCAGTTTCCCTTCCTGCCATAGCGGTACCTATTTATCTACTTGCACTGGTGTGCTTTCAAACTGCTAGGTTGGCAGGAACTGGGACAGAGCAACAGGAGCTCACTCCATCGCAGGAATTCGAAGCGCTGACCTTCTGATTGGCAAGCCCAGGAGGCTCAGTGGTTTAGACCACAGTGCCACCCACGTCCCAGTCCACAAGGAAGCCACAGAAAGAATGTAGCTTGTCAAGAAAGACGTGGGCTCGAAAAGGATGAAAACCACTATCCTACTATATCACATGCATCAAGTGTTTGCTGGGATAGGTCCATTGTCCTACACACATAGTTGCTTTTTTTCTCCGATACAAAAGGTAAGCCAAAGGTTTGAGCAATACAAGAAGGAGTATAAAGAGAACTACTTCAAACATCTTTGATGAAGATGGGGCAAGTTTCTAGCCCACAAAAACCTTGGGGTCACATCCATACCACACATATGAAGCACGTCGCTTCCCCCAAAGAATCCTGGGATCTGTGGTTTACCCCCTCAGAGAGCTACAATCCCCAGCACTCTTCATAAACTGCAGTTCCCAGGATTCCTTGGGGGAAGCCATGGTGTGGATATGATTTGCATATAACACAGTAAACCAGCTGCAGCTATAAGGTTGCTTTTGCTACAGCAGACCAATGAAGCCACTCCCAGGACACAAATCCATTTCAAACCTTCCCGTATCCTCATTCTGAAGGTTTCAAAAAGGCTCATGGGCTGCGCATGGCTGTGCAAAATGTTCTGATGCCCTCCGAGCTAATTAACAGCACAATCCTATAACAACATATTCAGGTATAAGCTCCATTGAGTTCAATGGCGGCTTACTCCTGGGATACACGATTGCAGCCTAATAAATAGTAATGATAATAATAATATATTTTTATTTATACCCCGCCCTTCCCGGTTCAGAAAACCAGGCTCAGGGCGGCTAACAACAAATTTAAAACACTCAATTGTAATACAACATAGAAGCAGCATAAATTACAGTATAAAAGCATGAATGACAATAAAATCCAAAGTTCAAAAATCAATTTGGGGGAAATCCATTCAATAAATATTAGATAGTCACCAGGGCTAGCTGGCTGAATTAGTCCTACATGGGCCAGTGAGGAGGCCAGGGGAGAATTAGCTGTGGGGTCCCAGAGCAGGTAATCTTCATAAAAGGGGAGGGGGAGGGAAGAAAGGGAAAATAAAAGATCAGGCTGAATTCAAATTTAAGGCCAGGTGGAATAGCTCTGTCTTACAGGCCCGTAGGGCCCTAGTCTCATGGGACAGAGCATTCCACCAGGTTGGAGCCATCACTGAAAAGGCCCTGGCCCTAAGTCCATCTCTAAAAACATTCGGCATATAAAAGGGAGAAAACAGATTTATATATGTATGAAAATTATTGTTTCATGAGGTAATAGGTTTATTAGAGTGGAAAAATTGGGAAAGGACAGGAAGTCAAACTTATTTACTAAATATATTGTAGGAGGACTTATATTCTTTTGTTGGGTTTTCATTTTGATAAAACTGACTTATGTAAAATAAGGAAGATATGTATTTGATGTACAGATGCAAGTATGAACAATCAAGCATTTAAAAAACAAATAAACCATTCAGCATAACATCACACAAGGCCTTTCCTTCCCCTTTTCACCACAAAGTGCCTTTAGCCTCTGCCGGGGAAACAATGGGTTCCCCACCCCCATTTGCTATAGTATACTGTCTTGAAAACCGTTAGGCTTACAAACAAGCCATGGGAGGCACAAATAGACTTGGGAGACTGCCAAAGAAACTTGCTGCATGGGAGTTTTCCAAATCTGGCACGAGAAGAAATAAAACTATGGCTTTAATTCTAAGTGCACTTGGAACCGCATTCCACTGTCAGCAGCATTCACTTCCAGATCAGCATGCTAGTCCTTAAGAAAAAAGAAAAACAGAGATAGCGAGGATGCATTACATACTGCCCACCTAGGGCCTCGCTGACATTTTTTATTATCCACAAATTAGAATTCTCAGAATCCTAGTTTTAAAAACAATAACTGAATGGGGGGGGGGGAGAGAGTAGTCCCTCCTTGATTACAGAGAGAATAATTTTCCATTCCACAGATAAGCCCAACATTCATAACTTCCTGTTGGTCATATATCAGGGTTTTTATCTAGATAATACATTGAACAACCTAAAGCTGTATATAAACGATACGTATTGATCTGCTTGTTTTCTTTTTTTTTTAAAAGTCAATCTCCAGTTTGTGAAAGATTACTTTTGTTTCATATAGCTTAAAAAAAGGCACATTGGTGCAGAAAGGTAGCAAATTTTTTATGTTTCCAATGCGCTCCTCAATCCTCAAAGCAAATTACATTTCAACAGCATCAAGACAACATGCAACACCTAAGAATGTAAGGCATCTTCCACAAACCTGAGAATTAAAATAGAAGATCCAAGGGCTAAGCACCTGACATTTCTGATTTGCTTTTATAGATATATAAACAAACAAACCTACTAAATAGCCACAGAAATCAGTAAGTGAGGAGCTGAGATGAAAAGGGACCTGTTTAAACAAGGCAAGCAAAACAGGTATCAAAGATTTTACATCCATGGAAGAATTGACCCTTTTTCCATCCCAGAGTGTGGGAGGAAAGGGTTTTGAACCATAAAAGAGAACAGCAGAGAGGAGAAAATTCCAAAGGTACCTGACTTGAGGAATCAGGGGAGCGCATCCAGTATCCTTTTCCTGGTGCACTGAAGAACAACAATAAATAAATACATAAACTTCGGCGATTCAAACGATGCCGCCCAACTTTCTCGGGAGCGATTTAAAAGGGAGCTTCTTCCCTCCTTTCTCTCTGCAAATTCTCAGGACGTTCCATCAAAGGCTTTGCTGCTGCTGTCGCCGCTGCTACTTCGGTGGCTAAGCAGTTAAAACCATCTCTGGCGGTGGGGGGGGCAAAACAATTGCTGCAGCAGAGTCTTCTCAGCCGAAGCCGAGAGACTGTAGCACTTTTGTTTTCGAGAGATCAAAAATCCTATCCCGTTTGCCAATGAAAACAGGGGCCGGCAGAGCCCCGGGAATCTGCACACTCTGAGCAGAACAGCCTCGGCTGTCTGTGCGCTGGAGGGTGTGGGGGGTGGGCTTTATATAAAAAGAGGGCCAGCTCAGTGGGCTTCTCTGCCAATGAAAAGCTTGGGATTCCTGGCAACCAAAGCCACAAGGCACTAGGAGACCACAGGCCATAGAGACTGCCAAGGCAGGACAAGGTTTCGTACAGACGATGAGGAAAGCGCAGATTTCTCGGCTCAGGAATCGAACCGCTGGACAGGCTTCTTCTGCATCTTTGAGAAACATCACCATCTCCCCTGACAGGGATGCTTTTCTAGATGTAGCTTTCTGCCATCATTCGCTTTTCGCGTTTATTCTCCTTTTCAGGAGATGTCTCAGCAACCACCAATCCAGGAGGAAAAGCAGAATCCGTAAAACAAGGAATCGACTGCTGGTTGTTCTTTCCTTGAAATGCTCCAACACTCTCAAGGTAATTACTAAAATATTTTATTCCCACCCAACTATCAGTATATAAAATTAAACAGGCAGGGACTGGTATACAATCACATAAGAATGTGTCATTATCTACTTCGACTGGCTGGCTTTACAGGGGCTGCATACTGATGTCTATGGTTTTCATCGTGTTTTTCAAAAGCATAGGCAGCCTTGAGTATTTGGAGAAGTGAGGAGAATTAATAAAAGCTTCTCTCTTTGAAAAGGGAGATGCTAATGGAAAATAGCCCACGTGCAACTGCACTTGATTGCATTCATTCAACTTCATCCTAGCCGATAACTTTCCTACATCTCCCTTATCACTTCCGCTACTGTTTAAAAATCTAAATTACAATCTGCTTGGAGCAAAGACTCAAGACTCATTTCTTACGGTGTAGGTCGGTGGAAGCACCAGAAATTGCTTGATTTAGTATTAACCACTCTCCTGGCAGGTAATATGAGGTCCATTAGTCTTAACATGCAACAATACTTCGAGTCAATTTTTAAAATATATCCATCTTATTGCACTGAACTGCTAATCATTTCCGCAGTGAACCAGGTCCTGAGATGGCTGGCACAATGTTGACTCAGCAGTTTCATAAGGAACTGTTAGCTCCTCTCTGGCAAGATGTCAGTGTTCCAAATGTGCATCACTTTGCAGGAGAGATGCACCCGTTCTCCTTTCGCAATACCTGGAAGCACATCAGTTGCGCATCCCTTTCCCACTATTTCGCCGAATGCACAAAGCAGCCCCAAGCTTATTACTCCTCGTGTCTCATCCACCATCCATTTTCACCTGCAGTCTGCAGTTTTGCCCCACCCAAAAAAAACTAAAACAGAGAGCAGCACCATAGCACAAGGGAAGAAAAGCAAAAGCTTCCAGGTCCAACTAATATAATATATAAGTTCAATTTCAGGTTTCTCTTCAGATTCAGCTGCAGACATCAGAACAGAGACAGAGAGAAGGTACACACACACACACCAGACCCAGCCTAAGGAAGCCCACCACACATCCAAATCCTTCCAATGTCATAGCCTTTTGCTTTGGTGTTTCTTTTGGAGAGTCAGCCCAATACATTTTCCTACCTGAGGCAGAAATTCCAAGTGCCCTCCCCCAGTCAAGGTGTGCAGTACTCACATTTTGGCCCCCAAAATGGAAAAAAAAAATCTCACAGGCATCTCACCTTGGGAGTTAAACAACAACAATCAAAACAGTAATTTGCTATTATTTCATGACACCCAAAATCAGCTTCATGAGGCAGTGGCCTCACTCTGCCTAATAGTAGGGCCAGCTCTGCTAGTAAACAGTTGTGACATTTTTAACTATTGGCTTCTAAAACATTTCTGTGGAAAACTGTTTAACGTCTGCAGCTAGCTCAGTTGTAGAGTCGATTATTTGTAAGCAGGTGATCGCAGGTTCAGTCCCTGGCAACTCCAGGTAGGGCTACGAAATATCTTTGCCCACCCTAACATTATCACATCCCTCACCTTTCGGAGTCTCTCTCTACGGTCAGCAAGTTTCATCTGAGAAAGCATTGGATTAAGTGGCAACCATGCATAAATGAGACACGCTCTTTAAATATTATGCTTCCTCCTACTACGACGCTGCCAACCTGCACTGCAGCTGCCAAGCAGAAGCCAAATATTTATAGGAGGCCACTGAGCCAAAGGAAAAGTAGTGAAAAGGCATTCAGCCCAATAAACATCAGGAGGAATGTAAAGGGAACCCAGGCAGTGCCCGAAAATGGTAACGTTTGAAGGCCTGGAAGGCTGTTAATACAATGCTCATGCTATGGATGTTAAGATACTAGCCAAACTACACTGGCTTCTTACAAGCTGGCATGAGGAATTCATCTTACTTTGGCTTGGCCCAGGAACTCCTTGCTGGCCAAGCTGCTCAGAGTGCTGTGGCCTGGGTTTGCTTTCGATGGGCTTAAGCATACGTCACTCTGAGCACCAAGATAAGAAAACTAAAAGGCATGGCATAAGAAATCAGAAAATTTCCCCTGCAAGGAATGTGTGGTGGAGATTTACAGCGGTCCTTTCAAACAGATAAAATGGGCAAGACACAGCAGGCCAACAAAGGAAGAGAGCTAAAAGTTCACATGATATTGCCCCCCCCCCTTTTTTAAGGCAAAATTCAAAGCTAAGCAGAATTTTGCAATAATCGCGGGGGGGGGGGGATACTTTCCTGTTGTTGCCAATTCTGCCCAGAGAATGGATTTACAGTATTTTCATTTTATTTTCTCTTCTCACCCCCCCCCCCCACTTCTTCAAAGTGAGGACTGTTGCCAAGCTGTTTCCAAGTGGTGGAGATTTCCTTTCACAGATCTTTGTTGTTAACTCTTGCTGCCACAATGCTATTTGTGAAACCGGAGAGCTCAAGAGGAAAGGGGGAAACAGCTCAGCATTAACTTTCCTAAGGAAAGGAAGCCTGCAAGAGTTCTGTTCCGTGGTGAGAGAGACGCTTATTGCTCTGAAAAACAATGTTTGTAAGGAAACCGCGCAAATTTGCCGTACAGGCACCAACAGCAACCTAATATGGGAAAATCCTCCGCACTGGTAACCATTTTAACTTCGGTAAAGGTCAAGTAGCCCCAGGCCTCCATTAAGTCCCCTGAGTGAATGGGTTTGGGGATTTTAAAAAGCCTGCTTGTTTAAAAAGTTTTAGAAGATGGTTGAAAAAGATAATGCAAATGGGGAGGGGGGTGTCCTGCCAAAATCTCTGCCACTGGCCTTTCTCCTTCAAGCAGTGCAAGTTGTTTGATGTTGTCATAAATGTGCCATCTTCCAAATAAGTAGCTGTCTTAGTCGTTTGCCACAAAAAATAAAACAACTGAGATTTGTGGCACCTTAACACATTTATGGTAGCATATGCTTTCATGCACCAAGGTCCAAGTGCACCCTGATGCACAAATGCTTATGCCGTAATAAATCTGCTCCGTCTTTAAGGTGCCACAAGCCTTTTTGTTGACATAAATATGGAAGGTTAAGATCAGAAACACTATTTTTACTTTCAGGTGCCTCTGGCATGGTACATGCCATTAGGTTCTCTGTGAATTATAGGGATGCAAGCTGATATATGAATGAGCACATCTAAGAATGGTTGGTAGAGGGACGCGGGTGGCGCTGTGGGTAGAGGGACGCGGGTGGCGCTGTTCAGCAACATCTAGAAGGTCAGTGGGTTCCCACCACTTTTCATCCACAATCATTTGCTGTTTTCCTTCCACACCTAAAGCTCATTTCTAAACCACTTCATATTTTAAAAATCTCTAAATGGTGCACAGCAAAGCCATCAATATGAACCACAAAAGTCAACAGCTACTTTAATACTAGATCAATACCTTTTAATCATTGCTGTATTATTTTATTCATTACCATCGCATTTAACACCAGGACAGCTCGGTTCTATTTTTATTTATAGCATATCAAAAACTTCAATAAGTTGTCAAATGGGGACCTCTTCTGGCAAAGTAAGGCATTCCCACACAAACTGCTTCCTTTAAACCAGAGCTTACCAAACCTCTCTCACCACCAAAGGAACACAAGCGAACAGCAAAGAACCTGCACAAGCAACGCTCACACCAAACCCTACATATAGTAAGTAAAATAGAAACATCGCCACCCGACCCCACCCTCATCCATCTTTCCCCTCCTCCACCTCTTTCCCCTTTTCTTCCTAATGTCTCAACAAATGAAACTGATTTGTAAAAATGTTACAGGGGAAGAAAAAACACGAGAGAGAGATATTGCACACTTTTGTAAATCAACAAAATCTTTAATAAAACAAAAAACAAAAAACCAGAGCTTGCTCCTACCAGGGCTGGAAAGGGGTTAGTTTAGCCTCCTGTTTCCTAGTAAAACTTAATTACTGTTTCGCAAAATGACACATGTTTAAAAAGAGTACTGTATCATCAACATGAAAAGTTCAGAAAGCTCTGTTTGAAACTACTGTATTAGGAAAGGTTTTACAGAAATTTTACCCATTTACACGTGGTGGGCAGTTCAACAACAGAAGGCAAACTTACAAATGACATATTCCTAAGATCTGGAACGTGGAGCAGGGCTGAGGTACTACTTCACACCACTGACCCACATCAAACACTTTTCAAAACATGTGTAAGCACTACACGTTGTGGGGTGTTTTTCCCCTACAATACACAGGGCTATCAGCTGATTAACTACCTCCTCTTGCTTGGATACATCTGCATATTATTAAAACTACAGGAGAGTTGCCTTTTTGAGATACTGAAGGAAGTGCAAGAAAGCTTTGGTTTATAAAATTGCAAGTTGCCATTCACAATCCTCCTCTTCTATAAGCTAAATGCATGCAATTGCACTTGTTCATTTTCAGACTCTTTGAAACCCTTTGCCTCTGTCTCCACATTGCAAGCAACCCCCCCTTTTTGTTTAAGTTTATCTGTAAAGAATGTAATGTATGTATGGCAATTTTATATAAAGCAAACATAATATGTCGTTAGAAGGAAATGCTACCTTCAAATTCTTAATTTGTATCCCCACTGAAGTTGGTCCTCAGCAAACAGCTATAAAAGCTTGCAGCCTTAACAACACAGGTCTTGTGTTTGTTTCCTGAGCCCTTGTGCAACGCGAGGCATGCAGACTGGAAATTAATTCCAAAACTCTTCTCTAGACTTTGAAACTATGTGCAAAATGCCTGCCACTAGACAATGCACCGTGAAGATCATATATGGACATACCTGTTTCAGACACCAGTCTTAATGCCTTGTGCATTTTAATTTGCTTCCAGGACATTTGCTTATGCTCCCACTTTCAGACTTATACCTCAGATATGCATCCACAGTGAATGGGAGGGAGAGCTGGACTCTCCCTACGGATGTGCCTGTCTAACCCCCTTCCTTGGATAAAACTTACAGGCTGCAGACCCATCAGATGCCAACGTGAATGACTGCAAGAACAAAATAATTGCAACCTGTACTTTTCTACTAGAAAAAAAACAGTTCTGGTACTGCGTCCCCTTGAGTACACCCAGAGAGAGAGAGAAAAGCAGTGGTTGTAACTGCATAATAAGAACACAAGATTTTAAAAGATGCATGGATAAGAATTTTACATAACAATTGGTGACGGGGTTCTGTGGCTTTTTTGTGAAAAAGCAACAAATAAAGGAAGTCTAATGATCCACTCTGGACCATTCTGGATTTGTTTGCAGAGCACAAACGCTCAAGAAGAAACCCTAGTAATTCTCTATCAACAAAAACAAATTTCTAGAACAAAACTGTCATCAACAGGGCAATCCTATACATGCCTATTCAAAAGTAAGCCTACACTGAAATTTAAGGAGAATTATTCTCGGGTAACTGTTATAGGTCTAAAGCCGAAATTGTTTCTAATATTTTGTTAGGAGCCACCCAGAGTGGCTGGGGCAACCCAGTCAGATGGACTTACTTACTTACTACCACTACTACTAACATACAGGCATGCAAAGGCTCCATAGCCCAGTCTAAGCAAGGGCAAGACATTAGTAGCTCCACATTTGGAGCGCCAAAACACCAGAAGCCCAGCTGCTCTCTAGGATACCCTTGCAAGCTTGTGACTGCTGTCTTTTATGCACAGGTGTAGCTAAGCACACAAGGATTTCTGCTTCAGAAAGCAATGAGTAGAACAAACAACAGACAGTTTGCCAGACCAGCCGAGAGCACCCACTTGATTATGCCATTGATGCACTATCCGCATGACAAGAGAGGCACTCTTAGGTGGGGATAATGCTGAATTTGAACACCCACAGATGCAAGGCCAGTAAAATATAAACTGTATGCTACAACAACAACAACAACAACAACAACAACAAAAAGACACATTCCAACCACAGCCAAAAAATGGGAGAAGCTTTGAAAGGATTGTGAAGGGGTGACATTACAGCCTCTTTAGGAAGAACATAATAAGCAATCTTCTATCAAAGCCAGTGCAGTATTGTCTAATATTCTGACTGGCAGTGGCTCTCCAAGGACAGAAAAGGCCTCTTATCAAATGTCTTTCAAAGTATGTGTTCTGCCTGAGATCTGAGTCCTTCCCTTTCCACAGATAAAATTAACACGGAGGCATAGGTCACCAGGCACACAGCAGCAACAATGTGCGTTCATCAAAAATATGTTGTTGTTTTTTTAAAAAAGTCTATGGTAATAAAAGACAAGTGTTTGCACATTACACTAAGCCATTCATTACGGTTTAGTAAGCTAACTTGTGCACACAGTCCAAGCACCGCTGCTTTGCTCCTCCACCTTGCACAAGCAAGTAAACAAACCACAATGGAGATAGTTTAGCTGCATAGCCCGGTATTCAAATCCAGAATCTTGGTTTGTTTCACCCTATTAAACCACAATCAAGCATAACCATGATCCTGGGCTTGGACATCATGCTAAGCCATGGGTAGGCAAACTAAGACCCGGGGGCCGGATCCGGCCCAATCACCTTCTAAATCCGGCCTGCAGATGGTCCGGGAATCAGTGTGTTTTTACATGAGTAGAATGTGTCCATTTATTTAAAATGCATCTCTGGGTTATTTGTGGGGCATAGGAATTCGTTCATTCCCCCCCTCAAAAAAAATATAGTCTGGCCCCCCCACAAGGTCTGAGAGACAGTGGACCGGACCCCTGCTGAAAAAGTTTGCTGACCCCTGTGCTAAGCTATCCCCATCATGGTTTGTTTACCCATTTGTGCAAAGACAGGAGCAAAGCAGGAGTGCTCAGGACAGAGCTTGTGCACATTATGGCTTACTAAACCATATTTATGGGGTCCCCAACATTATGCCCTTGGGCACAATGGCACCCTTGAAGACTTTCCCTGGTGCACACAAAGCTACTGCACACACTCTAATGCTCGTTCTTCACACTTCCTGGTGAAGGGGCAAGGGTTACCTTTCTTCTTGTGAAGCACATGGAGATGAAGGCAAGCATGGGAAGAGTGGTGCTCTTTCCCACTTCCTCTTTCAGCTCTATATGCTTCTCAAGGCCCAGAGCGGCACCTGAGCAGAAACTGGAGCAACTAAGAAGGGCAGGAGAGAAAGGGTTTGAGCGGCTGGGGGGGGGGGAGGAAAACAGTGATTGGAGGGGAGGCAAAGAAGACAAAGCTGGGTGTTGCAGGAGTCAAGAGGGAGACAGTGCCAGAGAGGGAAAAGAGGGAACGCCAGAGAAATAAGGCAGGTGCAATTTACAAAGTAAATTGAATAATACTGAAATGGAATAATCTCCTCATGGATCCTGCCTCCCCTTCATCCCCACCAAACCATCCTGAAATCACATCTCCATTGAATGACCTGCAAAAACATGGCCCTGATACATGAATCCTTTTGATCCTCATAACTTTCTTTTTTACAAGGGATCCACTCAAAACCTCTGTTAAATCATAGGTCTCTTCTATTGTCTACGGATGACTTCTGTGATTTGTTGATGGTGTTGCTGCCATCTTATGTCATGAATATCCAGGAGGATCAATTTTTTTCCCTTGTTAATAGCAGGCACAGGATCTACAACACCTTACCACCATTGTAAACTTCCATTTTGTAGTGTGCTTTTTGGAGTCTCCTTGTAAAGTTATGCAAATTCAAGAGGATTTGTTTTTAATTCCACAGGATCCTACTTTTACCTGGACCCCAGTTGTACCCACACCTTCCCCTACCTATGCAAAGGAAACCTCTTTTTCTCTGTAGGGGGAACATGAACCGGGGGGGGGGGGAGAGAAAAAAGCAACCAGAAGGAATATTGCCCGTGACACTCTCAAAACTCCAAAGGTGCCCACAGGCTCCAAAAGGCTGGCGGATGCTGGCTTAGCATTATGTTCAAATACTGCCAGTGGCTGGGAAGAGGGGAAGCGTTCAGAAAGACTGGTCCACAACAATTGCAGTAGGAGCTCTATAAGGAGAAGCAGGTGCTGCTGTGAGAAAATTCACTTAGAAAGGAGCAACAGTGACATGTCAGGGGATGGAGGGTGGGCAATACATCACAGGTCTGGATGCACCCATTTATACTGTATTTAAGTAAAAGCAGAAGCCATGCCATGGAAACCAACAGCAGCCTGTGCTGACTCAGTAAGGGTTTTCTGTTATGATCGTGTCCATTTGCATCTTGCAGCATAGCAAGTGAGGTGAAGCAAAGAAATTACAGTTGCATTTGGAGAAGACTCATGCAGTAAGCACACAATGTGGTTTGGTACATGGCCAAGTCTAGCAGGGAAAGCCTTGAAAATGCTAAATATCGCTCCCAGTCAGTGCAGGCCTTGTAACCCCCAAGGCAAAGCAAACCTATTTCCTTCCTAATGGAAGGAATTGCCTCCTCCGGTTGCAAGGCTTTTGTGCTAGACTACAGAGTACTGATTCCATCAGGGATCCCTTGGGGAGATGTGGAATGTTTCTTTTTTCCCTGAGGGTATTTTTGGGAAGATATACTGTATATATTTTTAGGGTAAAGGCTGAAGAGTATAAATGAAAGCAAATGAAGCAGAGAAGGCTCAATTTTCTAGGAAGGTGGGTCCCCCCCCCCCCCAGTTAGCAACATTGTGGATTATCAGGCTGTTGCAGAGAAATAAGACAGCCCCATTGACTGTGTGAACAAAGAAGTGCTTAAAACAGTAGGCATGAGACAAGAGATCAGAACAGAACAGGGTGGCATTCCACTAAGTTTCACTAAGAGTAGGCCTACTGAAATAAATGAACACAGCTAAGTTAGGTTGATTAATTTCAGTAGGTCTACTCTGAGTAAAAACAACAATAATACATGTGTGAATTCTTTTAGCCATGCACTAAGCACCACTTAACACACTTTAAAACTGATCCTAAACACACATACAAAAAAACCCCAGATCCTACTGAGATTCACATTAGTTATTTCTAGATGATGGCCACAAACTAACGCAAGAGGGCTGTATGTAAGAGAGTGCCTAGGTTTTGAACACAGGACCTTTCGCTCTGTGTCTCTTACAAAGTGAGACTCATACGGTCTATGAAGCCTTCCCCAACCTGGTGCCCTCCAGATGTTCTGGACCACAACTCCCATCACCCCTGACCACTGACCCCACTGGCTGTGGCTGATGGGAACTGGTACTCCAAGGTATCTGGAGAGATCAGGATGGAGATGACTGCCTTAGAGACCCACACAGAGAATTGCACCCACACCTTCCCCTACCTATGCAAAGGAAACCTGGAACAATACCTAATTTAACAATGCCTTTTGGTCTCCGACCAGGAATGGGGTGTTTTGGGGTTTTTTAAAGGAAAAATATTGGATCGCACACATGCTGCCCATTCAGAGTATGCATGCATGCAATAGGATACGAACCCAATTCAGTCTCACTGAAGGAAACTTATTTCCGAGTAAACATGTATGGATCGGCCTGCTGTGAGGCTGCAACCCCAAACACCCCTTCCTAGGAAGCTGCAATGAGCCCCGTGGGGTTTACTTACGAGTAGGCATGAAGCGCGCCGGGATGCCAACGCGAGGTTCCCTTGGCCAAGCCAGCGAGCGTCTCGCATCCAAGAAAGTCTGCAGGGGCGACGGCTGAGATCTTGCCCTTCAGCCCCGACAGCTGCCCTCGGCAGGGCAGGCCTCCGATCCCCGGCGGGCTGCGGGAGTCACGAGGACTGGGGAACTCAAGGCGGCCCCTGTTGCCTCTCCTCCTTCCCGGTGGCTCTTAGCGGTAAACCGGTGCATGGAGACGAGACTCAGGCAGCAGCGGCAGCAGCAGCACTTCCTGCCAGCTCGCCAGGAGACGCGGGGAGCGAGGGCGGCGGGACGGACCCAAAAGGCGGAGCACCAAAGGAGGGGACTCACTCACCGGAGGGACGGCATCCCCTGCCGGCTCTGGAGAGAGGAGCTGCGCCGAGGGGCGCCGCCTGGGCCAGCCTTTTGTTCCTCCTCCTCCTTCTCCGCAGCGCCCGGGGCGCATCCACTGCCGCGCGCGCCTCTCGGGGCTGCCCGCCCTCCCCAAAACAAGAAGCCGGGCGGAGTTCCTGCCTCTTGCCGTAGCTCCAGGTTCCGATCGCCGCTTCTTCTCCAGCGGACGGAACCCTCTCAGGCTCACCGGCCGCCCTCGCTTGGCTACAAATGTGCGCACAAAAGCGCCGGTGGCGGAGGGAGGGACATGCGCAGCCGGCTGCGCTTTCCCAGCTGCTGCAGCTGTTTCCCGGCGCAGACAGATGGCTCTTTTCAGCTACTGCTCTTGCGCCCGTCCCAGGAAAAAGCAGCACTCGGCCCCGCCCCTCCTTTCCTCTTTTCTTTCTTTCTTTGCACACACCTCATTACGCAGAACTTAAACCTAAAGCTCAGTGCATGTTTTGAACCGCCGAAGGATGGACGTGGCTTCAGAAACTTGGGTGTGCAGATTTACTCGTTTGCCAGAAAGCATGTTGTGGTTTGTTGTTGTTTAGTCGTTTAGTCATGTCCGACTCTTCGTGACCCCATGGACCAGAGCACGCCAGGCATTCCTGTCCTCCACTGCCTCCCACAGTGTGCTCAAACTCATGCTGGTAGCTTCGAGAACACTGTCCAACCATCTCGTCCTCTGTCGTCCCTTTCTCCTTGTGCCCTCCATCTTTCCCAACATCAGGGTCTTTTCCAGGGAGTCTTCTCTTCTCATGAGGTGGCCAAAGTATTGGAGTCTCAGCTTCAGGATCTGTCCTTCCAGTGAGCACTCAGGGCTGATTTCCTTCAGAATGGATAGGTTTGATCTTCTTGCAGTCCATGGGACTCTCAAGAGTCTCCTCCAGCACCATAATTCAAAAGCATAAATTCTTCGGTGATCAGCCTTCTTTATGGTCCAGCTCTCACTTCCATATATCACTACTGGGAAAACCATGGCTTTAACTATACGGACCTTTGTTGGCAAGGTGATGTCTCTGCTTTTTAAGATGCTGTCTAGGTTTGCCATCGCCTTTCTCCCAAGAAGCAGGCGTCTTTTTAATTTCATGGCAGAGGTCACCATCTGCAGTGATCATGGAGCCCAAGAAAGTAAAATCTCTCACTGCCTCCATTTCTTCCCCTTCTATTTGCCAGGAGGTGATGGGACAAGTGGCCATGATCTTTGTTTTTTTGATGTTGAGCTTCAGACCATATTTCACCCTCCTTAAAAGGTTCTTTAATTCCTCCTCACTTTCTGCCATCAATGTTGTGTCATCTGCATATCTGAGGTTGTTGATATTTCTTCCGGCAATCTTAATTCCGCTTTGGGAATTAAGCCTTTCGCATGATGAATTCAGCATATAGGTTAAATAAGCAGGGAGACAATATACAGCCTTGTCATACTCCTTTCCCAATTTTGAACCAATCAGTTGTTCCATATCCAGTTCTAACTGTAGCTTCTTGTCCCACATAGAGATTTCTCAGGAGACATATGAGGTGATCAGGCACTCCCATTTCTTTAAGAACTTGCCATAGTTTCCTGTGGTCGACACAGTCATGGAAACTGATAATTGTAACAATCAAGCAACATCTGGAGGGCCAGAGGTTCCGCACCTTGCTTCAAATGTTTGGATCTGGGCAGCTGAAGGATTGCCTACTGTCATACCACCCTGCCTGTGAACGGAGGTCATCCTCAGAGATCCTCTTTGTGTGTCCCTGCCATCTAAAGTGAGGCAGGTGTCTATTGAAGAGACATATCAGTGGTGAACCCCTGCATGTGGGATGCTTTCCCTAGGGCAGACATCCCACCCAATTTTCACTATTTCTGACACCCCAGCAAACCCCTTGTTATTTTCCCAGGCTTTGCTTTTTTAAAAATTCAGATTTAATTCTACAATTTTCTCTTTTTGTTATATCTGCTTGTTGTTTTATTGCTTTTATTAAGAAGTGTTTGAAGCCCTAGGAATATTTATATTAAATGGTGTTATTATATAATAATTAATAATGTAAAGTTGCATCCTGAAAAGAAATTCAAAGCTACGGAGGGTGTGAGGGTATAAAGTGAATCAGAGAACCATGGAGACTGTGAGGATGAGTCAGGAAGGTATTATTTCTTGCTATGACATGCAGGAGAATCTGGAGAAAGGGAATTTGGTGTGGGATTGGAGAGATTGTTGTGAGAGTTGTGGTTAAATTGATTATGGTGATAACAGACTTCTAGGCCAGGAGGAAGACAATGCAGGGAGTTTATTGCTAAAAAGTTGAGAAATGTAGGCCTGTGGCACAATTGTGAAAGATCCAAGGTGAAGGGAGTTTTGAATCCGTAAGAGTGGATGAGGCAATTCTTGAACATAAAACTACATACAATGATTTTCACCTGGAGTTCAGGTGGGAAAGCAGCAATAGAAGTTTGTGAGCTCAGAATTTATGAAGGTGCAATATTGTGAGGAGAGGGATTATGGAGGAATTAATGAATGTTAGAATGATGTTGGATAGAAATTAAGTGGTTTTTAGCTGCAATACTATAAGGGAATATGAAAAATGGATTACTAATAGGTAAAAATTTAATGTTACAATACTTTAAGATTAAGGATTAGGATAAACAAAGAGGGGAAGGATTTGCTGAACCAACAAACTGAATTGGAATACAAAAAAGGGAGGCGTGAGGAGGTCCGGGAAACAAGCTAATGACAAATAAGTAATGGAAAGATTGAGTTGTTTTTAATTATTTTTATTTTGTATTTTTCTTTTTTTTCTTTATTATCATTTTGTAATATTTTGAAAACTTTAATAAATATCTTATAAAAAAAAAAGAGAGGGATTATGGAGGAGGCATTCTGAGGGCATCGAAGGAGGGTGCTAGGGAATAGAGGATTTGGTGCAGGAGGAGACTGTGGTGATAAATCCAGGGATGCTGAAGAAGGAAAGTAGGGCCTAAGTAAGGACTCAGCCAAACTCCTTACTTCTCATTCCCTGCCCCCAGGTGGACTTTGGTAATATGGCACCCTGAGCAAAGACAAAATTTGGTACACCCTATAAATAGAGGAGGAGGATGTGCCCCCTGGGCTTGTCCTGCACGGCCCTAAATCCAGCGCTATTCCGCAGTCAGCTCACATTTGCTCAGTCCTCATTGGGATGACTTAAAGGACTCTACATTTTTTTGTCTTTACCAAATGGGTCCCGACAACTGTGTGGTTCCCTCAGACATGGTTGGTGCCATAGGTTTTTATAATGCATATGCCTTTTCTTTGCTAAAATAAGGAATAATTACGCCGGGACTGAGGCAGCAAATGACGCAAGCGATATTCGCGAGGGAGGCGGGAGGGCTGTCTGCCTCTCCGCGTAGGAAGAAGTCGAAGAGTCCAAGAGCAAGTTGAGGATATTTTCAGAAGCTGATAGGTGGGACAAAAATGTATTCGTCGTCTCCGTTTTGGTGGAAGTCTAGCCTGCTCTCCCCCTTTCACTGTTTTGCTGCACCCCACCCTCGCCCCCAAAGCCTGCAGATCGCCAATCCTCCCCGCTTTCCCCTGTGCGCTTTCTCCCCTTTCAGTTTTGGCGCCTTGCGCGCGTAGCTCCTGCGCTGCCCGCCCTTTTTCCCGGGCCCGCATGGCCGGCGAAACAGAAGCGGCAAGTCAGGGCAGGGGCGGTGCCGCCGCCGCCGGTCAGCACGACCCTGGCAATCCTTGCTGCTGCGGAGGAGCAGGAGGAGGAGGAGAAAGCGGTGGCGGCTACACCTCTCGGCGGGACTGGCGCACAAAGTGGCCGGAGGAGGAGCCCTCGGAGCCCCGGGAGGCTGCAGGCCAAGCAAGGAAGGGAAGGACGCTTCTCCTTTTCTTCCTCCTCAGCTGTGCCATCTTATACGGTGTGTATAGGGGCCAAGGTCCCTTCACCCCCCCCAAATATTTGAGGGGGATAGAGCCCCCCAAAGTTGATGGACATCGCCGTTCAAATAGTGTGCATGCACCATATCATGTAATCAACGACACAGGGCGGGGCTCACCTCCCCCCCATTTTTATTCAAGTTGTCCCCCCTGATGGTGAGCCTTTAGTGGGGCGCCCTTCCCCAAAAGTGCCACCATACAGTAAGCAAATGTCATCGTCTTGACTGGGCGGAAGTCCTTGGGAAGAAGGAGTCGGACAAGGCAAGGTGATGGTACCAGGTGAAGGGCAGTGGTGAATTAAGGTGAGGATGGGTCTCTCTCTTTCACCTCTCCTTTTATCTCCCCTTCCCACGCACACACTCCACAGGCACCTGTTCCTGTTGTATTTTACTTAGAGAGTAAGCAGAATAACTGAAGCAGGAGCTGCTACACTGAGTTTGGCAAGGACACGCTCAAGTTGAGACCACACAGGATGTGCTCTCAGTTCAGTGCAGTAGAAAACATGCCAAAGCACAGGAAGCGTCATTTGAAGGGCTTTTTCTCCCTTGACAACATGCCAAATGTGGAAGTTCACTGTTAGCCATGCAGACACTTTCACTGAAAGTTTCCTAATTAATAGCTGGAGACTGAGGTGCAAAATCAGCATAGGTGATATCATCCTGCTGATGCCCACATCCAAGTCCCAAAATAAGCAGCGTTCCAACTTTCATCTGTCAACACAGGGCATCAAGAATATTTTTCATATACTGTACATGGGTGGGGGTTTGAGCATTTTGCCTTATGCCTTCTAATGTGATTCATGTGACCAAGAGCAGGCAAACTTCTCATCCATCCAGTCTATGGAACTGCCCACTAACAGTGCCTCAGTCTTTATCTGATTTGAGCTTCAGTTTGTTGGATCTAATCCAGTCCCATTACCAAGGCAAGATAACGGCCCAGCATATCCACTGCCAATATGTTATGCAGGAGACCCCAAAAGTCACCAAGAGGCAAAGGCACAACAATAAATAACTCTGGAACTATCGTTTACTGAACTTGAAAGAACTGGAGTTCCATGAAAGAGTGGACTTCAATGTGAATTTTGAGGAGATAGGCAGGAGCTCCTCAGTTGTATACCCGCAAGCAATACAATGCCTTCTACCATGAGGGACTGTTCTGCCCCATTGAAAGAGGGATTCCAGCCAACAAAAAATACCTACATGCTGGTAAGTAAGCCAAAAGTAGTACCCACCAATTTTGGAAGAAACTGGATCAAGCTCGGTTTAATACCTTCTCTAAGGAGTTCAGAGTAGCATACATATCATTCCCATCAAGGGGAGGCCTGGAGGAAGAGAATGAAAAAGGACATGGTTCCTTTTTGCAGAAACCTTCCCACTATGCTCACCACTATTTGGCAATAAGCAGCTCAGGTTCAGGGCTAGCATCATGTAGTACTACAGTGGAAAGTTTGCAGAGAGTAAGAAAGTGAAGAAAGGGAATACTGTCCTTATGCTTTCCAGAGAACTTTCTCACCACTTCTCAGAGCCCTCAGCTCAACATGACTATAAAGTTCTTGTTCCAGGGTGGTTAAAGCCCAGGAGAAAAGCTCACCTGCACTAAGTGGGGGGTGCATTGCAACATTCTGTTGCAGGTCCTCACATGAGCTAAACTGAAAACAAGTTCCCAAAATGTACATAAAGCAAACCATCCTGTGTCCTCTCTAGAAGACAGCTCTGTGAACCACACCCTTCTCCTCTTCCCAACCTAGACATGCTACCCCAGCGCCACTGGTTTCCTTGAATCTCCTCCCAATCCCAGTCAGGCAAAAGCAGGACTTTTGCTCTGCATTCCCCACTTCCTCAGAATCCCAGGGCTTCATGAAGCTAAATTTGAGAGTGTCAGTATTGAGAGGCAGCCAACTGCTGTTCATTAGTCCGCCAGTTTTTGCAAGACTCATACTTTTGAGGCAGATATCACACTTCTCTAATTGAAAGGCTGGCCCTAGGTAACACTTTTCATTGAAAACAGTTTCTGCTTAAGAATGGCTGTAGCCAAGTAAGAGCATCACTCCAATGCCATATGTAAACATTCAGTAGACTGTAAATATTATAACTGGGAGCTGGTATATGGACTGTGGATACCAGAAGTTATTACATTCTGAAGCTAATCGAGTGTGGACCTGACCACTAATTTGAGAGGCCACTGGAAACTCCATGTAAGAGCAGGGTATCTTGTTCAATAAATCAGCATTAAAATTCATCTATATTGTTACTCTTGATAGGTAAAAATTATGCAGGAAATCATCCTCATGTTCCTGAAAGAAGAAACGGGAATAAATGAGCAAACTTTTATGGCAATGATGATGGAGATGTCTTTGTTTTGGTGAAGAGGGATGGACTTCCTCCTAAAACAAGATCTAAATGTTCTGATCCAGATTTAGGTTCACAAGAAAATATCCAAGAAAATACAAGCCATTGATTACTGGTATTCTTCTCCCATCTGTTGGGAAAAAAACAGGTTCTCAAAGTGAATGGCCTATTGCATTATTCAGTACTACCAGTTGTAACATAATAGTTAAAGGTAACGTCAGCCTATCTAGCAAGGACTTTGTGATGATCAACAAAATGATGGATGTTGAAGGTCTCTTGGTAATTATTATATGCTATATAATAATTCACTACAAATCCAATTATTGTCCATTATTCTGTATTTCTATCGAGTTTTATTTCTTCAAGGAGAAATGTGCTCAGCTCTGGCTTTTGCTATCCTCAACCCCATGTTTTCTTACTGATTCAATATGGAAAAACACGCAACACTGCAGCTTGATATAATCAAGATCTTTATTGATCTCATGGTAACAGCAACCATTGGTGAGAGTGTTTTCCCTAAACACCTGTTTCAGTAAAAACCAGATTTGTACAGAAGTAGCCCAGGGATTGTTCAGACGACTTCTGTTTTCTTTTAAACCAGGATTACATTTAGACAAAGACAGAATATGGAGGGTGAGGAAGGACGTGTTCAGTAAATAGGAAGGAGACAGGTATAACCAATTAAAAAAAAAAAATGTGTCAGAGACATTCAGTAATTTTATTGGCAGCAGCCTCCACACTTTTCCCGAGGAGGCCACAAAAACCCAGAAAACAAGCTGCCCCACAAATGTTAATAATTCTTCTCCTGTCTAAGGTGAAGAAAGGCACACTGGATTACCATCCTGCAGAGATGCAGATTGACATGAGAGAGGGAGATTGCAAGAGGAGGAAGGGAAGTCCTGTTGTGTTCTTGATGTAAACACAGACCAAGATGCTGATGAAATCTTCCACATCTTATTTGACTCGCACACATACTTTTTATACCTGGTTCCTGCTGCATTTGCATTTTGGGATCAAGATAAATTATCCTTGGATGTTGTAAAGCTGGTTTTGTGAAATATGTGCTCTGCTAAACCAGATATTCCCTATTATCAGCCCTAAGTAAAATTTCTCCCTGCATTAAAAGCATCAACACAGTTCATTATTTCTCTAAAAATTCATATATATCTATATATATATATATATATTTATATATATTTGTGTTTATTTAATTTCTGCACTCACCCTTTCTCCACACAATAGATTTATAATTTTCCACAGTTACCCAATTTTGCTGATGACTATCAAAAGCCAATCTTTCAACCTCTCAAGCTTTCTGTGCAGCATAATGTCAGGATGAAGGAGACAAAAAGAAGAAGAGAAGAAGAAGAGTTTGGATTTGATATCCCGCCTTTCACTCCCTTTAAGGAGTCTCAAAGCGGCTAACATTCTCCTTTCCCTTCCTCCCCCACAACAAACACTCTGTGAGGTGAGTGAGGCTGAGAGACTTCAGAGAAGTGTGACTGGCCCAAGGTCACCCAGCAGCTGCATGTGGAGGAACAGGGAATCAAACCCGGTTCACCAGATTACGAGTCTACCGCTCTTAACCACTACACCACACTGGCTCTGAAAAGAAAAGAAAAGGAAAGGAAAGGAAAGGAAAGGAAAGGAAAAGGCAAGCAGATCAATGCCACACAGAATGTGCATAAGGAGCAGCTAATTTCTGTAAATCCATTTTATGAACTGTTGCGATCAAGTTTATGTCGCAGGGGCATAAACAAAGTTTACTTCTTAAAATGCCTATCAAGGTTTCCTATACGAACTCTTTTACCATTATGAACAATTACGGAAATGCAGAAGGGACTATTCTCCCAGCCCAAGGAGAGAAAGAAAAATTGAGTTAAAACTCATTGCTACATCAATCAGCCAAGTACATTTAGAGAGAAATAAAATTAGCACAAATGAAAAAAAAAAAAAAGGAGTGAAACATCTCTTCATCTTTGACGCCAAAATATCCCAACTAGAAAACTACTCCAGAATGTTTTAGCACAGTCCTGAGACCCAAAGTGAAATACTGAATATAATCAATGGCTAACTATACTAGTGGAAATAAAACAATCTATTGAAATTTCAAGGACAGTATCATCAATGGTTGAGAGGCACCAGAAATTGCAAAGAGAAGTATCAGAGCTACAATGGCAGCAGGAACCCAAGGCTGACATTAGAATGTCACTCCCCGGTGTGAAATTGGTGCTGGTTGCTTGTTGGGATCTAGGACAAGAAATGGCCTACTGATGTGAAATCTCAAACCTTCCATGGGTCTCTTAAGGAAACTAGCAGTGCCTTAGTTGATTTACAATGGTAAATCCCACCGGCAACTTACATCCTATGTACACAACCAAATACCATAGAATGTGACTCTTAAAGTAATAGTGACTGTGATTTTTAATTGGGGTCTGGAAACATTTTTCATTGGTGGAAATACTTGTACAACTTGATACAACGCTGTGCTAGTGATCTTTGGTGACAGTACGAAGAACTCCACCACCGATTTGGCCAACTTTTCCAAATGTGGTTTCTGTTCAAAGTCAATAAACGTGGTACTCCAGCATAACACAGAACAGATTCCAAGGCCACATTTAAGCATCCATTATGTTGCTGTTAGTTCAGTACGCTAAAGGTGTTACTAATACAACAGAAGTAAGTCACAGTAGAAGTTAAGTACTTGAGTATCTTCAATTCTAGTCTATGTCACAAAAACTGGTGATATGTATGAGTCGGTGAGCTACCTATCAGGATACTTATAATGGGGGAAATTAAGCAAAAGTGTAACTACATATTCCTGATAAGACTCCTGATTCCAGACCGTCACAATCATCCCCCTTTAAAATGAAATACTGACTCGGTTCCCAATCTTTCTATTCCACTCGACTCATCTGCACCAAACCCTTGGTTGCGAGAGCCAGCCGTGGTTCCCAAATACAAAGGTGTAGGAACGAAAGGCTTACTAAAGTGACAATTCTTGAGGGCTGTAAGGGTTCTTACAGGTATCGCAAGCCCAAATGTCCAATTTTAGCTAAGGGCCAACAAAAGTGCTCTTTGAAAACCTGGGATCTGACTTGTTATTGCAACAAGAAACTCACGATGCAAGATTTAATGTAGAAACAAGGACAGCCAGGTGTTGGAGCTTGAATACTCTTGTATAGGTAAGGAAGGGCGTTGGAAACATAAGGCATAGTAGAGGCTCAGGCCTCCTGGCACGTTTTCCTTTCGGCGGCAGTTATGTCAGAAAGCTGGAAGTTTAGAAGCCAAGTTGAAGCAGAAAACTGCCTACTCCAACCACAGGTTTCAGCCAATGTATGAACTACATTTACCATTTCTTTTTTTGCATGGCGTTTTGTACATGTTCTCGGTTATCTCAGAATGAAGGCACACCCAAAACGCATGTTATCTAGGTATTTCTGGCAACATGCCCCAAAATCATATACCACTGTGCCATGTCATTGGGTTTCTTTTTCAGTGGTGGTTCCCCCTGCCCCACATCAGATGTCTCTTCATAACATCGCAATGTTTGAAGCCACAATTTGCTTCCTTACTACACTAGGCGATAAGGGCAGCTATATTCCTTCTTCCAGGGTAGCCTCATAATTCCCAATATTCCAATACTGTATTAGCTAGTGGCCCTAATGTACTTTAATCAAAGGCATAGTAAAAAGTATCCTACAATTTCAGCACTAATGGAGGGGGGGGGGAATGTTTGCAAGTGGGGTAAGCAAGAGATACGGTTCATGCTACAACTCTCTTTGGCTTTTTGCACACAATGTCTGGGCTCAGACACAACTGTGATGTCCCTTTACTGCAAAATTGCCTGGCCATCCAGTTTGGGAGGCAAAGCACATTTCTGGCCTCCAGAACAGCCACAGAATACAGACATTGGCCATCCCTGACTCATCACTTACTGGTGTGAATAAAGACAAGCTAATACAGACTGATCAATAAGGCTGTCAAGTGATTAAATAAATCTTAGCTGATGGTTAAGTTTTAGTCAGGTAACTAATTAAAACTGCATGTATTTGCATATACAATAGCTTAAAAAAAAAAACCATACCAAATAAAGGGTAACATTGCCTTAAAAGATATATTACCCATTTTCTCTCACAAATGGAGGGGCGGCTCTAAAATGGGTGTTTTCACTGCAATTTGTAGAAGTACTTGTATTAAAGTTTATTTTTTCAATCTACTGTTCCTTTTTTCTGCTGACCAAAATGTTTGATAGACTAAATATTGCAGCCCTGTTAATCTAAAGATTGATAGACTAAATATTGCAGCCCTGGTAATCTAAAATGACTGGTATAGATCAGAGTTGTCACAGCAGCACTTGGGAGTCTCAGCCAGCCAAAGATGTTTTTAAAAAGCAAGATAAAATGAAATCTAAACACCCACCATATAGCTTTGGTGGTGACATTGTGAGGAAGACACAATATAAGAAATTGCAGTTTTGAGTTTGTGGGGGTAAAAATGCTAACTTGCTGTCGGGGTTTTTTATTGTTAACTTTTTACTCACTCAGCCATCAAGTAGAAATCTTTCAAGTAACATCATTACAGCATAAAAGCCAGCAGCAAACATAATTTTAAGTGACTGCCGAGGGTTAAACACCATTCCTCAGTGCAGTTGCAGAAAACTGCACTGTTGTTGTTGTTTTTAAAAAAGTGCAACTTTCCATCTTAGTATCTTGGAATCAGGATTAATAGTAATGGGAAAGGGCATGTTCGGAGTGCCTGTGTGTTCTGTCGTCTTAAAATGGCAAGCCACTGAATATGTATTTGTGATTGTTCAGTCAACACAACTTATAACCTGATGGGGAATCGGTTTGATCTCTTGCATAAACCGGAGCACCACTTGGAAGCACAGGATGCAGCAAGAAGACTGTACAGAGAACTGCAATTGCACAGGCGTTTAAAGGACTCTCCCTCCTCCTTCAAACTAGACAGCCAGAACTATAAAGGCTGCTGTGTAGGCTTAGTGTTCAGTTGGCTCGGCTCAGCACTGCTGTATGCTAGAGAAGTGATGGGCGCAGCTGGCAGCCCAGGGCCCTTTCATATAGCTCCCCCAATCCTTATGCTGTGTTATCTCAGCCCTTTTCTTCAGCATGGAGCAGTCACAGGCAAAGGGCTTTCTGCCATCTCCCCAGAAAGAGTTCTCTCCTTGGGCAGCTTGGCTGGCTACTCACTCCCCTGGGCAGGCCAAGACGCAGGCAAAAAGGGACTGGGCAACTGAAATGCACAAGGGGGATAAACCTCCGGCATAGCCTCTGCAGAGGAAAGGCACCAAGGAGCCCTTAGCCCATTCAACTCTCAGAGCAACTGTTGCTGGCCCTTCAACCATTGTTCCATCAAAATGATGCTCTCTTAAAAACTAAGTTGTTCGCCATAGAGAAATAATCCAGGAGATGCTATCAACCTTTCTTCTTTCATGGCCACGACTGAATCACCTGGCTGGGTATTAAAATAAATGTAAGATTTATTGGTTTCTTTGTGGCACTCATGCCCGGGGTTGGTTTTTTGGGGGGAGTGCCTTACAAATATCTACCAATTTATCCTCACAACAACACTGTGAGCTAGGAGTCTATTGTCCCCATCTTAACAAGTGGGGAACTGAGGCACAAAGAGACTTGCCTGGAGACATGCTGGAAACTTGCTGCAGAAGAAGAAAGAGAAATGTGATCACCTACACTGAACTATTCAAATAGCCTTTCTTTCCTTATCTTTGTCCAAAAGATCACAGAGGCAACAGCAGCAGCAGCAGCAGCAGCAACAACTAAACTGATTGTGACACATAGAAAGCCCTGATGCATTTCATGCTAAGAGATATACTTTCTGTTATGAGGTGGAAGGAATGGTACTACCAAATGTCTTTCGTAGTATGTAACCCCTTGGAGATTTGGGAGAGTGTGCAAGTTTGAAGCCATTCCTTTAGTCCAAGAGAGTTTCTGAAAAATACTATTAGAAAAGTGGCTGTCAGCAACACCTGAAGTACAGCCCTTCTCCTCCTCTTCCTCCATCTCACCAATTAAGAGCGCATTCCTAACAATGTCAACCCTGAAGTCCTACTGAATTCAACAGGGCTTACTCCCAGGTAAATGGGGTTACGACTGCAGCCTAAATTGGCTTAGGTCATAGACAAATCCGAGTTCCACTACTGTCAGCACTGCAGAGCAAACGGTCTCTGTTCTGCCTCATCAACAGAAAAGCCGACGAGGTTCCAGAAACAACTGCTGGCAATTATGCAAGAGGAAGGATGGAAATTCAACTGTGCCCTGACTCTGGGCTGGACTTAATAGTGCACTTCAGAACTACCCTGACCAAAAACAAAGCAAAATCAGGAAGTTTTGCAACGCAGCTAAAGAGCATCCCCTCTGCTTATCACAGCTTAGTTCACTTTTGCACCACCACCACTTTTAAGGGGCAGTGTTGCCTTCTCCAGAAACATTGCAAGCAGAGCCTATTCCTGAGAGATCAACAGTTACAAAGCAATTTTGCTCCTATATTCACATTTTAGTGCAGGCAAAAAAGAAAAAAAAAAGTTACTAAACCCTCCCTTTTAAATCACAAGAAAAGATCTTTGCCAATTTATAGAAGAGATGTTGGGGCAGAATTCTATTCCAAGGGATGAGTTCATGTGTTGGAAGTTTTCTCTGTTACCAATGCCTATTCATTTGTGTTCAGCTTAACTCCCAGGAACGATTCAGAAGTTACAAGTATAGCGTGGCTGCCACTTTCCCTGAGGCTGGGGTACCGTGCTACAACTACCAAGCTACAACCGAATGAGATCCTTTGGGGGAAATTGCCACATCACACTGTGACATCCACTGTGGACCATACGATCCATTCATGCCATTTGCAAACACTACCAGAGCAGGATGAGATCCTGCCCCAGGAAAAAGAGGCCGCCACGGCATACTGATACCCAGTGCTTTTTTTCTTCAAAAAAATGTTTAGGGGTACTCTCATTTTCCTACTCATATTGAAATACTGCCCCTCAATGAGGCCAAACTTAGATTCACAAAATGTTTAGGGGTATGCGTTCACCTGCGTCGTCGTCCCCCCAGAAAAAAAGCACTGATGATACCATATGAACCGCTGCGACCATCAACCGCTTAGTACCTGGGAGAAGGCTGACATCTAAGCAAAGGAACTTTAGCAGCTGTCTTCTGTGTGTTCCAAGCTTTTTGTGTGTTCCAAGCCCGACTTACTTCCAAGTAAACATGCACAGGAATGTGATGTAAATCAACCTACCAGCTGCGCATATTAATAAAAATTGTTTGCAGGGAGGGAAACCTAACATACCTGTCATATGATGCCCGCCATGTTTCATAAGCAGCATCATATTCAAAACATTCCTTCCTGTTATGTCTCTTCGGCTGCCTGCATGTAGGTTCTGCTAGGTACTCACACTAAAAATAGTCAGATTAAAAAAGGTTTGTTTTACTCGAGAAAATTGGTTTTAATGGATTGATCTAGCCAATTAAACGTGACAAAATATTGCAGCCTTAGGGAGATGCATTTTTACACAGTTCAAGTTATCAGCTAGCACCGCAACCAAGGCATGAACTCATCCACTCTCACAAAGCAGCCTGACTGCCTTATAATTCCCACGATGAGTGGGCTCCCTGCCTTTCAAGCCCAGGCAAGCAGTTCACCCATAAGAATCGAATGAAGTGAGGCCATCAGCAACTAAAGGGTACCTTGCTCACCCAGCTGATTTAGTAATGTGTGAATTCAGGAAATGTGCAAGAAGATGGGTGAACAGGATCACAGCTGGGTGGTTTTGCTCCAATAGGCTTACTAACTTTTTGATTGCCCGCCACCCCAAGTCACACATCACGAAATCAGAATGGCATATTCGAACAGCCCAGCAAGTAAATCTTAGGGTGTCCCAAGCTTATGCAAGAGCACTAGACTCTTGCGAAGCCTATTCTAGTTAAGCACAGCCAGGGTGTTTCAATGAATCCTTTTGGCACAATAGTAGACTTGGAAAGAATCCGGTAGATGTTAACAGCAGCAAAAATGGGAAGAGTAGACTTGAAGACAAACAGTCCAGAGGACCATCAAGTATGGTATTAAGTCAGAACGAAATGTGGTTCTCCTTTAACACTGATGGGTTCAAATTAGGAAGCTGAAGAGAGAAGGGTTGTTTTTTTGAAATGGGGAGTTTCTAGCAGGCACTAGGAGGAAATATGCATGATTTGAGTGGTGGCTCTTTCTAGGTTTCCCACCTGTTCTTCGGAACAGGATGGGAACTTACAATTTGGAAAGGCGTCACAGCAAAGCCCTTGTACAAGACAGAACCCCACCAAGTGCCGAGATATACTAATTAGTAAGGAGATACGGAAGAATCCGAGTGAGTGCACTGCACACACAAATGAAAGATACACAGAAAAAGGTTACCAAATGGGATTAAATTGACAGCAGTTAAGGGAGAGGAGAACAACGGCAGTGTTGTGTCCCTTCAAGCATATATCCACCCCTTCCGTGGCCCCTTTTTGTGGTGTTGTTGTGGTTTGCAATAATTATCCAAATGTTGATGGAAGCCAAGTTCTCGCGTGTGCATGATTTGAGAAGTTGTCTCTAAAGTGCGAGAAGCCAAGGGACACTCCTTAGCTCTATAAATTTATCATGGGTTTCCATTCAGTCACAAACCAGGGATATGAAAGGGTTAAAAACAAAAAGTGGGGGGGGGGAGCAAAGGAGGAGGGCTGAAGCATTGCATGGCTAATGGGAATCGAGGGGAGTGGGGTAAATAGTCCTCTTATCCTTTGGCACTTCAAAAGCTGAAGTGAAGATTCCAGTGGAAAACAGCTTCTTCTTCTTCCATCCTTCAGTTGTTGATCCTGTTGGCCAAATCAGATGTGCACAGGTGATCAGGAGTTGCTGTCTCCCCATGGTTGCCCCTCATGGAAGATCAGATGTCCATCTCAAACTGAGCATCATCACCTGGTTGAAGGACAAGAGGACGCAAGTCAGTATGGGGTGGGTTGAGGAAGCATCACACATGTACAGTTTTAAGTGTCCTCCTAAGAGGCACGGTGAGTTTCTCTGTCAGCCCTCCATGACATTTGAGGCAGGCCTCATTAATACATATAGGAGACAGGGGTGTGTGCTGTTTAGATTGTCGTTGTGGGGTGCACACGCGTGCACGAGTGCCTTAAAAAATAAAACAAAATTCCTTCGAAGTAGGAAAACAGCACAGCAGAAAGGATTGGTCTGGAATCGTTTCCAGATAGAGTATGCAGCTGCTGGTGTTTATATATGCATGTATAAAATTCATAATGTGGAGCAAAACTCCACATTTTGTCACTTTTATTTACACACACAGAGAGAGAGAGAGAGAGAATTTAAAAAATACAAAAAAACCAACAATCCATACAAGTCTGTATATACTTTTTGTATACTGAAGTGGTACAATTTATTCTACATCCGCAAGATTGTGCTACTTCATTCTAATGAAGCGATGAGGAAAATGTGGCCCTGTGGACGTTTCTGGACCACAACTAACCACTGGCCATGCTGGCAGAGGCTGATGGGAGTTGTAGTCCATCAACGTATAGTAGGCCTAAAGTTGCCTTAACTTTACAAGGCTTTTCTCCCAGGGATGGGGAATACTATTTATTTTAGTTCATTCATTGCAAAAAAGAAAAAAACGTATCACTTACATTCTTTTATCCCCCCCCCCCTTGCTTGAAATAATGTGTGTTTCTCTTTTGTGATTGGTGGTCAAACCCTCCTTTTTTTTTTTTTTATCTTGGCTCCAATTTCCATCCCATGAACCCTAGCCACCATAGCCAATGATCATGGATGATGAAAGTTGTAGTCCAACAACTTCAGGAGGGCTGCAGTTTGACAATCCCTTTTCCAGGCGCCAAGTGAAGACCTTTCTATTTCCCAAGACTAGTCAGCCAAGTTGCTTTTTATTCTTTGTTTCTGCTGTCCTATTTTTAGATGTCTGCTGTTTACCAGTTTGTTTGATCTGATTTTGTGTTAATTATTGTTATCATCACTGAAGCAGGGGGCATAACTTTAAGTATATACTGTACTTTCCCGTGTATAAGACAACTTTTTTTTCATGTAAAAATCATGCTTAAAATGGGGGTCGTCTTATACATGGGTAGTGTATAGGGTGGGCGTTAGATTGGTTGCTGCCGTGGCTGTCAGCAACTATTGTGCGTGTTTCTGGTTGCTATGTCAATGGGTGCTGTTGATTGACTGATGTTGCGGCAAGTGTGCAGACAATTGGTAGCTTCTGCCGGTGAGGGGACAGACAAGAGGTGGAAAAAAAGCTCAACAACTCTGTGCTATCTCCTCCCATTTTCTGAAACTGGGTCCCCCAAAATAGGGGGCGTCTTCTACACGGGAAAATACGGTATACAGTACATACGTATAGCATGCTCTATATTTATGTTTCTGGAGTGAACTTGATCACTATCTTCCTGATGATCATATGCCTGTACATCACAAAATCTACACATTTATTCCCCTATTTAAATACAAATACCAATAACTCATGTTTGGGACCAGTCAAATCATATATTAAAATGCATGCCAGATGCCACTGGCCTCATTTTCCCCACTATAGGTTTGCTGTCCAACTTCCATTTAGCCTAAATATATGCTTGCAGCCAATAGTCCTAATGGATGGCTTGAAATCTAGCTCTCCTAATGGATATTTCATGCTCCAGATAGTCTTTGTGAGCAAGTTATGTTATCAAAACCACACGGGTGTGGGGAGGTGGAGATCGTGTCAGGAAGTGGGGATTGTGTGACCTACAACCTCATACGTCTGGACTTGAATTTTCACCACACCATCCAAAATCCAAGACAACCTTCAGGTAATTCACCAGTGTTAAATAGTTATGACAGAACAGGAGGCAGTTTCCTGTTTGTCAATCAACTTATGCTTTTACAGAGTTTTTAATAGCCTACGGGCGAAAATTCATCATACGAGCAACCCACACAAGATCAGTGCAACAGTTCACTGAGTCTGCACTCCATACGCAGAGGCTCCTTAAAGACAAAGAAAAGCACTATATCCCACAACTTTGAAATAAAAAGATATATGCTGCACTGAGGAAAGAAATGACATGATTTTGAAGCAAAACTTTACGAATCCCTAAAAGTCGATCATGGAAAAGTTATACAACAAAATGTGCCATGCTCTTACCAATTATAGGCTTCCCGTCATGATTGTTCAGATTGTTTACTTCCACTTTGGAATCCTCAGTCATTGTACCAGGGCTGGTAACTCCTGGGATATTTGGAAGGTGGCAAGGAGGAGTCTGAGCCATGGGAGAATTCCGGCGATCTAACAGAAACTTGCGGTCATAGATGATTCGGGTACCTGGGGGCGGAGGAAGAAGATAATTGGCCTATCAGAATCATTTTCCAATAGATGAGGTTACAAACAATACTCATATAATAACTCAAGTAAGGCCCAAGTCTTTATATACCATAGATTCCTGCATATTAGGCAACTGGGTGTATAAGACGACCCCCCAAATTGGCAGCTGCCAATTTGGGGGGGTCGACTTATACGCCCAGTCTTATACGTGACAGCTTCGCTGGGCAGCGGGCTCCGCGCCGGGAGGAAGCTGCCCGGTGAAGCTGCCCAGCGATGCTAAGCCGGCTTGGCATCGCTGGGCAGCTTCCTCCTGGTGCGGAGCCTGCCGCCCACTGTCGCTGCCCAGCGAACCCATACCCAGCGTATAAGACGACCCCCGACTTTTTAGAGGATTTTCCAGGGTTAAAAAGTCATCTTATATGCCGGAATCTATGGTAAGCTCATCAGTTTGCTATTTAATTTGCTGCAAATAATAAACTTATTTACAAGGGAATAAATCCCAATGAATAGGGCTGCCATACATCCAGAATTGACGTCGGGGTGAGGGGATTTCCGAAAGGTAGTGCTTTGTTCTAGATCTTAGGCATTTCAATCGAAAAATCATGTTTCTTGTAAAACAACTCGGGGGTTCATCTAAAGAAAGCTCAACAACTTTTGGGCTAGCCTAGTTTTTACTTTTTGAAATATGGGAACCCTACCATTGAACGAACTAGGGCTTAAATCTGAGTGGACAGACTCAGAACTGTACTGCAAGTAGAATCAATAGACTGCCATTTTCACACTGAGTGGGTATGGCTCTTTATTTTCTTTTTAAAGAAACAGCATTCACTGACTATGATGCATGGATGTCAATTTCCTAGGAGAGATGAAAACCAGTTTTCTCATCTATAAATTCTAAAGATGACACATCTGACTACACGTGTAGCATGTAGATATAGATGGGGACTCCTCATGCTGCTTCCCTGCAGTCCTGTTAAAGGTGCATGTGGCTTTCACATCAGTTCAACAGGAAGGGATGCTGGGAGGCAATGTGCCTTGGAATACCAGGTGCCGAGGGCAACACAACAGGGGAAGAGACTTGCTTTAATGCCCTGCCTGTGGTTTCTTGATAGTTTCAGACATCGACCACTGAGAGAAACAGCACGCTGGACTCAATAGACTTTGGTCTCAAATCCAGCAGGGTTCATGTTCTAATCTGAGATGCCTGGCTAGCTTAGTTAGTTAGAACATGGTGCTGATAGCACAAAGGTCGCAGGTTCGATCCCCAAATAGGACAGCAAAATATTACTGCATTGCAGGCAGTTGGACTAGATGATCCTCAGGGTCCCTTCCAACTCTACAATTCTATGAATACAAGGAGAAAACAGAGAAGTTTGTGTCTCTGACCAGGGTTTGAAATTAGCAGGGTGCCAGACGCATTTTGCTCCATTTGTGAGCAATTCAAAAAGTCTAGCTGCTACTTTTTGCATCTGGTTGACACTCAAAGACAGATAATATACTAAGGAGTTTAACAATAAAGAGTCGAGTGTTTTGAAAACCAAAGTATGGTACCAATATTTTCATTGTAAACACCAAATTAAACATGCATTAACCATGTCTGCTAAAAATGTGATAGTAACAATGTGTCATGTGAATTACGTATTAATTCATGCTTATCAAAAGAATAAATAGTGCTGCCGACATTCCCCCCTCCCCCAAAGTGGCGACCAAACATTCTGTTTTGGCGCCCACAACCCAGGTCCCGGAAGCCATTTGGCTCCTAGCTTTTCTATCCCAGTTTCTAACACTGTCTCTGACAACATGTCACATAACAACAAAACTCTGGTGACTGTATATTTACAGGAAGTGCTCGTGGCCAACCAAACAAGCTGTTCTTCTCTGTCACCACAGAGCTCCTTTCGGAAGGCAATATTATGAACTCTGCTTCATTTCACAGTAAGAGCAGAGCTGTAATCTGAACAGCAGTACTGTATAGTTTAAACAGCCGTTATCTGGTTGTTTGGTTTGAATGAAACCCTAGAGGCACCAGTCTGGAATTAATTCCATCTCTGTATGCAAAAGGGAGAAAAGTGAGGCAAGGCTGAACACTTCAGAAACAGGAGGAGACTTTTAAAAACTTAACAGGGAGGCAGGGAAGCACATGGAACACACTTCTATTCCAAACCCACCCACTCTCCATATCTGGTCACACTTCTTAAATCCCATCTTCATCATTTGGCTAAATTCCTGTGATCTGACCATCCCTCCCATTAGGGTTGCTTTGTTTTTGTGGAGCTATACACCTGAGCCTCCAGTTTCCTTTTGCAGTCAGTAAACAAAATGGCTTGAGTGGCTGCAGAAGTACTACAAACAACCAAACTGTGTCTTTTACTGTGGCTTGGGCCCAACACAGGTAAGCAACTGCTTCCTCCCTTACGATGAATCATGCTCCACTAAGATTAGGAGAGTGAAACCCTTATAACAGCACCGTATGTGCACATTCCTAGGATGCAGAGGTAATACAGAAACTGAACAACCCAGGCTTGTAAACAACCACTCGGCCAAATCAGCTGTGAAAGGTAAGCAATATTTCTAAAGGAACAGCAAAGGAAACTTTTGTAAACCAGACAAGAATTGTTCCTCGCACTGCCAACCTTTCCTTCAGGCCACAAATGCTACAAAACTGACTAAAGGTGGGTATTTAAAAGGTACACAGGATCAAGGCTTGAGGGATAGCAACTTTTGCAGACCTATTTACAAGATTAAAATAACACGCACAAAATCCTAGCAGCTTTTTAAGAGGAGAAAATACTGGAAACGTGTAAGTCGTTTCAGTTTAAGAACCTAGAAAGAAGGCACTTGAGGTTTCCAGCAACCACCTGTTGCTGTCGACATTTAGCACATTCCCAGGAACCTATTCTCTCTGCTTGGTAGCCTTTTTTCTGCAGCTCTCCCATTTTTTTTACTCTGCAGTATTTATTCTAAAACCAGCTTACAATAAATCAGAACCCAAAACTCCCCATTTCTGCAAGAGGAAAAGCACAGCAAGTATAAAGAATTACAAGAAAAATTATGCAATTTATACATTTTGTTCCAATTGCTGGACTTTAGCTCAGAGGTTTCTCTGCTGAAGAAGGAGTAAAGGTAAAGGTAAAGGGACCCCTGACCACTAGGTCCAGTCGTGGCCAACTCTGGGGTTGCGGCGCTCATCTCACTTTATTGGCTGAGGGAGCCAGGTCGTGTGGCCAGCATGACTAAGCCACTTCTGACGAACCAGAGCAGTGCACGGAAACGCCGTTTACCTTCCCGCCGGAGCGGTACCTATTTATCTACTTGCACTTTGACGTGCTTTCGAACTGTTAGGTTTGCAGGAGCAGGGACCAAGCAACGGGAGCTCACCCCATTGAGGGGATTCGAACAGCCAACCTTCTGATTGGCAAGTCCTAGGCTCTGTGGTTTAACCCACAGCGCCACCCGCGTCCCTTGAAGAAGGAATAGGGGCAGGCAAAAGCATGGCCAGGAGATATACCGTATTTTTCGCCCTATAGGACGCACTTTTTCCCCTCCAAAAATGAAGGGGAAATCTGTGTGCATCCTATGGGGCGAATACAGGCTTTCGCTGAAGCTTGGAGAGCGAGAGGGGTCGGTGCGCACCGACCCCTCTCGCTCTCCAGGCTTCAGGAAGCTATCAGCAAGCCTGGGGAGCCTGCGGGAGTTCCTGCAGGGCTCCCCATGCTGCGGATAGCAGCCTGCCACCCGGCGCGCGAGATGCCCTGAAGCAGAGCGCCCCGCGCTTCGGGCAGACATCGGCCAGCCCCACAAGCTCGGGGGACAGCGGGGAGGCGCAGCGCCGCCATCCCGCTGTTCCCCGACCTGGTTTTGGGGGGGAAATAAAGGGGGGAAAATTTCCTTTATTCCCCCCCAAAAAAAATTAGGTGCGTCCTATGGGACAGAGCGTCCTATGGGACGAAAAATACGGTATCAGCCTTCCAGTAACTTCCATGAAGATGTCTATTCTGTTGCCGAAAGGTATTCCCTTCCAAAGTTGCTAGCGGAGCCAACTCAGTCTTGCAATCCAACACTTCGATCACATTTATCTTGGAAAAGGTACCACTGAGTTCAAGTAGTAGCTTAACATCTGCATAACATCATTATATGTGAAGGCACTGCAAGTGATGGAATTTAGACGCATAACTTGTCCAAAAAGTCTACTGGAAGGAGAAGGGCCGGCTAACAGGCAGCTCTGTGGGTTCTGTTATGTTCTCTGCTGACAGCAATACAACCAACAGATGCTGCGGTTGACACTGAGGAACGAGGGCGAGTTTCATAGTCATTTTTCTGGTCATTAACCTCATTAAAATACAGATACAAAAAGGAAAGTAAGCAAAGGCATTTGAAACTAAGAGGTGCAAGCTGAGGGTTAGAAGCACGTATTAGAATAGCTGATCACTTGGAAATACTATTGAAAAAGAAGCTGTTAAATTCTACCCATAAATGAACTGAAGTTCATAAACTCCCCCTCCCCCAGTGTGGTGGCTTTATGAAACTCAAACTTGATATACACAGTATGTGTAAACTGTAGCTTTGAATAAGTAAAATAAAGTACAGGGGTAAAATACCCTACCCCACTATGGTCCAAGATAAGCAATAATACTGGGAGAGAGATGAACAACTCGTTTGCAATGCTGCATTGCAATGTAAGGGTTTTCCTAGCCAAATCTGCCAGCTCACTTATTCCACCATCCCAAACCGAGATCCCAAAAAAGCAGCATAATGCAATTTTTGCCCCCGTTTTCATTGTTCATTTCAAATGTCTCACCCATGGGCGGGCTACTTGGCAACAAAAATACTTTGTATCCTGTACCAAAAGAAAAGCCCCTCTTCGTGTTTGAACAACAGAACAAACACAAGACTACAAGCTCAGGGGAACTGAGGTCAACAAGAACCATTCTGATACTGTAGCCTACCTCTCACCCCAAACATGCACACAAAGTTTTATTTTTATGTGCTAGCTTATCAGTTTATCTCTGCGCCTGAACAGTCTCGGAACTCTGGGCCCTTGATCTTGACCGCCTCAAGCAACGCAGCAGTCTGAAACTAAGAAGTATTTGCACACGTATCTTGTGTTTTGCAGCTTTAATCCAGAGGGAATAATGAGCCTGAAGACTACTTTCTCCCTTGAACTTGAAAACAGGGTGGTGAGGCCTATTGTCACTGAGCAAGGATTGCCTGTAGTGATTATAAATTAAAGGTCTTCTTAGCAGCTACATATGGGGAATAGGGGAGAGAAGAAACTACAGTGGTACCTCGGGTTAAGTACTTAATTCGTTCCGGAGGTCCGTACTTAACCTGAAACTGTTCTTAACCTGAAGCACCACTTTAGCTAATGGGGCCTCCTGCTGCTGCCGCACCGCCAGAGCACGATTTCTGTTCTCATCCTGAAGCAAAGTTCTTAACCTGAAGCACTATTTCTGGGTTAGCGGAGTCTGTAACCTGAAGCGTATGTAACCCGAGGTACCATTGTACTGGCACAAGGAACAGTCATTGCCTCTCCAAAGCACAAACCTAGAAATGCTATTGGAAAACCCTAATGGTTTATATTGATTTTTTTATTACAATTGTGATTATCTAGTGGCAATATTCTTCAGTTCTTGGAAAATAAGCAGGCGACTTGCCTGAATTGGGGGGGGGGGGACACATACACTGTGGGTTCGAAGTTTTCAGCCCACAAGGCTCCTAAGAGGCCTGCTGAGAGGTTGCTTTTCAAGGCAGGTTTCAGCAGAAGTGTTAATACTTGAACATTCATGTCTCTTTGCTCCTGGAACCCATCTAATCCTCACCCACCCACCCCCGTTGTTGACCTGGGCAACGTTCCAGTGTCCATGGCAGGTAGTAAGGCACACTCAGTGCTTTCAAACGAAACAAAACAAATTCAGAATGAGCATGGAATTTGTCTTCTAACAAAACAGAAGAAACTCTGTATAAGTTGGGGAACCAATCCAAATGTTGCTAAATTTCTGTGTTTTTTGCCCCTTCTCAGTTCCTCATGACTGCTGGCACTCCTAAGAAGCAAGCTGATACTTTGTCCTTCTAAGTTCCTTCTCCTTTACACATCTACAGCTACACTCAGGAGTAATATTCAGTTTCTGATGCTTGCTATTTTGCTCCAATTCCTGGAACAGTAGAAGTGGCCCAGCAAAACAAGGCCCCCGGGTTCCAAGAATGAAAATATGAATGTTTGGAGATCGTAGAATCATAGTATCATGCACCTAACATTGTTTTCAAAACCAAATTGCAGTCAGGCCAGCTTGATCTGCATGCTCTGTCCTTTTTCATGATTATTTCAGTGTAGGAATGACCTAGGCAGATTCAGTAAGATGGGGGTAGGTAAACCAGTTTAGCATGGCTTACCTTAAAAAAAAAAGGAAGGAAAGAACCCCTTTGTCCAGTAAATAATTTTAAAATGATAAAGCAAGATATTGTAATTGTATGGATTTCTTATGTCTTTATAGACAAGTGATCCCAAGTATGCACTTTTACTCAAGAATGCAAGTTATCTTGCTGGAACAGAGCAAGGAAAACCTAGCCCAATTTTTCTTACAGAAATCCTCCAAACCAACACTAGAATCTAGTGCAACCTTACCCAACTCAGTACGCTCCAGATGTTTTGAACTACAACTCCCATCAACCCCAGCCAGCATGGCCAATGGCCAGGTATGATGGGAGCTGTGGTTCAGCAACATCTAGAGGGACAGAAGTTCCCCAAACCTGTTTTAGAGAACAGTAATGTTATATATGGTCTCCCTTGATCTGCATGAGCTCTACGTGTGCACAAATAAAATCTTACCATTATAACTGAATTAGTCACTGGAGGACATTTTGTTCCAAGTGTAGAATATTAAAGGCTATTTTAGGTAAGTGTATGAACGTGTCACTGATTTTAATTAGTTAAATCCCCAATCACAGCAAATTTGGATCAAAACAGAATAAAATAATTGCAACCTGAAACTTTCTATGCCAGGGATGGGAAACCTCAGGTCAGGAGCGCAGATGCAGCCCCTTACGCCTCTCTACTTAGCTTCTGGGGCTCTCCTCATAGCAACCCCCACTTGGCACCCTCATTTTTGCCTTACAGGAATGTGCCCTTGAGTTCTGATAATGCTTCTTGCTTGCCTGGAGCAACGATTTGTGGGGGGAGGATGAGTGCATGTTGAAACTAGTACAGTGGTAAAATTTACATTATTTGCTCCACCCACTTTCACCTCTGGCCTTGCCAACCAGAGGAATGTGGCTTCTAGAAGGCTGCTGTGAAGGGGGTTGAGATGAGGTTCCCACCACTATTATATGCATAACACCCCTTCTTATTACCTTCATTCAGCAGGCAGCCTTCGCAGACACACAGGACAGCAAATTACCATGTGTCAAAGAAACAGATGAGTACTGCCCAAAATCACGAGTAATTTGGAATGATTAGATTAAAAGAGGAAAAGCAGAATACACAGGAAGCAATGAGTTCATGAGGGAAATCTACTATTGAAAAAAGGAAAGCTGCAACTCCTTAAGAAGGCCTTCTGAAGGCTCACAGGTAGCCCCGTTCCAAAGAGGCACAATTTTAGCTGCATGCAAAGGTAAAATTAAGCACCTTTTTTAAACCTACAAGCCTGCCAGGACTCACCAAAGTGGGTAGCAGGAAAGGCTGCAATTCTGTGTTATAAATTGGTGGCAAAAGCCCATGGGGTTCCAGGCACTCTCCCAGGGTCTGTGTTCCTTTGGAGAATTGAGACACAATGGGCTGTTGTAGCTTTAAGATGGTTTATTCACCTTCATTCTGCATGGATGGAGTACAGATCTCACAGCACAGTCATTTCAAGAGAGGCTTGTACACCAGAGAAGTGCAGTCCTGGAGTGCAAGACATCTCTCCCTGTCAGCTTTGCAGCCAGTCTGCCCAAAGATGGATTCCAATCTCTCTTCCTCCTTCTCCTTCCCAGAACCCCTTGCTACCAAGACTCCCTTTTCCTGACATCCCAAACACAGTTACCCTGGCAACCTTCCAAACCCCTGTCTCTGTTCACACCTCAGGGCAAGGGGGAGAAGGACAGTTGTCTTGCATTGCTAATGGCCCTCAATGGTTTCTTAATGGCCCTAGATTGGCCAGGTAGTTTTGCATAGACTAGCCCAGGAATTCCTCTGCAGTTTCCGTTTCTCCCTTCACATCCCGAATCATCAAAACCCTACCATTTATCAATTTCTAGGGTTTAGGGGGCCCACAATCTATAATGCCTATGTATGCACAAATCAAAGTAGCATGTGTGCATGACATGAATAGCAGCCAAAGGCAGGCATGAAGGATAAATTGGGAAGAGAACAATGGTATGGATTTGGCACAGTGTCACCATTTAGTTTATGAAGAACATTTTGACACCTTAAACTTTAAGGCTTAAGGACTTGAAAGATTTATTGTGTCACCTGCTTTTGAGGTCCAGATCCAACTTTGTTAGCTGCAATGATTCTAATGCCATGAAAGCCACATGCCACCATAATTTGCAATTCAGCATTTCAAGCATATATAATGAAAAGAAAGGTGGACAAAGCTGCTAATGCCTGCCTTTTTAAGTGGCTGGAAACTAAACTAAGCTTCAGGCCAAGTCCTAATGTCTAGGCTACAGAGAAGCAGCAGGTTCCAAGCCCTAGACATTGTTTTCGTCTTGTCTTTCAGAAAGAAACAGCTCAGAATGCAGGACCTACTTCCACATTTTTCAGCAATGAGCTTTGGGCTGTGAACCAGGAAAAGTGCAATGCCTACCCAGCTAGGGGTGGGGGGAGGGGAGTGAGAGAAACCCTGCTCTGTTCTGTACATAATCTCAAACCAACTCTCAACCAGTAAAATGAGGAATCTTGCTTGCCTTGCCTTCATACCTTCGTTCTGCCAGTACAGTATTCAATGCATGTAAAACGCCACAGAATACAGCATTTGTAAATTATTCAGGGTGGAGCAAAGGAGTTTATTTTACTATAGGGCCACGCAGGAGTGGCAGAGACCCTTTATGCCTCTCAAAACATACAAGATCGCAAGGGGCTCTGGCGCCCGAACCTTTTAAATTTTAAAACAAAGTCATTCAGGAAAGCAGCAGCAGGCTGAATTCCCAGGGACAGGCCTGAACAGAGGAGGCTTGTGCAAAACGTGGCTGGCACAATCCGTATCCCCGGTAGCTCTGCAAAAGGGTTATCCTTTCTTTTGGTCGGGATCCCTCGATCTCTCCCTGTCTTGGGAGGCTGGCCGACCCCTCGGCGGAGCCGGCGCTCCGTCTCCCTGCAGGGGCTGCAGCTGTCGGAGAAATCCCCCGCCCGCCTCGGCGCTCCTCCCCTGCTATTGTGCAACCGTCACGGGCTTTTTCCTCGAGGCTCCTGGGCCTTGTTTACAAATAACTCGCCGCCAACAGCCCCGCGCACCGGGAGCGCGGCCTAGCTAGACCCGGGTCGGCCCAGGAAAGCGGCAAGGCAAACTAACGACGGGAAGAGGGGCGGGGAGACAGGGAGAGAGGGAAGAGCCTCCGCGTTAGCTCTGGGGGCAAACTCCCCCTTGCCCACCATGCTTTGTACACCAAAGCAGCTTCCCCTTTCGAGCAACGAGGGGGAAAGAGAACCACCTCGCCGCCATGCGTCGGGGCGCGCGCCAACACGCGTCTTTCTTGCGGGCGCCCTGCAGACCCGGGCAGAGCAAGGCCCACCGAAGGGGGCTTCCAGCATATGGCCTGGAGACTCAGCGACTTAGCTTCCCAACTTCCTCCTCAATCTTATTAAGGGTGGGGGGGGAGAGAGAGAGAAAATTACACGCCCACCCCGCCGCTACATTTATGATTGACGGCCTCGCCTCTGGAGACCTCGTCCCCTTTTTAAAGCCTGGCTGGACATGCTCGCTGGCGCCCCTGCGACGTCTCCTTTTCTTCCTCCACCCCGACCTACAGGGCGCCCGCGCCCCCTTTCGCAATGCCCGCGAGCAAATGCACAACAGACAGCTCTCGGCAAGGCCCGTGTGCATCGAGATGATGAGGCTGATTATTATTACTGCTCTGATGTTACCTCCGGGCGTGGTGGAGAACAGCGTCCCCCCGGGCGTGGTGCAATAGTCATGAGGTAGCTGCGAGGAGTCGTTGATGAGCACCGTCCGGGTGGGAATGGCGCGGCTCTGGCTGTGCTGGTGGCCGCCGCCGCCGCCGCCGCCGGAGGAGGACATCTCCCTTGCTTCTATTGTCCCGGGCTGCGGGGAGGAAGAGACGCGAAGGGGCTGCAAAGGGAAGCGGAGGAGGAGGAAGGGGGCGGCGGTGGAGCAAATGCACACAAACACACACACGGAAGGAAAGCGGGAGGAGGAGGTGGTGGGGGCGGCGGCGCTGCTGCGCTTCCTCCGCGGACGAGGCTCGCTCCGGCTGCGGGGCGCTTCTTGTCCTCCGTCCACCGCCTCCACCGCCACCTTCTCCCTCGGCCTCCGCCAGCAGCAGGAAACGAGGGGGCCGCCAGGGGAGGCGGGGACACGCGGCGGAGGAGGAGGAGTGGCCGGGTGGGAGGGCCGTGCTGGCTGTTGCTGCTGCTTCAGGCAGGAGCGGCGTGTCAGGGGACGCAGCGGTTGCTTGGGCGTGCAAAAAAGCCTTAGCGGGCTTTCCTCCCGTGTAAACACAACGTCTGGCGTCGGAGCGAGAGGGCCGGGCTCCGCTCAGGCTGTTTTCTTCGCCTCCCAGGCCGCGCCGGGGGCAGGAAGGCGAAGCTGGCCTCGTGCTCTGGAGCCACGGGCAAGCCCTGCTGGAACGAGGATCTGCGATTGCTTCTGTTATATTTTCCCCCTTTTTGTTTTGTGATGGCTCTGTACTCCAACCTTTTGTTGATCGTATCTTTTCTCTCCGTGAATGTGTCAAATGCTTCTGTAACTGAAAATCAATAAACCAAAAAAGAAAACCGAAGATCTCGTTTACATTTTTTGATACTGCGCACAACTGCTGGATGAATTCAGGCATAGGAGCAAAGTCCTAGGGGCTGAGGGCCCTTCAGAGCCCCCCCCCCAAATATTTGAGGGGGTCGAGTCGCCCCCCAAAAGTTGCTGGGCATATGCCATTCAAATGGTGTGCATATGCCACATCTTCTGCGTGTTTATGTAGGGTGGGGCTTACCTAGCCCCGCCCCCATTTTACTCAAGTTGGCACCTCTGAATGCTGGCATCCTTTGGTGACTCAGTTTTGCACATATTGTAAACAACAGCCAGCTCCTGTGTGTCTGTCATATTTGTGTTTACTTGAGAACAGCAATTTAGGATTGTAGTCAGCCAAGTTTTTTCTCAGAACAGACCCACTGAGATTAATTTCTTTAGGAAGGTTCATTAATTTCAGTGGGTCTGCTCTTGAGTCAAACATGGTTAACCACCACCCTTCTGTGGGGCAGGGATAACAACCATGTGTGCAGGTCTTGGGCAGAAAGTCCCATTGAGCAAAGTGGGGATTTACTCAAAAGTAAGAAGTAGTCTTGGGCTCTATTGAATAACATCAGATTTTGAAAAGATCCTTAATAGAGCATGAATGCAGGCTGGTTTATTTATTTTTCTCTATTACGTAATTCTTCATCACCACAGGTAAAAAAGAATGTTTCTTTTGGCACACATGGCAACATACTTAATCACAAGGCGGAAAGTCAAATGTACCGGATAAACTTTATGCTCTTGACCTTGAACAAGGCAGTTCTAGAAAAGAAATCATATTTTGCTGGAGAGTAATAGAAACAAACCTGTATATCCTGTGTCACACCTGGACTCATTGGTGAGTTTAAGTGTACAGTGGTACCTCTGGTTAAGAACTAATTCGTTCTGGAGGTCCGTTCTTAACCTGAAACTCTTCTTAACCTGAGGTACCACTGTAGCTAATGGGACCTCACGCTGCTGCCACACAATTTCTGTTCTCATCCTGAAGCAAAGTTCTTAACCCGAGGTACTATTTCTGGGTTTGTGGAGTCTGTAACCTGAAGTGTCTGTAACCTGAAGCGTCTGTAAACCGAGGTACTACTGTACCTATGCATAGGATTAGCCTCTAACCCGAGCACAGAAATCTGCAAATCTGCTTCACACTAACAGTGCCTCAGTCTTATCTGGAATGAGCTCTCATCCAGTCCCAAGGTCCTGAGAAGTAGAGCTGTGTGTCATCAGCATATTGCTGACAACTTACTCTAAAACTCTAAAGGTGACATGATTTCTAGCTCCTGCTACCTCCAAGGAAACAAAGCAGCTTTTTGTAGCATGAAAAATCGCTGAAGGGAAAACAGAATTGCCAACAAAATCAAAGTTTTCTACCAGAAAACAATTTAACCGTTCCCACGTTCCTTTCCCACAAGAGGACCTTGCAATGTAACCTTGCAATGACTTGTCAAGTATTTTCGACACTTGAAGCAGAACTTTTTATTTTACTGTTGTTGTTTTGTGACATTAAGAACAGGAAAAGAGCCATTCTAGATAAGAGCCAAAGGCCCACGTAGCCCAGCATCCTGTTCTCACAGTGGCCAACTGGATGCCTAAGGGAAGTCTGCAAGCAGGATCTGAGTGCAACAGCACTCCGCCGTGCCATTTCCCAGCAAGTGTTATTCAGAAACAAAGAGAGACAATGAAGGTAGAACATAAGCATCATAGTACGTTTTAAAATTATTATTATTATTATTATTTATTATATTTCTACAATGCCCTTCAGGGCAGATTACAGTATAAACACAAAATAATACATAACATAGTAAACTAAGCGGTAACACCCACACCCAGTTCAAGAGGTCACCCAATTGTTTAATTAGTCAAAGGCCAGGGAGAAGAGGAATGTTTACGCCTGGTGCCTAAAGTATGAAGGCACTAGGTGAGTCTCCCTGGGGAGAGAATTCCACAACTGGGGAGCCACCACAGAAGAGGCCTGTTCTTGTTTTGCTGCCCTCTGGGCCTCTTGTGGAGAAGGTGTTAGGATATTTCCGTTCCACCTTAAAAGGGAGCAGGCTTTGTGAGTCAGAGTCTGCGTATTTCCTGTTCACAGGATGTTTATGTTTTCTGTTGCTTTCGTTTTCTCTTGTGTCGCAGACACTAAAGCAGTCAGTCATGTTTTTCTGTGTTCTGATCAACGCTGAATAAACTTGTAAATAATGCTCTCCTGAGTGCAACTTTTGGCTGTGCATTTATCTGCTGATAGAGCGTGCATGAGCTCTAGAATGTGGCCAGATATTTTCTAGAAACTCATGTCGCTGCGTGCCTACGGGAGGTCGATGGATCGTCCGGCAGACGGCTTGGGGGCCTTGATGGACTTTATCTCCCTGGCAGTATCCCAACAACAGGTTTCGGGCCCAGATTCACAGCACTTACAGGAGAGTAAGACTGCGACAGACTGCTGAAAGGTATGTGGAAGAAAAGCGAAAGTCAGGCTTTTCTGTTTGCCGAGGCAAGGGCCTTTGATGTCCGGCTGGCCTAATTGGTCTGGGAGTCGAGCCAAACAGGCCTCATGATTTATGAGCTGCTGAGATAAGACGTCTCTGAAGTGAATAAGATTCACGGCTCAAGTAAAAGACTGAGATGGATCTTTTACAATCCTCAGAAGCTGCTCCGTCTCCACCAAAGCTAAATGGCCACAACTATCAGACCTGGGCAAGGTACTGTGAGGGCCAGATGAGAAAGCTTGGAGTGTGGAATACCGTTTCTGAGGACCCCCCAGCCCCTGTGACAGATGAATGGACGGCACAGGACTCAAGAGCCATGGGGATAATTTTGCTCTCAGTAGCTCCTGAAGAGTTAATCACCCTGGCTGGCAAGGCCAGTGCCCGTGAGATGTGGGACGGGCTTAGAGCCTGTCATCTCCGACAAGAGGCTGGGTCTGTGTTGCTTTATTTCAGAAAGCTGCACAGGAAGCGTTTGGAGCCAGGGGAAGACCTTAGAGCCCACGTTTTACATTTGCAGCATCTCAGACAGGAATTGACTCAGAGAGGTTTCAATATGCCTGAGTCACTGTTTGCAATTCTCATCCTGGACTCCCTGGATGAAAGCTACCATGCCGTGGCAAGTCAGCTGGCGACCCTCCCTGCGCAAGACCTCACTGCTACAAAGGTCTTGGCGACTTTGCAAAATGAATACGATAGAAGGAATGCAGCTGAGTCGGCTTGTGCGCTCCAGGGGGAGCAATGTGGGACAGCATTCCAGCCTCCAGGGGGAGCCAAAGCGTTGGCAGCTGTGAAGTGCTGGAACTGTGGGACCCAAGGTCACACTCAGAAGTTTTGTCCAAAGACTGGAAATAAACAAAGGAAGAAGCCAGCAGATGGCAAGAAGCAGAGGGGGGGTGGAAAGCCCAAGCCAGGGAAAAACAATGTTTGGTTTACTGGCACAGCTTCACCAAAGGCTAAAGGCAAGTCTGATGGCCAGGAGCAGGGGGGCAAGCTGCAAAAGCCCACGCCGGTGGAAAACAAGGTTATGCTTGCTGCAAAAGCTGCTCCAAAGGCCAAGGCCAGGTTTGTTGTTGATTCCGGCTGTACCCGCCATGTCTCAAAGGACCGCCACCTATTTATCTCCTTCAAACCTCAAGAAGGTGAGATCCACCTGGCTGATGGGAAGACGTTGCGAATTGCAGGAGAAGGGACTGTGAAACTGGCAAGTCTGCACACTACCATCAAAGATGTACTGTATGTTCCAGGCGCTGCAGACAATTTGCTCAGTGTCCCACAGTTGACTGGGCGTGGTTTTGAGATTTCCTTCAAGAGGAGCGTCTGTGTCATCAGAAAAGGCAAAGAGGACATTTTGCATGCAAAGTTTATGGATGGCTTGTTCTGTATAACTTATGATGACATTGATGCTGTTGTGTCTAATGTTGATTCTTGTTGTGTTGCACAAACTAACAAAGTTCTTCATGCAGGATGCATTCATGATGCACACAGAAGATTTTGTCACATGTCTTGGCAGGCGCTGGCCAAGATGCCAGAGATGGTTGAGGGTTTGAACATCAAACCCTGTAAGTTTCACATGAAATGTGTATCTTGTGCAGAGAACAAGGTGAAGGTTGCTCCAAAAGGCAAGGAGTCTAGCAGGCAGGCTTCCAAACCCTACCAGCTAGTGCACGCAGACCTGGTTGGTCCACTTGCGCCCTCTTTGGGTGGAGCAAGGTACTTCATGGTTCTAATTGATTCTTTTTCCAGGTACATTCATGTGTTTATGCTCGAGCAGAAATCGCAAGCGTTTCCTAGGTTCAAGGCATTCTGTGCTTGGTTGGAGAATGTTCACGGTAAACGCATTGGCTGTCTGTTTACTGATCGAGGCGGGGAGTTCACTTCTCAGCAGTTTGAAGCTTTCCTGACTGAGAAGGGAATCCAGCATGACTTGTCAACGCCTAGATCGCCATGGATGAATGGGCTTGCGGAGCGAGCAAATCAAACGTTGCTGCAAGGAATGAAAACATTGTTGCATGATGCCAATCTCCCTGATAAGTATTGGGGGGAGGCTCTGTCGAATTTTGCTTACACTTATAATCGCAGATTGTCATCTCCTATTGGTTGTACCCCCTATGAGAAGATGTTTGGTAAGAAACCCAACATCAAGCACATGAGAATCTTTGGTTCTGACATGTGGGTACACACCCCACAAAGCAACAAGCTTGGGAAGCGTGGGGCACATGGTTTGTTCATGGGGTACGAAAAAGGTGCATACAGGGTATGGATGACCAACTCTAAATCCATTAAGTTCACAAAGAGTGTTGAGTACAATCCAAAGTGGGGGGAAAATGTGGGAATTTTCCAGAGTTACCCAGAGGAGGATGAAGGTGATGTCAAAGAAGCAGCTAAAGCTGAGGAAGCTGCTGAGGATGATGATGACGATGATGATCAGAGTTCGGATTCCAGCTCAGTGGGCGGCGCTGCTGATGTCGGTGACAGTGATGACACAGCAGACTACAAGAGCACAAAGGCCTCAGTCAGACCATCTGATGCGTCTGACAATGAACTGGAAGAACCACTGTTCACCATTGGTCACTATTCTCCTAAGAAGGAGGAGATGAGTCCAGAAGACTTGCGTCTAGTACGCAGATCTGAAAGAGCGACCAAGGGCAGACCTCCAAAGAGATTTGCTGATGAGTTTGCTAAGACGGCAACTGCTGTTCTTAGTAGCTCAGAGAAGGTGTGGGAACCTTCAAGCTTCAAAGAGGTTCAGGAGTTAACCTCTAAAGATGCTGAGCCTTGGCTTAATGCCATGAAGGCTGAAGTTGATTCCTTGAACAGGAACCAAACTTGGGAGCTGGTACCGGTAGTCCCAGGGATGAGACTGGTTGGCAGCAAATGGGTCTTCAAGGCCAAGACAGACCAGAATGGCAAGGTTGTCAGACACAAAGCCAGATAAAGCCTTGATGGACTTTATCTCCCTGGCAGTATCCCAACAGAAGGCACATGAAGAAGGGCCTCAGATGATGATCCCAGGGTCTGGGTGAAGAGGCCGCCCTTGAGGTACTGCAGTCCAGAGCCGTTTTCTTTATAACTCTCCTATAAACTGCATTTACTTTGCTTTTGTAACCCACCCTGAGACCTGATGGCGAAGGGTGGGCTGCGCTATAAACACGAATAGTAAAACAAACCAACATGCAAGGTGGGCTACTGAGTTTGTTCCTCACGCACACTAAACCCCCTAACGCGCAAAGGAGTAGCATTCAAGCTCTTTCTCTGATCGGATAGCTTTCTAACCGGAGGACTGAATTAAAATGCGACCACGGTATTCCGCGGTGGCAGTCTAAAGTTGGCCGGCCGCTCCCGGCACTAGGCTGCGCGGGGTCCCTTCCTTGCAACAGGGGAGGGCGCTCTCTCACGGGGAGGGAATTGGGTGCCTGCTCCCTTTTCCCTTGCAGGCTCGCAGGCCTCCTTGCATCGGCTCCTGCACCGATTGGCTCTCCTTTGCTCTGCCGCCGCTTCCCCCTCCGGCTCCCTTGTGTTGGATTTCCTCCATCCCTCCTGGAAGGGGAGAGGCAGCTGTTGCTGCTCTTCACCATGGTCTGCCCCGCAGGTGCGTGGAGCTGCAGCGGCGGCGTGCAAAGGACCAGCTCGCCTTAGCTTTCCGGTAAGAGGCGCATCTGCCAACCAGCAAAGCGGAGCTTGGGGCGGCGGCGGCGGCGAAGGAGCGCAGGAGGCTCCGCGGCTCGTGGGGAAGGAACCGAGCGCGGTGCACAGCTCCCACTTCCGGCTGCCATTCAGCTGCAGAGCGGAGGACGCGAAAGAGAGGGTCCCTGGTGCGACCCTGAACCACCGCTCCCATCGTCCCTGGCCGTCCGCCGCGGCAGGGTGGGCTGATGGGAGTTGTAGTCCAAGGCCTCGTTTCCTTTAACAGGCCTTGAGTGGAAACCCCTATTAAACACAACATGGGTGTGTTGTGGGATGCCTTTTCTGTCTCTCTGTTTTGCAGCTGCCTCTGCTGTTCTTAGAATAAAGGGATATCTTTCCCCCGCCCAAGGAAATGAAGGGTTTTAAACCAAAAAAACTGGTGGAGGGAATCTTCTCATGGAACAAGATCGAGGTTCTGTTTTGCGTGTTGTCTCCAGTTTCAAGTTAGATTGATAGCTTGTTCCCTAGGCAGTGGCTCCAAAATGCCTTCTCGGTGAAGGCTCGACTGCAGGCACGATGCTATCTCTTTAAAACACATTAATTTCCCCCAAAGAATCCTGGGAGCTGTAGTTTCTTTGGTTTGGTTTAGTTTTCTTGCCCATTCATTTTTATTGATCCTCTCCCCTCCCATTTTAAACAAATGGAGCAAATTTAATGGAACTGTAATCTGTGTGTGTGTGTGTGTGTGTGTGTGTGTTTGTTTTAAAGGCTTCTGGGAATTGTAGCTCTGTGAGGGGCAAACTACTCCGCATTTGGGTTGTGTGTGGAAAAGGATGTGCTTTCAATGCGTGATGTGCACACAGCCTTAGCGGGGTCCCCTCAACCTGACACATCCTGAGCAGGTCTGTTCTGTTTGGTTGTTGCAGTGCTTTTTTTCTGGGGGGACACAGGGGGACGCATACCCCTAAACATGTTGCGAATCTTTGTACTTTTGTCCATTTACTGTATTTATTTTTCCTGCTTTGAACTATAAAATGGTGATTTTCTTGAGTCAAAATGAGAGTACTCCTAAACATTTTTTAAGAAAAACAACAACATTGGGTTGTTGGCTTGTGAAAGTAACATTTTGGGGGAAGTGCCTGTTTTGTGTGTCGGTGTGCAGAGCCTGTACTCAACAATCCTCACATAATTGTGGAGGGCAGTGTTATACCAGACTGGAAAATATTTAGTGGGGTGGGGAATGATTAAAAACAGCTACAAGCCTAGTGGTGGAGCGAGAGAGTAAAAGGCAGAAGTCCTTGCCCAGAATCCAGGCTAAGTGTGAGAGAAATGTGACCTTGGAACATGAGAAGGGCAGGTTGCAAAGTACTGTATGTTAGGGCTGGGCGATATCTGGTTTTCAATATCATGATATATCACCAGCTAAACATCACGATATACCGACGTAGCACAATATCTGAAAGAAGATGGAGCTACGTAGAGGCGAACATGGTAATGTCCTGGCAACTGCTACTAAGTGGCAGGTCTAAATCACCACACACTGATGAAATCATCAGCAGGCGAGCCAAAATGCATCCAAACAGGACTTTGGTTGGGGGCTTGGATACCAAATGGTGGTATTCAGGTCCAGGATAATCCAAAATACAGTGATGAGTCACAGTGAATGCAACTAATCAGGGGAAATGTTGAGCAACAACAACAAAATCTAAATTTGATGCATATAATTATAGGAAAATTAATGATAGCATGCTTCAACTGAAGATTTCTGGAGACTATATTAATGTTCTATGCAGTTTTAGGGGCAAATTTAAAATTCACAAAAATAGTAGATTTAGTAAAAAATAATGAGCCTGGATAGCTCAGTTGGTTAGACCATGGTGCTGATAACACCAAGGTTGCAGGTTCGATCCCTGTATGGGCCGGCTGCATATTCCTGCATTGCAGGGGGTTGGACTAGATGATCCTCAGGGTCGCTTCCAACTCTACAGTTCTATTATTCTATGATTCTATGATTCTATGATTCTATGAATAATTAAAATGGCAGTAAAGTCATTACAGGGGGAGAGAAAGACTTATCTCGTACACACACAAGTAGAAGGGGAGATGGGAGTAAAGAAAGAGAGTGGTAAATAACAGGGCAACGTTTTTTGTTCTTACTCTGAAGAAAACAACCTCAGTTTCTTCTTTCATGGGGGTAAGGAAGGGCTGCAGAATGAAAAGAAACAGAGGAAGCACTGGCTGGCTACACAGTTTTCTCAAAATTGCGATGTTTGCCAGATAACATTTTATGAAACCGTTGCCGTGCTGTGGACTTCATAACTGATTTAGAACGACATATTGAAAAATTGCCCTATATGTAGTCATCTTCAACCATAGAAAAATAATGCAGCACTCACAAATTGTAAGCTTTTTCAAATGTTGTGGATAACTTTAAAAGGCTGCTGTCCTAGGCATGTTTGCTTAGAATTAAGTTCCCTTTGAAATCAACAAGATTTAGCTACTATGCCAGTATGTAGAAGCTTGTGGTATACATGCTGGTTGAATGCAAACAATTACGGGCTGCAGTGCGTTGAGCTTGTGTGTTCTCCGCTCCAACACAGTTGTGGTTGGCAGATGGAGGCTGTGTTATACTCCTAGCTTTGTACTCTGAGATTTGTTCAAGGCATAGATAACCCCCAGTCCCAGACAGGTTTAGTATTACTTGTTTGGCAGTGTCCCTCAGCTCAGCAGATTGGTTTTCCACCACTGGTCCAGCATTTTAATTTTGCTATTCTGTCAACTAAATATAGGACCAAGCTGCTGGGCTGCTTTTGCGGTGGCTAGAAAAACCTCTCAGTTTTTCTTTGCATGTATCTTTACTAACTTAAAACGCCAGCAGAACGCACTAACAATTGTATACTGGAATATGCTGAGCATTGGGCAGTAAACGTTGGACCAGACCACATAGACGGGCCAGAGTCTGACATTTTACCAGCATGTAAGTAATCAGATTGCTCCAGAAATTGCTGGTAATAGATGTGTAATTTATTACCCGGACAGCTAATAGTGACTATATTCCTATTAGACTGAGAAAGGGCCTTCTCAACAGTGGCCCCTCCATTGTAGAACACCCACCCTAAAGAGGCCTGCCTGGTTCCTGTTTTAATGTCTCTTGAGTGCCTTTTTAGTCTTCCAATTTAATAACGTCTGTGGAAATAATAATGGGCAATATGCAACTTGGAGTTGGCCCATTGATAACAGTGGAAAAGTTGCTTTGCTTTGAGTATGTCTAAAGTTAGTCCTTTCCTAGGTAAATTGCCTCTGTAGCCTTGAATATTTTCTGATTTAGGTTCTGTCTTTAATGCCAAACTGCATGGGACCTTCTTCTAACTTTTCATATGTAAAGGGAGGTATTACTCCTCTCTTCCTTATTTCATCTTATGTCATTTTAAATTCACCCCCTGGGATTCACACAAATAGTTTTATATTGTTCAAAGGTGGGGAACCAGATGCAAGCCTATTGATTTCCTTCCCATATGTATGCTTCAGATTTCAGAAATACTGTTAGGGTAAACTGTTTGTATCCCTGACACTGAACAAATAATATCTGTAGTCTTCTAGTTTAACCTGCTTTTTTGTTTGGGACTGATAGAGCCTTCCTTGTTATAAATTATCTACAGTGGTACCTCGGGTTACATACGCTTCAGGTTACAGACGCTTCAGGTTACAGACTCTGCTAACCCAGAAATAGTACCTCGGGTTAATAACTTTGCTTCAGGATGAGAACAGAAATCGTGCTCCAGCAGTTCATCGGCAGCAGGAGGCCCCATTAGCTAAAGTGGTGCTTCAGGTTAAGAACAGTTTCAGGTTAAGAACGGACCTCCAGAACAAATTAAGTACTGAACCTGAGGTACCACTGTAGTTTCTTTGATAGCTAGAAGTACACGGAAATAATTCACAAGGATTTGGTAGTATTTCATTCCCCCTCTTACTCAGATGTTTGATGGTGAGATAAACTGAAAGATGATAGAGATCCACTTTTAATATGTTACCTACAAAATAAAAGAAAATGACTCCCCACTTTCCTGCAGGCTGCTGATGAAGAGCCGTAACTTCTACAAGCAGAGGCTTAGCCCTTTTACGTCCACGTGTGTCTTTCCCACAGCATAAATTTGCATCTACTGGCCAGCTTCTGCACTGCAAGATGTATTTGCCTCTTGAACTCATTGCATGTCTCAGGCAACACCAGTTGCAAAGAACGAAAGGGGACTAATGGACAATATTTTCTTAGAATTGTCCCAGTTATGTCGTTTCTTGGTAAGGATTCTTGGGGGGCGGGGGCATCCTGGCAGTTGTGGTCGATGCTGAATTTTAGCTGCATGTTGGTTTTAGAATAAGTGCTATTTGTCTGTCTTTAAAAAATGTTTTGAAAACCCTTATGAAGTAGTAGTACAATGGCATCTGTTGTTTGTTTGTTTTAGCAACTTCCAAAGTGTTTTCTTGGTGGGACGTGTCTGCATGGAGAAAAAGATGGGAGAAGCAGTTGCCAGAGTAGCCAGAAAAGTGAATGAAACGGTTGAAAACAAAGCAGATTCGCTTGGTAAGTGAAATAAATATTTCAGAGGAAAGCCAAAGTAATCCACTTATCAGTTGCCCATCAGTGCCAGTTCTCTAGGTGGCATAGAAAATAAAATGAATTCAAATCCACAGTTCCTCTAAAACTAGAATTTGACACAGCAGGAAGTGAAAAGTGTATAAAAACAAGACAATTGTTTCAAAGCAGAGAGAATCACAACAACAAGTTAATACGCCCTAGTTCTACTCTAAGCTGTTTTAACTACTCTAAGCAGTTTAAAAGTATGTAAACAGTGAATATAAAAACAAACAGAATTTCTTCATTATATAAAGCACAATAAACTACTAAATAGAAGGACCTCTTTAGTATCAAAGTAAAACTTGTAACAATCAGCCTCAAAAATATATGGAAAAGTCATAGTAGCCATAGTAAACAACTAAACAAAATATACCAGGAAGCAAAATATTACAAATGAACATCATCTAAAAAGTATATAGGCCATTTTAAAAATAACATGATTGACAATTAAGGGAGGGGAATCCACTTCACAACCACAATACCTGAATCAGTCAAATCATTAAATGAATCGACTGCTTGACAATGAGAGGTGGTGGACTCTCCTTCCTTGGAGGTTTTTAAGCAGAGGTTGGAGGGCCATCTGTCATATATGATCTAGTTGAGATTCCTGCATTGCAGGGAGTTGGACTAGATTACCCTTGGGGTCCCTTCCAACTCTACAATTCTTTGATTCTATAATGCAGTTAAATTCCCAGTCATCTGTACAGCAATAAACACAATCTAGCTACAGCTAAGAATGTTCAGTTTCATTCAAGCTTACCATTACACGGTCAACACACATCCATCAGATGCATTGATACTCTAAACCAATATACACAAACTTACTGTTTTAGCACATATTACATTCTCCACTCTATCCAATTTGGGATGGTTCAACCTTAGAAGATGAGAGTGTAACCCTCTACTTGCAGCCCTGATTTCTCTTTTAAAAGTTCCATTTTTTATTCACTTGACCTTTGAATGATGATTCAAGTAGTGCTCAAAGGAGGAGGAGGAGGAGAAGGTGAAGAAACACAACTCTTGGTCTGATGCTATGGTGCTCTGGCTATAAAATATACTTTATCATGTTTCTCCCCTCTTACAATACCTTGTGAGGTTGGTCATTATTACAGGGAGGCTGTGATTGACAAATTCTCAGAGTTCCACTGGCAAAAGCTGAAATGACAAAGGAATTTAAGAAGATAGGAAGTAAAAATAAATCCATCAATTCATTTTTCAGTTACAGGTTAGAAATGTAATGGCTAATCTCATCTTTACCACTCTGCATAAGTTTCCAAGTCTGATATAAGTTACTAACCCACCTTTTCACTAGTTCACTTGCACATTTGTTAGCTTAAAAGAGAGTAGGGGACTGAAGAGCTTTTGCGTAGCTTCCTTTACCGGGCCTCCTAGGGATGGGTTTTTTACTCATTGCGCGTGGCCTTTTCAAGTCTGTGCACAACCTTCTCTTGGAACAATATAGTAACAAATACAGTGGTACCTCGCGTTACATACGCTTCAGGTTACATACGCTTCAGGTTACAGACTCCGCTAACCTAGAAACAGTACCTCAGGTTAAGAACTTTGCTACAGGATGAGAACAGAAATCATGCTCTGGCGGTGCGGTAGCAGCAGGAGGCCCCATTAGCTAAAGTGGTGCTCCAGGTTAAGAACAGTTTCAGGTTAAGAACAGACCTCTGGAACAAATTAAGTACTTAACCCAAGGTACCACTGTATATATTAAACATGCAGGCTGGGTATTAATTGCATTTGTTAAATCACGTTACTAAGGGATATAATAAGGGACGCAGGTGGTGCTGTGGGTTAACCACAGAGCCTAGCGCTTGCCGATCAGAAGGTTGGCGGTTCGAATCCCCGCAACAGGGTGAGCTCCCATTGGTCAGTCCCTGCTCCTGCCAACCTAGCAGCTCGAAAGCACGAAATGCGGGAAGGTTAATGGTGTTTCCGTGCGCTGCTCTGGTTCGCCAGAAGTGGCTTAGTCATGCTGGCCACATGACCCGGAAGCTGTACGTCGGCTCCCTCGGCCAGTAAAGTGAGATGAGCACCGCAACCTCAGAGTCATCTGTGACTGGACCTAACGGTCAGGGGTCCCTTTACCTTTACCTTTAAGGGATATAATGGAGGATAAGGCCAACTCTTGCAAATAATTATTTGTTACACCTGTAATCCTATCCAAGGAACTGATTTGCTTAGCATCAGCAATGCTTTTGCATCAGTTGAGCCCAGATCATTAACTGGGCCTCATGAGAGCAACACTCATAGTTATGTCTATTATGTTGTGGTTTATGAACTCTTTATTCACTCTGACTGGACATCCAGCAGGTGGAGTTGTTGCACTGCTAACCAAGAAGCAACTCTCTCAGCCCACTGATTTTTCAGCTCTGGGGACAGTGAAAAAATGAAAGTGCGAGTCACACCATCTCTTTTTCGTGGGCATCTTCTGATGGCACATTCACTAGGTCACTTAGCAAAAACTTAGCAGCTCCTTTGGATTTTCATTAATTGTGCAAACATTGGTTTTAAAAAACCAAACAAACTTCAAGCGGTGTACAGTCATACCTTGGGTTACAGACGCTTCAGGTTGCGCGATTTCGGGTTGCGCACCGCACCGAACCCGGAAGTAATGGAACGGGTTACTTCCGGGTTCCGGCACTTGCACAGAAGTGCTGAATCGCACCATGCGCAGAAGTGCCAAATCATGACCCGTGCATACGCAGATGTTGCGAACGCGCCTCCCTTACGGATCACGTTCGCAACATGAGCGTTCACTCATTGGAGTGATGGTAAGTTTAAGAGAGCCAGTGTGGTGTAGTGGTTAAGAGCAGTAGATTCGTAATCTGGGGAACCGGGTTCGCGTCTCCGCTCCTCCACATGCAGCTGCTGGGTGACCTTGGGCCAGTCACACTTCTCTGAAGTCTCTCAGCCCCACTCACCTCACAGAGTGTTTGTTGTGGGGGAGGAAGGGAAAGGAGAATGTTAGCTGCTTTGAGACTCCTTTGGGTAGTGATAAATCCAAACTCATCTTCTTCTTCTTCTAAGGTGGTGAGTCAGTCAGCTTTTTGCCATAGCTGCTCTGCTTCCAAAATTAAACCTCACTGTCACTTTTAATTTCTGGCAAATGTTTTCAGACAAAGGGCCCCTCAGGTAGTTGACTGAGCTGAGAGGTACCTGGTGCAAAGAAGGTGGGGAAACTATTATCAACTCAAGCATGAAAGAAAGTGCAAAATATTTTAAAAAATACAAAATCACAGCCTCTAAAGAAAAAGGTGGAAAGTTGGAAGCTAACAACATTAGCAGGTCAACATTCAAATATTCTACCACCTGTTCAGAAAGGGATTTATTAGTTCCTTCAAGGAAGATCTTCAAAATGGTCAGTACCTGTTCTTGAAGTTAACTTTAGCAAATCTGCCATCTATAATCCTGGAGGGTGAAATGTTAATACGTGCCAACAAAACTGCACTTGAATTTTGTTAGAAAATAGCAATATGGCAGGTAAGGAAAGCATTTGTAAGATTATTGCTAGTGGCGCTCAAAGAGACAGCAAGACATCCTTGCAGATGCTGACTCACTGGCGTCAGTCCCCGTAGCAGGCAACTTGAATTTGATACGGTCTCTTGCTTGTCATTAATACTAATTTAATTGATGGACACAGTACATATGGTGGTAGGAGTAGTGAATGGTTTTACAAGAAAGCAAAAAAGATAGAAGCACCCATGCCTGCAGCTCCTTGTTATGACAATTTGGATCTGTGCTATAAAGTCATTATAGATTTAATTTAAAACGTAATGTGGTATCGATTCACACTCTTGACTATATAAAATAATGCAGTGGAGTAGAAAAACTGTGGTTGAGAATGAAGCTGATATGTGGGAAAACATTTTTATATTTAAAATGCGACCTTTTTCGTTTAGTGAAATCCCTTGGGCTTGTGCTTAGAGGAATATCACTTGAAGGGTTAATGGAAGAATATGTGAAGAATTAAATACACACAGGAATGACACGTGTAATCGAAAAGGCCTGACCTAGTTTCCAGTAGAATCATTGGAAAGTTTTCTTTATGTTATTTAATTTATTAAATAATTTTATACCTCATGCTTCAAGAACAAGACATCTCCCAAGGTGGCTTCCAAAAATTACAAGCAAGAACTGTAATTTTAAATACAATTAAAATCCACAAAAAAAGGGAAATCCACAAAAAGGGAAAAATCCACAAAAATTAACAATAAACAACCAAAGGACATGGCAAAGAAGAGGCCAAGTTGATTTTGAGGTTTTAAAATGTCTTACATATTTAAGGTTTTTTTGTGTGTGTATGTGTGTGTATGACATTAACACTTACTTCTGAACAATATGTTTAGAATTTAACATCCAATGGCATATGTTTAGGGTTCCAATTAAAGATTTGCTCAGTACCTGCAAGAATGGGAGTTTAGTGGCAACTCCGGGTGTTTCAAAGGAAGAATTAGGTATACAGTGGTGGCAAGACGAATGCCTCGCAAGACAAAAAACTCGCTAGACGAAAGAGTTTTCCGTTTTTTGAGTCGTTCCGCAAGATGAATTTCCCTATGGGCTTGCTTCGCAAGACGAAACGTCTTGTGAGTTCTTGCGAGTTTGTTTCCTTTTTCTTAAAGCCGCTAAGCCGTTAATAGCCGCTAAGCCGCTAATAGCCGCTAAGCCGCTAATAGCCGTGCTTCGCAAGACGAAAAAACCGCAAGACGAAGAGACTCGCAGAACGGATTAATTTCGTCTTGCGAGGCACCACTGTATTAATAAAGTAACAAAAACCAATAAGAAAAAATGGAATTGATTATGGGGTTTTTGTTTTATAAAGCAGAAGTACAACACGAGTGTCAGAGCTGCTTCCAGATCCTAGCTCACAGAGGATCACGCTAGCCAGCGATCATTAAACAAAAGTCTTTATTGAGTTACAGTTTCCATTCTCAAGCTGCTGCGTGCAACTCTACGTCTCATGGTTAGATCGGCGAAGCTCCGTCTGAGTCTCCGCCCCTTGTACACCAACTTAATATCCTAGCCCTGCTCCACCTTTTCCGCCTGACTGTTCTTCTCTGGGTCCCTCTGCCCCCCGGGGTCTCTTCCTTCCGGGATTCCTCTGACGCTGACGCTGACCCCCCTGACTCTTCTCCCTCCTTTCGGCGGGCTTTAGGACCTGGCTCCCTTTCCGGGCTGCCTACTGCGCCACCTTCCTGTGCATTTGAACTTGGCGCGCGCGCCCAACCTTCCACCTTCCGTCTGACCGTTTCTTCGCTCTCCGATGGAGGTGTGGCCACTCCTGACTCGTGCCCTCCCCCCTGTTGTGAGTTGCCAGCGCTTGATCCCTGGCGCCCTTCCTCTTCCCTGCTCTCTGGCGGTGACGCTGGTCCCGATTTCCAACTGCTCCCCTCTGAGTCCCCTCTGGCTCTATCTTCCTGGGGTGTCCCCCTAGGCTCCCCCCTTGCCCTGGCCACTGGTGCTCCTTTCTGTGAATCTTCTGATTCACTGGAAAGACTCGGAGATCTCGGGTCGTCGTCATCACTCATCTTTTCTTCTGCCTCCCCCCCTCGCTCTCTGTTTGGTCCCTTGCCCTTGCCTCTGCTCCTGAACCCCTGACCTCCAGAACCCCCTCGAAGCCCCCTCTTCCCCCTCCCCTCCTTCCGGTGCGGGATCTGGGTGCTGCCGTGTCAGGGGACGAATGTCGGATACAGTTCGCTTCCCGTGGCGGGCCGCCATCTGAAGTCTTCCGGTTCTTCCTCCCTGCTCTCGTTGACGACGGTCACCTCCGCTTCCATCTCTGTGCCGCCGTGCTCGAAACCCGGGTCGTCCCCGAAAAGTCCATGTCCGTCTCTCCTCGTTGCCTTCTGGAGACGTTGCTCGTCCTGGACCCTCCAGCCACCTTCTACGGAACTGCTCCTCTGGTCGATCATCCCACCAATACGAGGGTTCTGAAGCAGATCCCGAGGGTGACCCCTCCGGGGAACGGGCGTCTCGTGTCGGTTCCTCGTCCGAGTCGAACCCCCGGAACGTGCTGGCTGAAAGCGTGGGCGTGAAAAGCCAGTCGTCGAAAAAGTCTGCTGGCATTGGCCTATGTGGGAAGAGGGCATGAAACTCTTCTTTGAGCAGAGGTTCGTCTAATGCGTAGCCCGGCACCCAGCTGTTGGCACTGGCCGGGGTGCGCTCCTTGGCGAGAAGGTATTCTACCCCCTCTTCCCCCCATCTGGAGTCCAAAATCTCCGTGACTTCGTTGATGCGCTCCTCCCGTGCCACTCCCCCCTGCCCGGTTCTCTCTCGGAGCGGACCCGGTGCCGTTCCTGGTTCCTGAAACCTGTGAGGTGCCTTGTAGGGAGTGAGCACCGATCTGTGGAACACCGGATGCATTCTGGAACCCTCCGGAAGAGCCAGCCTGAAAGCCACCGGGTTGACCTGTTCTTCGACTTGGTAGGGCCCCAGTTGTTTATGCCCTAGTTTCTTCTTCGCCAACGACCTGGCCGGCACTGCGTGGGCTGCTAACCAGACCCAGTCTCCCACATGGATCTCTTCGCCAACCCTTCTGTGTTTGTCCGCTTGTACCTTGTATGCGTGTTTAGCCAGCTCCAGGTGCCGCCGCAGCTGATCGTGGACCTCCTGCAACTCCGACGCGAATGCATCTGCTGTCTGCGGCTCCCCCCCCCCATTCTTTCCAGTCCCGGGAAGGTTCTGGGGTGCCTCCCGTTGTTGGCGAAGAACGGCGTGACCCCCGTGGACACGTGCTTCGTGTTGTTGTAGGCGAACTCGGCGAGAGGCAGGTAATCCACCCACGTCGCAGGCTGTTGATTCGCATAACATCTCAGGTACTGCTGCATGATGGCATTGACCCGCTCCGCTTGCCCATTGGTCTGCGGGTGTCTAGCCGACGCCAGGTTGATCTTGACGTTCAGGAAGCCCATCAGCCTCTGCCAGAAGTTCGAGATGAACTGTCGCCCTCGGTCGGACAGAATAGACCGCGGCAGACCGTGAACCTTGAACACGTGGTCTATGAACAGTTTGGCGGTTTGTTCCGCCGTGGCCACCTTCGCACACGGAATGAAATGTGCCATCTTGGAGAACAAGTCCACCACCACCAGCACAGCCGTCTTGCCCCTCGAGCTGGGCAGATCCGTGACAAAGTCCAGGGCCACTCTCTCCCATGGTTCGAACGGAGTTTGCAGCGGTTCCAGCAGTCCGGCCGGCGGTCTGTGCACTGGTTTGGCCCTCTGGCAGGTGTCACACCTCGCCACGTAGTCCGCGACTTCCCTCTCATTCCTGGCCACCAGAAGTCTCTGGCTACTAATTCCACCGTTTTCTCCTTGCCAAAGTGCCCGGCAGTGGGCGCGTCGTGCAGCTGCTGCAGTACCTTGGCGCGAAGTTCGTCTCCCGGCACGTAGATGGCCCCTTTACGGATGAGCAAACCATCTCGCAGCTGGAACTCGTCGGTCGCTGCCGTGCCCCTGTGCGCCTCTGCCATCTTTGCTTGCGCGAAGGAGTCATCCTGCAACGCTCGTCGCACCGCCTCCAGGTCAACTGTTGCCGCCGTGCACGCCCACACTGTCGGTGCGAAGATGTGCATGGCGGCCGCTGGCGTTGCCTCCTCCAAATACTGTGGCTTACGGGAGAGAGCATCCGCCATGATGTTGGTGTCCCCGGGACATACTCTATTCGGAAGTCGAAATTCGCAAAGAACTCAGCCCAACGTATCTGCCTCTGGTTCAGGAACTGTGCCGTGCGCCAGTGCTCTAGATTCTTGTGGTCCGTGCAGACCTGCACCGTGTGCTTGGCGCCGATCAGGAAGTGCCTCCACGCTTTGAACGCTGCATGAATGGCCAGCAACTCCCTGTCCCAGATGGTGTAGTTCTGTTCGGACTTGCTGAGCTTCCTTGAGTAAAACGCTCCCGGCCTCCAAACCCCCTGCGGGTCCTTCTGCAGCAGGACTGCTCCCACGGCTCTGTCCGAAGCGTCTGTCTCCACCCTCATCGGCCTGCTGGGGTTGACATGAAGCAGTTGCTCTTCCGACGCGAAGAGACGCTTGAGTGCCTGAAAGGACTGCTCCGCCTGCTCTGTCCAGATGAACTTCTTTTCTTGGAGCTGAGCGTGTCCGTGATGGCCGCTGTCTGCATGGCAAAGCCTTTGATAAACTTGCGATAGAAGTTCGCAAAGCCGACAAACCGTTGGACCTCCTTCCGGTTGCGTGGGCTTTTCCAATCCAACACTGCTCGGACCTTGGTGCTGTCCATGGCGAGCCCTTTATCAGACAACTTGTAGCCCAGGAAATCCACCTCCGTCACGTCGAATTGGCACTTCTCCAGCTTGGCGTAAAGCCTATGTTGCTGTAGCCTGCTCAGCACTTCCTTGACGTGCCTGTCATGCTCCTGCTGCGATTCCGAAAAGATCAGGATGTCATCCAAGAAACAGACGCACGTCTTGTAGAGGAGCCCCGCCAACACGTGATGCATGAAAGCTTGAAAAACGTGGGAACCATTTTGCAATCCAAAAGGCATAACTCTATATTCGTAGGTGCCCAGGGGCGTGAACATGGCTGTCTTCCACTCATCTCCTTCCCGCATGCGAATGAGGTTGTACGCCCCTCGCAGGTCCAACTTGGTGAACACGCTGCCCTTCCGTACCTTTGCGAGGAGGTCGTCGATTCGGGGCATGGGGAAGTCCGATGGCTTGGTCACGCTGTTCAAAATGCGATAGTCCACTACAAGTCTTTTTGGGGCGTGTCCCGCTTCTTAACAAAGAATACCGGACTGCCCCCGCTGCCTTGGACTCTCGGATGAAACCGCGCTCCAAATTATGATCTATGAACTCTTTGAGTTCCTGCAGTTCGTCCTCAGACATGGAATACAACTTCCCTTTGGGCAGCGCCGCCCGGCAGCAGGTCAATTCTGCAGTCATATGGTCTGTGGGGGTAGCCTGTCTGCCTCCTTCTCACAGAAAACCTCCAAAAATGCTGCGTACTTGTGGGGAACCGCTTGCAGCGTGCCTAGCTGCAGCTGTGACTCCTCTTCCTCTCCTTCCTGCCGGGGCACGATGCAGTGTTCAGCGCAAAAGGAAGAGCCGAAGGTCAGCTGCCTCTGGTACCAAGCCAGCGTCGGGCTGTGCTTGTCCAGCCAACTCATGCCCAATACAATGGGCGTGTCCGATAGTTGAGTGACATTGAAGCTGATGATTTCCCTGTGATTCCCAAGTCTCATCACCATTGGTGGCGTCTGCTTCACCACTTGCCCCCCTAGCAGCTCCCTGCCATCCACCGTGACAACCTGCAGGGGCAGCGTGGCAGGCAGCAACTGTATAGCGTGCCGGTCGACAAAGTCCTGCCCTATAAAGTCCGCATTGCTTCCGGAGTCAATGGTGATTGGCACGTCCATGGTGATGCCATTGGGCAGCTGGAGCGACGCGGTGAGCCTCACTACTGGTTTGGGCGGGAGGGGGTCCATGGGCTGTAAAATCTCTGGGGACTGCTTCACTGACACGTCTGGCTGGGCCCCAGTGCCTCTTTCTCCAGCCAGACTCCGTCGTTTCCCTGCCGTGGTTCTCCTTGCTGCGTTGCTGCAGTTACCATTGCTGAGGCTGCAGTGTGCTTGTGGAGCCTCTGGGGACACTCTTTCGCCATATGCTGTGGATCATCGCAGATGTAACACTTCCTGTTCCCTCTAGGAGGCTTCGCTTCACTGCTGCCGGTGCTAGGGCTCTGGCTGCTGACTGAGCCCTTGCACCTCCAACCTCCATAGGTTCCGCTCCTCCTCCTGGCGGAGGCGTGGATTGCGCACGCGCTGCTTCTCTGGGAAGGAAGGAGGAGCCCCTGGCTGGTTCGCGCCCTCCACGCCCTTCGTCCCTGCTCCACGGACGTTCTTCCAGCCGCACCCCCACCGCCAGCGCCCTCTGAACGATCTCCTGCGTGGTCCGGGGTCTCTCCCCCCTCGCAATTTCATCTTTAACCGAGCCGTGCAATCCCTCCCAAAACAGGTCTCTTACAGGAGCCGAATCTCTGTCCCATTCCAGAGCACTGACCAAAGCGAAAAGCGGGCATGGTACTGCCTTACGCTGGCCCTCCCTTGCTTCAGTCCATGTATCTGCTGCCGAGCAAGATCCACGTCAATGCTTGATAAAAAGCACCCATCCATCGCTTTAATAAAGGCATCCGCATTTTGGAGCGCCGGATCCTTATCTCTCCACAAATTGCGCAGCCATGCTTTAGCATCTCCATGCAAATGGGACATGATGAATCCCACCTTCTCTTGCTCATCTCTAAAGTCTTTGTTCAGCAGTTGCAGTGCACACATTACATCTGCTCTAAAGTTGGGGTACTGTTGCAAATTCCCATCGAAGTGAGAGACCAGACCGCCTGTTCGTCTCCCCAACCCAATCCCCTCCGGTTTGGGTGTCAGTTGCCCTTGCTTCGTAAGCACTTCCAACCTGACCTGGAGATCCCTGTAGGCGGCAGCTGCGTCCTCCTCTCTCTTCCTGGATGCAAGAGCCTCGGCATTCAGTCGTGACACTGCTTCTCTGAGTTCCGCTATCTGCTGTTCGGCCGTCATATTGTCTGCCGTTCGTGAGCTCGCTAGTAGGCACCCGCTTTCTCTCCTCTCCGCGAGGCCGTAGATGCCCACAATTTAGGGGACGGAGCTTACTGTCAGAGCTGCTTCCAGATCCTAGCTCACAGAGGATCACGCTAGCCAGCGATCATTAAACAAAAGTCTTTATTGAGTTACAGTTTCCATTCTCAAGCTGCTGCGTGCAACTCTACGTCTCATGGTTAGATCGGCGAAGCTCCGTCTGAGTCTCCGCCCCTTGTACACCAACTTAATATCCTAGCCCTGCTCCACCTTTTCCGCCTGACTGTTCTTCTCTGGGTCCCTCTGCCCCCCGGGGTCTCTTCCTTCCGGGATTCCTCTGACGCTGACGCTGACCCCCCTGACTCTTCTCCCTCCTTTCGGCGGGCTTTAGGACCTGGCTCCCTTTCCGGGCTGCCTACTGCGCCACCTTCCTGTGCATTTGAACTTGGCGCGCGCGCCCAACCTTCCACCTTCCGTCTGACCGTTTCTTCGCTCCCCGATGGAGGTGTGGCCACTCCTGACTCGTGCCCTCCCCCCTGTTGTGAGTTGCCAGCGCTTGATCCCTGGCGCCCTTCCTCTTCCCTGCTCTCTGGCGGTGACGCTGGTCCCGATTTCCAACTGCTCCCCTCTGAGTCCCCTCTGGCTCTATCTTCCTGGGGTGTCCCCCTAGGCTCCCCCCTTGCCCTGGCCACTGGTGCTCCTTTCTGTGAATCTTCTGATTCACTGGAAAGACTCGGAGATCTCGGGTCGTCGTCATCACTCATCTTTTCTTCTGCCTCCTCCCCCTCGCTCTCTGTTTCCTCCCTTGCCCTTGCCTCTGCTCCTGAACCCCTGACAACGAGCAAATGGGAACAAAGTTGTATCTTTAGTGCAAAGTTTCAGCTCCATCTTGAATTGAAACCCACTCTATGCTAAGGCTCATTAATGAGAAAATGTTGATACAATCTGGCTTCTATCAGGGAACTTTGCAAGGCACCTCCCAATGTGATTAAAATGTTAATTACTGAAAGTATTGATGCATGCAGGCCCAAAAATACAGCAAAAAGCAATATAAGTATTAGGTATTTCTTGAAGTGAATAAATTGCTTCTCTGTGAGTGATCTAAATAACTATTCACAACTCTTCGTTGAGTAGGAAATGCTTTCTCATTGGTATATTGTAGTCAGTTTCTTACTGGACATTTTGGGTCTTTTGGTTGTTGATCCAAATGACTGACACAATAAAATTAGGTTCTAGTCCAATCTACACATTGTTCAACGATTTTTGGTCTGCATGTCGCTGCTAAGGCAGATCGCACCTAGGCCTTGCGACATGATTCAAGATGGATGTTGAGGTACTCTGCCAGTGGGAAAGACACTGGTTATGACACCAGTTCATAGAGAGAGGTATGACCATAAAGCAGAGGTGGAGAACCAATGGCACTGCAGCTGTTGTTGGGTTCCAATGCCCATCAGCCCCAACCAATGCAAACACTGGCGAGGGATGATGGGAGTTGTGGTCCAACAACAACATATGGAAGGCCACAGCTGCCCCACCCGTGTCATAAGGAATTTATCCACAAAGTATTTCCACAGGGCAGCCTTTCCCAACCTGGTGCTCCCCAGATGTTTTGAGTTCCTCTCCTGTCATCCCTCCATGCTGGCTGTAGCTGTCTGGAATTGGAATCCAAAACATCTGGAGGGCAACCAGGTTGGGGAAGGAAGTCATAAAGAATGGGAAATAATTGAAAAATCCCCAGGTATGGAAGCCTGATGCACTCCTTGGAAGGAGGGGTGTGTCTGGCTTGCACGATCAAGCCTTATCCAATCAAGTTGAGGATGTTTCTCATGGGGCACTTTCCTCCCAACACAGATTGTGTGTGTGAGAGAGAGAGGGGGGGAGAGAATAGCACCACATGTGAAGAATTACACACACGGGTGGATTTAGTTGCAATTATCCTTGTATGAGCCGCTGGGGTGCACAGCAATAAGACAAGGATATTCATGAAATGAAGATTTAATGAAACGCAAAAACATTCCAATTGTAAGAGTAACTGCCCTGCAGCGATAATCCCACAAGGGAGATGGGAAAACTAGTCTTCTGCCCACAGTACATAAAATCATCCTGGGCAAAGCATTGGCAATCTATGGGGCTAACTGTTGCAGTTTCTTTGAGCACTCTCAAAGGTTCTGAGATTGCGCACCATTGATCTGTGTCATAAATAATGCATGTACCAAAGCTTTGTTTGACAGGGGAAAGTACGGGTGAGCCTAAATGAACGAGCCTAATTGGGTGGGTGGGTGGGTATAATGAGCATTACTATGTTGTGAACAGCTTTATTATTTTATGGTTTATTGCAGAGGTTTCCAACCTTTTTGAGTCCACAGCTCCCTTGAGCAACTATAGTCATACCTCGGGTTACTGATGCTTCAGGTTGTGCGTTTTCGGGTTGCGCACCACGCTGAACCCAGAAGTACCGGAACGGGTTACTTCCAGGTTTCGGTGCTCGCGCATGCGAGGAAGCATTAAATCGCACTTTGTGCACGCGAAGAAGCGCCGAATCGTGACCCACGTGTGCGCAGCCATGGCGCTGCGGGTTGCGAATGCTGTGGGTTGCGAATGTGCCTCCCGCACAGATCATGACTGCAACCCGAGTGTCCACTGTACATTCTTTCTGTGACACCCCTCACCCCTTTTCGAACACCCTCCCTTATGGAGTGTTCCTTCAGCTTCCTCTCCTCTCCTCTCCTCTCCCTTTGGGAGTCCTCTGGACAGCTGCTCCTGCTGCCCCTAGTCTCTGCACTCCTCCCCTCCACAAAGAGAGGTACCTCCTCACACTGCCACACATGGGCATGGGAAGCACTCCTGGCCAGCCCCAGAGGCACCATTCGCCTGAGGAGCTTGTAGCCAGGGCTGCTGCAACAAACAGCTGGGCAAGCCTTTGGGAGGCAGAGATGAAGAAGAAGAAGAAGAAGAAGAAGAAGAAGAAGAAGAAGAAGAAGAAGAAGAAGAGTTTGGATTAGATATCCCACCTTTCACTCCCTTTAAGGAGTCTCAAAGCGGCTAACATTCTCCTTTCCCTTCCTCCCCCACAACAAACACTCTGTGAGAGTGAGAGTGGGGCTGAGAAACTTCAAAGAAGTGTGACTAGCCCAAGGTCACCCAGCAGCTGCATGTGGAGGAGCAGAGACGCGAACCTGGTTCCCCAGATTACGGGACTACTGCTCTTAACCACTTCACCACACTGGCTTGGATGCAAGAGGGCATCCAAGGAGGGATGGAAAGAAAGAGGGACAGAGGCCAGTGTTGCTCCGGGCACCCCTGACCATCATTCAAGGCACCCCAGGGTGCCGCAGCACACTGATTGGAAACCGCTGGTTTATTGGATTTTATGTTGTAATAATCATCTGCAGTTGGTCAAAGGCTTTTGTAACCTGTGAGGATGGTTGCTGGTTTTCCCTTTGCCCTGTGCTCTCCTCTCACCCAAAACATCCATTGGGTTGTGTCCATAGGAATGTAGGAAGCTGCCTGATCCTGGGGCAGCCCACGTGGGGCCCTCTGCTTTACAGTTCCCATCATCATTGGCCATACAGGTTGAGGCTGATGCAGCTGTAGTCCAATAACATCTGGAGGGCACCAGGTTGGCTAACTGGCACCTGATCTCCAGGGTTTCAGCCCAGGGACATTCCCGGCGCTGCTTGGAGGTACTGAGGATCAAACCCGGGTCCTTCTGCATGCAAACCATATGCTTTGCCACTGAGTTACAACTCTCGGCAATCCCAGTGTGGTATAGTGGTTAAGAACGGTGGACTCGTAATCTGGTGAACCGGGTTCGATTCCCCGCTCCTCCACTTACAGCTGCTGGGTGACCTTGGGCCAGTCACACTTCTCTGAAGTCTCTCAGCCCCACTCACCTCACAGAGTGTTTGTTGTGGGGGAGGAAGGGAAAGGAGAATGTTAGCCGCTTTGAGACTCCTTACAGGGAGTGAAAGGCGGGATATCAAATCCAAACTCTTCTTCTTCTTCTTCATCCCCCCCAAAAAAGCTTAAGAGCTCTGGGCAATCTTCCCCCATTTCCTTAATTTCGAGTCCCCCAAAATAGGAGTCGTCTTATACACAGGGGCGTGTTATACATGGAAAAATATGGCATTTGCATTTAGCTCCCATTGAAATTTAAGTGCCCTGAGGTCCCCATTAAATCACTAACTTAAGTCTGGACCTAACTGATTGACCTCACACTGCTTCCTGAGCTGGAGTCGCATAACCAAAAACAACAGCCCAACCCAATAAGTGCCCAGGTATAATTCAGCTGAAGGCTTTGAGAGGAGCAAGACATCCAGCAAGCAAGCTGTTTGTTGGCAAGAGAGAAGCTGTGCAGTGAGGTGGTGATAAAATGTTTGGATATGAATCACTGGGAAATGCAGGACTGAAGGTGGTCACTATTTTGCAAAATGAGAATCTGACCCATTTTTGATGTGGAGGCTGCAGAGGGAAGTTGCACCGAGCCAGAGATGAAGAGAGTACGTTCCATGGACCAGGTGGCTTGGAGGATGAGTGTTGTGGCTCATCATCCTGTTTTGATTTCCAGTGGATCTGCACTACAGTAATTGGTTGCAGATAAAGCAAGTTGGATACGAAGGTAATTCCAAACGAGTAATATAGCATCCTTCAGTACATTTCAACTGTAGCCTCCCAGCAAAGCATCACAGCATTTTCTGGTGACGAATTCTAGGGTAGTCACTGTGTTCTTACAGCAAAGGCAAATAAGCGTCTTACGGCACTTTAATGATAAAAAGCTTTATTACCGTGTAAGTTTTTATGATCCAGGTGCTTTTAATGAAGTTGAGCTCTTCTAATCTGCAAAAGTTTATGCCCCACCATAAATTTATTATTCTTTAAGGTGCCACAGTGCTCTATAAGGCTGTGTCTGTGCTCACTCAGTGAAGGAAGGAGATGTGACTAAGCAGCATGGATTTATGAATGCCTCTTCTGCAGCTTTGATGATTGTAGAATAAAAAGCCTTCAGACTATTATTCCAAAATAGCAGCCTTTTGCTTCCTGGAATTTTAGTATGTCCAATTTTCATTTTGCATGAAAGAAATAAAATCTTTCTGGGGCTGTTGTGTGTGTTCAGTATTTGGAAGAAGGTGCACAGGGTGCTCTAATATTTGCACACACACACACAAACACATGCATGCAAAACACCTCACCTTTATGTACATTATTTATTTTAAAAATTGGAATTAATAGCCTTGAGTTATAACTGCAGACCATAAGAACATATGACTGAATAGGGATTTTAATTATGTGATTAATTAAACTAAAGCAAAGCGATTTCTCACTTGGAATTAAGTCAAAGCAGGTGTGTTTAAGCAGCCCTTGTTTGTCCCCATGCCAGCTTGTTGTGCTTTATTTTGATCAGTGTGACATTCTGGCATCTGGAGTTCAGATCCAGGGTATTTCTGAAATGCAAATTTAGTTTAGAGAGAAACGCTAGAGGTGTTAGGCAGAGAAATCCAGTGCAGGAAAAAAAGACTTGCATGCTGACCAGTTTGCTATCATTCCTGCATTTTACAGTCGGGAAAAGAAGTCACTTGTAAGGCTTGAGGTCCAAAACTCCAGCAGTTCATTTATTGCTATCTAATTCACTTTTAATGGGGTAAAAGTGTGTGATTTCTTCATGGAATGTCTCAGATGATCAAAATGGCTTTGCTCAGGTTTTTCTGTCCTCCTTCGCCCAGAGTGGCTGGGGAAACAGTTAGGCAGAGTATAAATAATAAATTATTATTATATAAAATATTAAGTTAGGAATGTATTGTCATGGGTGTTGAGTGGGGACCAGACACAACTGACAATCTGACGGAGGGTCCCAGTGAGGTTGGACTGACCATGCCAGAGCCTCGGGGGGATTCGCGGACGGCCAATTAAAATGTGATGTGTTGGAACACAATACATTTTGCCTGGAAAACTGAACTCACTCTCTCGCCCTCCTTTCCTCCCCTTGGTGTTTCGCTGTAGATTTGGCAGATTGCAAACTGATGACGTTCCCCATTGCCCTTTACAAAGTCATGAGGCACGTCTCGGAAGGAATCCATCTCATCACTCTGGCCAATAATGAGCTGAAGTCTGTGACCAGCAAATTTATCACCACCTTCAGCCAACTGAGAGGTAGGTGTTTATCTCTGAAGGAAACCATGGAATTGAAGAGGCAGTGGCATCTTGATCCTTCTTCCAAATGTTATCTTGTGTTTCAGACATCTCTTGTCATTTTTTAAAAAATACTGGTACTTATTTTATTTATTGCTTCTCCTCCAGGAACCAAGGCAGTTGGTACATAAAGTTACAAACCATTAATAATAATAAAAAATTATCAAAATAATATCGGCAAACCTGCACTGAAAATTAGCAGCAGCACTAGACTCTTAGGGCACCTTAGACACTCTCAAATGGTTTGTGAATAGGTGAGGCTGGCTAATCTAAAGGTCAGCAACAACAGACCTCTGTAGGGATAGCATTTTTGGGTTTTTAACTAAGTTTTCTTGCTTCAGTGATGTTTCAGTCTTGGACCAAAATGGAGATTTGCGTTCCCCACAGTTCTGTACACAATTCTACAATGCACATTATCAGAGCACACATAAGCCTGCCCCATTGCACTTCACTCTGCCCCCCATTCTTCTTCTTCTTAATTATTTATTGAATTTATATATTGCCCTATACCTGGAGGTCTCAGGGCGGTTCACGGAACAAAATCAGAATATAAAACAACAATATATATATATAATCAAAATAAAAACAACAACCCAATAATGCCCCCCCAAACCCCACATTTTAAAAGGGCATAGGAGGTCAATCAAATCCACCAAAGGCCTGGTTATAAAGGAACCTTTTTGCCTGGCGTCTAAAAGTGTATAATGAAGGCACCAGACAAACTCCCCTGGGGAGAGCATTCCACAGACAGGGAGCCACTGCAGAGAAGACCCGTTCTCGTGTTGCCACCCTCCGGACCTATTGAAGAGGAGGCACACAAAGAAGATGATCTCGGGGTCCAGGCAGGTTCATATGGGAAGAGACAGTCCTTGAGGTATTGCGGTCCAAAAGGACCCGCGCATCCACAATCGCACATCAGTTGGGCATGCCTAAAAATGGTCGACCTCACAGGCATACTGCTTTCTGCCTTACCCATATTTCCCTTCAGTTTTGGAGCGTGATTAGTATACACCCACAAACAACAGCAATGAAATAATTCCATGCCTTTTGTCTAAGTGGAAGCAGAAGTTAGCTTTAGGGGCAGGAAGGCAGAGTTAAGTGTGCTTTATATTGATGTACATTACCAGTTCTTTATAGCAGCACAGAACTGAGCTCAGGGAAGCAATGTCGTGGGAGGGACTCTGGCTCAGCGGTAGAGCACATCCTTTGCCTGCAAAAGATCCCTGGTTCATTCGCCAGCTTATCAAGTATGGTTGGGAGAAACCCCTGCCTGAATTCCCAGAAAGCTGTTGCCCATCAAGAGTAGACAATAGTGAATTAGATGGAGCGATGATGCGCAAGGCAACTTCATACATTTCTTACTTGGGGGCGGGTAGGGAGAATATTGATTTCTCAAACTTCTGTCTGCTCCTGACTTGGAAAGGTAGAAAAGGTAAAGGATTAATAGGGAGCACACAGTGGAACTGATATCATATGCTGTAACGTGGATAAACGATCGCCTGGTAAAATTAATTTCCTCTCCAAAGTTGTGGTTCCTAGGAACAAAATGAATTTTGCGATCTGATCAAGTTGCTGACAGGCGTTGAAAGAGAGTTTGAAGGGTATACGGAACACTGAAGCATTAATAGAGAAATCTTATTCCCATTCAGCGGGCTGTAATCCAACGGCCGTGTATAAATAAAATAAGCATTAGTGAAAAATGACACATCTAGATGGCGAAAGTAATGAAACTTGAAGTCCTTGATGTAATTTAATAGGGACATGAAAAAGCAAACAACCCACACATGTTGATAAATGGACCCTAACAGACACAGGGTGATTGAATAGCTGAGTTAATGATAGCTAGAGGCTTGAAATCAGTGGGGAGGTAATATATTTTAGCAGTTGTAGCAAAAGCTTTGTAAGGTTGGGTGAAAATGAGCTGTGGGAAATGCTAATGTCCCTCTACCTGGTGTAACCTAAGTGGTGACGTTCATCACTTGTTACCTAAATGGTGCCCACATTGCGGTCTGCGGAGTTGTCTTAGAAATGTTGAAAGTAATGCTTGATGATGCTATTCTACAAATATTGGGTGAGGTCAAGAGCCAGCTTAGCCCAAGGAGGTCTCTGCTCACACCAGAAGGCTTCTCCCCTTCCCTTTGAGCCCCTCAAGTCTGCTTTGAGGGTTAGGGGGCCCTCTGGAGAAGATTTGGGGTGCATAGGGCAGCGGGGCAAGGAGGAAAACCAGAAACCCTGTTGTGCAAGTGAGTTCCCATTGTGCTAGCAGCCAATCGCCGTTGGATGTTGCCAGTTGAGGATTGGAGTAGTGTTATGGCTTAAGAGTGTGATCTGCAACACATGCAGGGAAAGATTTCAGTGAAAACCAACCTCATGAAGATTCAATGGTGAGTGCAGGGGCCGTAGAGATGCTTGCTTCATTCTTCATCCACTCATATTTTCACCTTCCAATCTGCTTCCCCCACCCACCTGCAGGATTCTAAATGCATTTCCCCCCTGGCAAAAATTCTCTTCTCCCTCTTCTGATGCAGCTAGGTGTAATGGCTGCTGGTGGAGACTGCTCAGGGAGACATGGGAGTTGGAACTCGCAGTTTAAAATGCATAAACCTGGCAGGATAGCGAGTAGGACTCTCAATTGTCCTGAGCTTGCCACCAGTTCTTGTGGAACTTCTGCCTAAAGCATTTTGGGCTTTTAAGCCTTTTCAGAAAGCAGCATGCTTTTAAACAAAATATTTTAGGAATTACAAACGCTTCGGCAGAGAGAATCATTTCAATAGCTTTGGAGTCAGAACAGAATGCATCATTTCATTGGAAACTAGACTTCTTATGCTTGAGGGAGCCAGTCAGGGTTTCCAAACAACATGATACTTATTGGCACTGTGTTCTTTTTGCCTCTTTCTGCGGAGACTTACTATGCCTGCTGGTCGTGTACTGTAGGGAACCTGCTGAGAGAGACTGATAGGCAAATAACTACTACCCATTCATTCGATGGAAAGGGGTGTATTTTCAGGGGCTGGGAAGGGCAGATAACTGTTCCAGTCTGTTTATGAAAGCATTGGTAATTCAATTAATGGAGAAGATTAATGAGTGTTAATCTGTAAGCAGGCTGACTTAAACTGGCCTATCATTTTGTGTTTACACAGTAGCTACCAGTATTTATGCGCAGAGTGCTCTTTTGTGTATCAGTTTGGGAGAAGTGAAAGATGTTAGCAGCATGCTCTAATTTATAGATGAGGCAGGAGGCGGAACAGGATAGTGTTAGGAGATGATTATTTGGAGGTTGGAAGCCCTTTCTGTATCTTTGGAATGGCCTAATCCCAGGGGTAGGTAAAAGGTAGAGCAGGATTTACTGATGGGTCTCTGGCTGGTTTGCAGCAGCTCAGCAAGGAATTCTGACACCCAGTTAACAACAGCAGCAGAACTATTTCCCCCGCCTAGGCTGCTGAAATGCAGTGAGTGGACCTAACCAGGAATGGACTTCTGGGTGCAAGGGCTACGAGCTCACTCCAGTTCTGGTTCTGAAAACAAATTTCTCGGTTCAGAATGTGCTCAGAGGCACCCTGTTATTTAATTCTAACTATCACATTTGCATTTGGTTCTGGTTGGTGGTTCTTGGGTTTCCAGTAAAAAAACACAAAGTAGATCTGGGAAGCCTGAAGTCTGCCCATCGCTGGCATAAACTCTCAAAAGTTGATGGCTTCCAGTGGGGTGCATATGTTAATCTGTTGCAGCAAAACCACCCACCCGTCTTTCTGTGAATGTAAGTTGTTTTCAATATTGTGTTCTAATTGCTGTAATCCGCCCTGGGGCCTTAGGGTGAAGGGCAGGTGAATATCGTCATCAAAATTGTCATGGTAAAGACTTAGCAGATATAGAACAAGAACTTACTTCATCTGTTGCATAAAGTGCCCTTGGCACGGAAGATGGGAAGTTATAAACAGTGGGACCAAATCATTAGACTGCAAAAAGTACGGCCTGTAACCATTCTTTGTAAAGTTTAAGATAAGCAGAGCGACCCCTTGTGACAGCAGTTATTGGTGATAGCACAACCAGCTTACCTTTGACCCTGTAATGTGGAACAGGAAACCATTGTCTGAATTGAAGCCCAAAAGAATACCACAAAATTTCTAGTGTGAGCCAGGTCTTTATCTCCCCACCCCTTGTGGGCCACATTTGACAGAGGCTGCACATTTGACAGCCCTGCACTGCTCTTTAAAGCGCCTGTTAGCACAGGTAATAATAATAATAATAATAATAATAATAATAATAATAATAATAATTTATTTGTACCCTGCCTATCTGGCTGGGTTTCCCCAGCCACTCTGGGCAGCTTCCAACAAAGATTAAAAATACATTAAAAAGTTTCAATGAGCAAACTGAGGCTGTTTGCAAAAGCACTTTCAAACAACCCTACAGTTCACTTTGAAGCAGCACCCCGCAGAACTGAAGTCTCCTCTCAACAGCTGTGAACCGAGACTTCAGTCCTGTTCCCTATCTTTGAAACATTTTCTGACAACTGCACTGTTTCATCATACATGTATATATGATGCAGGAGATCTGTGATCAAATCTCTGTTGCTCATAAAGCCCAACGTCAAAGACCTGGTGAGGCTACTGAAGATTTTCCCCTCCCCTTACACCTCTCTCTCACACACACTTTTTCTTCTGTGTAGGAACACCATGTTTGCCTGAGTTACCAACTTTTTGTGGCCCAGGCTGGCGAAACTATTGCGAGCAGCACACAAACACAACGCAATCAAGCACACACCACAACCTACCTTATGGGCTATGACAGAATTCTTCTTCCAAACCTAATTTGCAGGGGGAGGAACCTATGAATGTCTAGGAAGGTCTCTGGGGGTGCGTATGCCCCCCATGCTTGCGCCCCCTGGTTCAGGTACAGTGGTGCCCCGCAAGACGAATGCCTCGCAAGACGGAAAAACCGCTAGACGAAAGGGTTTTCCGTTTTGAAGTTGCTTCGCAGGACGAATTCCCCTATGGGCTTGCTTCGCAAGACGAAAATATCTTGCGAGTCTTGAGATTTTTTTTCCGCTTTCCCCCCCCTTTATCTAATCTGCTAAGCCTTTAATAGCATTTAATAGCCTTTTAGCAGCTAATCCCCTAAGCCTTTAAGCCTTTAATAGCCGCTAAACCGCTAATAGCGCTAATAGCGCTAATCCGTCAATGGGCTTGCTTCGCAAGACGAAAAAACCGCTAGACGAAGACTCTCGCGGAACGGATTAATTTCGTCTTGCGAGGCACCACTGTAATCAAAGAGTGTTCACACATACACTCATTCTACAAGGTATATACATTGGTCTGCCCAATGCTCATTAGCCAGTTTATGAATTTAGAGGAAGAGGAGGGAGTGGAGTTGTGCCATACATCTCATGTTGCTCCTGGTGAGCGCAGAAGTCTTGTCTTCATCCTATCAAAAGATGCTGCCTTCTGACCGGGCTCTCATAATCTTCCCCAGATCTCAGGAGATCGGTTGCTCAAGGCTACTCCTTCCAGACTTTTTGTTTTCCTGACCACAGACTGTCATCACGTGGTCAGAGAGGCCTTGGTCCTGTAACCCTGGCATGGAGAGATGTGCTGATCTTGGGCTGCTCTCCTTGGGCTGTTTGCACACTGCCAGGGGCCTGGCTGAGAGGTGTTCCTTATAATTCCAAAGGGATTAGGCCTCAACCAGTTTCATTTTGCAAGGTTTGTAGCAAATGTTCCTGCATGGGATCTTCAGGCAGCTGTGAAATGCCAAGTTCTGTAAGGAAGTTGGTGTCACCTTGCCTGTTGCATCTTTCCTCACAGCTGAGTGGCAAACAGTCTAACCTAGAAGAAGAAGAGGAGTTTGGATTTGATATCCCGCTTTATCACTACCCGAAGGAGTCTCAAAGCGGCTCACATTCTCCTTTCCGTTCCTCCCCCACAACAAACACTCTGTGAGGTGAGTGGGGCTGAGAGACTTCAGAGAAGTGTGACTAGCCCAAGGTCACCCAGCAGCTGCATGTGGAGGAGCTAAACCTTCACTTCTCACCATCACAATTTAGAACGGATTCGTATTATGCTGACGGCATTAAAAGACTTGAGGAGGTTGAAGGTATGCTGTTGTAGAAATGTAAAGGCAGCTTATAAATAAAAGATCGAAAAGCTTCTGAGTTGAGAAGCATGACCACAGGCTTCTCCTGTGTACTCTTGAGGCAATCTTTATTTTGCCTCTGAGTCTGCTGTTAGCCCTTTGGGGAAAAGGCAGGCAGGACTAGTAGCAGACTTTGTGCATTAGACCAGGAAAAGTACATGGGGAGAAAGGGCAAAATTAGCAGTCCTCCGCAACTGTTGTGAATTTAGGAAAAAGCTGCTGAGAGACCAGAGCACACACACCTCCCATGTAATGTTTAGCTTGGCCCTGAGGTTTGCTGTCCAAACCAAAGTTTGTAAAGTACAAAAGCGAAGTTAAAAACAACCCAGTTATATTCAGCTGTTAAGGCAAGGAGTCAATGAGGAAAGAGGTTGGATGCCTACTTTCAACTTCTGTGATTAAGGGGAAGTCAGACAGTTTCCCTGCTGGGTCCCTGTAATTAACTGTAAGTACCTGAAACAAATTACCTGGAGGCCAATGCAAGATGTTAATACACAAGCACTACTTTAATATCAGATAGTTTCTTCCATAATTTAAAAGCTATCCAGGGTAGAACTCTGCATAAGCTGGGGATTTGAAACGAGGATCTGTAAAGCTAATGCTGTCTTCGGTTTTTTGCTCAGAATTTCCTCCACTTCTTTCGTTACCCTTTCCGTGCTTCTAAGCCAAACAAGGTAGTGTTCCTTCCCAAATGAGGTTTCCCCAACAGACCCAGAGCTGGATTTAGGTTGTCAACTTTCAAGATTTGCTATCAGGATCTTACAACCACCCGGACGGCTGATTCATTCAGCCATTCTCACGACCATTTTATTGGAAACCTGTATTTTTAAATTTTATTTTATTTTATAAGCAATACTCTTCTTTTTCTTTCTCTGTATAAAACCATGCTGTTAAGTGCCATATTATTCGCTCTATAAGACGCACTTTTTCCCCTCCAAAAATTAAGGGGAAATGTGTGTGCGTCTTATGGAGCGAATGCAGGCTCCACGGCTTCAGCGATAGTAACACGATGCCTCTGAAGCGCAGTGGGAGCACTCCCACCGTGCTCCGGAGGCTTCGGGTTGCTTTTGCTGAAGCCTGGAGAGCAAGAGGGATTGGTGCGCACCGATCCCTCTTGCTCTCCTGGCTTCGCTGGAGAGGCACTGCGCAGCTTTCCCTCTCTGCGCAGCACCCCTTCAGCGAAGAGGGAGGAGAAATGGAAGGGGCTCCGTTTCTCCTGCCACTTTGCTGAAGGGGCGCTGTGCAGAGAGGGAGAGATTTGTTTTTCTTGTTCTCCCCCTCTAAAACAAGGTGCGTCCTATGGTCGGGTGCGTCCTATAGAGCGAAAAATACAGTAATGTACTCTATGTTCTTCCCTATGTTCATTCCCCATCCCCATGGTTTCAGACTTTCTGGAGTTTTCTGATTCTGTCTACAATCTACCCTAGCATTACCTACCCTACCCAAACTACCCTACCCTACCCTACATTTCAGGTGTGACGCAGCCATTTTTGCTTAATGGTTTTCTGGTGGTGAGATAGCAGTGGTGGCACACAGTCTGTGGTCTTCCCATGCCTAGTAAAGCTCCCAATTCCTCCTCCTGCTGAAAAGGTTGCTTGTGTTCCCACTCCGAGTTTGTCATTTGACTTTAGCTAAGTTTACTTCACAATGAAATTAAATGTTGCTTCTGTATTGCCTTTTCAACAAATGCGAGCCGTGTGGGAAGCCGCTCCAAGGTACATCATATATTGGAGAAGAGGAAAAAAACTAGACTCGATTTGCAATGGTGATAAATCCCGTATATATGTGGATTCTATTTGTTGTGGAGAAACATCAACCTTAATAACCGTTTCCAAACAATTTCAGTGTAATGGGATCCGATGACATGATGTGTGAGATGGATGTTCCTAGTCGCTGTTTTTGCGAGACACTTGTTGCGTGTTGTTGCTTGCTGTGCTACTTGCTCTGCTTGAGAGAGCACATCATTTATATGGATACCATTCACTCCTGCTTAAGTTAATTACCAAGACCATGCTGGACAAAGAATGGATGTGTCAATCCATGGCTGCTTTGTTATTTATGCCTGGGTGCTTTCCCATCAGTGGGTTTTAATGCACATTAATGCGGGATTGGGTTGGACGATAACATATTAAAAGAAGTGAAAATGTGTTTTATGAAAGAAAGGGGAGTTTAAGGTAGAGGTCCATCTTGTCGCTAGGGTAGATTGTATCCTGAAAACTATGGGAGTCTGATGACAATCAGTACAGCTCCTTGGAGTTTCGCACAGTTAAACAGATGTCTTGGGGCTGCTTCAGACACTTTTCCTACACAGGAACGCATGGAGGTGATTGGTGTATGCTATCATTTGTGAAACTATTCTGTCTTGTGCTCTGCAGCTTTTAAATTGGTGCATGCATCAAAGTGTACTTTGCACAACTGTTAAATAGCCCACAGCACAGTCCCCACCCCAATGCCCTGTATGCTGGCTCTGTGTGAAGCATCCTTAAAAGCAATGCCTTTGAGTGCAGTCCACAAGAGGGCAATATTGGTGTCTCCAGTACAAGCGATGAAAGAAACAGAAGCAGCTGTGAAGCCCGAAGGATTTTGGTGGCACTCCTTGAGAGATTTATCAAATCATTTGTCAAATCATCACCTCTGAATACCACTTGTTGGGAATTGTAGGTGGCGAGAGCTGTGGTGCTGAATTTCTGGTTGTGAGCACCCCATAGCCATTGGGTTGGCCGCTGTGGGAAAAGGATGCTGGACGGGCCTTTGGCCTGATCCAGCAAGATCTTCTTCTGCTCTGGGATGTTTTTCCTCTGAAGAAGAGAAGGTTCGAAGCATGCCACATAAAATGCAGACGGTAACTGCATTTCCCAGTTCTCAAAATCAACGAACGGTGAGGTCAACCTGCGTCTCGATTATGCCACTTCCAATTAAAGATGGGGACTTCACATGAAGATAAATTCTCCAATTAAAAACAAAAGAACATCCTTACAAAATGGAAATATAACATGTTGAGGAGAAGGCTAGCTTAGAACCCATCTCCTTTATATCTTATTATTTACGTGCACATTGTTGGTGGGGTAGCGGTGGAAGAAGGGGCTACTCCATCATGTGAGTGAGTCCCCTTTTAGTAGTCTGAAGTTTAACAGTCTACTAGGCACAAGGTTATCTCCCTAGCCGCTTCGTGAGCACTAGAGCTATCAACGGCCTTCTTGAGGTTGCTTTTTTGGTTTTTGTTTGGTGTATTCCATCTGATAACATTTTCCAGTAGAATATTTTCAGTCCATCAAGGTTAACAATGCATACAGTCCTCTGAGTTCGTACAGGACTCGTTTTGCTCTGGATTCCACCACAAGCACATGCAAGGGAATTATTTGGCTTGTGCTGTGAGGTAATGGAGAGAGATCTAGAATTTTGCTCCCAATGGCATCTCAGCTGAAGTGGGTACCACTTAATTTTCTGTTGAATTGCTGTGTAGGAGTAGTTCTATTTCTGCAAGCCACTCGGAGCACTTGGCTTGGGCAGAAGAGGCAGGAGATGAATGGTGATATATTTATAAAGAAATACATTTAAAACCACAGACACGTGCTGGAACATGATGTGTTCATAATCTCTCTGCTGATTAAGGACAATGGATTAAAAAAAAATCTATTATTTATACAGAAGGAAAACCCAGAACCTAGATATGTTGTGTGCTGGGCTTTTATTTTAACATGTCTGTCTCTCTGATTGAACTCTAGATCAGCCTTCCTCAACCTGGTTCCCTCCAGATGTCTTGCATTGCAACTTGGATCATCCCTGACCGTTGGCCATGCTGGCTGGCACTCTTGGGAGATGTGGTCCAAAATGTGTGGAGGACACCAGGCTGGGGAAGGGTGCTGTAGATGTTCCTTAGAAATCAGATTGCCCTGGGAGGAGGAGCTTCATTTGATTCTAGAACCACTTTGTAACATCAAATTCTATATCCAGGATCATGCTGATGTAATTCTACTGCAAGCATTCATCATCATGAGAGACAAGATGGTGTTATAATCTCTGGTGTAGTTAAACTTTCATGCTCTGTGCCAGGACATGAAAGGTACCTACATAGATTATGGAACACAGTTTCAGTAAATAGCATTCTTCTTCATTCAGATCAACAAAGACTTAATCTTTGATCCACTTCCTTACCACAGTAAAATTGTTCCAGCACGGGGAGATAAATTCATTAGCAAATTGGTGGATTTGCTGGTGATATCTCGTTTAGCCTTTATCTTTGGCAACAAATATATTCGCCTTGACATCAAAGGTATCCAGTCTGTGCAAAACTTTCTTACATAAAAGAAAATTGCAGAGGAATGGGGAAGCTGATCCTCTGTCAAACTGTGCAGAACTTCTTTAATTTCTTACCTTTTCAAAGCCCAAGAGTGTACTTCTGCTTGTGAATTTTGATCATCTCAGAGACTCTAGGCTTTTAACTGTCTGCTTTTTGTTCTCGCCCAATACCTTGAAAGTGGAATTGAATGTAAGAGTGTGTAGCGAATTGGCAAACAGCAAAAAGGCCAGCCTATACAAACTACTGAGCTTCTCCAAACTTGGGGCTCTGCATCCTCAATTCCCAGTACAGTCAGTGTTGTCTTCAATGGCATTTATCACCATATGGCAATCGGTTCCCTGGAGGTGATAGAAACTCAGCATGCTTCTGTTCAAATATCACGCCGACAGTCAAATATTATGTTAGTTAGGGCATTTTTTATTTTTTTAAGATACACAGAACTGTTCCTCAGTATGCATGCTCTCCTGATTAGCTAGTATTTAATCCACTGGGAAAAGTAAGAAATCAAGTCATTGTCATCATCATCATCATCATCATCATATTTGTACCCCATCCATCTGGGCGGCTTCTAACACATATAAAAGCCTAATAAAACATCAAACATTAAAAATTTCCCTATACAGGGCTACCTTCAGATGTCTTCTAGAAGTTGCATAGTTATGCTTTCCACAGGGCGGGTGCCACTACTGGGAAGGCCCTCTGCCTGGATCCCTGTAAAAGGCTGGTTCAGGGGCAGTTCCCCACTTCCCTGAATGGAGCAGCCTCCACTGGGTTCCAGCATTCTTTGGAGGAAGCCATGGCTGTTTAATGTGGTATGATCCTGCTCTAACTGTACAGTGCAGATGGGCCTAAGTGGTTTATGGCTTCACATATTGGATAGCGCACCACTTTGGGGTCATTTGGATATGAAGTATACGGATTTGGAAGCACTCACATTTTGCTTGCAGGCTTGACCTTTGGTTTCATCCAGTATCCTTTTTCCCTTGCACATGGAGAACAGGCGAAGTTGTGCTGTAGGATTGAACTGTCTGTTGACAATAATAGGGCAGACATCTCTCATAAGTCCTAAAATTTTGGTGCAGACAAAAGGAAATATATTGGCAAATTGTAATGCTATAGGTGCTTTCAGTGCTGAAACTTATTTCATGAGTTCATAGTTTTAAAACCAATGTAGTGTGTGCACACTCAGAGGATGACCTCCAAACCATCCTAAATATCTTCACAGAAGCTTACAAAAAGCTTGGCCTATCGCTAAACACCCAAAAAACCAAAGTGCTGCACCAATAAGTACAAAACAACCCCTCTGCAGCGCCACAAATCCAACTGAACCGTGTAATGCTGGAAAATGTCAACCACTTTTCCTATCTGGGCAGTTATCTTTCCACAAGGCCGACATTGATGCCAAAATCCAGCATTGCCTGAGCTCTGCAAGTGCAGCTTTCTCCTGATAGATGTGCAGAGTGTATGAGGACCGGGACATTCGCAGGCAAACCAAAATGCTTGTTTACAATGCTATTATACTACCAACCTTACTGTATGCTTGTGAAACATGGACCACTTATAAACGTCATCAACTCCTCGAAAGATTCCATCAACAGTGTCTCCGAAAATTTTTACACATCACTTGGGAAGGCAGGCGAACTAATTCCAGTGTACTGGAAGAAGCAAAGATCACCAGTGTCAAAGCAATGATTCTTCAACATCAACTTCACTGGACTGCTCATGTTGTTTGAATGCCTGATGATCGTCTTCCAAAGCAACTACAGTGGTGCCTCGCAAGACGAAATTAATTCGTTCCGCGAGTTTTTTCGTCTAGCGAATTTTTCGTCTTGCGAAGCACGAAATCCCATAGGAATGCATTGAAATTCAATTAATGCGTTCCTATGGTCAAAAAAAGTCCAAACAAAGCCAAATTTGGTACAACAAGAGTTTATTAAGTGCTCTTTAAAGTCACACCCAGCACACAGAAATTCAAATCCAGAATTTTTTTAAAAAAACAGCAGAGTGGCCCAATGGTCACAGAAAATCATAAAAATGCAGAAAAAAACCACACAAGCTTCCAGATTCTTGCAAACCCCTCCTCAACTGTTCCCCCAGCCACCCACCACACAGAAATTCAAATCCAGAATTTTTTTAAAAAAACAGCAGAGTGGCCCAATGGTCACAAAAAATCATAAAAATGCAGAAAAAAAACACACAAGCTTCCAGATTCTTGCAAACCCCTCCCCAACACCAAGTCCTTGAATTCCAAACACCCCAACCCAAAATCCAAAAAACCCCCAAAAAGTTTTAAAAGTTTAACTTACCAAATGGCTGCAAAAGAAGTTTTGGAAAAGCTTCAAAAATCACCAGAGTCTTCAAAAACCTCAAAAAAGGCTACCACACCGCGTGCTATGAGTTGCTCCTCGAAGTCAAGTCGCAACTGCACCTCTTCAAGCAATGCACCCTGGGTATTAACGGTTTTACGAAAAAGGAAACAAACTTGCAAGACGTTTTCATCTTGCGAAGCAAGCCCATAGGGAAATTCATCTTGCGAAGCAGCTCAAAAAACGAAAAACCCTTTCGTCTAGCAAGTTTTTCATCTTGCGAGGCATTCGTCTTGCGGGGCACCACTGTACTCTATTCTGAACTTAAAAATGGAAATTGTAATGCTGGTGGTCAATAAAAGAGGTTTAAAGACTCTCTCAAGGCAAATCTTTTAAAATGTGGTATAAACACTGACAACTGGAAAACACTGGCCTGTGAGCGCTCCAATTGGAGAACAGTCTTTACCAAAGTTGTCATAGGCTTTGAAGACACTTGAACTCAGGACAAAAGGGAGAAATGTGCTAAGAGGAAGGCACGTTTGGCAAACCCTCACTGTGATCAACTTCCGCTGGGAAACCTATGTCCCCACTGTGGAAGGACGTGTGGATCCTGAATTGGCCTCCACAGTCACCTACGGACTCACTGTTAACACCGTGTTTGTGGAAGACAATCTTACTTGGCTACGAATGATCGCCAAAGATGAAAACAGTCCTCCCTTACAAGATTTCACTCCTCACATTGATAATAATAATAATAATAATAATAATAATAATAATAATAATAATGCTTCATTTAAGAAAGGCATCATTTTTTAAAAAAACAAACATTAAGTTATAAAGCATGGAATTAGAACTACTTCCTTGGAGAGAGACTGTTCCTTCAGCCTTCTGCTTGCCGAATAGCAGGTGGTGCAATTCATTATGGAAATGCACCCCGAAAGGCAATAATAATTTTTCATATTATCTCCGACAAGATCCCTGGCAGACAGGTTAACAGGCGGGGAGTGAAATCATTCAGAACCAAGCAAGGTAGGCTCAAATATGGGACATGTATAAAATATGTATGAAATGAATTCCCCCCCCCCCCCCATTTGCAGGTGAAAAACCGCTGACATTTCCCCTGTAATTTGAATAATGTGTACTGTATGCACTTTTGCTTTCCCCACTCCAGTTCATACATTTTTAACTCCCGCTGCACAAAGGAAAACTTTTGCTGTCTGGCCCTGCCAGTTGAACCTAAGAGTTCTGCTGACTATTCACACACAGTCATAGCAGCATCTTGGTGCAGGATGGGCCAAGGGGATGCCGGGGGCAAGATAAATGCCATAGCCAGAAATAATAAACTACAATGAACTTTTTGTGTCCAGCCCAACTGGTAACACTTTCTGTTGTGCAAACAAAATTGATCAGGGGTCAGCAAACTTTTTCAGCAGGGGTCCACTGTCCCTCAGACCTTGTGGGGGGGCCGGACTATATTTTGGGGGAGGGGGAAATGAACGAATTCCTATGTCCCACAAATAACCCAGAGATGCATTTTAAATAAAAGCACACATTCTACTCATGTAAAAACACGCTGATTCGCGGACCGTCTGCAGGCCGGATTTAGAAGGTGATTGGGCCGGATCCAGTCCCTGCGCCTTAGTTTGCCTACCCATGATCTGGTTGCTCTTGTAAAAAGCATCATTCACCTTGATGTATGATTTGTGGGGGTTTTGTTTTTCCATTGCTTATACTAATTTGTTGTACAGTATTAGCAATCTTGCTCTGTGATGTGACGAAACCTTTTCAAGCGCCCACCAGACTGCAAAGGCTTATTGCCTGACTGCCTATCCTTGTCATTTATTGAGTGTCATGCACATTACAGCAGCTGGAGAGCTCTCAAAAGCAGAGACCTTGCCTTGTGCTCCCAGCAAGGCGTCCATCTGCACCACAGGCAACATTGAGGGGGTAGTGTTTTCCTTGCTGGAGAGACAAGCAAATTGCTGCTCCTGCTCCTTCCTTGTTTGTTTGGCAGCGGCTTCCTCTTTCCGCTTGCTGCTCACATAAGAAGATGGCAGAGAATAGGCTGGGAAATGAATTGTAATTAGGTGTTCACAGCATCTCAAAAAGGCTATTGTGGAACTGGAAAAGCCCAATCAAAATGATCAAAAGCTGCAGCAGCTCTGTAATGAAGAAAGGTTACAACATTTGGGGCTTAAAAAAAGCTAATGGGGGGGGATAAATTTCCATGGTGTGAAAAAGTAGAAAGTGTTTTTCTCCCTAATCCTAGAACCCGGGGTCATCCAATGAACTGGAGTAGTTAGCAATCCAGGATAGACAGAATTGTTTCACACAGCATGTAACTGAACAGTGGAATTGGCTGCCCTAAATTGTGGTCACGGTAGCCGACTTAGTGTGAAAGGGGATTAGAGAGATTCCTAGAGACTAAGACTGTCCCTGTGGCTACAGAACCCAGGCATAGGCAAACTTGGCCCTCCAGATGTTTTGGGACTACAATTCCCATCATCCCTGACCACTGGTCCTGTTAGCTAGGGATCATGGGAGTTGTAGTCCCAAAACATCTGGAGGGCCGAGTTTGCCTATGCCTGACATAACCTCTAGGGCAGAGTTTCTCAGACTTGGGTCCCCAGCTGTTGTTGGACTACAACTCCCATCATCCCTGACCACTGGTCCTGCTAGCTAGGGATGATGGGAGTTGTAGTCCAGCAACAGCTGGGGACCCAAGTTTGCAACCAACTGCTCTAGGGTCGAGAGGCAATATTCTGTTGGATACCATTTGCTGGAGGACATCTGCAGAAGGTTGTCCCCGTGTCCTCCTTTTGGGCTTCTCCTTAGGGACCTGATTGGTAATTAGGATGCTAGACTAGTTAGGCCTTTGCTCTGATTCAGCAGAGCTGTTATGCTGTTGTTTGACTTTAAAGAAGCTGTGATCAATGTTGGCACACTGAAGGATGTCTCAGATAGGAGAAGTAGCACGTGTCTTCAGGACAGGAAGTTGGCCCTGTTAAGAATTCCATTCTTCAGACAAGGAGCTTGGCAGAGGCTGATAGGGCTTTATTCAACTTCAGCCATCTCTGGAGCAAGTTGCTTACAAGGAGTTGTGATAATACAGTGCCTGCCCAATTTGTTGGGTTCAGTTTGTGCATTTTACAGTGGTGCCTTGGGTTACAGACGCTTCAGGTTACAGACGCTTCAGGTTACAGACTCCGCTAACCCAGAAATAATACCTCGGGTATTATAAGGAATAATTGATTACAGTCTAAACACAAGTGGAAAATGGGATTTAGACTAGAGACAGGTGGCAGTTCGTTCAGAGAATTGAAGGAAGTACAGTGGTACCTCGGGTTACATACGCTTCAGGTTACATACGCTAAAGGCCCCATTAGCTAAAGTGGTGCTTCAGGTTAAGAACAGTTTCAGGTTAAGAATGGACCTCCGGAACGAATTAAGTTCTTAACCCGAGGTACCACTGTATCTGTTTTTAGTTCTTACTGCTACGTAAACTGCTTTAATGCTAAGAAAAACATGATGAAAATGCCTTTTAAATATATGGCACAACATCACACAGCAAGGAACACTTGCTTTGTTTCTGTTTTTGAGTGTGAAGTTTGCCTCTTGCCCTAAAATGGGACAATGTGGATTTCTTCATAATATTAAAATGTTAAGAACAGCTGAAGCAGGTCCTCCATGATATGTTGCCTCAAAATCTACCACTTTCTAACTGTAGGATAGAAAGGGCCTCCTTCTCTGCCTTCGTCTTCTTTCTTTTTAGTTAATTGTTCACAGAAAAAAAATTCAGCAGGCCCACACAGTGGGCAGGCATGGTACTGCCTGGTGAACTGTCTTCAAAGCCATGCTTAATAATGAATGCTTTTTGCATTGTATCAAAAGCACCGTATCTCTTCAAATTGGCCTGTAGAGATTTCTGTAGATTTCTCATTAGAGAGAATATTGAATGAAGGATCAAGTTATCTATCTAAAAAGTCAAGGTTTTGCTCAAGAAATTAGGAGTTTTGGAAATAGACCAAAATCTTGAAACTTTCCAACTACATATTGGACCCAAGTGAACCTTAGATGAATTAAAACCCAAATTTTATCATGTCTCTTTCTTCTATGCCACCCCCACCCCACAATAACCTAAAGTGAAGGACGGAAATGGAATTCCATAGGGAGAAATAAATTCTGATCTCTTACAACATAAACCAGACATACACTGAGATCTCTTGCTCTGGAGATCTGTTCTGAGAAGAGTGGTTATTAGCATGCTTTGTAGTCTCATCCCGTTGTTTATGTAGTGCTTTGTTCGGGTGTTAAACCAGGCTGCCAGGCTGCCTTTTGAAGACCTCATGAAGACTCATTTTGTGCAAAATAAAGCTGCCAGATTTTGACTGGGCCAGCTTTCGACAACTGAGGTGTGTGTTTTTAGGACCCACCATATTCATCTGAATAAAATCTGTTTAAATAAATTACAAGCCTGTTATACACCGTATTTTTCGCTCTATAAGATGCACCAGACCACAAGACGCACCTAGTTTTTGGAGGAGGGAAACAAGGAAAAAAATATTCTGAATCTCAGAAGCCAGAACAGCAAGAGGGATTGCTGCACAGTGAAACCCACAATCCCTCTTGCTGTTCTGGCTTCTGTGATAGTTGTGCAGCCTGCATTCGCTCCATAAGACGCACACACATTTCCCCTTACTTTTTAGGAGGGAAAAAGTGAGTCTTATAGAGCAAAAAATACGGTATATTGTTGTAACCTGTCCTGGGACCTTATGGTGAAAGGCAGGCAAGAAATCAAATTAGTGATGATGATGATGACAGAATAGTTTCACTGGATACCTGTTTGCTTATGAGCTCATTTCGAAATTCTGGCACTTACTTGTTTTAAAGCCTTGAATGGATTGGGAATCTTATGAACTGCCTTTTTGCATGCCAGGCTCAGTCACCTAGATACAGAGGGGTTGTTTGTTTGTTTGTTTGTGTGTTTGTTTGTTTGTTTGTTTGTTTGTTTGTAGCATTGTGGAATACCCTCTGTGAGAAGACTCTCCTGATATCATCTTGTTGACTTTTTAGGTACCAGGGTAAAACTTTTTCTTTTGTCCTCTCAGTCATTTTAAGTATCAGTGTCTTGTCTTTCTTCTTCTGCTTGCTATTAATGTTCTGCATTTTAATCCCCTAGCTATAGTTTTAGTTTTTATAAACCATCCTTTAATTTATTCCGATGAATGGAAGTCTATTAAAAATATCTTAAATCAGAGACAGGGAACCTGTGGCCCTCAGGATGTTGTTGGGCAGCAACTCTCAGCATCCTTCACTGTTGGCCATGCTTGCAAGGGCTGATGGGAGTTGGAGTCCAAAAACATCTGGGAGGCCGCAGCTGTTACATCTGTGTCAGTCTGCAAAAAGAGGTATCTAGAATTCTGCAGAACAGCTGCATCTTCCCCACCCCCACCCCACCACAAAAGAAACCCAGCTTCAACCTTTACTTGAGAGTTTTAGATAGACAGAAACGTCTTCTCCACTTGCAGATTCTCACAAATGTGTGAGAAATAAGCTTTCCACGTGTGAGTTAGATCACAGAAGCTGGCTTCTGTTGTCATGCCTGTTTTGTTAGCAAGAGCCCAGTAAGCATTGACAACTCTCCTTCAATCTCTGTTTTGTTTTTTATTACTTGTCTTTATTTCACTGCCTGAAATAAAGGACGGTTTGGCCGAATGTCTTTCTGAATTGGCCGGGTTTAATGGTTTCTCACCCTGTCCAATTGCAGAACTTAATCTGGAAGGGAATTGTATCCACCGCCTGCCAGAAGAGGTCCGAACCCTGCTGCACCTGAGAGTCATCAACCTGTCCAGGAACAAATTTTGTCACTTTCCAGAACAGCTGACCTCTTTGCCAGCTCTTGAAACAATCAACCTAGAAGAGAATGAGATTGCAGGTAAGAGACTGCCCTGTATCTGTGCATCCAAGGACTTCTCTGTTGCAACTGTGGAGTAGTGAAGATCTTGCATTAAAACTTACTCGGATGTTCAGTGCAACCTTGTGTTTAAGCACTAGCCTGGTAGCCAGCCGTGAAGAGGAATTGCCTGCAAGCAATAGTATTACTGTTGCTATTATTGGGCTCCATATCTTCCAAACTCTGCCATGAGCAACTTTTCATAATTAAGCAATTGTGTGAGTTTCATAGGACGTCTCATCACTTAAGAGAATGCTTTGCATTGAACTTTGCCTGCGATTGAAGGGTCTGTCCTTGCTAAGGAAACGGCACTTTTGCTCAGCAATAATATTCTCATCACTGTTTTTTTCTAACCTGAAAGCATTAGAGCTACACTTTCAAAAAAGAAGTTATGCTATTTGCATTCATTAATATTGTATAAGTATTTCTCCTTTTACTTTTCTGTGCTGTTTCAGCTTTCCACCCCTTTTTTGGAAACAATTCATAATCATTTTTTAAAATGAAAATTCCTTTGAAGAGCAAACTAAGTCTAAGAAATTGGACCCCCTCAGGTCACATGCTTCCCTTTGGAACTGAATAATGAGCAGAAGATGCTGCTCATTTTTATTTTTCTGGAAGCGAGTCATCTTTTAGAAGACTTTTTTCCCCTTTGTCAGCCAGGTGTAAAAACTGTTCATTGTACCTGTACATTTTCTACTGTAGAACTAATAGGAGCTTCAGGATAGGTATAATGGGTGCATTTATGTAAGAGAAACAAACAGCTGCTCAGTTAAATTTGGAGGCCCTTGTGACTGCTCTTAGATGATGATGATGATGATGATGATGATGATGATAATTTATTATTTATTATTTATACCCCGCCCATCTGGCTAGGCTTCCCCAGCCACTCTGGGCGGCTTCCAAAAAAAATATTAAAATACAGTAATACATCAAACATTAAAAGCTTCCCTAAACAGGGCTGCCTTCAGATGTCTTCTAAATGTCTGGTAGTTGCTTTTCTCTTTGACATCTGGTGGGAGGGCGCCACTACCGAGAAGGCCCTCTGCCTGGTTCCCTGTAACTTGGCTTCTCGCAGTGAGGGAACCGCCAGAAGGCCCTCGGTGCTGGACCTCAGTGTCCGGGTAGAACGATGGTGGTGGAGACGCTCCTTCAGATAAAACTTAAAGAGATCTCCTACAGGTTGTTTGGTTAGATCCTGAGAAGATTTAGTGGAATACTAGAACTGGCAAGTCTAAATTGAGGCTATAATAATAATAATAAAGATGAAACAGAAAACTTAGATGATGTGATTGTTGCTTGCTGCCATACCAACTTTTCATGCTTTCTGCACATAATCATTGGATGTGTTGTAGGCATGCGGGGGGGGGGGAGTTTTAGTTGTGTTCATCATATTAATTACTTATAAGCTTATGTCTAAGTATAAGGCTCTTATAAACTTGGGCTGCAGATCAGAGCACTCCCAGGAGCTTCTGTTACAAGCCATCATTCAGCTGTGCCCTGCAGGGATGTTTATCCTCAGTACCAAATTCAAGGATCCCGGGGTGGGGAGCCTGTCCCGTGCATCCTTTTAAAAAAATTCTCTCCATTCCAGGTAAAGCTTGCAACAGCGACCTGCCTACAAAGACAAGTAGTGCAATACAAACACCTAGAAATATACACAGACTGCCCCCCCCCGCAATTTCCTCCATGGTCAAAGGAGCAGAAAAGATGAGGAGCCAGGCAGGAGCATCAGAGCTGCTGCTGTAGTGCCCATCTTTGCTGCATGTTGAAGCTACATGGGAGGAGGAGGAAATGCATAGAAACCTCTGCTGACTGAGAGGCAGGAAGGGGTTAAAGCTCCAAGCTGTTATATATGCTCCCCATCAGAGCTGCTCTTATTCTAGCTTCAAGCTCCAGGGCAAGGGAAACATTAGACATTTGCGAGTGGGGTGTTTTCCCACCCCCCTCTCCCCCAAGTACTTGCAAACATCCTGGAGCATTTGTGAGTACTGGAAATAAATGCTTGCATGGTTCTTGAACCAAACCCAGAGGTGTCATTTGCATTCCTAGCTGGGATCTAGGATAGCTCACTGTGCCGTGCTATCACTACAGAGATAGACTTCGATTGATATACAAAAGCCCCTGGATATTGGAATAGCTGCTTAGATAAACTGGAGATTTCAGATGAAGAACTTTACTGCACGTTAATTTTGTGTCAGTGGTGATCTACTCCTTCAGGTGTGGGCGGGCAGTGAAGCTTGACTTCCCCGTTCTCAGTTTGCCGAATGTTTTTATTTTATTTTGGAAGTATAAATTAATGAACTAATTAAATCTGAGTTGTTGGTTTTTTTTAAAAAAAGGGAGAATGGGGGGAAATCATCTTTATTGAGCTTGACTGGCTGCTTGAGGTACACTTAGTTTTTTCTGTGTTTTTTCACTCTTTTTTTTTTTTAGTTTCTAAACACGGACACATCTTTAATATCACAAAACGAAATCAGCTGGCATCTCAAAATGCCAGAGAGAAGTGACAGGCAATTAATTCATAGATTAAAGGGAACAGGGACTTGTCAGTGTGAATTTGAAAATAAATTGGTCTCAGATGTAGCATAGGGAGCCTCATGGATGATCAATACCAAAATGTTTTATCTCCTGTTTTACTGATAACAGAAAAATATATATTGGCAAAGCTGTCTGTCAGGCTTGTACTGATAAAAATGGTCAGGAGGCAGTAAGAAACAATAAAAAAGTGTGTGTATGTGTGTACACGCACAATAAAGCATCATTTTCAAGTCGTTTTTTGGTTGTGCAACGTGGCAATTGTAAGCATGAGGTATGGATTGGTATGCCCTAGTTAAAATCTCAGTTCATACATGAATTTACTGGGCAGCCTTTAGGCAAACCACTATTTTTTTGACTTCCCACATGGCATGCTTGTGGATTAACACTGGCCTCACTCGAGCTTGACTTACAGGCACCTGGTGACTTTTAAAGTCAGTGGGTATGTGGATCATGTCCTTATACACCAGGAATGGGGAACTGGACCCAAGTCCCACAGTGACCTGCCCTTCAGCTGGCAACCTGTATGATGCCAGGTGTGGGACAGGTGGCTTGGCCAAAGCCCACTTAGGCGCCCAGGTTAGAGGTTCCCAACCCCATAATATAATGTAGTCACTAGTTGGCCCTTGTAGCTGCATGAAGTTGGGTGGTGGGGTCCTGTTCCTGTTCCCTTCCTGCTGGAGAAAGTCAGTACAGTTATTGTCTAGCTTCCTGACTGGCATGTCCTCTAAGCTCCCAGAGCAGCCACTGCCTAGTCCTCGGGAAGGTTAGGAAGGCTGCAGGGCGGGGCTCAGTGATCTGTGCCATTGGAGAGCTGGGCTGTCCTGTCCTGTCCAATACCACTCCACAGTGAGACTTGGGTGCATCAGCAAGGTAAGCTGCCTTCTCTGGGGAGGGGAGGAAGTGCAGGCTTGCTCTTTGCATGCGGGGTAAACTCGCAGCCCCTTCTGCCAGGGCGGCTGCCGCTTGGTCATGCCTGGCAAAGTCCATCTCTCTGCCTGGCTGCTACAGCTGCCATGAAATAAACTCAGTGGCTTCTGTGCCCAGGCTAGGTAGCTGGCTGGAGTTCGCAAATTAGGAAGTGACAAACTCCACACTTTCTCCACTCCAAAGAAGAAGAGGAAGGAACATTTGGGACACACAGCAGAGGAGGAAGAGGTGGCAGTGCGCTGCGGCAGGCGCATAGGGGCAGGTGCGCAGTGGTGGTGGAGGAGGAGGAGGCAGCTGACAAGGAGGCGGCAAGTGGCACACTTCTTGGAGGCCCGATCTGCTGCCTCTCCCAGCTTTCCAGAACCTGCCGTCCTGAGGCCACTGCCTCGCCTTGCCTCATGGTTGAGCCAAGGGTTTCCATTCTGTGGTCCATGACTCTATATTTTCCTTTTGGCCTCTTTTTATTGGTCCATCTCCTCAGGTGATCCTGACATGGGAAGCTGGTTTGACCTGTATATGAACAGGCCAAAGGCAGCCTCTGGCAGCGCACCGTTAATATTCCAAGCATTGATTCAATTCTAATACTTAATAAAATCCAGGAATTGTGGGTGTCTTGCACCCACAAACCCTGGCTCCCATGATCTCCTAACAACAGTGATAAAAAGCCCCGCTTGACAGTGTTCATGGTCACATTTCCCCAGTGAACGGCTCACATTTGGAAGACCCGGTTGCTTTCCCGAAGAACAAGGACAGCCACGTCTCATTGTGATGAGAATATTTTTGACTGCATTATCTGGCAGTGACTAATTGATGACCTTTTCCCTCCCACCACTTCAGCTTAATAATTAAACATCAGATAACCTGCTGGGCTGACAGTGGCCTTAAAAATATTTATTAAAAAGTTTTTATTTTTAAAGAGACATTTTTAAGGTTCCTGCCAATCTAGCAGGCTATCTGCTGTTTAATCATTGATATGTCTTATTAATCTAAGCTTCCGAGAACCCAATTTAAATTTAGTTCAGTCCTGGGGAGAGAGGTCTGGGATCAATATTTGGAACCTCTAAGGTTGAAACTTTGCCCAGTTCAGCAGGAACTACTTGTTGTAGGATTTTTACATAGGAATGCAAACAAGGACCCTCTGGAGCTCTGGAAATGCTCAAGATAGCAATACCCTTGATTATAATTAATAAATGCTGTTGTTGCTGGTGTTTGTTACATCGGTGTGCACAACAGAGTACATGAATATAGGACCCTCCGTATACAGTCTCAAGTTCAACACAGGGAAGGCAACAGATGGAAGAGATTTGGGTATTTGCTTTTTTCACATGATTAAACAAGCATGCTTCACTAGACCATTTGTTTTTTGAGGAAAAGCTCCCATCCACTGAAAACTGGTGCAGGTCCTCACTTCAGACCAGGGTTGTTCTGGATTGGGGGCCCCCAACTGCGTCCTCTCCAAAATAAAAATAGGCTAAGCATATTTGTTTATACACGTAACTGAATGCACATGTGTTTTGGCCCTCAATGACACTTGCACTAATTTGGGTTTAGTTCAGTGAGGCAGGCAAAGCCAATGTAATGCCCACCTCAGGTTGTTGGACTACAGCTCCCATCATCATCATCATCATCATCAATTTTATTTATATCCCGCCCTCCCCAGCAGAAGCCGGGCTCAGGGCGGCTAACAACACGAAAGTAGTGCAACATTATAAGAACATTATAAAAATTAATTAAAATCAAAATTGATGGCAACCATAAACTAAAGTTCTGTAAACATTGCCAAAGGAGGGAGTCAGGCTGCGCCCTGACCAAAGGCCTGGTGGAACAGCTCTGTCTTGCAGGCCCTGCGGAAAGATGTCAAGTACTGCAGGGCCCTTGTCTCTTGTGACAGAGCATTCCACCAGGTTGGAGTCGCAGCCGAAAAAGCCCTGGCTCTAGTTGAGGCCAGCCTAACCTCTCTGTGGCCTGGGACCTTCAAGATGTTTTTATTTGAAGACCGTAAGTTTCTCTGTGGGGCATACCAGGAGAGGCGGTCCCGTAGGTACGAGGGTCCTAGGCCGTATAGAGCTTTGAAGGTTAAAACCAGCACCTTAAACCTGATCCTGTACTCCACCGGGAGCCAGTGCAGCTGGTATAGCACCGGATGAATGTGATTTCACAGCGAAGACCCCGTAAGGAGTCTCGCCACGGCATTCTGCACTCGCTGGAGTTTCTGGGTCAGTCTCAAGGGCAGCCCCACATAGAGCAAGTTACAATAATCCAGTCTGGAGGTGACCGTCGCGTGGATCACAGTGGCTAGGTCAGGGCGAGAGAGGTAAGGAGCCAACTGCTTAGCTTGGCGGAGATGAAAAAATGCCGCCTTTGTTATAGCTGCAATCTGCGCCTCCATGGAGAGGGAGGTATCGAAGATTACACCCAAACTCTTAACGGACGGTGCTGGCACTAATTGCACCCCCGCAAGAGATGGGAGTTGCCCCCTCAATCCCATATCGTCCCGTCCCAGCCAGAGGACCTCTGTCTTCGCAGAATTTAACTTTAACCGGCTCCCACATAACCATCCAGCCACAGCTTCCAAGCATCTGATCAGTGTGTCTGGGGCCGAGTCAGGATGGCCATCAGCATACTGATGGCAGCCCAGCCCAAAACTCCAGACAAGCTGGGCGAGGGGGCGCATAAAGATGTTAAAAAGCATCGGGGAGAGTATCGCACCCTGGGGCACTCCACACACCAAGGAGTGGCGCGATGACAATTCCCACCCAAGCGCCACCCTCTCCCCGACCAGAGAGAAACGAGTGCAGCCATTGAAGGACTGTGCCCTGGATCCCCACGTCGGCAAGGCGGTGGTCCAGGAGTTCGTGATCGACCATGTCGAAGGCTGCTGACAGGTCTAGAAGGTCATCCCTGACCTTTTGCCAGGTTGGCTGGGGCTGATAGGAATTGCAGTCCAAGAACATCTGAAAGGCTCCACATTGACCACCCAAGGGATGTCGTTTTGGCAGGGGGACATTCCAAAAGCTTCACAGAAAAGGTGACTTTGGAAGAACTGAGAGAGGCAGCGTCGCACAGGTGTTCTGAGAGGCAGCTGCAGACTTAAAAGGCAGCAAGAGCAAGGGGCAAAGTCCTTCAAAGGAACAGTCTGCTAAGGTGGATGAGCAATTGTCACAGGCAGGGAATATGTCAAGATATGATCAGAAGGAAAATGGAAGGCACTTGGATGGTGAACGCAAGGAGTTCGTTCTTGAGATGCGGCAGATGAAAAGCCAGTGTAGGGATTTCAGGAGAGGCAGTGATGGGAGGGTTGAATAACATGGGCGGTATTGTTGTGGACAATGGACCAAAGTGAGACTATAGAAGACCAAACACTACAGGCTTGCAGGAGTCAAGGCAAGCAGTGATCAAAGCATGAACCAGCAATTGTGCCAAGGAAGAGGCTTGTATTTTTGCAGCGTTGTAATGGGAGAAGTGGCACGACACTGAAGGACTACAAGAAGCACCTACAAATATCCTTCTTGCGTATGGCAGACTTTCTTAGAAGTATGATGAATACCCAATTTGCTGCCTCAAAGAGAGAGGATTGGATATGGTAGTCCTTTTCCCCCCCAGTTCATTGTATACAGTAATTTTCCACTGGGCCTCCAGTGCTCTGAGGCACAAAATACTGCATGTGATTGAAGAAGACAAATCAAAGTATGGTATCATTTTGGGACAGCAATTTTTCTGTCTGTATAACTCCTTTCATAATGTGTCCATTGCTATTTTAGGTTACTTCCTGCTTTTATGTAGTTTGATACCTCAGAGGTAGTCATTTAGAGAGACTTTACTATACATTAGATTTCATAACTGAGTATCTCAGTCTGATACCTTAATAGTAAGCTAGATTTAAAAAGGTGTGAGGATAGGATTAATGTCTCCCCTCCCCTTCCTTTTTGCATGAATCAATTCATATAGATGTGCTAGGAGGGCGGGTGTATTGAAAAGCTTTAAGATATCTTCCTGCAGCAGATATAAATAATGTCGCAGATAGAACAGTAGGCCTAGACAGGGTTCCTGGAATTGTGTGATAATAGTGTTTTATTCCAGGCCCAAATCACAGTTATTTTCTGTATTATCTGCAAAACAACGTAGCAAAAAACAACATGGGAGGCAGCAGCTACGAGTTACTGTTCTCTGCAGCTACAGCAGACACTGTGATTCTCATGGTTTGACTTCACCCCCCATCAACGCTTTTATCTTGATAATTACATTCTGCACCGATGTCAAATAACCAGGCACCACCAAGTTGTTTCAGAACTATGAAGTGCTGTTGGTACAGCAAATCAAAAATATGATCTATAACAAGGAACAATTTTGATAACACGTTGAGGTTTTGAGGCTGGGAGGTGCAATCCCCAATCCATGGGGATGCAGGAGGTACAGTGTTACCTCGGGTTACAGACGCTTCAGGTTATAGACTCCGCCAACCCAGAAATAGTACCTCGGGTTAAGAACTTTGCTTCAGGATGAGAACAGAAATCGCGTGGCAGCGGGAGGCCCCATTAGCTAAAGTGGTACCTCAGGTTAATAATGGATCTCCAGAATGAATTAAGTTCTTAACCCGAGGTAGCACTGTACTCTGAATGAAAGCAGGATTAGAAGTTGAGCATAGTGGCAGTTGCGCATACATTTAACTGCAGCGTTTGGCTGCACATTCTACAGTGGCCCCTAGAGTAGTAGAACACAAAGCTCTGGGCAGTAGTGGAGGCCAATAACAGGTTTCATCATAATCAATTAGGAAGTCAGTTCTCTGAGCATGCAAAATAAGTAAGTAAATAGCCAGTTGGTGCTTATTATCTGTTGATCTGATTGAGCATTTATGGGACTTCAATTGCATTTGGTTTGATGTTCCTTCTTTTGATGCTTAATCACCTTATCGACTCTCAACACATTCATTGATTCATGCTGTTAAACTCTTCCATCCGGTTACACAAGACCATCAAGGAAAAAGCTACTGTGAACAAGGCTATATATTTTGGGGACTGCCTGGCAGCCGTCTCCGTGATCACGGTGCATTGCACCATTTCCAACCACTAGGATCAATGAGATTTTTGCCAACTTCAATGTGCCTTGCTTGATTGACACCAGGTTTCTCACGACACTGTGCATTTGGCAGTGCAAGCTAGTAGTTAAATGTAATTGTGAAGCCCTGGTTCAGCTTAGCTCCTTCGATTAATAACATGTTACTTGGACTTGTTGGCATAAAAAGGACATCTGCGATGTTAGATTGATATGTAAGGTTTGCACACAGCCTGGAAGCTTTCATCTTGCGAATCCTTGGTAGGAGAATAGGCTGACCTTAATCCGTGCACATACACACACAGGAAAAATAGCAAATATGTTTATTCTTGGAAATACATACAGTGGTACTTCGGAAGTCAAACGGAATCTGTTCTGGAAGTCTGTTTGACTTCCAAAACGTTTGGAAACCGAGGTGCGGCTTCTGATTGGCTGCAGGAAGCTCCTGCAGCCAATCGGGAGCCGCAGAAGCTGCGTCAGTTCCAGTTTCCAAAGAATGTTCACCAACCGGAACACTCGCTTTCGGGTTTGCAGTGTTTGGGAGCCAAAATGTTTGACTCGCAAGGCGTTCAGGATCCAAGGTGCGACTGTACTTGGATAGGAAAGTTTCTCTCGTTCTGAGTTGGGAGTGCAAGGGAGCTATGCTTGCTCCTTTGTTCTCAGAGATCATTCCAAGATGACTTCTCCACAGAGGGTCCGAAGAAGTAGAGAGGAAGAGGGGGTTGCAACCTAAGAATATCAGTCTTAAGATCAAAGGGAAAGAGGAGTGAGATGATGCAATAATTGAGGGTTCCCTTCTCTGTCCTCTTCAACCCATACAAACCTCTCTCACCGAGCTGAGTTGCACTCACACTTCCAACATGTGCCAGAGGTGCATTTATTGAATCCCCACACACACACTACGCCAGTGTGGTGTAGTGGTTAAGAGCGGTAGTCTCGTAATCTGGTGAACTGGGTTCGCGTCTCCGCTCCTCCACATGCAGCTGCTGGGTGACCTTGGGCCAGTCACACTTCTCTGAAGTCTCTCAGCCCCACTCACCTCACAGAGTGTTTGTTGTGGGGGAGGAAGGGAAAGGAGGATGTTAGCCGCTTTGAGACTCCTTAAAGGGAGTGAAAGGCGGGATATCAAATCCAAACTCTTCTTCTTCTTCTTCTTCTCCCCTTTTAGAGGAGTAATGGTGGAGCAGCCTTCACTTTCCTTTTACCTGCAGAAACTCCAGCATCCCATCCCATCCAGGCCCATATTGGGATAGTGACCAACAAAGACGCTATAGCAGAAGTGCAGCTGTTGGCTTGGCACCCAGATGTGGCTGGGAGGAACTTAAGCTGTATGAACTGCATGTGAACAGGATGAACTTACTGTGTAACTTCCAACGGGATCTGCGGCATTAATTTATACCTGCGGATCAGGCCTTAGGTACCAGGTTGGGTGTTTGGCAAATGATACCTGCATGCTAGAATTGCTTAAGCCAAGGAAGTCTCCTCCTATTCAGACTGGCCTGCATCATAGCTCAGCTTAGTGGTGAGCACAGACTTTGTATGCAAAAGGACCAAGGCTCAATACCTGGTACCTCTGGGTAGGGCTGGGAGAAACCCTTGTTGGAATTGCTGGAGAACTTCTGCTGGTCAGGTAGACAGTGCTGAACTAGATGGACAAACCTTCTGGGAATCTTTTAATTTTTTGCTGCTTGCCTAGGACCACAAAAATGGGAATGATAAAAAAACCTGGTAAACTGCAATGCATTGCTGCTGGATTAAGTTTGGTTTAGTGTGTCAAAATGGTTTTTAACCATGCGTAGGTTTTTAAGCAACTGCACTGTAGGAACACTGGGTGTCTTTTTTTCTTAATTGAGTGGTGCTTCAGTTGGTTTTGAGAGTGATGGTTGTGCAATTGCCTGTGCATTGCCGCCATATATGCCACCCCCAAAAGAACTTAACAACCATCTGCTCCATATTTATTCAAATGGTGCCAGGTGACACAAAGTCCATTTAGAACAGCTCGTCTTGTCTTGCCTTTTATTTTATTTTTCATGAGCGGCTTAGGCCAATTATGTGATGCCTGAGAGTGCTTTAACAGTGTTATTAAACAGCAGGGAACTGCGAGGCTGCGCTGGTAAACATCACTTAATTCTTTCAGGAAGCTATTCAAGCCTAGCAAAAATAACTTTCCACTCCACTCTGCCTAAATGCAGGCATCGGTTTAGTTCTGCTCCATGTAGCTCAACTTTCTCTTGGGTATTGTCTAGGCTATACAAGTGGGACCTGCAGCGAAATGTTGCAGAGGTTAGTCCTCCTGGCCAGGATTCCCAGCAGTCAGCCATGCCCTTTTCTAGGTTACACCATTTCACCACACCTGGTTTCCCAATGTCCTCCCCCAGGAGAAACTGGTGAAGATATCTGTGGACCCTCCCCTGCCCAGAGAAACAAGACAGAGCTGCAATGCCATAGTAGCACCCTTCCCCTGCTCTTAGTTGTGTCCTTGATTTCCTTTCCAGACATGGGCAGTAGTAGAGGTCAAAGAATCATCTATGCATGCTTCTTTCCCCAGAAAGAAGAGGACATTTTGAGATTAGTGGCCTTCCTCTCATTTACTCACATCTCCAATTATAGGCGTGGGGAGGAGACTACTTGGGCCAGATTTAGGCAAGGCAGGTTTGCTGCAAAAATGGGCCTCCAGACATCCTTTGTGCTCATGATGGCATTTTGGGGGGGGGGCGTTATAGGTGCTCCCACATCCAACACTCTTTGTGCCCACAAAAGTTTTGGGTCAATCATACTGCTTCATAATCAGCTGGTGCATGAGCCATACCTTCCTTTCTGACACCCCAATACTTTTTACATCACAAACGTTCCCATTTTATTTTATTGTTTTCACCCCACTTTTGTTGTACTGTAGCACTTGTGCCTTAAAGGCGTCCTGGCAACATTCGTGAATTAGGTTTGGTTCACACAGTGGCTGTAGAAGATGCCAGCATTCCTGTGGGGTTTTGTGCTGAAAGGAGTGGAGATTTTAGTGCAGCAGCCGCAACGTGAACATAAAGAACTTCAAAAGTGTGCAAATGGAAGAATGGTGGCATAGCAGCATAGCACAAGTTATATGTGCTTGGGGCAGACAGAGGGGACATTGAGGATGGCATGAACATGGACAGTTGAATGAGTGGAGTTAGAATGTGAATGCAGTATTGTAGGAACACTGGGGAAGCATCAGAAGATAACTGATATTGGTGTGTGGACAGTTCATTGTAAATCCACTTCTAACACACTGTTAATGTATCAACAACATGTCGCTGTATGTATGCACAATAAAACAGCAATCTGAATGGCTCCTTGGGGAAGACATTGATTCCTGCTATTGCAAAAGTCCCAGAGGGCCTTTGGTTACCTTGTCATTTTGCAGCTGTTCTAACAATGCTTGATAATTACTTCTTCTTTTTTCCTTTAATCTGGTGGATGGGCGGACCATGCCGTTCTTTTCCATGCATTTCCAGCCTACCTTTGTTTTCTGTTTGTGCCGCAGCTCCCCTCACATCTTCCCCTTGCCATGTCCAAGCCACTTCATCTGAGCCTCTGTAAAAATTAGATTAAAGGTGGTTTTGTGAAGACGAGGAAGGTAAATAATCAATTGTAAAGTATTTTGCATACTATAAAAGCATTACATGATAAAACAAACAAGGACTGGCTCTCTGAGATGGAAGAGTATTTTGGGGCCAAAAAACAGAGAGAGAGAGAGAGAGAGAGAGATCTTGCATCATTCCTAAGGAGTCCTAAGACAAGTAAACTACAGACTATTTTGTTTTCTTTGTACCAAAGCTCAGCAACACACTGAGATATTGTGATGTAATATGGATCTAACTTAGAGAACTTGGAGAGCTAATACAGATATTTTTCTCCTGTTAATTGTGCATATGAATAAACTGTGTACATGTCTTGGATAGTGAATTAAAACATGGATAGACAAACTAAGGCCTGTGGGCCGGATCCGGCCCAATCGCCTTCTAAATCCAGCCCACAGACGGTCCGGGATTCAGCATGTTTTTACATGAGTAGAATGTGTCCTTTTATTTAAAATGAATCTCTGGGTTATTTGTGGGGCATAGGAATTCGTTCATTTTCCTCCCTTCAAAATATAGTCCAGCCCCCCACAAGGTCTGAGAGACAGTGGACCGGCCCCCTGCTGAAAAAGTTTGCTGACCCCTGAAAACTGTAGAGATCAGGTGATTATTTTCTGCAGATTGCCTAGGCATCAGTCTATTGTTTCACAACTGTGCCGTATAATAGTTTAGAGGCAGAAAATAAATCTGAATAAATTTGTTCATGTCCCCAAACACAGCACAATCTCATCTCGCAACGAGTTGCAAATTACCAGTTTCATCACAACGGTGTGTGATAGAGTATTTCAGTTTACATTGGTAATGCTCTGTTGATTTGATACATAGGGAAATTTGTGTGTTGTGTATTTCAAGAACTCCAGCAGCCCCTGGTTACCAATCTCAATCAGCTGCTAAAACATTCCAGTCTTAAATTTAGCAGTAGGTTGGTAAGCGCCAACAAACAGGTACACCTTAGGATGAATGGAATGTAAGTGACTATTGTTAACAAAGAATCTTGTAATGGAAATTGCTTAGCCTTGGTATATAAGACCCCACTATTTAAAATGCAATTTTCCCAAAATTACTGCAGAATCAGTGGCATTTTCTAATGGCGGTGGAAGCAGAATTTGAAGTGAGACAAGGTCCTGAGTTACCTTTTCTATCTTGAAATATTCCCCCCCCCCAAAAAAAGGCATGGAATGAGGCCACCACTCTTGTAAATAACCTGTTAGTGTCTCACCCAAAGGCATTGATGAATTTAGAGGTTCCTTTCCCATTTTTCACAAAATGCCATCCATTTTTCATTCTTACCTGGGCTCTATAGGGATTTCTCTGTATGATTTATTTCACTGTGAATCAAGTTAAGCAGTCTGTCGTACAGCAGGTCTTATTTCAGATTACATCATATGTTGCCTGCTACGTGACACCAGAGCTATTGCTCCTAATCAGGACGAGGAGGAAAAGCATGAATGCTGTTGCGATCCATACTGAAGAGACCACCTTCTGTCTAAGCTACTGTGCAACTCCGCAGCTAAAAGTGGCCAGTTAATGTTCCCATGACCCAGAATGCAGGCCAGCTGTTGCCAAACAAGCAAAGGCTCATTTAATGTCCCTGTAGTTAAAACACTATGTGATGCTGGGCAGACTGCTGGTATATGACAATGGCAAAAGAATGAGCTGTATCTGAGGAGATTTCAGTTCCAATCTTACCACTGTTATAAGATCACTGGTTCACTTTTCTCTTGCCACTGAGCTCTTGGAACCTGTGTGTCCAAATAAATTACACAGTAGGCAGGAAAGATCCTAGTTATATCTAACTAGGGTCGAGATGCAAGGAGCCATGCCTGCTCTTTGTTCTCAAAGATGTCTCCTCTCCCAACATGAAGAGGAAGAAAGAGGGGCAAAGTAGTGAAGACACCAACCCTGAAGATAAACTTCGAGGACTGCCTCTCCCCATATAAACAGACCTGGATCCTGAGATCATCCTCTGAGGAGCTTCTTCATGTGCCTCCTCCATGTGAGGTCCAGAGGATGGCAACACGAGAACGGGACTTTTCTCCAGTGACCTCCCATTTGTGGAATCCCATCTGAGGTTCATCTGGTGCCTTCATTATATATCTTTAGGTGCCAGGCAAAAACATTCCTCTTCAACCAGGTCTTTGGCTGATTAATATTCTACGAGCAGGCTTTTCAATGTGTTTGTGACAGGGAGTGGGTGTTATTATTTTGTTGTTTCTGTTTTAACTATTTATTTGTACTTCTATCTTGTGTTTTTATCTTGTGAACCTGTCCTGAGATCTTTTGTGGGGTTTTTTAAGAATATTTTTTTATTAACCGACCAATCACATCAAATCAAACCAAATTACATAAATTCCAAATTACACAGCCGAATTTTAAATTTTTGTTGGGGGTACCCATATTTCAAGTTCCGAAGGGATCCAATCAACTTCTTGCTTCTTACTGCTGTTTTAATGTCCACAAATCTAACCTTATGATGTTCACAGTACTATCCAGTCCTTTCTTATTATTTTTCCACATCTCTTGTTGTTATTTTCATATATTTTTCCTTTCTCTTTGTGACCTCTGATAGTCTCCGCAAGCTGGTTAGAACAGTTTGTAATCCTGCATGGATATTATTTTTTTTATCCAGTAGCCATATCCAGACGTTTTCCATATAGCATCACTTCCATACATCAAAACAGTCTTAGCGTCATTAATCTTCACCAATCTGCCTCCTTTCTCAAAACCTCTGAGGAGATTCACTAGGAATGCAGTCTGAAAACAAATCCGTTCTTCCTCCCGGCTATAATTCCTTTGGCAAGATGGCGACTCCGAATTAATTGCTGCACCATTCCCAAAAGCTCTTATTGCTTCTCGGTCTCCATGAAGCATACTTTTGGTTAAAGTTTATCTCCACACAGACCTTAATCATCCTGCTTGGGTCAGTTCAACCGACGGTTCTAATGAGGAGGGGTTCTTGTAAATCACATAGAAGGAAAGTAAAAAAGGTTTTCCCCTCCATTCAGCCCCGTTGTCAACATACCCCACCTTTGGTGTATCTTCATCGTAAAATATTCCTGTTTCTCCAGGCCGTCGTCTTCTTTCGCAGAGGTCACTCCCCTTCTTCACTTGAAATATGTGCATTTGCTTCTTTTGTAATTATTCCAAATTGCTGCAACTAGTGCGCGATCAGAGACAGCGTCCAGGAGAGCTGATGTCCACACGGGGGCATTCTGCCTAGGGCCCTCACCCCCTTCTTTCGAGTTAGGGGGTGATTTATGGGCACAGCAGGCAAGGGCAGTGTTCCCCATTTCCTTGGGGCAACAAGGGAGGCTGCCTACTCCCATAACAGCCTCTTAATTACCCCGTGTGGGTCGGAGAGATGGTATTGTCGGCCATCTTCCAATGCGCCCCCTAGTGGCCCCTGTCCTGAGATCTTTTGTTGATGGGCAGTACATAAATCTAAGAAATAAAAGATCAGTCCAGCACCTGAGGGAAGCTTAGCACAGGGCAGTTTTGGAGGTTTTTCTCTGTCTGCTTTCTCCCATGAAGTCCAGCCTTTGATACAAGCTGACTTGCATCCCAACACTTCCAACACCAGCTGCATCAACAACTCACTTTTCCTCCTGCAGCTTGTGCAGATGGCTTTGTAGGTGCTTTTGTAAGGCTCTGTCTTCTCTTCAGTGATCTGGCGGGTGGGGGCCAGACACAGAAGGAGCAAAGTTCAAGGCCCAGGAATGGAGCAAGGAAACAAAAGTTTCTCCTTATTCCGGTACTGGAAGGGTTGTACACCAATACCACCCTAAATGCCATTGTTTAATTCTTATATAGTGGTACCTCGGGTTAAGAACTTAATTCGTTCCGGAGGTCCATTCTTAACCTGAAACTGTTCTTAACCTGAGGTACCACTTTAGCTAATGGGGCCTCCCACTGCCGCTGCGCCACCATCGCACGATTTCTGTTCTCATCCTGAGGTAAAGTTCTTAACCCGAGGTACTACTTCCAGGTTAGCAGAATCTGCAACCCGAAGTGTTTGTAACCCGAGGTGTTTGTAACCCAAGGTACCACTGAACTTAACATTGGCTCTGTTGAATGTAAATGTGAAAGGATCAGTTTCTGACAGTGATAACAATCCCCAGTGCTCAGAGCTGTGCATCGTGCAAGAATGGTGCTGACTGAACTAGCTCATCCCTCTCTGGCTCTTGTATTGCCAATGGCGACATTGATTCCCACCAAGTAGATGCCGATTATGTTGCAACACGCTGCTGGGTCACAACAAAGCTATTGAGAAGCAACACCCCAGCTTCTTCCAAGAACTCAGCAGCAATTAGAATATTTGCTTGTTTAAATTGTTTTCATGCTGTGATACATGAGAGCAGAAAAGATCAATAGAACTGCATGAAGAACAGAGAAGAAGGGATTGATTCTGTTGCAAGCTGATCTCTCTCTCTCTGCTTTTATATTCCTCTCAGTGGCAAAGATAAAAAAAATTCAGCACACACAAGAAAGTCTGTTTATTACATATAATCATTCAAGTGGTTGGCAGGTGTTAAAACTAGATTGCAAAACTGATAACAGTTGGGATTTTGGTCCTGTTGACTTGTATTTGTCAAGTTTGTTTCCAGAGAACAAGACTCAGCCTGTAGCTCTTATTTTCGTCAGGGTGTCACCTAAAGACTGCTGAAATCCCTAGGTCAGGGGTGCCTAGGTTTCTGATCCTTGGTCCTGCTTAGCTTGGTGACGGGAGTGTCCCAACCTTACCGATTTGGGTAAAAGATGGAATTCATCAGTTTCTTAAGTAGATAAACCATGCTTAAACAAGGTCATTACTTCTGTGTCTCATTGATTTAAGATTCTGCCTCATTCTGACCACTGCAAGAACAACGTTTTGCCTCCTTCTCTCGTTCTCTGGTTCACCTGGCAGTTCTTGAGGAACACCCATAACTCAATAGTAGAGGATATGCAGAAGGGGAAGGGCAGGTGCTTTTCATGAAAAAGGTCCCACATTCAATCTCCGGGATCTCAAAGTAGGGTTAGGAGAGACCCCGGCTTGAAGCCCTGAGAGCTGCTGCCTGCTAGCTAGCTGGATCGGTGGTCTGGTTCTGGAGAAGACAGCTTTCTATGTTCCTTGGCCCCATTTTCAGTCCCCAGAAACACTTAATATAAAAGTGTCTTGAAAAGTAGGGCTGAGAAGAGGCCCTTGGAGAGCCAATGCCATTCAAATTATGCAATTCTGGGCTCCATGGTCTGATAGTACAAAGCTTCACGTACTTGCTTCACGTACTTGCAAGATGTCTTCTGATTGCCGTTGTGCTTTGTCCTGCAACTCTGCCTGCCCAGGACTTTTGCTATCTATTTTTCCATTGTGCTGCCTGCTACCAGGGATCTTTATGGGGCTTTCTGCTGCCAGGATCCTCGGGGGTCAAGGATTGCCACGGGCTTGATGCGTCCCTAAAGCTGAAGTGGAACAGCAGCCTTAATGGATGAGACTTGGGGACCATTCAGGACCATTTTGTCTTGAATGGTATTGTTTTGCTCCTTGATGTCTCTTTTAGCTCTGCATAATGAGTGCTTCTAAAAGAAGATGGGCAGCAGTGCATCGCTGATAAAACTGTTTACAAGCCTTCTGTGCAATTAGTCTGTTAACCTTCGCTGTAGAATTGCAAGCAGGTCCCAGAGAGAACGCTTTTGAAGGCAAGAACATAAGCAGGAACATAAACAGTTGTGGAGTTTGTCTTGCAGGAACACGTTTGGCTATTTAAAAAAGATCATTGGAAAAAGCTGAGATGGGATTGATTCTCAGTACCTCGGGTGGGGTGGGAGATGCTCTTTCGAGGAAGCTCATAAACATACCATTTGCCTCCAGAGTCCTCAGCAGTTTGGTATGACTAGATGCCTATTTATGTAGCACTTTTTAAACCTGCAAAGCACATTGAAAGCTTTTTTAATGTGTTCAGCCTCCCATCAACTGTGTGAGGTAGGAATATTTATTTCCACGTGAAAGATAGGGAATTGAATCTACAAGAGCCTGTGAATTGCTGAAGTCCGCACAGTCAGGCCATCAGAGAAATGTGGCTTGATCCCTGCTCTTCACATTCTCACTATCACGGTCCAGTTCATGGGCAGTCAAAGTCCCAGCTGGGGACGTCGGGACCGGGGGCAAGATGGTGGGGTGGGAGCAGGAATGGGAGTCCAGGGTGGGAGCAGGAATGGGAGTTCGAGGGTCAGGAAACAAGGAGTCACGAAGTCAAAGGTCCGAGGATCAAGAAGCGAGAGTCACGAAGTCAAGGGTCCAAGGATCAAGAAGCAAGGAGTCACAAAGTCAAGGGCTTGAGGATCGAGGATCGAGGATCAAGCAGCAAGAAGTCAAGGAGCCAAATGCAGCCAGGCAGGAAACGTGTTGCTGTTGCAAAGAGCCGAAGGGAAATGCTGACCTTATATCCCTTCCTTGCTCTTGCTACCAGGTGCTGTGAGTTACCAATCGGCCTCACCTGTGTGGCCGCGCCTTGCCTCTTCAGAACAAACTTAGGAAGGCCCCAGTCCTGCAAAGTCCTATTGGTCACAGGGCCTGGCTCCTGCATGCACTCCTGACACTCACATTCTTCTCTTGGCTACTGGAGCACCCTGCAAAGAGCCCAAAATAGGAAAGCCTAAGGAGGATTCAGCTTTGCTTGTTTTTCCTCTTTAGAATTAGAGTGACACCGATGATTTCACAACTTATAGAGTTGCTCTCTATGCTTTGGCAACTAAGAAAATCAGGGCAAATAATTTTGATAAATAACCCTTTAATTATAAAGGGAACTCAAGAGATCTAATTTGCACAATCCATATATGTCTCTCTTCTATTTTACCTGTCCTTGCAAGAAAGGTTTCTCTTAGATTTGGTTGTGGTTTTATTGTCTGTTTAGTGTTTGTCAATTTTATTTATTTATTTATGATTTTCAGTTATATGAATTTCAATAGTTTTACAGTCATTTTAACATTTGCCGACATCTACTTTTAACTATGGATCGCTATGACGACTCTCATTTTAGAAAAGAGGACGTGTCCTGAAAAAAGAGGACGTATGGCAACCCAGAGACCTATAAATTCACGCAAAACCGTAATGTGGAATATGCTGTGGTTTTCATGCAGCAAGGGTGAGGGGTCTCAGGTCCAGGAGACAATTGAGGTCCTTCAGACCTTTCTGCCTGGCCTTGGGGCTCTTCCCCAGACCACATCCCTCACTAGCCAGGCAGTGGATCGTACTCTTGAATGCTTTTGCTTGGCTGGCATTTGTCCTTGAACTCTGATGAACTTTTGCTTGTGGGGGATAGAGAGAAGTGTATGCATGTGTGTAGAAATCAGTCCAGTGTGCAGAGGTAACATTTCAATTCATTGTTCCACTGGCTTTTGATTCTGGCACCACCCACCACTGGTATTTGCCCTGTGCAGAGGGATTGCCTTGAAGGGACTGTGGCTCTCGGGCTGCAAAATGTTCCCCGCTCCACCCTGCTGTTTTATTGTTTGCTTCAGTGTTTGACAGTGGAACATGCTCCCTCAGAAGGTGGTGGACTCTCCTTCCTTGGAGGTTTTTAAGCAGAGGTTCAATGGCCATCTGTCAGGGATGCTTTAGTTGAGATTCCTGCTGGATGACCCTTCCAACTTGGCAATTCTGTGATGCTGTGACTCTATGACAGCTCAAAGCATCTTTTCAAAACAGTGTCTCATTTATTCCCTGACCAGACTTGAATCTTGTTTGACAGCATTATGCGCTCTCAAACCATTTTCTGGGTGCCGGGTGCCACAATCACATAAACTGTCACCTGTTTATTTCAGGCTTGGAACTCTTTCATGTTGGAAGAAATGACGTATTTTGTGTGCTTTGAAGTCTGGTGCAAAAGTTCTATTTTTTTGCCCTGTGTACTCTTGGTAAAAAAATAGCAGTTGTGTATACCTTTTCAAAGAGATGCGGGTGGCGCTGCGAGTTAAACCACAGAGCCTAGGACTTGCTGATCAGAAGGTCAGCAGTTCGAATCCCCGCGACGGGGTGAGCTCCCGTTGCTCGGTCCCTGCTCCTGCCAACCTAGCAGTTCGAAAGAACATCAAAGTGCAAGTAGATAAATAAGTACCGCTCCAGCGGGAAGGTAAACGGCGTTTCCATGCACTGCTCTGGTTCGCCAGAAGTGGCTTAGTCATGCTGGCCACATGACCCGGAAGCTGTATGCCAGCTCCCTCGGCCAATAAAGCGAGATGAGCTCCGCAACCCCAGAGTTGGTCACGACTGGACCTAAAGGTCAGGGGTCCCTTTACCTTTTATACCTTTTCAAACTATGGATTTTGTTTTCCTACATGGAGAAATGCTTTCTGTGTTTGAAGTTGTGAAGCTTGGCTCCAGGATAACCTGTATTTGTTCAATAAGCCTCACAGAAGGAATATTATATTTCCCAAAGTGTATTTCTTCAACTATCAATACAGTCATACCTTGGATCCCGAACGCCTGGCTCCCAAACAATCGAAACTCGGAAGTGAGTGTTCCAGTTTTTGAACATTCTTTTGGAAACCAAACGCCTGATGGGGCTTCCGTGGCTTCCGATTGGCTGCAGGAGCTTCCTGCAGCCAATCAGAAGCCACGCTTTGGTTTCCGAACATTTTGGAAGTTGAACAGACTTCCAGAATGGATTCTGTTCGACTTTCAGGGTACGACTGTAGTTTATTTGCAAATAACACTTAAAAAATGGTTTCTACTGATGAAGAACATTTATTCTGTATAGAACATTCTCAGATTAGGGGGGTTCTTATGTGAACAAAGAATTGGCATCCAGAATTCATTCTTTGTGTTCCATTAGAGTTCTGTAAACATCAGGAACCCACTGAGTTTAAAAGATCAGCTTTTCCATGCAAGAGAAGTTATTTTGCATCCTATGAATGAAACTAATTGGCTTAATTATGAAACAGTTGTGTTCATTTTTTGGATGACTTCTGTTAAATGGCTCCCCACTGTATACGTTAGGCGACTAATCATAATCTATTTGACGGATCAAAACTTTACAAAAAGGGACATTTATTTCTGTTTCCATACATAACATGCATGACTCCACACAACTGTAGGAGGAAGTATTATATTGTGAACGGCAATTTCATAATGCTAATTCGACTTTAAGACATTTTCAGGAACAAAGCTCAACTTAAGTTGTTGTTTGTGGAGGCAGGAGTTAAACATGAGCCTTCTGGTTAACAGCCGGACACACTTAACCCATTGTGCCACCTGCCTGTCAGGAGCCATTGACACTGATGACTTTGTGTCAATAACAATAATACAGAGCCCCTGCAGAAATGAGGCAGTTGCAAGATTCTTGACCAAGCATGTCCCTCGCTTTGTGCTTTCTACTTGCTTCTAGCCATGCACACATAATGATCATTGACTGATGGATGGATTGCACCTATATCCCACCTTTCCTCCAAGGAGCTCTGAGTAGTGTACATGGTTATCCATTTTATCCTCACAACAGCCCTGTGAGGCAGGTTAGGCTGAGAGGCAGTGACTGGCCTAAGGTCACCCAGTGAGCTTCAGGGCTGGGTGGGGATTTGAACCCTGGTCTCCCAGGTGCTAGTCCAACACTCGCAAGCACTACACCACACTGACTTTAATCATCAAATTCAGATTGCAAGTTCCACTGAGAAACAAGAAGGAGGTGTCAGCATTCTCAGAGTCAATCCTCAGCTTTGCAGAGTTTTGCTTCCCCCTACCAGCAAAAAACCCCTTAAAAACTTCCTAGCGGGGCATATTTGGTAGTCATGGAATAGTGGCAATTGAAAACCAAAAATGGGAAATTAATGGGGGTGGGATATGATGTCCCTGGGGAAGGGGAACAGCGCTTTCCCTGCTTTGGGAAGGAGGTGGGAGGGCACAAGGACCCTGCCAGAGCCTTGCACCTCCTTCCCAAAGCCCAGTGCCAAAGGCTGGGGTGGGGGGCATCAAATTTTGGGCTTGCTGCTTGCCCCCATGCAACAAGTCCTGTGGCTTCTGTGTCAAAGTACTCTTGTGGCCCATTTTATATGAAAAGCTGGACCGCCCTGGTAGGTGGATAACACCTAAAACCAGTGTGCCACTAAAAACAAACGAATAACCAGTGCTGGGAGTAAATGTCAAGTACTGAATCCCCTGTGCATAAACAAACAGAAGCCAGGTAATTTCCTGTACATGATGGCATTGATCCCATTAGGAATGCTACATGCTTGGCATATTTCTGCATCAGTTTCAATTTGCTTAAGGCGTGATTTGTTGTGAAGAGTGCTCAGCTCTCAGTGGAATGTTGATTTAAAGGAGGAGGGGGAGAAGAAAGAAAGAAAGAAAGAAAGAAAGAAATCAGCACAAAGAGTTTTTCCTGCAGCAGTGATTCAACTTCTTTGAGTCACAAATGTGCCCAGTTTTCAAGGGTGTGTCACGCACGGTCAAACTCTGCATGCTGTCTCATAGACACACATGGCACATAATCCAGGGAATGGGGAACCTGGCAGGGCCTTCTTGATGTTGCTGAACTCCCAGCTTCCATCAGCCCCAGCCAGCATGCCCAGTGGTCAGGCATGAGAGGAGTTGTAAGTCAGCAACACCTGAACCTCTGCACTCTGCGGGCGAAGGCTTCTTGCAGATTCTATCTTTTCAGGAGCTCCATTACCCACAACGTAGGAATCGGGCCTTTAGTGTGGTGGCACCTACATTTCGGATTTCCCTCCCCTTGAATATTAGGCGGTTGCACCCCTGATGTCTTTTTGACACCCAGTGAAGACCTCCCTCTTTGGACAAGCCTTTTGAGTTCTCCCCCACTTCTGCATCTGTACTGGAATTGCTCTTAAGCGACTTTCAATTTATTTTATGTATTTATATTCCACCTTTTCTCCAGGGAGCTCAAGGCGGCTGACATGCTTGTCCCCCATTCCATTTTACCCTCACAACCACCCTGCGAGGTAAGCTAGACTAGGAGATGGCGGCCAGCCCAAAGTCACCCAGTGAGCTTTATAGGAGAGTGAGGATTTGAACCCTGGTCTCCTAGGTCCTAGCTCAGCACTCTTACCACTGCAACACACTGACTCTCTCTTTATTTATTATTGTTTTATCACTGGTTTGCCATTTTGGGCTCCTTTCGTAGGACATGGGTTGCGGGTAGCGCTGTGGTCTAAACCACTGAGCCTATTGGGCTTGCCAATCAAAAGGTTGGCAGTTTGAATCCCCACGATGGGGTGAGCTCCCATTGCTGTGTCCCAGCTCCTGCCAACCTAGCAGTTTGAAAGCACGCCAGTGCAAGTAGATAAATAGGTACCGCTGCGGCGGGAAAGTAAACGGCGTTTCTGAGCGCTCTGGTCAGTGTTCTGTTGAGCCAGAAGCGGTTAAGTCATGCTGGTCACATGACCCAGAATGCTGTCTGTGGACAAGCGCCGGCTCCCTCAGCCTGAAAGCAAGATGAGCACCGCAACCCCACAGTCGCCTTTGACTGGACTTAACTGTCCAGGGGTCTTTTACCTTTATTTATTTATTTATTTATTTACCTACCTACCTACCTACCTTTCGTAAGAAGGGAACAATCTAATACAGTGGTACCTCAGGTTAAGTACTTAATTCATTCTGGAGGTCCATTCTTAACCTGAAACTGTTCTTAACCTGAGGTACCACTTTAGCTAATGGGGCCTCCTGCTGCCGCTGCACCTCTGCTGCGCAATTTCTGTTCTCATCCTGAAGCAAAGTTCTTAACCTGAGGTACTATTTCTGGGTTAGCGGAGTCTGTAACCTGAAGCGCCTGTAACCTGAAGCATCTGTAACCTGAGGTACCACTGTATCTGAGGGGCCACAGGTTCCCAAACCCTGACATAGACAATTTAGTGTGTACTTCAATTTTGCAATTTTGCAACCTACACGTCCCTTCATCTGACTAGTGAGCATGGTTTGGATGTAGTTCAAATGATGTATACTTTGCCAAAGGGGAGAAAACAATCTTGGACTCAAGTCCTGTGAAGGCGATGTGGGGAGGGCCTTTCAAGGAGAATTTTTGATCACAATGGCCTTAAGGAATATGTACTTAGAAGTTCCAATATTCTTCCAAGAGCAACGGGCTAGTGCAGCAATATTTTGTAGCGCCGATTTTACTAATGAAAGTCAGGAGCCTCTAATGATTGTTCAAGGCAGGCAACCTCTGCGCTGCTGCTGCCCACTAGACAGGGACAAAGAAGACAGCAATTACCTTAATTTCATCCCAGGCATACAGTTCTAAAAGACCTCTGCATCTGCTGCACGTTCCACCCAATCTCTCCTGTATAACAAGTATGTGTCACCGTTGTGAGAGCACAGGCATTGATCTGCTCCTTAATTGTACATATTCTGACTTCTGTTGCGATGCTGTCATAACCTGAACACCAACGGAGCCCATTAAACAAGAAAAGAAAAATGTCAAAAGAGCTAATGTCTTCCATGCATCAAAGGCAGAAAACCGAGACAGAAACACAATGAAGCTCTGATAAACAAACGCAAGATAAGGAAGCAGTTGTGAAAATTCGATAGAAAGACTGTATTCAAAGCCCAGAATATATCCTCTATATCAGTGGTGGGGGACATGTGGGGGCTCCCCTAGACGTTGTGGACGGACTCCATCTCCCATCTCCCTGACTGTTGAGCATGCTAGCAGGAGTAGAGACGATGGGGACATCTGGGGGGCTACAGGTTCCATATTTCAGCTATAGAAGCATAGAATTATACAGTGGTGCCTCGCAAGACGAAATTAATCCGTTCCGCGAGTCTCTTCGTCTTGCGGTTTTTTCGTCTTGCGAAGCACGGCTATTAGCGGCTTAGCGGCTATTAGCGGCTTAGCGGCTATTAACGGCTTAGTGGCTTTAAGAAAAAGGAAACAAACTCGCAAGAACGTTTCATCTTGCGAAGCAAGCCCATAGGGAAATTCGTCTTGCGGAACGACTCAAAAAACGGAAAACTCTTTCGTCTTGCACGTTTTGCGTCTTGCGAGGCATTCGTCTTGCGAGGCACCACTGTAGAGGTGGAAGTGACCCCAAGGTTCATCTAGTCCAGCCACCCTGTAATGATTGATTGCATTTTTACTTGTCTTTTCTACATGATTTTGCTTCTAAGATTTAGAATTGGAGGATGCTGGGATAGATGTGGGGGATGGGAGGGAAAGAGCAAAGGAAGGCATGGAGGGCAAAGAAGAACAGCAGTCAAAGAAACACTTCGGGGCAGCACAGCCAAGATTCTAAAATTGCCAAGTTCTGTACTGATGCCACGTTCCATGACAGAACAGCAGACCCGTGGCTATGTAAAATGCACGCCGCCTTGGGAATCCTATAGAAGATTACTATTTGGGGGAACCTAAATTGACTTTTGGAGCTTCTGCATTCTTCTTATTTCGTAATTGGCCAAAGTTTTTACCATCTGCTTCCAGTGAGTAGTACCCAGTGTCTACCTGGTCTCCAGAGTAATTGGAGTACTTAGGTCACAAGTCTACTAACCAAGATGTTTGACATAGCCCATCTACAGTGACTCAGCAAAGTAAACTACTAGGGACAATTCTTCCCAGAGAATAGTATGGACTATATATCGGCTGGGGACGCGGGTGGCGCTGTGGGTAAAACCTCAGTGCCTAGGACTTGCCGATCTTATGGTTGGCGGTTCGAATCCCCGCGGCGGGGTGAGCTCCCATCTTTCGGTCCCAGCTCCTGCCCACCTAGCAGTTCGAAAGCACCCCTAAGTGCAAGTAGATAAATAGGTACCGCTTTATAGCGGGAAGGTAAACGGCGTTTCCATGTGCTGCGCTGGTGCTGGCTCGCCAGAGCAGCTTCGTCATGCTGGCCACGTGACCTGGAAGTGTCTCCGGACAGCGCTGGCTCACGGCCTCTTAAGTGAGATGAGCGCACAACCCTAGAGTCGGACACGACTGGCCCGTACGGGCAGAGGTACCTTTACCTTTACTATATATCGGCTATTGTTATTTAAATTATGAGGGCACCCTTTTAATTAAAAGGTTTTCTTTCCACTCCTCTGAAACATTCTTGTCATAATAATAATAATAATAATAATAATAATAATAATAATAATAATAATTTATTATTTATACCCCGCCCATCTGGCTGGGCCTCCCCAGCCACTCTGGGCGGCTTCCATAGAAACCAAAAATACCACACGTTAAAAACTTCTCTGAACAGGGCTGCCTTAAGATGTCTTCTGAATGTCAGGTAGTTGTTTATCGCTTTGACATCTGCTGGAAGGGCGTTCCACAGGGCGGGCGCCACTACCGAGAAGGCCCTCTGCCTGGTTCCCTGTAGCTTTGCTTCTCACAATGAGGGAACCGCCAGAAGGCCCTCGGCGCTGGACCTCAGCGTCCGGGCAGAACGATGGGGGTGGAGACGCTCCTTCAGGTATACTGGACCGAGGCCGTTTAGGGCTTTAAAGGTCAGCACCAACACTTTGAATTGTGCTCAGAAACGTACTGGGAGCCAATGTAGGTCTTTCAAGACCGGTGTTATATGGTCTCGGCGCCGCCCCAGTCACCAGTCCAGCTGCCAGACTCTGGATTAGCTGTGCTTCGAGTCACCTTCAAAGGTAGCCCCATCGTAGAGGCAATTGCAGTAGTCCAAGCGGGAGATAACCAGGAAAGCATGCACCACTTGGCGAGACAGTCCGCAGGCTGATAGGGTCTCAGCCTACTAACCAGATGGAGCTGATAAACAGCTGCCCTGGACAGATTTGACCTGTGCCTCCATGGACAGCTGTGAGTCCAATGATCGCTGGGCGTGACCTGGTCCTTCAGGGCACAGTTACCCCATTCAGGACCAGGGAACTTCCACACTCAGCCTCCTGTCCCCCAAAAACAGCAATTCTGTCTTGTCAGGATACAACCTCAATCTGTTAGCCGCCATCCATCCTCCAACCGCTCCAGACACTCACATTGTGACCTTCCACCGCCACTGGTTCTGGATTTAAAGAGAGGTAGAGCTGCATCATCCAGATACTGGATGAACACCCAGCCCAAACCTCCTGATGATCTCTCCCATGGCTGCATGTAACACAAAGCATGGGGAGAGGACAGAACCCTGAGGCACCCCACAAGTGAGAGCCCAGGGGTCTGAACACCATCCCCACCACCACTTTCTGAACAGGCCCAGGAGGAAAGGAGGGAACCACTGTGGCCCCCAGCCCCAGCCCCTCAAGACGGTCCAGAAGGATGTTATGGCCGATGGTATCAAATCTCGGCTGGAGATCCAGCAGAACAGGAAACAGCTCTCACCTGTCCCTAGCCCGCTGGAGATCATCAACCAGTGCGACCTAGGCAGTTCTTGGTCCCATGATGAGGCCTGAATCCCGACTGAGGATCCAAATGGTCCGCTTCTTCCAGGCGTGCCTGGAGTTGTTAGCAACCGCTCGCTCAATCACCTTGTCAAGAATGCAAGATTTGAGACTGGGCGAAGAAGCCACATCGTGGGCCGTGACAAAGATGGTTTTTGCCAGCGGCCTAATAACCGCCTTCAGCGGGTCTGGGCTCCCCACGGAGGGAAGCATTCACCACCCCACGGCCCATTGCCCAGTCCTCCCGGCTAGCTTTATAAGCCAGGGATGGGCAAGGATCCAGGAGACAGGGGTGGTTACCTTCACTCATCCAAGCAGCCTGCCCACATCCTCGGAGGTAACAGATTGGAATTGATCCCACCAACTTGACTAGACAAAAACTCTAGCAAGTACTCTCCGCCCTGGCCCTGCTCCCACGGAGCCCACTCTTCCCGAATCTGGAGCGATTTTATCTGGGTGTAAAAAATCCAGAAAATCATTGCAGGAGAACATGTGGCCCGTACTGGGCCCGATGTTGCAGGTGGTTCCACTAAATTGTAACCACCTGAAAGTCTCTGCTGCTGTTTTCTGCAGATGCAATAGAGGCGGTGAAGAAATTCTTATTCGTCGCTATCGCCACTCTGGTAGGCTCCGACTGAGCTCCTAACCTGTGTCCGGTCAGATGCGGAATGAGCACCGCCACCGGGCGCTCTAGCCGCCTCTTAACAATTGTTTCATTGTTCTCAGATCCGTGGAAAACCACACAATCTCGGGCCCTAAGTGCAATCGGAGAGGGCGCTTCGGAGCCAAACAGTCAATAGCCCTGGTTAACTCCACATTCCAGCGGGCCACCAGGGAATCAGCTGAAAGGCCATCAAAGAAGAATACCTTTTGTACTTAGTCAAAACACATCAAGGCAAACCATTCATGTGCTCTAAAGATAATACCCGCATTTGGACAAGGAAGCTTTGGGCTTGAAGAAGATCAGAAGTTTTTGTTTCTGATTTCAGTTAAGCACTGTTGAGTGTTATTTCCAAACCCTAAATTGTGCTTAATCTTAACTGTAGTGTGTTTGAAACAGGCCAGCTTCATTATCCATGGTTTGAAGCTGGCTTGTTTCAAAACCACAGTTAAGATTAGCCACAGTTTGTTGGGTTTTGATGACATGACAAACTGTGGTTAATTAGAAACAGAAGCAAAAGCTTCCAAACTCCTTTTCATGGCTGTGCTAGTAGAAGGGAGGGAGGAGGGGCTTGTCTAAGCTTGTGTACATCATGATAAACCATGACATCTGAACACAGGCATGGAGGACGACTTATTGCAGCTTGTAAACTGACCAGCATGCTATTTACTGGGTTCCCGGATAAGTGTGGGATTCCTGCTAAGTAAAAGTCGCTTTGTAAGTTTTTCAGTGGTACCTGCTGTGAATTGTGTTACAAAAGAGAATTTCTCCTTTCCACTCAGAAGCTGAACTAAAATGCAATTGCTGTTTAGCTGTAAAAATCAATCAATGTCTTGCTGGGGAACCATTCATGGGTCCTTTCATCCTTGGAGCTTCCCCCACTTGCCATTGCTTCATATTACAATTGCTGGTAATTGAAGGTCTGACTATAAAGTGATACAGAAGCTTCCAGTGAGGATCTTACCACTGTTAAATAATAAAATAAGCCATTGAAATGACTTACTGGCTGATAATGGAAGGAAATCACTATTCAGTTCGTTGTGATTTATGAAGGCAAACATCTCCTGAAACTTTTGCCAAAAAGCAAGAAGGAAAAACTTGCTTTTATGCTACCTGATTACTAAGACTTTGAATGGCACAGACTGATTTTATTCCTGCTTCTGCGTCCCCGTGCTAGAACTTACTCTGTGCTAGCGAATGGAAGAGAGATGGAGAGCAGAGAGGGAAGTCGCTTAAATTCATAATCCTCATTTCATCAGGGCACCTGGTCCTTGTATAACTGAAGTCCAGTTTGGCTACGATGCTGGTTGCATGCACTGCTACCAGAATCCCTTACCTGTGTAAGAGCTCTAGGCCACAGGTGTCATGCTTTTAAAAAGTCCTACTGTCCTGGCCCTCACCAGATGAAGAACTCAAACTCTCAATTCTGTTTCTGCCCAAGACTTTAATGAGTAAATCAGATCGGTATGTAGGAAAGAAACTAGTTGCAAGGTGTAGCAGGTACAAGAAAGGCATGGTTGCATGGTGAAGATGTGAAGAGATTGCCCCTTCCTTCCTTCCTTCCACCTCCTTTTAGAAGAGTAGGGCTGGCTCAACAGCTGGAGTGTTGGGACTGGGCAAGCAAATGGGCCCTTCTTTACTCATAGGGTTGTGCCTATGGGGTTTGTGATCGAGGGAGTCAGGAGTTGGATTCAGGGAAGGGACCAAGTGGGTTGGCTGGCAGAGAGGTGTTTGGCCCATGTTAGCAGGCACTCCTAAGTCAGGAACCTCCTAGAGTACAGTTGCTGCCACTACTGGCTGTCAACTGGGAGTAAGCCAGATACTGTGCTGGTACTGACGCCACCTCCATAGGCTAGGACACAGAGGCACCAGAGGCTAGTGCTAAGAAACCCCATCTACTATGACTTCAAGTCCATGTGGCTGGGCTGAAGTGGCAACAGTGAGCTGTCTGAGTTTAATTCTGTTTTGGATATTACTGTATTTTTTTATGAGACAGTGCAGTGAGAGAGATACTGTAAATGCCAGGCATGAATCATCAGCATAGGCAGGGCCGGATTCCGGTTTGATGAGGCCCTAAGCTACTGAAGGTAATGGGGCCCTTTATATGTCCAGCTGTCCTTTGTCAACAACCAATTGTCGCTGTTTTTCGTGTTGAATATATGCTATATGGTAATTTATGGACCTAATAGGTATCTAAAGCTATCTGAACGTAACAAAATATGTATTTTATCAAAGTAATTGTTGAACTGAAATACAATTAAGAAGAAGTATATTAATGGTGGAATACAATTAAGAAGAAGTATATTAATAATGAAATAATTATTAAGCTCTAACTTAAAATGATTTTTATTCATAACAAACTTAATAGTGCAAACACATTGGCATTTGACAATAACGAAAGTTTTATTTTATTTGTTTTTATCTTCTGTTTTGGAAATGTACATCCAGGGGTTTTTTTCTTTAAATTTTCTGGGGCCCCCCAAGAGAGTGGGGCCCTAAGCTATAGCTTGTTTAGCTTAAATGTAAATCTGGCACTGAGCACAGGTGATCAAATCAGAATTAGCTGCTTCAGCAACTCTGTTTTACCCTCAGAAAAAGAAGAATGTCCAGATCGTCTGGATTTGTTTGTGTCCTGTCCCAAAGAGATTATCTTAATTGGAAATGCCACCAAAGGAAACCGAAGGTGGCATTGACCTGAAAGTGAAGAATTGCATACAGAACAGAAGCAGCCCTAAATCGTATTGCAGAGGTGGACAGATCACAAACTACAAGGCACTACAGAAACCTGAGAATTCAAAAATTCCATTTTAAAATTAGGTTTCTAGCCTTCATGATTGCAGGAAATAAGCTTAAAACACAATAAACTTAACACACAAGTCCACCAAACAGAAAACCTTCAGATATATTGTTTTCAGCTCTTGTGATTTCTAAGCTGAACTCTTGATTTAAGAAGGTTGACTTCCAAATCTCAACATTCTAAAGCCAGCCGTAGTTAAACTCCATGACTACGATATTCACATATTCAAGAATAGCTGGGACAGCGTGAGGAATTGTAGTTTTCAAAATCCTAATGGGGAGTTCACTTACTTCCTGCAGCAGCCTTTATGTGCTGCTTTGAAGTTTATTCTTGATTGCCTAGAAGAGCAGGTCATGATGCACCAGACCACAAGACGCACCTAGTTTTTGGAGGAGGAAAACAAGAAAAAAAATATTCTGAATCTCAGAAGCCAGAACAGCAAGAGGTATCGCTGCACAGCGAAAGCAGTGATCCCTCTTGCTGTTCTGGCTTCTGGGATAGCTGCGCATCCTGCATTCGCTCCATAAGACGCACACACATTTCCCCTTACTTTTTAGGAGGGAAAAAGTGAGTCTTATAGAGCAAAAAATACGGTATATTCTTTCTCGGCACTTTGAACTGCTGCCATTAAGCAAGACCCTTTTGAATGGGTTTTTTAAAATAATAATAATAATAGCATTTGGGGGCAAAAGAAGTACGCGTACCAGCAGGCTCCATAAGGCTCCTTTCAAATGTTTGTTGTTGTTTGAAAGAGGCTATGCACTTCTTCTGCATTTTGCTCCCACTTGCAGGAATCTGGCATCAGAAACATTATATTCAATCCCCAGATAATGAAGGGTTACTGTTGCTGAGAAAGTGGGGTGCAAATAGCCTTGTCATTGTACAGCAGCTCATCATTGCTTCTTAAAAGAAAATTGATGGCATACTCTAGTGAGGAAGGACACAGGCTGGAAAGAAATAACCACTCCTGTATATAATTGCAATCCCAGTTCTCTGAATGCTTGTCCAAAATAATAATGATAATAATAATAATAATAATAATAATAATAATTTATTTATATCCCGCCCTCCTCAGCCGAAGCTGGGCTCAGAGCGGCTAGAAATTGGCACTACATCTGCAAAAGAGGGGTGTATCAGCCAGCTTGTGGCAACCAAGGGTTTTGAAAATGTACCCCCCCAAAAAAGAAAACCCTTTAGAAAAAACACCTGGGGGGACGGGGATCTCAACACTTCCAAGACTGGTGGCCACTGATGGTTGGCTCATTTTTGGGGCAGGGAGGTAGGAAACCAGATGGGATAGGAAATGATAATGGAATATCCTGAACAGCAACATGACACGCTGCAACATTTTGTTGCCAATGCCACTGGTTCCCTCTATTTCCCTCTATTTGTTCAGACTGTGAGCGCCATTGCCTATGTGGCCAGAATAGAACTGCTCCGTGTTCAAGAGAGAGGTATCGACAGCCCTTCCCGCCACCAGGGTTTGCAGAAGGACAAAAACAATTTGTGGGGGCTGAGAAACCATATGGGAGGGAACCAGAAAGCAGCTGAACAAGGACTGAGCATCCTCAGTGGCCAGGGAATGCAGGCTGATGGGTATAAATGGATAGAAAATGGAAGGGGGGTGGAGGGAGAGATGGAATGGAGTGAACGGAATCTCAAACAGCTTCATTCCACAGTGCAGCCCTTTCCGTCACATGTACTTTTTAAATGAAAGGACCTTCACATGGATGGATATTGTCAAAGGTGGACCAACAATAGCCTTTTACTGTATTTTCCTAATGCTTGGACTGCAGGCTCCCATGCACAGCCCAGAATCCTCTATATTCTCCAGTGGTGGATCAGAGCCATACTTGGACATGTGTAATTTGGTGTGTGCAAAAAAAAGAGAGAGGCTTGTTTGAAACTTAAAATACTTACGTTTGGAATCACTAACTCTTGTCGAAACATTAGGTTTTCAAATGCTACCAGCACGGCAACATTACATGCCATAAAAAGCTGGTACTTGGGGAACAAGTTGGCTGTGTTGCCTGTGATCCTGGCATCCCTAAAACTGTCTAAAGTTTTGTTGTGGTTGAGTCTCTCCCAAGAGTTTCAGAAACTTGGCTCTGGAATCCTTACCAACTGGCAGACACTGAAAGTAGCTGAACTTCCTGACTTTGGGCAGCTGAGTTTTTTTTCTGCTCGTTAGCATCATGAAGCTGGTAGCCTCAGGCCCTTGTTGCAATGTAGGTATGTGATTCAAATTCCCTTCATTAGGTAGGATTCAATTCTTTCAAACCCCCCACCCCCCAAAAAAAAAGTTTGTTGGCCTCAGGCAAGCCTGTCAGTCATTCTGCCATAGCTTAGAGGATGTAAGTGCAATATTTTGCAAAGGGCTGAAAAGGATTGCAAGGCAAATATCATTCAGGAAGTCAGCATCTATTGCAGTGTCTCAAAACCCATCAGAATTCATTTATGTCCTCTTGTGTGTGACCTCACCATTTAAGGGCCTTTAGTGGAGGATGAACATGCACAGAGAGACAGACCGACGAATGCCACAGGATGAATAAATAGTACATATCTGGGTTCAGTGTAGAAGGGGGTAATTGTATTATGTGCAAATACACTTAAAGGCACCATGGCTTATTTAATTTTTAAAGAAAAACAGCCTTGGCGAGGGCAGTTTTTAGAAGAGAAGTTGCCAGTGGGGGCAGGTACTTAGCCACTTAATCGTTTTTCTCTTGTTGCCCTTTCTCCATTCCAGATTCCTTGCATCCCAAAGTTTTCTGTGCTACATTTTGAACCAAGGGTGGTTGGGGAGGCAATTTTGAACAAAGAAAACGTGATAAGCGCCTTCTTCCCTGCACTGCTTCTTTGCTCAAAATTGTCCCCTCCCGAAGCTGTTTTTCTTTCCAAAAGGATGGCATTGATTCTCTGTTAAATGTATTTAAATCTTGTAAGTTTTGTTACACTCAAGCTGTGTCAATTGCCATTTCAAATGAATAATCCAGACTGGCCAAAGTGGGGTGATCACCAGTTCTTATTTTTCTGGGAGGACTCAGGGGTACGCATATCCCTAAACATTTTGTGAATCTAAGTTTGGCCTCATTGAGGGGCAGTACTTAAATATGAGTAGGAAGAAGAAGAAGAAGAAGAAGAAGAAGAAGAAGAAGAAGAAGAGGAGTTTGGATTTGATATCCCGCCTTTCACTCTCCTTCAGGAGTCTCAAAGCGGCTAACATTCTCCTTTCCCTTCCTCCCCCACAACAAACACTCTGTGAGGTGAGTGGGGCTGAGAGACTTCAGAGAAGTGTGACTGGCCCAAGGTCACCCAGCAGCTGCATGTGGAGGAGCGGAGACGCGAACCAGGTTCCCCAGATTACGAGTCTACCGCTCTTAACCACTACACCACACTGGCTCTCGAGTAGGAAAATGAGAGTACCCCTAAACATTTTTAAAAGAAAAAAAGCACTGGTGATCACCACACATTATCAGGTGTCTTGACAAACAAGGGGCAAGCCACACTCTCAAATTTCTGTTGTAGACATCCTCTGTCTGTGATGCATGTGTGATGTTTAGGGGTTGTCTTTAGCCAAAGGGCTGGGCAATTTCTAAAATCTTTAAAAGTTCTTGCACGCCTTTATTCTGGGTCATCACCTCCTTGGAAGGGTGGGGGGGAGGTAACTGTTGCAACAGGAAAATAATGATCTTCATTGCTTTCCTTCTAATGGTTCCTGCCTCCATCCATTCTTCTCTGACTGATCATGGACTTAAGGGACTTCTTGGGGAGTTGGGCCACAAAAGCAAACTCCAATTTTTTCTACAACAAATCTAAAGCCAGCAATCCTGTATCTGTTTATTTTCTAATTCATTTTTGTAGTATTTTAAGTAAGAAAAACCTGAGGGGGGAGGATAGTGAAAGCACTTGGTTTTATCAAAGCGATGGTTGGTTTGCATGTGTCTGTTGTCCGAAAGCCCATGCCAAACTAGCATACAAAGTAAATGGCATAATTTACTACAAGGAAAACGTGGGACTTATTCAATTACTGTTTATGCCACGTAGCCTATCTAGAGTGATCATCTACAATGCCTATGGGTGCAGTCAAACTGACATGACCAGAATGAGACAAAAACCTTGAGAGAGCATTTATGGATTTCTTCCTATACAAACAACTAGAAACACTTCCCAGCCCTCTCTGCCTTATTTCCCACTGTGGCATTGAAGAAACAACAAACCATCACCTGAGCTCTGTGCCTTAATGTGCAAATTTGTCCTTTGAAGGAGCAATGAAAGGCCTGTGAAGCCAGTCATCTGTCCCCTCACATACTTTTGGGTGCCTTCAAATTCTTTATTTTATTTTGCACTTGAAGACGAAGAAGAAAGAAGAAGAAGAAGAAGAAGAAGAAGAAGAAGAAGAAGAAGAAGAAGAAGGGCTCCAAGGTGCATTTCATTGTGTCAGCTTAGTTGTGTCAAGGTCAATGAGATGATAAAAGCACGTTTCAAAAGTTAGCCTTTGGACCTTACAGAACTGGCTCTTCTGAGAAGAGGGAGCAGGGATACTGGCTTCTTCTTTCAACCTCCCTGCAGGGCAGAGTCTCATTGGAGTTTGGGGAGAGCTGTGGGCAGCCAAGGGGGGAGGCAACAGAGGAGGCAACAGGGAACAAGCAGAGCCTCAACGAGAGGGTACAGTGTTGTCATCTAGAAGCAGGCACTGCCTCCACAGATGGGAGCCAAAGCACCACCACCACCTCAGAGGAGCACACGGTTGTAATTACACTATTCCTACAAAGCGAGCAAGTCTCACGAGTGAAGCATCTTCTCTTTAGAAACTGGGTGTGGAAACTGTTGGGACATCTTGGTTACTTCCACCCAGACCTGAACACCTTGTATGCTTTCTGAACTCTTGAATCGTGACTCCTGAACTCCATGTCTGCTGCTAAGTCTGTAGCACTACTTTCCTGAATAAATATCTCTTTCTTCATTACAAGTAAGTTCCTTTGTCTGTGTGTGTTGAGCATGAGGCAGGAGAGTTGGAGGAGTATCCATGTGATGGACCACCAACTTCTCAGCAGACGGCCTTGTTTACACTTAGTAATTGTGCAATCCTACTCCGTCTATTCTTTGCTGCCAAAGAGGCTTACTTCCAGGTGCATAGAGGACTGTAGCCTGCATCCGCCAATGGTATTTCCCCATGTGCCTTAACTGTGTTTAAATTCAGATCTCATTGTTAGAATACTGGGAGATAGCAGAAGCGGTAAGAAATTAGCAAGTCTAAATAGATATCTGAGTACAGCCAGAGGCTATATCCTCCTATATACATAAAAATGTAAGGCTGTTATCACACAGCCCCCCCCCCCGCCCCTGGAGGCAAACCTGTGCAGAGTGCCCTGGGCCTCAGAGGCACACTTAGGGATCCGCAGAGTCTTCGCAGCTTGCGTAACAGACCTCAGCAACTCAGCATTTGGGCTAATCTACTTTATTTACATTATAAACACACACGGAGCACTGCAACATGGCTCCCTCTCTCTCTAGCATCAGACAGCAAAGAGAAAAAATCAAAGGACAATAGTCCCACTTCACAAAGCACAGCAACACAAACATCCTGTCTCCGTCACTTCCCACTCTGTGGAGTCAAAATATACACCGTCATGTGAAAGACAACAATCCCATGACTGCAATCACAGAGCAGGAATACTAACAGTGATGGACCACCAACCTCTCAGCAGACGGCCTTGTTTACGCTTAGTAATTCTACAATCCTACTCATGTCTATTCTTTGCTGCCAAAGAGGCTTACTTCCAGGTACGTGCATAGAGAACTGTAGCTTGCATCAGCCAATGGTCTTTCCCCATGTGCCTTAACTGTGTTTAAATTCAGATCTCATTGTTAGAATACTGGGAGATAGCAGAAGCGGTAAGAAATTAACAAGTCTAAATAGATATCAGAGTACAGCAAGAGGCTATATCTTCCTATATACATAAAAATGTAAGGCTGTTATCACACAGCCCCCTGCCCCTGGAGGCAAACATGTGCAGAGGGCCCCGGGCCTCTGAGGACTAAGCAAGCCAGGGATACCTGCTAGGGACCAGCTGTTTTTTTTCTTTGAAACAAGCTCTGCATGGGTCTGCCTGGAGGATTTGTAGTGCCTCATCACAATCCTGGATTTATGCATGAAGTTTGTGGGGTGGGGTGGGGAGAGCAAAAGAGAAGGCAGCTTTTAAAATGGCGGCTTCACCCAGCTAAAGAGGATTGGCAATTTAAGTTGACAGAATATGCACAACTTGCAGATTTCGCATATAGAATAAGAGAGCAAGAAGAACATACATTTAAAGATGATTGGAAAGCATTTATTAGTATATGGAAAATAACTGTGCAGCTGAAAGTGCTGACAGCATTAAGGTAAATTCAACAGAGCAAATAATTCTTGACGGATGCAATAGTGGAAAACCGATTGGAATGGTTATTGTAAAATATGCAGGGATGTAAGATATGCAAAATGAACCATGGAAATAGAAGAAGAGAAGTCACTGGATATTTTAAAGTATGTAAAATGTTTATTTGAAATTGTAAAACAGAAAATTTAATAAAAATTATAAAAAATAATATAAAATGGCGGTTTTAAACAACAACAGAGGTTTGGATAAAGGAAGATGAAAGCGAAAAGGTGGGGCCATTTTAAACAATGGCAGAGTTGTGAGTAGATTGAGCATGGGGTGACACTGAGAAGGTGTGAGTGACAGCTTGAAACAAAGTTTGAGTACCGTGAGAAGTGAGCTGGGAAAAACTTCAAATATCCCATAGTACCTTCCCACAATCATGCATTTCACTCCTGGTACCATGTGTTGCCTTCATCATGACGTTCTAGGTTCTATGTCGTATTTTAGAAGTGATGCTTTGTTAAGGAGCAAACACGTGTGTACGTATAGCATCCTCCACCAGCTGAACCAAACCTTCTCTAACTGGGCAAGCTACACCTGACAGGTTCACTCTTAAGGGATTCGCAGTCACCTTACAGATACAGGAGGGTATATCAACATGGGGTGTGTGTGTGTGTGTGTGTGTGTGTGTGTGCAAAGGGGACTGCAGAATAGGAGAGAGGATCAGGCATGGAAATAAGGGTGGTCTCTGTGCAAGGGAGAGTTGAGAAAAGTGAGGAGGTGGGTGGAGGGGGGCAGGGGTGCCTGGGGGCCAGAAGGATGGGAGTTGGGTTGAAGATGAAAGCAGGGGCATGGGGAGAATCTGGTGAAGAGGAGGGGATGCCAGCTACATAGCTGAATCGAAGGTGACAAGGGTGCTTAGTAGTTGTGAGAGGAGGAAGATGCAGGAAGTTACCATGGGGACAATTTGTGTGCAAGGTCGGGGTGTTGCACAAAAGGAGGGGGAGAAGCATGCCGGATTTACGTATAAGCTAAACAAGCTGTAGCTTGGGGCAACACTCTCTTGGGGGCCCCAAAAAAATTTTCAAGGAAAAAACTGGATGTACATTTCCAAAATATAAGATAAAAAACAAATAAAATAAAACCTACATACAGCAGCAGTGGCAAATGGCTTTAGATACCTATTAGGTCCATAAATTACCATATAGCATACATTCAACATGAAAAACGGCGACGATTGGTTGTTGACAAAGGACAGCTGGACATATAAAGGGCCCCATTACCTTCAGCAGCTTAGGGCCTCATCAGACCTGAATCTGGCCCTGGACGTGGGCATAGGGGTGATGGTGAAAAATGGCTGCAGAATTAGAGAGAAGCGGCTGCAGATATGGGGGTGGGAAAGCGAAACCAGAACTTAACAGTTGCACGAAAGGGGAAACTCTAATAGCCAGGAGTTGGTGAGTGGAGCAAGCAGAGGCACAGCCCTGTGAATGTGGGTGGGTGTATCTGATATCCTTTTGAGCAAAAATGTGGGGGAGAAGCTTTAAACATGCATGTGGGGGGATATTAAATGTAAAATGAAAAGCAGTCCTCTGGATGTACCTCTGGAGGTAGGTATTTGCAGGAAGCTGACAGCAACCCACTCATTATAGCACATATTTTTTTCTCTCGGTGATGTGAACTGTTTCCTTCGCTTGCCAGACTGAGTCTGCTTTACAGCAGCAGATTTATTTCACAGCAGAGGGCTTTGCATCCCACGGTGCTGGAGTCACATTAGCCAGTTTACTTGGTTAGTTACTTTTATTTGTTTACTTCTTGCCGGGCTGTCAATGCAAGTACAGACAACAGGCTCTTTCCTTTAAATATGGACGCTGCAGAAATTGTATAGTAGCAAAAACTGGCTAGATGAGCTTCAGGTAGAGACGCCTTGATTGAAAAAGACTTATGAAATACTGGAATCAGTAATATACTGGGTGAGGACCAATAAACTGAAGCTGAATTTATTTATTTAATCAGATTTATACATGGCTTGATTGTAACAACTACCACCACCACCCTTAAAGTGGTTTACTAATTCTTCACAAGGCAGGTGCTTTGGACTGGTGGTTCTCAGGTCTGGGAATTGGATAGATGCCCTGTTCTGGATGGGGCTGCATTTTTCTCGAATGAACAGATACATAGCATGGAGGTACTTCTTCTTCTTTTTTAATTTTAATTTTTATTGGAAATTTTATTTACAACATAACACAAACCCCCCACCCCCCCAATACTGAAATACAATAAGCATAACATACAACAATACAAACAACCAAATAAAAGACTTCCTTTATCCTGTATCAAGCCTTATTTACTTCTTATAAGCTGTTTCCTTTATGAATAATTATTAAGATTTTTCTAATTATAACTTAAATATCTACAAAGTCTCCTGCAGACATTAATCGAAACAAGTTCAGGTATGTATTTTAGGGCACTGTTTTGCGATGTATTCTCTGCATTTCCCCCATGCTTTTTGAAAATCTTGTCTAGTGTGATCTCTAATTGCCTCTGTTATTCTAGCCAGTTCAATATACTCTAACAGTTTGTCTTGCCATTCCTTTTTTTGTTGGCACAGGTTCTTTTTCCCAGTTTTTAGAAATTAGGATCCTTGCCACTCCTGTGGCATAGAGGGATATTTTCTGATCTTCTCTTGCTATACCTGTGTCCATTATCCCTAGTAGAAAAGCTTCTGTATTTTTCATTAAGTTATACTTATACTATATTCCAGAAGCTTTTGATTTTTTCACAGGTCCACCAAACATGTATAAGTGTCCCCTCTGTCTTACCACACCTAGCATGGAGGTACTTCTTGATCTACCTTTGTCACTAAAGGCCCAAGTGGCATCGGTGGGAGAGAACGCTTATTTCAGCTCCAGCTGGCACACCAGCTACAGTCATTTGTGAAGGAAGAGATAGAGCCTTGCCACAGTACAGGTCTGGGCTAAAGGTGGATCCCAGATTTGAAAACCTTGAAGACTACAGGTGATTCTTTAGTGTTTCAGACAGACGCCTTCGTTAGCCCTGGTTGGAGGCGCTGGGGAACGAACTTGCAAATCCTGTGTTGTACCACCAAGCTGTAGCCCTTTTTGCCAGTTAGTACATCTCTCTGCTGGTGGCTCTGTGGGTTAAACCACAGAGCCTAGGACTTGCTGATCAGAAGGTCGGCGGTTTGAATCCCTGCGACGGGGTGAGCTCCTGTTGCTCGGTCCCTGCTCCTGCCAACCTAGCAGTTCGAAAGCATGTCAAAGTGCAAGTAGATAAATAGGTACCGCTCCAGCGGGAAGGTAAACGGCGTTTCCGTGTGCTGCTCTGGTTCGCCTGAAGTGGCTTAGTCATGATGGCCACATGACCCAGAAGCTGTACGCCGGCTCCCTCAGCCAGTAAAGCGAGATGAGTGCCGCAACCCCAGAGTCGGTCACGACTGGACCTAATGGTCAGGGGTCCATTTACCTTTACCTTACATCTCTCTGCTCCGTTTAAATAAATCAATATTGTGAATACATGCCTCATTTTCACAGCATTTGGCTGACCAAGTGTCCAATCGTATTTGTGTTTCTTTTATGGTGATTTAATGGCGGATATCCGCTATTCATGTCTAACATGCTGGTGGCTGGCATTCAGGCTTGGGTGTTACTGATGTCATCCCTCTTTTCCCTTGCTACAGATGTGCCTGTCGAGAAGCTGGCCACCATGGAGTCTCTGCAGAGTGTGAACCTCAAGTCAAACCCTGTAAATGACGAGATCCGAGTGATCGCCAGGCCTCTGATCAAGTTTGACCTCCTGACATCTCCAGCTGCCCCCAGAGTCTGACACGCGATGGACTTTTGGGCATGTAGTCGTAATCAGGCATGGCTGTGAAGGAAAAGAGAAGGCAGTGTTTGCTGAGCTAGGATGCTTTCCTAAGGCTGCGCTGCTCCTGCATGTGTTAGGTTTTTTGGGCTTCCAAAGGAGCAGGAAGCATGATGTTCCTGCCAAATCACAGTGGTCCTTGCTGAACCAAAACTCTGCTAAACTGTGAATAGACTGAAAGCACATCATGCCTGCAAGGAAAAATGGCTCTCTTTCTCAGCTTTCCTAGGACATACAACGGTCTCTCCAGTCCTGGACTGACAAAGGTGTGAACAGAATACCTTAAGAGTGGAGAACGTGTGGCCCTCTAGATATTGCTAGACTACAAGTCCCATTGTCCCTGACCATTGGATAAGGTTGATGGCAATTGCAGCCCAACCTGTTTTTAAAAACAGTTTCACAGCGTTTTTTTATACGAGTCTAGATTCCACCTTGCTGACCTGTGCAACGTGAAAGCAGCAGATTCCAAAATCTCTTGAGTGCTGTATTCCTTCTGCATCCCATTCTCTCTCTCTCTCTCTCTCTCTCTCTCTCTCTCTCTCTCTCTCTCATACACCCCCCCCCCTGCTGAAGGGGTTTAATGTTGAGCTGTGAGTGGCTGAGTACCCCCTTGCTTATACCTTAAGCATGGGGAAAGGCTTGCTATGCGCTTGTCAGTGGAAAACTACCAGATTCATCCTTCCTCCACTTTTTGTTTGTTTGGTTTTGAAAGAGCCCTTTAAAATGCTGCATGTGCTCAGTTTCTGGTTTTGATTAGTTGGAGCATAGTGGCTTGACCTTAGGTTGCAGCTTGGGATTCCTTTGTTTTCTTTCTCAGCGCTATAGCCATGGGATTTTCTTGGAAATTATTTTCCTCTACTGCAACCCCACCCCCACCCCCGCAGGCTATTGGTCCCCTCTCCCTTTCAGCGTGTGATTGACAGACTTCCTGCTTTGGCAAATAAACGGCCTGATCCTCTGAAATCCAATCCACCACACAATACAAGCTTCATAGCAATAGATGAAGAAGTACTTTGCAGCACTGGGATGGCTTTGGGATTTGAAAGGCGGGAGAAACGGCTGCATCTCTACCCTGAGTAGTTTTCTCTAAGTCCACACGGGTGCCCACCTGTTTACTGAGATGATGGCTGGGGATGGAAGGCTTAAACCTCCCCTCCCTTCATGCTACAGTGCCAGGCAGTAACAATCAGTCCACCTTCCTCGCTGCACCTGTTTGCAATCTCAAAAAACATGATTCACTGTTGCATGGTTAACATGATGTGCTGTTAACTTTCCCCTGAGTTAGCTTCGGAGCAATGTCATATTAGGTAAAGGTAAAGGGACCCCTGACCATTAGGTCCAGTCGTGTCCGACTCTAGGGTTGTGTGCTCATCTCGCATAAGAGGCCGGGAGCCGGCGCTGTCCGAAGACACTTCTGGGTCACGTGGCCAGCGTGACGAAGCTGCAGCTGGTGAGCTAGCACCAGCGCCGCACACGGAAACGCCGTTACCTTCCCGCTATAAAGCGGTACCTATTTATCTACTTGCACTTTGACATGCTTTCGAACTGCTAGGTGGGCAGGAGCTGGGACCGAACGACAGGAGCTCACCCCGCCGCGGGGCAAGTCCTAGGCACTGAGGTTTTACCCACAGCGCCACCCGCGTCATATTACAAATGGCCAAATGGACAAGGATGGGGGAGGCATTCACTCCGTTTGCATTTTCATGCAGCCCTATCCAATCCATACTTTCTGAAAATGAGAAAGCAGGAGAAACTGACAGATCGGTCCATCCCTAAAATGGGGATAGTAGTAGTAGTAATATTTATTTATTATACCTTGCCCATCCAACTCGGTTGCCCCAGCCATTTTGGGAGGCTTCCAAGTAAAACACAGCATCAAACATTAAGAGCTTCCCGAAACAGGACTGCATAGCTGTCAACTTTTCCCTTTTCTTGCGAGGAATCCTATTCAGAATAAGGGAATTTCCCTTAAAAAAAAGGAAAACATTGACAGCTATGGGACTGCCTTCAGATTTCTATGAAGTTGCTTAACTCTTTGACATCTGTTGGGAGGGCATTCAACAGGGCGGGTGTGACTACCGAAAAGGCCTTCTGCCTGGTCCCCTGTAATTTCACTTCGCACAGTGAGGAAACCACAAGAAAGCCCTCAGAGCTGGACTTCATTGTCCGGGCTGAACCATGGGGGTGGAGACGCTCCTTCAGGTATATAGGGCTGAAGGAGTGCCCTCACAGGGCTCCTTAACCCTGCATGCTTTTCTACCCCACCCCCTCCAACTTTCCCAATACTCCTTAATTGAAACAATACTGTATACTACTAAAATAACAGTGATAATGCAGATAGATAAAGAGCTGGTCTGGGTGGAGGCATTAGAGAAGGAAAAGCTTCAGCAGAGGTTGGGGCACAGCCAAAAGGAGAAGTGCAAAAACTCTAATCGTTCATCAGATAAACAACTTCTCTGTTTGCAGTTGGGGGATGTACATAATTTATCTCTCAGTGCTTTATCCATTATCTTGGCTTCATGGAGGCTGATTGCCGCTTTGCTTGCTTTCCAGATCAGATAACCAAGACTGTTTTGACTGTGCCATGTTAGAGATGATAGAGGAAGCATTAACATTACATTAGTTCAGTTCTGGGAAAGAACGGCATGCTTTAGAGAGGAGCTCACGGCTACTGCTCCACTTCCCTGTTTTGCAGGGGGGTTCTTCATGTGTACCTTTGCTTCCTCAGGGACAGTGGGGAAGAATCTCAGGTCTGGAGGGCCAAATCTATCCAGCACTCAGGAAGCTCCCCAAGCTACAACATCTCTCCCCCTGATTTTTACTGACTCTGCTCCACACTCTCCTTGAGTGCTTTTGCCTGGCTCAGCTGCGTCCTTGAACTGCAGCAATTTTGCCTGCCTGGAGGTATAGAGAGAAACCTCTGGCTTTTGCAAGATTGGACTGTAGAAAGGAAAGAATCACATCTGTGGCTCTGCCCACATCTGGCTCTGAGCTTCACACACAGGCCTGTGGTCCCTACAGGGTTGCCCTCAAGGCAATTCAACCCTTGGGCTGTCAAAGGTTCCCCATCCCTGTTGAAGGTCCTTCATCAGTTATGTTGCTGCCAGAGAGGAAAGGTTAATTGTCTATTGTTTTTTCTGGTTGTTTCCCATTTGGGAGGTTTTTCTCTAGGACAATAACAAACAAATTGGGATCAGGGGGCCAAATGAAGTACTGTAAACACTGAGGTGATAAGGAAGATTTAAGCTGGATGGTTAAGTCCAGTCAAAGGCGACTATGGGGTTGCAGCGCTCATTTCACTTGCAGGCCGGGGGAGCCAGCGTTTATCCACAGACAGTTTTCCAGGTCATGTGGTCAGCATGACCAAACCGCTTCTGGCACAAGGGGACACCGTGATGGAAACCAGAGCACACAGAAATGCCGTTTATCTTCCCGCCACAGTGGTACCTATTTATCTACTTGCACTGGCGTGCTTTCGAACACACACAAGTGTATAAAAATAGGATTACTGAAAGCATACAGATATTCTCATGAACAACAAAGTGCTGTGCAGCAACTGACTAGCAATTTTCATCTCTGCATAAGCTTTTGTGGGCAGAAGTCCACTTAATCAGCCGCATCAAGGGTGATCCTCAATTGTCACATTTATCTTTGTGTGAAGTATCCCACTGCCACCCCCTGAATTTGTTCTTGGAGGCTCCCCTAACCTTCTTGAGAAGATTTGGGGACAGCGATGGGGGAAAGAGGGGTCCTCTAGCCCTTAGTACAATCCTTGCTCTAGCGCAAAAGTTTGTTGAATATTGCCCATTATCTGTGACAGTTCAGTTAATGTTTAAATATATGCCCTTTACAGCAGCAGTAATTTGCGACTACTGATAATGCTGAGGTTCTTGTGTTATTAATGCCTGCAGTGGAAAAGGAAAACCATTGTCCCCATTCAGACACAAATGAACAGAATTGAACTTCGAAAAATGCATATATTCTCTGGAGTGACTTTTCAGAGACAGTGCAGTATGCTAGCCCTATACAGACATTCAGACTCTTACCACACAGTGCAGAATTGGGATCTCACTGGGCCACCTCAGATTTGTGTGCTGAAGGTACTACATTTGCACTGGGCCCTGTCTTCAAGGGTGCCTAATGAGCAAATGCCTCATTCCTACCATTTATAGGACTTGATTTTCCGTAACACCCTTTGCCCAAGCGGAGTCTATGAATGTTTCATCTTATACGTGCAACCCCTGGGCAAAATGTTTGCTGCAACCTGCAAATAAGCCCAGTCTTCCACAGCACAGTGAGTTTAAACATCTGCAGGAAACAACTGTTTTCTACTTCCCACCATCAATAGTCTTTAGTTTATTGAGGGTTTTTAAAAAAAAAGATTTACGCCAAGAGTTTTAACAGTGTGCCATTGATTTTGTCAGCTTTCTGTAATTGTTATTTATTGTTTGCAAAAGAAACTGCATAAACTAGGCACTGTACATAAACCGAAATAAAGCCACAAAACCAGAAACAAATGCCAGGGTCATTTCCTGTTTGGTTAGCATTCATCCCGATTGGCTAGCACAAAGTTTGCAGGGAGATTATTCAAGGTCCATAGTTTACTGAGCATTATTTGGTTTTATTTGTGGAGAGGTTTATGCTGTCAGGTCAAGCAATTGTCACCCCATCCTTTGGTTCTGAATTTCCACCCATTAAAATTTGACTGTAAGGAGTTTTGCTCTTGAGTGCTTTGGTGCTTTAGAAAATGAGTATGTTGGAGATGCACTTCAAGTTTAAATTGCACCCTCTACAATTATGGGGTGGCATCTGGAATGAATGAACCACTATTAACTCCCATATCTACTGCAAAGGTCAGTTTTACAGGGTGAAGAACAGCTGAGGGGCAGCAGTGTAATAATAAACATCTTTTAGGTTAGTTTTCCACCATCCTTGCATTTTCAGAATCACTGCTCACTTCTCAGCCATTCTACAGCTTGTAATGTGTGGCCAATGCAAAAAAATTATGTGTTAAGAACATGGCAAGTAAGGCCAGGCCAAATTATATTCTTCAGTAAGTATATTTGGTGTGGAAATATATTGGAAGTATATTTGGTATGGGGTGTGCAAACTCCCAAAATCCTCACTCCCAAAATGTTTTTAACTTTTCTTGAGGATTAACAGCCACTCTCCAATTGCTGATCGGGCTTCAGCCATTTGGTGAATGAGATGGCATTGCTGCATTATGCGGACAACACAAGTGGGCTCTGAGACAGTGTCAGAGCTTCCTTCTCTCACTCTGAATTGGCTGTGGTGATGTCACAAAGCTCATTCAGAGTGAGGGCGTGGAGCATTGCCGTCACTCAGAGTGGGTGAGGGATCTGTGCTGCAAGCACTGCTTCCCTTTCTGCAGACCCTTCCCACTGAGAAATTGGCAAAAAGGGAGGAGGTGCCTTTCTTGGCGGGTGATGGGCTCAGGCCTCCCTAAGTTAACCCCCAATTGGATGCAGAGTCCTCAGACAGCAGGTTCAGTCCCTGAGCCAACAGCACCAGCCTTTCCTCATCTCCCGCGCTCCTGTCCGTATGCAGGCAACAACTTTTACCCAAACTCTACTCTTATCACAGAGGGAACTTAACTCTGCAGAAATACTGAAAGTTCTTGAGGAAATTATTCTTCCTAGGCTAGACAAAGCCCCGCAAAAGGTCATTAATCAGCAGTCGTACTAGGCTGCTCACCACTGGCATTTCAAAAGCAAACTAGTTAAATGTCAAGTTAACCAGCAAGAAATCCACTATAGAATTTCCCATAGTGCGTGTTTTTTGTTTTTTTGTACTGGGAAAAACACAGCTACATGCCTGATGGATGTACAGTATTCCTCTGCATTTCAGCTGCCTAGTACACCTCTTGGTCTTTCAACTGATGACTTGCAGTTCACAAGCTTATCTAAGGTGGGTCACACCTGTGGCGAAATGGCCATCTTTTGGAGAAGGGGTGGGGCTGAGACTGGAGAGTTAGGACCAAAGTAGTTGTGACATTGGTCATGTTGCTTGTCCTTCATGCCAATGGAAGCCGCCTTCTTATTGCAAGAATGAGGTGGGTGAAGGGTGGGATTCTGATCAAAACTGAAGCAGCAAGAACAAAGGATTAACTGAGCTATCCTGCATTTGCAGGAGGGCGTCTGAACATTCATCTGCAAGCCGCTCAAGAGACAAGAGGACTATCATCATCATCATCATTAACCACCACAATAAGGGCCTAGGCCACTTACAGCATAAAATCATAGAACTAGAATTAGAAGGGGATACAAGGGTCATCTTTTGCCCAACATGGTTCTCAAATCCATGACCTTGAGATTAAGAGCCTCGTGCACTACCAACTGAGCTATCCTTGGGGTTAAGAGTCTCATGCCCTGCCAACGCATTATAACATTAAAAACCAGTGGAAACCATTTACCATCAGAAGAAGAATAGGGTGGGCCCTAAAAATAAGTACAGTGGTACCTCAGGTTACAGACACTTCAGGTTACAGACTCCGCTAACCCAGAAATAGTACCTCAGGTTAAGAACTTTGCTTCAGGATGAGAACAGAAATTGCGCGGCAGCGGGAGGCCCTATTAGCTAAAGTGGTACCTCAGGTTAAGAACAGTTTCAGGTTAAGAACGGACCTCCGGAACGAATTAAGTTCTTAACCTGAGGTACCACTGTATCTGAGTTATCAAAGGCTTGGGTAAAGGGTGTGTCTTCAGCCGATGTCAAAAGCTATATTATTATTAATTATTATTTCATTTTCAGTGAAGATACCAGGCGCGCTTCTCTGGGGAGAGAAAGCCACCATTCAGGGGCTGCCACAAAGAATGCCCTCTTCTGGAATGCCCCCTGTCAACCTTACTGAAAGCAGAATGATGTTTGCCTTTAGCAGCCCCTAGGCTAGAACAAGAAGGGATGGCATTCCGCACTAACATTCCACAGAAAGTGCATCATGTATGTTTATGGGTCTCTGGGGGAATGGAAGCCGTCTTTGGGGCTGACGGATGTTAGGACTCAATATTAAACTGATCTCTTTTAACATACCCACAAATAATACCTTTTCATGCTTGCTCCACCCCACCCCGCAACACTGCAGACATTTGGATATTTTGCTGTGTTTTTAAAGTCGCTGGAGCCCTTGCTTGGTTCAGCAAGATCAGCAACAGCTCCACAGATGGCAAATTATAGCTTTCACTCTGCTCCTCCCTCAGAAATATGAGTTTCATGCTAATGAACCCTTGGGCAAAACATACAGTGTTCACATCTGAGTAAATTTGCACATGCAGTTTGCCTGCTTTGAATAGCATATTTAGCATCTTTCTGCCAGTTTTAGCAAAAGAGAAGTTGTGTTTGTTCATGGGAAACTGGGGACAGAGGTGGTGAATAATGGAGGAGAGAATAAAGTGCAGAAGTTTCACCCTCTAGTCCCTGCAAGGCATTGCCCTCTCTGAGCCTTTCAATTGCTGAGCCTTTTGAGAGATGCTACATGCATATGCTGGGCCGACATTATGGGTAGACATTGGGCACTTGCAAAATCCCACACACCACTTCAGGGTCCTCACTTCCGCTCTCTGAAGACTCCTGGTCCTGCTGCACATCCTCTCTACCATCCTTGCTGGTCTTCATCTGCTGGCTGTGAGCATGCATGCAGTGACAAGTGTGAGGAAATGCATTTCTATGGTTTGGGCCCAGAAGGAGAAGGAAAAGATGCAGGCACTGTGTCTTGGAAATGCCCATTGGTGGGGAGGGGAGGGGCTTTGCTCATAGGCCTCATGAAACCTGGAGCCAGCACGGTGTTCTAATTATTTTCCACGGCCATGAGGACCAGAAACATGAGCTGGCTTTGTTTTTTCAAAGGGACATGTATCCCCAGCCCTAGGAAATCCTGATTTCGTCGTAACCATTTTGGAGTGTGAGGGAAAAGAATACACAGCGGACCCCTTAATTAAGCCTTGAGATGATAGATGATAGATGATAGAATGATAGATGATAGATGATAGATGATAGATAGATAGATAGATAGATAGATAGATAGATAGATAGATGATAGAGATCTAGATAGATAGATAGATAGATAGATGATAGATATTTTCATTTGGCATGTAAAGTTGCTGTGATATGCATCCAGCCACTTATCTGATGGGCTTGGCTGCTTTACAGCATAAACATTGGGCTGGCAGTGCAATGGGCCAAAACGTACCTTTAAGGCAAATCATCTGAGTGCTCTTATTCAGCAGCAGCAAAACAAGCCAGATGCAATTAATTGGTTCCCTTTGCCTTCAGGCGCAGAGCTGCGACTGGCTGCCACAAATATTGGTTTTGCCTTGAACGCAATGTCCGAGAACAGAAGGAAAGGGAGGCCAGTAGGAGCTCTGGTGATGGATGTCATGTGTTATGTACCTGGCCCAAGTGCCATGTCAGTAATTGCAAGTCATAAAAAGATTTATAACCAGGCTGGGTGATCGGGACTCTGGCTGGGAGAGGTGCCATTGCAATCAAACATGGGGCCAGTGTTTATCCTCTGAGCAGTTATGGGAGCCTCCAGTCAACTAAATCTGCCATATCTTATTTTATTGTGAGATTTCTACCCCCATCCCTGAGTTTAAAATATACTTTTAATGGAAGGGACCAGGGATGATGGGAGCTGCTTCCCAAGAACATCTGGAAGGTCTGGGATGATGGGAGATGGAGCCCAATCACATCTGGATGGCCATGGGTTCCTCATTTGTGCCCAGGCTGATCTTCGAATCCCTTCTTACCACAAACTGTGTGGTTGTATTTCACCTACCCGTATAAGTAAAGGCTTTTAGTTGGTGCCTTTTAATGTGCGGCTGTTCCAGATTTCTTTGAATTTGTCAGTTGTTATTCCCAAGTGCACAATTTGGGATCAACATTTGAATTTGTGAGTTGGTGTCAAAGAATGAATCGGGAGAATTTAAAATTCGTTCTCATCTCCAGCACACAAAGGAGCATAGGGAATACAGTTTTAGTAATTAGGAAGAAAAGAGAAAGAAATAGAGACGTTCTGCCTTACCCTGAACGGGAGACCCAGCAGAGATGGCACACAGTTATTTATCATCATGACATTAATAGCATCAAGAGAAGACAACCCACCCTGCCAGGAGGAACCTGCTATGTAGACACAAGCTGGAGCTGACCCCTCTTCCTGGAGGTCTGTATAACATTGCAGGTCCTGTTTCTATTTCTTTGTGTGACTTTCTACATCCAAAATAATTTCAAGGACCTTTGGAAGTGCAAACAGCAGAGATGCAAAACTACTAGAGATGATGGGCAGACTCTGCCAGATCTGCTTTGCATTGTTTTGACTGACCCTAAAACATGTTTAGTTCAGGGCCAGCTCCTTAAAAAAAAGATACAAAATCTGATCCAAGTTCCTGTACCCCGGAATAGGGTCTATGTCTATAGCAGCAGCAGGGAACCTCTGGTGGGCTTTGCAAACCCTGCCTCTCAGCAGCACCTGAAAAGCCCTGTGCCTTTACCCATGTGGTTTGATATCAAGCACACGGACAAAAGAAAATGGGTCACCTGACATCACTGTGATGCTAGATGATTGACAGGTGGTGGTGCCACCCACCTCTCATTCAAACCTTGCTGGCTGTGGGGCATGGGGAGAGACAACGACCCTGCCCCACTGACCAGATCATGTGCAGAGTGCCCTAGCAAGCCCACCAAAGGTAGCTAGACCTCTCTGCAAATGTTTGAGTTCTCTAGTGTGGCATGGAGTCCTATGACATCATGACCCCATGTAGGGACAGAGGACTCAGAGCATGCAAAACAAGGCTCAATCGTGGCAGGAAAAACACACACCCAAATTTGCACTAGCAGATCTCAGGTCTGTGGACTGAGCAGACAAGCGGAGGGGGGAAGAGTTGAGCAGCTACACACATTCTTCTGCTCCTTATCATAGCCCCCAAACTGCTTTTCAATGCAGTAATCGAATCCAAACAGAGAGAGAGAGAGAGAGAGAGAGAGAGAGAGAGAGAGAGAAACACAAAACTTCCCCAAATGAAAGCTGTGGTGCCTCTTCTGCTGCTTTCCACGGTGCTGAAACAACCGCTCTATATACTGTACAACTAAAAGGAAATTGGTATCCTTATCCTCCATCGCAATCTGAATAAAAAGCCTCAGTAGCACAGAGGCTTTCCAAAGTGTGTGCATGCTTCAAACATGATAGCTGCAGGCTTCAAAACACTTGCTCAAGAGCAAGGCAGATATCAATCCATAGCCATCTGCAGATATGGATTGCAGCTGAACAAGAACAGGGCAGGCTGTTGGAATTCACAGTCTCAACCCACATCCCATGGATTTTATAGAACTGCTTTGTTGTTATTAGGCTTTTACAACACCTGTGAGCTTTTGACAGTCATAACTTCAGGGTATTTCCTCTGTCGTTTTCCACTGAAAACGCAACGCAGCCGGAAAAGTCACTAGCCCATCTTCCCAAGCACCCCTGTCTTAGCCATCTGTGGCATAGAATCGTAGAATTGTAGAGTTGGAAGGGACTATGAGGGTCATCTAGTCCAACCCCCTTTAATGCAGGAAACTTTTTGCCCGACGTGGGGCTCAAGATTCAGTCTCATGCACTACTGGCAGAGCTATCCAACATAAACTTATCCCAGCTTTGCCCTCCAGGTTTCCTGGTTCAGCAGCAGGCTAAACCCCTTTGGTGGGAAGGCAATGTCACAGTGGTCTATGAGTCAACCGTCTTTCCAGGTGCCAGGTTCAACTGTCACCTAATTTCAAAACTCCAGAATTCACAGTCGGGCATTAGTTTTTTGGGACCAACCAAAGGTCTTCACTTAGATTCAGTCCCAAGATGGAGACTGAAGGTGAATCAGTCCCTACTAGATGCTGCAGGTGTTAAGTTGTACATCTGGTTCTGTGACAAGCAATGACTGCTCTCAGTGTATTAAAACACACTAAGCCCCAGTTGGGAGTAAAGCAACAACACTTGCAATAAACATCCTGCAGGGAGCAATGCGCAGAAAGATTTAGTAACTACTTGTTGGTAATGTAGATAACTTCCTTACAGGCTTCACTTCCTTCCTGCTTTTTCTCCAAATGTGGTCAGAATGGGTCAGCATGTGCTAGTGTTAGCTTCTTGCCTCCATCTCAGCCACATGTAAAACCTATAGTTTTGTTTGCCATGGGTAATAGCCCTTTTGCTGGTCAATTGCATTCATCTCAATATGAACCAGTTTTGGGGGGTTTAACATGATCATCATAATTCAGGGAATCCATTTTTGGTGGTAATTTTTTTCATCCCAAAATGGACAATCCTCATTTTTTCTCTCTCATGTGATCATCATAATTCAGGACACTGGATTATCTTGCGATTGTGGAACTA